CGAAGAGTCCGACGAAGAAGTCATAGCAGCCCCTTTGAGCACAGAGCTTGCTAAGCCCGCTCCACAGCAACGCGATATAGAGCCAAACGAGCCAGTCACTAGTATAGAAGTCGACGCCCCGATAGACAACATAACGGGAAACGAAACCCGTAGCGTACCGGGTGACGATGGCGCCCCGAGCGCCGAGGATTACCGAGTTCTGCTTGCCCAAGTGGCAGAACTCAGGGCGGAGGCAGCCGCCCGCACCGCCGACGGCGTTAATCGCCGGGCCCGAACTGTCACCCCCGCCGAGAGCGCTTTCAGTGGGGACAGCTCCACACCCATTGGCTTCGCCGCCCTTCCCGCTTTCAAGCCCTACGGTCAGGACCAGCACGCCGCCAACCAAACCTTCGACCGGAAGGCTCGCAAGGCCGGTATCGACCCTGGAATTTTCAAGGGTATTGACGGAACCTTCGATAAGTGGATCATTAAGGTGGCCGACAAGTTCATAGAAGACGATACTACTTTCAAGATAGAACGTAGCTGTTACAATCTGAGACAACGGTCCCACGGTGCCAGGCCCTGCCTGGGATTGCGAAGGGGGGTGGGGTGTACAACTGCATTGAGGAATCGCTCCCCGGGAGTGAACAAGGCAAGGAGTTCTCAATGAAGCACAGATTGCGAAAGACCTTTCAAGCATGCACCATTGTATGCTTAACCATATGCATTGATAGCTGTAGAACCGATCCTCTAGGGAGGGCGTTCTGCCAGCTCTCTATATAGAACTATGACTAGCCAATCAGAGGCCTGGCCCTTGGTGATCAGTGCGATCAAATGCGGTCAGTCGCGCTCAATGCGATCAATTCTCAATTGATCGCCCTTGAGCGTACTGATCGCTCCTGATCACAACTGACCGCCTTCTTATTGGCTGCATTCAAGTGTGGCGGGGAACCACCCCGCTTCCTCAGCCCAGCCAATGGCGGACTGCTCCGTGCAGCCCCTGCACGCCTGAGCCAGGATCGTAACAGTTACGGTGAACGCTTAGTGGGCACGTAACGTGCATGAGCGCTGCCTCTTTCACGTTCATACAAACTGTCCCTTGCTGAGGTTGCCTTATAGTGGAGCCTCTCCTCTTCCGAGTTGCCCCTGATCATTCTTCCTTCCGCCACTTTCGCCTTCACCGAGGACCGCTGCCTGGTCTACAGCGGTTCGTAGACAGGGCGACCCACTTATGCAATCGCCCCCCTTTGCAATCGCCCACCACCATCACCGCCCACCACAAGAATCGTCAAAATACTCAATTGTAGGCCAAATTCTATAGAAAAAAGTACATTCTAGTCCTCGTAAATCGCCCTATATTGCTCAAGCCCACGGGCGATAATTTCTTCAGCTTCCTGGACCAAGTGTGCAGGCCTGGACTTGGTCTTCTTGGATCTCTTCTTGGGAGGCTTTTGACTAGTTTTTTGAGCCTCGTCAATTTCGTCAATAGTAGCAAATCTGTCGTTGGCGTCTATTTTGACCCTTTTACGTGAATAGGGTTGTTTGGATTCCAACTCGTTGGCTAAGAAGTCGTTTTTTGCCTTCAAAGCAGCGATTTCCGTATTCTTCTGATCAAGTGCCCTCCCTACCTTCGTCAACATAGTCCTGACGACCTTATCTCGGGGACTAGTGGCTGTCTTGGCTAAGCTCTGTTGCCTGCAGACGTCGTGACTACCTTGAGGTGTATTGAAGAGGTCGTTCCGGGTTGCCCGGGTCTTCCGGGGTGGTGTGGATGGGGGGACTGGTTTTGCAGCTTCGTCCCGGACCGCCTCGGGGTCGTCAAGTATACGAGCGGGTTGGAAAGGCCAGATTCCAGTCTTCCGGAAGCCGGATATGATATTCCGGGCTAACATACCCTGCGCTGAGGCGTCCCGGTAGCAAAAAAGGAAGCGTTGCTTGTTGATAGGTGCTGAGGCTGTGAAGGAAGCCAATTCGAGGGTTCTTTGGCGAAAATAGGACTTCAAAGCCGAAAAGACAGACCGGTCGAGTGGCTGGGTCTTGTGAGAAGTGTGTGAAGGCAAGTATAGTAGGTGTACGCGGTTTCTTTTAGCTAGAAGCATAAAGTCTTCGTCGATATGAGTAGCGTGTTCGTCGAGGATTAATAGGCGCCAATCGTCCTTCCTTTGGGGCTTTGTTTGAGGAAGATATACTTCCTTGAGCCACATAAGAGCTATTTTGCTATTGCTCCAGCCTGTGGGCGTACAGTCGTACTTCCAGGTCTTGAGGACTGGTAGTTCCTTGAAGTTATCCGGGAAGTGTTGGCCTTGTAGATTTTCACCCGTAAAGATCACTACGGGCGTCAATCGCTTGCCCTCAGCGGTACCACACTCGATAATACTGACCCAGGTCGTTGGATCAGGGCCAGTCAGGACTGCCCGAGATGTGAGGGCATCGCCAATCACCTTCCCAACCGTAGTTTCCGTCTCTTGCATGCCATGTTCGTCCATATTGGCGATATTCGCAGGTACCAGCTTCTTGTCCTTAATTACAGCTTCCAAACGATCAAAAAAATGCTGGAATCTCTCACGGGTAGATCCTTTGACTCGAGACCGTTCTAATAAGGTACCTAACTTGGCCTTTACCCTGGGGTTGCGGGTAAAAAACCGATCTACCCAGCGCTCACCAACTCGCCCAGGGAGCCCGGCTTCGTTCAGGATCGCTTGTGCGAATCGTCTTAGCCGTGCACGACTTGGGGCACCCCCTGCAGCTTCCTCCTCAAGAGCCCACTCGGCGACGAAGGCTTCCTGGTCGTCAGTTAACTTCTGGGTGTTTTTTTGGGCTTGTCGTGGATCCTGTTGTCCACGGCGTCGTCTGCTGAGGGTGGATTCAGGGATCCTATATAGGCGCGCTACTTCCTTCTGCTGAGCGCCCTGATCAATAGCCTCAATAGCCTCGGCTATTAGCCGCTCTCGTACGCGTCGAACCATCGTATTTTGAGCCTATTCCGACCAGTATTGAGGAAGTTGTTGGTGGTGGAAGGTAGAGAGTAGGAAGTTGGCGGTGTGGGGGAAAAATTGCAAAGTGGGGCGATTGCAAAGGTGGGTCACCCTGTCTATATCCGAAATTAGCAGCTCCCGAGCTGAGAATTCCTACATCGGCGGTGGCAATATCACCTCGAACAGTATTCTGCCTCGCCATCACGCCGTATTATCTTTGAAGGATAAACTAGGTAATCACCAGGCTAAAGAAGGTAACGTATATTGGTGTGACTTTCTAAAGTACCTTATCCGCTTCTTCAGCTTCAAGTACTCCCAAGTAAAACAGGCATGAATTCTACTAGGGTGGGAGGTTGTATTAACTCGACATATTCATGCAAATGTAACTACTAGTTAGGTGTAAGAGAAGGCAGGTATGCCGGATCAAGGTGATCACAATGCAGGTAAGAAGGTGGGCGAGCAATGAGTAGTATTGGTGTGAGACTTCAACCTGGCTGTCACGGCACGGCGGTAGGCGCTGAGGCCCTACGGGTGCGTGACCATACTATAACCCACTATAGAATTGCAGCCTGACGGCTTGTAATTCTGGCATCCTTTTGGAAGGTGTGGTGCAGCGGTAGTGGGTGTTGCTAAACGCCGTCACACTGGCCCTCGCAAAGGAAGGTGGGCGAGGGCCACGTTTATATACATGCTCAGGGGCTCAGGCCCGAGGCGCCATGGCGTGGCGTAGTGGCTTGTGCCAACTGGCAGTGTTCTGGCCAGTTGGTAGCAGGTGGTGAGCGCGCACCCTGTGCGCGCGGCTGGTGTTTGGGGTGTCCTTTCCTTACAATTTCATAAAATAATATTCGTATATTTCCGTCTCTTTCAAAAGAAGAATGTGAACAAGCCGGGATATCTTAATTCTCATTTTGAATATAAACGGTGCTCTACATGGTTTCATAACGGTAGCCGATTGCAACCGTAAGAAAAAAACGGAAGTCGTGGACTGGTGTCCCAAAACTGGGATCAGTTTGGGCATGGCAATTATAGCCGGGACATCCCTGTGACTTAGCTCGGCTCAGGGTGATGCTCAGCGCGCCTCAGCTCCTGCTCAGGTTTCAAGCCTAATACGGATTTGGCCAAAAAAAGTTGTCGCGAGTGAATATAGAGGTAGGTACTGAGCCAGGCACTCATCTGACGTATCTTGATTCTCAGCAATCACCACCCGATACCTCGCCTTGGTTCCATTTCAAGTACTAGTACCAACAATAATTGAAATGTCCGATCCCTGTTTGGCCCCATCCTCGCCGCATCGATGGCTGCATTTATTCTCATCAGATGGTCGTTGGCCCTTTAATTACGCCGCAAGGTGCCACACTACCAGTGCTTATCTCAGCCGTTTCGAGCCAACCAGAACTTCGTCTCTTGGAAAGGACGTGCAATGAATGTGGTAGAAGCTCTCGAGATAAAAGGATGGCGCTTTCTCCTCCTCTTCTCCCAGATCCATCGTTGAGCATCCTCTTCAGACTATCCAATTTTCAAGACATAGCCTTAGAACAACAACAATCAACCCGCTTTTTTTGCCTCTTCTTTTGCCTTTCTGTTATTCTACCAAGACTAATCACACCGCCGCAACCCAAGTCGATGTCACAGATGTCGTCGAGAGAGTCATCAAAGCCGTCGTCCAGGGAGTCATCTCTGTCAAGAGATCCAGCTCCACTGTCAAACGCCATCGGTATCAGTCATGCCTTTGAGTTGGCCTTGCCCGCGATTCCCATCAAAAAGAATGTCAATGACTCCGTAACTTCTTTCGCAACATCAAGTTTCGGCACCGCGCTACCGAGGTTTTGGCTACATCAATCAGCTGAAGAGTATGTTAGCATCGCAAAGGAAATCTTGGAGAAGTCGATTGTTAAAAGGCAAACGATAACGAATTGCCTGGCCCCTTTGGATCCGATGATTGTCCTTCAACACAAAGGTGACGTTGTGAATGCCGGTAGCTAGCAGGTGCTTAACCTAGTGAATGTTGCTTTCAAGGCTCTGCACAACAGAGTTCCAGAACTCTTCATGCAGTCTGAATTCACTTCAACCACCGAGCCCGGCGATGACAACGACGGTGACACATCAAAGACCAAAGGTGGTAAAAAGCAGAAGAAAAAGGGAAAACCACGACCCGATGTTGTCTGGAAAGCACACGGCAAAGTTTTTGCGGTCTTGGAATTTAAAAACATCAACGCCATTGCCCTCAATGAGTTTAGCGACGTAGAATTGAAAGTTGAGCCTGGCTCTCAAAAAGAGACTGCCGTTAAAGCCAAAAAGGCTGATGTTCTAACTTCACGCACACTTTTCACTAAGAACTCCCTCCAAATCATGAGGCAGCTATCGAAATATGCAAGGCATGCGGATTTCAGCCCCTTCGCTGCTATACTCACTTACGAGCAGTTATTCCTGGCTGACTATTGGATCCCTCATGATGGCGACTATATATACGGTACCCTCCTCTCCCGCGAAGGCAACGATGAAAAGCTACTTCGAAAAGCACTGCTCGGCTGGTTAGAACATGCTTACAATAAGACCTTTCGAGTTCACCCTAGCACCGGCGAGGTACAAATCACTGCTTGCATTCCACTGCAGCCTACCGCACCGGCAAAGACCTCGACTGTTGGGTTAAAGTCTGGTGCTGCCCAGGGGACTGCGGCAGCTCTACGTGAACGGTCGCCGCAGCCGCAATCGTCGCGGCAAAACCCTCCAAGAAATGCCTCTGGAGTCTCCGAGCCGTCGGGCAGTGAAAGTAGTAATCCCGACAAGAACACCAGTGCCAGGAAGGCCAAGGGTAGCGGGAAAAAGTGATAGGGGATTGGAGTTTAAAGCGCGCAGTAAGCCAATGATTGGGAGTTCTTTTTACATTTCTTCACGTTGTCTTTCAGCCGCTGCCTAAGGCTCCTCAGCTTTGTTTTGTCCTTTTGCTTCTCTTTTTTTTTTTTTTTTTGCCTGATCCCCCATCTCTGTTATAGATTTCACTCTTTATGTTGCTCTTGTTTATTTCGTCTTGATTCACTACCACACTCGTTACAAGAAAAAAATTACATTCCTATAGTTATGCCATGGTGGTATAATGGTAATTAATCGACCTGATAGAAATGTCAGAGCCTCACCGACGAAGAAAAGGAGCTCGCAGAGCCAAGGCCTGCCATGAAATACACGCTAGTAGGGATCCCAGTGCTTACCAACATCAAATTTCAGGGCTGAAACATTTCTTTATATTTGCCTAATGCCAAGAAGGCGGTTTCATTGGTCGCCTCGCCGGCTTGTGATGCGCCAATGTGCTCAGGCTTACTGAACCTGCCTTATGGGGTCTCACTAGACAGATTTTTTGCGGCGCGGTAAGATTCCGGATTACGCGACATCCAAGGCAGCATCCCCAGCGAGTAGGTACGGTACCTATCAAATCCAGCAAAGTGGGTCGCTTGACATGGCGCGATGAAACCCTCATCTATTCTTAGCATGTGCAAGTCTTGCTCCTCTCTAGATACAAATACGATGCAGTGGTGCACATCAGTCAAGTCCAAGCCGTGGCAGAACTAGACGTTACACAAGCATTCCCAGTCTACAAAATCCCTTCGCCATGGCAGTCCTCAAAACCCTACTCATTGCCCTCGCAGCGGCAGCCAACGCGCCAGCGGGTGTCGTCGCCTTCCAGCCCGACCCCAGGGCGACCAACACGGGCCTAGCCAAGCGGGCCGACCCATACCCGTTCTGCAACCCGGCCACCAACCCCGGTTGCATCGCTGGCGGAAAGTACCTCGTGCCGGTCCTCGAATTCTCCTCCGAGAACGGCCCCGGCGACCTGGCCTACCAGCAATACCTGCCCGCCAGCCCGTGGACCTTCTCCAAGTGGACCAACGGCCTGATGCCCGAGCGGTGCTACTACTGGGGCGTGACGGCCGACAAGTGGAAGGCCACCGACTTTCTCGTCTATAATGTCACTTACACCGACTGCGCGACGCCCTTTGTCGTCTGCCGCCACCAAAAGGCCACCAAGAGCATCGGCCAGCTCGCATCGGTACGTTGGCCATCGCATTTGAGCGATTCGTGCAGAACGTATTCATACTGACAAACCTTCTCGGCTGGCGGCAGCAAATCGGCAAACTTCCCGTTAGGATGCGGCAAGCGTCCTCGTGAGTTTTTTTTTTTTTTTTTGACTCCAATCAATCACTACCTCTAAAACCTGCCCGAGAGCGTAAACTGATTACCAACCCACCCTCCGCCCAGAATCTACATCGTCTACGGCGACCTTAACAGCGACAACCCCAATTACGGGGGGTATATGGCGACGCTCGCGGGCGACGGCGTGGTGGTCGGGCGCAGCGTGGCCTACTTCATCACGTCGCTGGTGCACGAGACGGGCCACGCAGTGGATTCGACGCTGGCGTCGCCCGGCGGCGGCAAGCCCTTCTCGGGCACGGCGGCGTGGGCCGACGCCGTAAAGGCCGACGGGTTCGCCGTCAGCGCGTACGGCGCGGGCTCGTACGTCGAGGACTTCGCCGAGGCCGGCCGCGCCGTCCTCCTCGACACCGTCGTGCCCGGCGGGCTCGCCGCCTTTACCGGCGGCAAGAACGCCAATCTCACACAGATCACCGCACAGCTCAAGGCGTTCAAGGCCGTCGCCGGCACGTTCTATACGCCTGGCGGCAAGTGTGACTTGGCCAAGAAATTCCCGTTCCCGGCCAAGTTAGTGAAGAGGGAGTAGTCAAGGAGGGAAGTGAGACAAACTTCCGCGGGGTCTGATGAGGCAGGATTTTGAAATCGAATACAAATAATTGGATAAATTCGGGTGTTGGTTTCGTTCTGGCGGCACTTGGCCCCTTGGCCAGAAGGGCACTTTTGAGCGCAGGGGAAAATATAGAAGCAGCGATTCAAGGGCATTTTTACTTCACGATGTTTGTTATAGATCTTCTTTTTTTTTTTTTTTTTTTTTTTTTTTTTGAAAAGCGGGTGGAAGAAAAGAAACACAAACAGTCACAGGCTCGCAGAATTATAAAAATAATAAATTCAGGGATGACGCTGTGACTATCTACCTCGTCTGTCTAGGACTAATTAGCTAGTATCAAGCAAACCTTCTCAATCTGTGAAGGCACGAGAGCGTAGTAGCCAACGCAAAGAACCGAGCAATGTTAGGGACCAAAGGGGCAATCAAATATCACACCGTCTCACTAAGAAAAGCCTCGGCCTTCATCCACACCCTCTCCATGCTCTTGCTATAGTCCCTCCCATCGCTACTACCAAATCCAACAACGGCTGGGTGCACCACAATGCCAACGGACCAGCCATTGCACCTGTCATCGTCGTCGTAGAGACGGTGAAGGGGGTGCGCCTTCACCACCTCGGACCTGGCTGAAAATGGGGTGTTCTTGAGCTCAGATAAGCCCTGAACATACAACGCCGTCCGTCGAGACCACAGTTTACGGGAGAGCAACCCCGCATACTGCATCAGCGAATTCAGGTCTTTGAGAAGGGTTCCGTTGTTCCCCGACAAAAGTGCTAATAGTGTGATAGAAGTTTTGGCCGGGCTGTTGAGAAACTCGATTGCCAAGTCACGACACTGGAATTCCGGACGGAAGATGTATTGGTGGCCTGCCCCTTGCTGCACCCTGTCTCAGCCTCTTGCGTAGTTGCGAGAAGGCGAATGGTCCTGGAACGCCACATCTATGCTTCTTTCTTGTTCACTTTTGATCAAACTGTTAGAATCCATCAACTCTTCCACGGGGCTATGATAAAACCGCATCTTATCTTGTTACAAATTCTAATAAAGATCTTGCAACACCGTATTTTCGCCGTCACGTAGCCTGAAAAATGGCTGTTCTATGGTTCTATGATAAATTTGATGGGCAAGAAGGCCCTGAAGACACATGGTGGGCGCTTTTTTGTCTAAGGAGGGCGACATTTGGAGGTATCCGAGCTCGTCCTTTGTGTACGCAGACGAACGATTTCGCCCAGTGTCTTAAAGAAGATCTCGTACTTGTCGGCTAGAAGCTCCTTGGTGATATTCATGTGCTCAGCAGCGTACTTCTTGGCCCATGTCTTACTGCGAATCTATAAGTTCTCCAGGTCGCCACGGACTGTGCTGTCGTCGCCGGCCGCCCACGAATCACCTTCAAGTCCTCCGAAAACAACAGATTGGGCTTAGCGGATCTGAGCCTCTTGCTGCTTGATGGTGAGGGTCAATCTCTCATGCTGCGATTCGAGGTCCGTGACTTTTTCTCGGAGCTTCTGGCTTGTGTGCCGCTCTGTGCTAACCCACTTATTTGCGTCGCGGACGTCGGCCTGGGCTTGGCGTATCTGGGACTCTTGCTTGCCGATGGCAAATTCCAAGCCAGTTCAATCTAAGCAATCTTTGATCTTCGTGTCATTGGTGCTAAGTATGAGCACCCGCGCGCGCAACTATGTGTGATTGTGCAATAAGAGCTACTGGCAGTTTCTGTTGCAACGGATCAATCCCGGTGCAAAACTTCATCAAGCACTGCCAAGAATTTGTCGTCTGCGATAACCTTGAGGATTTAGTAGCGGGCATGAACGAGTGAGTTGAATCAGTTGAATCGTGCAGCACTTATACTGAAAGCTAAATTAGGAAGGCTCGCGGCTACGATGGGAAACCGTGCCGCACTGCTGCTCGGTTTCATCTCCATTAAGGCCATAGTCGATGCGCGGGGACGGTACGGCTCGCTTGAGGGAAATTTCTTGGGCGGCTGTATCTTCTCCGGCCGTGCTGCCGGTAGGCCATGGCTGATGAGGTCTGGTCTTGGGAACAACAGCTTTTGCGAAGCTGTGAATTTGGGACATCGAGATAAGTCATGATGGTGCATCGATGATTACCTACTACTCATAACCTTGCCCGCAGCAATACAATGATGCTTTAGCCCAGATTCTCTGGCCACTTTCATGAAACTTACCGGCTTCCTCAAGTTCTTGACCGGAGACCCTATGCGATCAAACATTGAAACGAATTGCCTTGCGCAAGATAGCAGTACTAACAGTTGTGTACAGCTTTAAGCCCTCGGAATTATGATGACACAGTGGGTGGGTTGCGTAATGTAAGTAGCCTGTTACCATGCAGATCTCTCCCTTTTCCCATATTCATTCTTGGAATCCCCATAGCCCTGCTCATACTCGCCATCATCATAGCGACCTGCCGATCTGGCCTCACTGGCATAGTCCCCAGACACAGTCCGGCCAACCTTGTTCACAAACAAACCCCAATCCGATCCCGGACTGACTGGTCGACCCCAACGGTCGTCATTGTCCGCAACAAGTCTGGACGAGTACCCAACTTCTGGTTGCAACTGACCAGGGAGTGGTCCGTTGCTAGTTGGGTTGTGAGGATACTCAGCTCTCGAGGGAGACAACCCCCGTCGTCCCTGGTATTGTGGTGGTGGCTCAAGCAACGACGCATGACGTGGTCGGTTCCCGGACCGGAACATGGTTCCCCTCGGCGGTCTCCCCCCGGGGCCCAACAGCGATGGGTCCCCACCTTGCGGCTTGATCCCATTCCCGTGGCCCCCCTCATCGTACCCACTTCCCTTCCCGCTCTGGTGTCCGGTTGTCCAGGACTGCCCGGGGACACGGTCGACACGAGTCTCCGCCTCCCTCGCAAGATCTGCCGGGGTCTGGCCAAAGAAGACTTTCTTCATGTATTCCTCAAATTCGACGGTCACGCTGTCCATAAGCTTAAAGTGCTTGACTTGCAGCTTGGGCGGCGGTGGCATGTCAGTTGACCCGCTGGCCCGTAGCCTCTCGGCTTCGGCGGCCGCGTCGGCGTAGGCGAGACTGCGCGCCATCTGGAACAGCGCTTCACTCAGATCAGATAGAGCAGATATGGGCCCATATCTGATTTGTTTGATCCTCGAATCGCCTATATCTGTTTGATTTGATCGATCTGACAGATATCTGATCGGCCAACCGAAATGTGGGCATTCCCGGCCCTAGCTAGCCTGTCAAGATGCCCCCAGACTGGATGACCTTGTCCCTGAGCCAGTTCTTCAGGATCTGTAGAGCCTCGATGCGTTCTTCACCCAGGCTGTGCCGTTGGGACGTCAACGCCAGCTTCCCTTGGCTGAAAGCCTGTTCAGGGTCATCTGCCATCGCCGGGATGACTAGGAGGTCCAAGGCAAATCGGCTCAACCGGGGAAACGTTGTTTGGTGATCAGCCACCATTGGATCGGATCGGTACATTCCTGAGAGGCAAGCTGATAATATCTCTCGAGCTCGTCTTGGTTGTCTGAAGGTCTTGACCGTTTATTATTGATCCATTGCATGAACCGGGTTGTTTCCCGCATGGGATGTTGTGATGTTCCTGATGACGTTGAAGATAGTGACGATGGCACCGGTGATGGGGACGGTAGCAGCGAATCGAAGGGATCTTGAGGATCTGGATACCAATATTCGAAGTAGGCTTTCACTGCCAGCCTTGTAGGCCCAAGCCACGGCGAATGTTCCTGGGAGCTCCATGCCTTTTTAAGAAAAGGTAGTCCAAGCCCAGGATGTAGGATCACGGACGCTGCAAATAAGGGCGAATTGCCGAGGAGGTCGTAGTATTCGTCGAGCTTCAGACAGGCGTTGTTGATCGATGCCCGGATGTATGCCGTCTCATCGGGCTGCATATTCGTAATGCCACTATTGGAAAGATATTCGGCTGCGGCATACCGAGGCAAAGCATCTTCGTAATACCTCGATGCCCGGCCGTTATGCCGCGATGCTGGCCGTGAGGTAGGTAGGCGACGGGTACATCGGCGGGTTGGCCGGTTTGACGGGCGAGGCAGATCGAATGGATCGGGATCGAGCTCCTCGGTCAAGCTAGCTTGCAGATCGAACGTTTCTACAGCCAAATCTTCGGATTCTGGTAGGTAAAGGGCCTTCCAATCTTCGAGCTATTCCAGGATATATTCCATACCAGTCATGGCCTCCCACAGCTGCCCGTACCCGTTGCCTTTGGTATGGCCTTGAGCCCTCATTATCATCAGGTAGATCGGCTCGAGGATCAACCGGATCTCTGGTAGCAAACGCCAGTCATCGGCATTAAGGACATCTTGAGGATCGATCCTAGGTATAGCCGCCGGATCAAGTTGAAGCTGAAGGATATAGGCCTGAATATCCCGTTGCTTCTTCCAGGCACGGTCGATTATAAGGAAAGTCGAGTTCTATCTTGTCGCGTTGTTCTGCCGTAGCTCGAGTTCGGTTGTAGATTCGGCATATAGTGTGAAGGAATCGTGGATATCATCAAGCTCTTGGGCCTCAGCTACTTGACGGAAAGCCTCTGAGCGTTGCGGTAAGGCCCGGATGAACTTGACGATGTTGTGGAGCTTGCCGATCGGGCCCTTGCGGCGCTAGTGGATGAAGGCATCGTCATGTTGTTCCAAGACCTCCAAGGAATCGGACTCCAGCTCAAAGGTATTGGCGTCATCGCCAAATAGAAAAGCCTTCGCTACCAGGTTCAAGACGTGACCAAAGCACCGCATCCGGCGATGTAGAATATCCTTCCCGGTCATCCCAGGGATGAGCTGAGGCATAGAGCCTTGAGGCATGTATCGTTATTCGAAGCGTTATCATAGATCATCACTCCAAGCTTTGACGGGATGTCCCAAGCTTCGAGGATGTCTTGAAGAGTGTTGGCGACGCCTTCACCACTGTGTATCCCGGGATGCCGTCGGAACGCGATGAGGCGGCTTGTATACTGTTGCTTGCTGTTGAGGAAGTGGGCTAATACCGCAATAAAGGCTAGGCGGTTTGGAGAAGTCCAAAGGTCAAAACTGATATGGATCGAGGTCAGGGATCTGTGAAGTTCTTGTAGAACAACAGCCTTTTGTTCCTCGAAGGTCTTCGGCATCGTCAATGTGAGTGTATTCCTCCCCAAGGCAACGGTAGTGGCAAGATTTCGGTCGAACAGCTTCAGGAAGCTCTTGAGATAGGGGTCTTCGAAGGCAGTAAAGGGATTGTCGGAGTTGACGAGGAAAGCAACGGCGAGTTGTTTCAAGGCTACGTCCTTGGCCTGAGGGATTTGTGATGATGTTGCTCGATATATCGCGAGCATATCAGAGTTGTCAGTTTGATCTCCCTGCTGCTTGTAGATAGAATGCTCCTTAACTAGATGGGTTGAGGCCGACGATGTAGAGGAAGCATCGTATATAGAGTGTTTGCTCCGGCCATCGCAATACTTGCAGCACCAGACCTCCCTGTGAGGACCCGTCCACCAAACTGGCCCTCAAGCAGCCAGAGCCGCCCAGAACCCCGGGCCTATCAGAAGCCGCCTCGAGGCCCCACCTACCCCACTGATAGATGAAAACTTATTCGCGAGCACGCGACGCGTTGTTGGACTTTTCCTTCTTTCCCTCCTCAGTTTAGAATCTTCGTCGATAGCACCCAATGGACTGAGTTCACCTCAATGCCTTGCCCTGGTCGTGACACTCCCCACCAGGTAGCAAGGCGCCGTTCGCCGTGATGCCGGCTAGAAACCATCCGTAATCCTTGACCTAGCTTGTACGGCCGCGGGAGCTTTTCTTATGGACCTGAGAGTCCAGTATGTAACGCTTATTGGCCCAGACGATGCGAGGGAGGTCTTGGATGGAGCCCTCGATGACGGGGGCCGCGTTGAGGGCGGCAGTAACCTGATCTGCGATGGATATAGGCCGTGACCGAAGCTGGGCGAAGATCGACGGTTGACGGCTCGAGCCGGGCGATCGAGACCGAGTAGTAGCAGCAACGCTTGTTGTAGAGCTTCGAGACCGGGATCGATGCATTGTGAATAGCTTCAGCCGCGAGGGCACGGTTGAGGGCACGGTTGAGGACGCGTTTGAGGGCGCGTTTGAGGGCGCGGTTGAGGGCAAGGCGCGGTCAAGAGGGTTGTTTTGGGAAAAAAGCAGGGGCCGCGGTCGGATTCGAACCCTGCCGGGACCGGATTAACCCTAGTGCCGGTACAAAACGGGGTCGAAAGCACCACTCGGAACGGAATAATTAGTAAATCCTGGCTCTAAATACCCTCATTTATCTGTCAGATAGTCAAACAGATCGGGCCCTAATATCTGATTTGTTTGATCCCTCAACGGGCCCGATCTGTTTGATCTGTTTGATCGATCTGTCAGATATATCTGACCTGAGTGAAGCGCTGATCTGGAAGGCATTGCGGATCTGACGCCCGTTCCAATGCGCGGAATCGCCACCACGGTTATTGGTAAAGTGCTCCTCGGCGAACTGAAGTATCTCCTCGGCGGGAATCTCCAGGGGCCGTTTTCCTGTTCTCCGTTGGTGCTCGGCATCGATGCGCCCCAGTCTCCGAAGATTAATCTCCCAGATCTCTCGCGCCTGCTGTTGGCTGAGGGGTGGATAGAAGATATTGTAGTGAATGCGCGAGCGAAAGGCTTCGTCTAGCGCTCCCACTCGGTTGGTTGTCATGAAGAGGATCCCGGTGTAGTAGTCCAGGATCCGGAGAAAAACTAGGAAGGAGCGGCGTGTTAGAATGTGACTTTGGGGGGGGGGCTGCATAAGAATGAAGACAAGAAAAGAAACGCACCGGAAACTAATGCATTTTTAGTCATTGCCGCGTCTCCCTTTGAGCGCTGCGAGAAAAAGGTATCAACCTCATCCATAAGCAGAATACAGTCCCACGAGTTGGCCAGTCTGAAGATACTCCCCAGCGACGACTCAACCTGCTCGGGCGTCAAGCTAAGATCGCCGCAGGTGATCTTGAACAATGGCTTGTTGTGCGTTTGGGCAATGGCTTCTACCGTCGCCGTCTTTCCGACGCCGGGGACACCGTGGAGCAGGATGAACAGGCCAGCGCCTTTACCTCGGATAAAGTCCTGCGACTCTTGCCCCTGGCCATGTCGTCGCTCGTCGGCCTTTTGCATCAGATGTCCCTGGACTGATCTTTAGATCAGGTCTTTCAAGTTGTGCGGAATCCGGAGTGAGTCGAGCGCATCGCGGGACCCGGACGGGGGCGACATATGTTGGATGTCCATCTGTGCAAACTTGCGGTCCTGGAAGACGTAGCCAAAGACACGGCACGCAATCAAGCCCTTGTCTATGGGACTGAGGTAGTCTCGAGTTGTAAGTTGACCCCTAGCGAGGTTCTCACTCATCTGGGAAAGTAACGGGTCCGTCGAGACGAATTTGTTCTGCTCCCACTTGCTCACACCCGTCCGGACGGGAACGACCTCGACACTCTCGGCTTTCAGATTGGCTCTGTCGGGTCCCGACCACCACAAGATGGAAAATCATCCGACTCAACCAGTTGCTTGACTGGTTCTGGCTTGAGGATGCCCCGTTTCGGCTTCCAGTGCGGGCACGCTTGAAATGATTCGTTGAAGTCCACCATAACGTCGCTATTGATATACTCAGGGTGTTTCATTTCTACACCGTTGGCGTCACAGGTCGCGTCGCCCTTTGGTGTCCGTGTGACGGTCCACGAATCATAAGAAACATGCTTGATGTCGATGTTCTCAAGTGTTTTGTCTCCAAGCTCGGCGGCGTCGGCAAGGTACTTGTCTAGCTCGGTTGGGCCAAAGCGAAGGGGGTAGACGGGTAGTGACCGGATTCGTCGAAGACCCTTGAATGGCTGGATGGCGAATTTGGTGACCACAGTGCAAAACTCTTCACCGGTGTATTCGAGATAATACACTCTGACGATGAACGATGCGTCCTGTTCACCGGAATCATGGCGAACGTCGTACTTGCGATGGTCTGAATGACAGACGCGGTAATCCATATCCCGCGAGCGCAGGCCATAGCATCGCCAAAGACGCTTTCCCGTGCGTTTCCAATCCTGTGGATTGCCTTTTCCCGACGTATCGGTCCCATACGGTCGGTATACGAGCTCCCCCGTTCGGAAGAGGTAGTGAAGATCAGAAAATCGCACTTTTGGGTCGTCAGACGCCTTTAGTCCATCCCACTGGGTGTACTCTGGGATGATATTTTCATCGACAAATTTGACATAGCATCGCATTGCCGCCAGTGCTTCAGGGCAGTTATCAACAGACTCTTCCGATTCTTCCACCCCGCCGTCGGTGGGAGCTGGCGAATGGGCATTTGTGATGAAGGATGCCGGGGTGGCAGCCCCGTCGAGATGGCGCCCCCATCGACTCTCCAGATCTCGAAGGGCCCCCTTCATCTCAGCCTGAAAGGAAATTATGGTGATAAAGGGGCGAAGATATGTTCGCGGCCGGGATGACCAGGACTCCCCTTGGATGTTGGATAGGATCTTAAGGATCGCCGGCGACTGAATGCGGACACGACGCATCCAAACATCATCAGACTGGGCCGTCTCCACAGCTTTGGCGTTGAGGATGTTCCTTGCCTTCAACGCGGCGTCCTTGGCCTTTCCTGACCGGGAGGACACGGTGGCACTGCCTGAGCGGTGTTTGCGGAACTGTTGCTCCTCATGCATCTCCTGCTGGAGCAGGGCGCCAGAGAGGAGCACGTCGATGGCATATCGGCCATCCTCGTCGGTGAAGCGATTCTTGAACTGCATAAAGTTGCATCTTCGCACCTCTGGAATCGTGTCCTTGTTGGTCAATTGGGTTGGGTGTTGGAAGTCCGTTGAGTCCGTTACCGAGCCTTGGTCGCCCAATGAGTTGTGCCTGGCTATGCCATAACCTCCACCGCTCTCCGCGCCTGCAACCTTTTCCTCGAGGAGCCTTACCCGCTCCTCGAGATTTGAGGGGCTCCCGCTATTGCCGTTCAAAATTGCAGACATCGTGCCTCTGCGAATAAGTCAGCTCATCTGGTTGCACGCTTGTCAGTTAATTCGACAGCAACTGACCTCCACTTCTGTAGGTCCTACACTTCCACCGCATGCAGTTGCACGAGGGGTGAGATCGAATTAGATCGGATTTCGCGCAGGATGATGAAATCTTAGGAGAAATGCCGCACAGCGACTATAAGTAAGTACGCATCTCTTTGCCCCCGAGTCTACCAGTGCTGATCCAGGGGGGGTGCCTTGGTAAGAGGTATTGAGTAATGGAGCCTCGCCAGTCCATTGCACAACCCTTAGGCAATGCTGCCTATTTTATCGTATTCGAGGCAGCCTGCTAACCCCTGTAGCAGCATGAGCTGCATCGCGGCAACAGACTCACTCGCAGCCTGCTTAGGTACTGCTTCCATGGTTCATCAAGCCCGAAAGAGAGCATAATGGAGGCCTCTAAGGAATTTTTTCGCCGATGTGTGCTGCACCTTCCCCAACTCGGCTTCCCCTGATGCTCTTTATTGGATGGCTGCTCAGGTGTGGGTGGCGGCCACAGACGCCTTTTGCCCGGCTGTGGTGAGTGTAACTACCCCCCGCATTCTCCTCATCATGCATCTTGCTCATCAAGGCATTCGTCAAGGCGTTCAGCAAGGCTGTAATAACTGTTCTATCTGATCAGGAGCTTGAGGGGCAACCCCGGCCCCCTATTTCCAACCTGGCAACCCCGACCCCGAGGAATGGTAGTCAGCCAGATGACAACCTCTGCTGTGAGGCACAAATGGCCCCTCAAGAAGACGACAAGACATATCTCGCTCGACAATTCATTGAATCCCGTGGTGCACCAATTCACCCCGTTTTTGGACAACCACCTCATTTCAATATGTCGACGATGAGCTACGAGCTCAAAGAGGTGCAGTAAGATGAATTAATGAGCGTCGGGTTTCGTTGAAATGAGAATGAAGTTAGCTGACCTGAGAAAGCGAGCTCCGAGAAGCATTAGAAAACTTTGAGGACAACACCGGGGAATCCCTCAACTTCAATTTCGACGGCAAAGAATGTAACTGGGACAACGTTCTCGCCGAGCTAAAACGCGCCCTGGAGGCGGACGAAGAGCGAGCGAAAAATGGCATCACAAAGCGTGGCGCATTTTTAGATCAATAGCCCTAGTATTAGCCCCTAGTTTGGCGGCATTTCCAGATGAGCTTTACGTTGTGCATGGAGGGCTTACTATTATCTTTGGTGTAAGTCAGAACTGGTGCGATATATGCAGGACCGCTCGATAACTTATAGCTGAATGTTCCAAAGATTGCTCAACGCCGAGCCCAGCACCGCTCGAAAATACTCGCGGCCTTTGGGAACATCCCTCTCACCATCACTGATGCCCGTCGCAAAGCAAATATATTCCCCCGGGATGTAGACAACCCCAACAGCATTCTCCTTCATAACAGCATAGATGACCTCAACCAAACTCTCCTTCAGGTTCTGCCTAAATTAATCCAATTGCTGAACCCGGGCACAATCAGTATGACCCGCCTAGTGGGGTGACGGCAACGTGACAAGGCACTTACTCAAAGAGTTTTAGTTTTAAAAGCTACTAGCAGTTTCAAGGGCGACAAGATCGATAGCCTTTTGGAGCGGATTACCCGAAGCTCTCAATACACAGAAGCTTGCGCCGGACGCTTAATAGAACAAATCATCATCGAAACGAACGAGACTATCAAAATTATCCACGCCGATACCCAAAACACAGTGGTGGGTGTTGATGGCCTTCGAAACCAGGTAGATGAACTGTTACGTCGGCAGCAGTCGCTGCAGGATACGTTAGACGCCATCTCGGGCAAGAACGGTCTCTTCCAGTTTGTCGTTGAAATGTTAAACAGTGAGTAATTTCTTCTTTCCCCCTATTCTCAAGCGGGGCCACTAAACCAGACTACTCGTAGATCCTCGACTCAACATGGCCCCTCCCCCAGAATACACCCCAGCCGTGTACCCCCCGGCAAGAGCAAACGAGAAGGTGCTCACTGCTCTCGAGCTCCTCAATCTCCTTGATATCCAGCTGCTCGGGCCCATCGAAGAGGAGACTCAAATTCTCCGCCGTGGTAGCTCTATTGATGATGCCCCCCTTAGCCGCGCATCATGTAAGCTGTTCCACCAGAAGCCCCCCCCCCCCCACAAAAGAAAAAGAAAAGGAACAAAAAGAAAACAATGGCTAAGAAGTTCTCCTGTTTAGACATGCTTCAAACCCTGGCAGTTAGAACCCTCCTCTTCTCCCAACAGCCCGGCGTCGTCCTCGTCGACGCATGCAGCGACCGAGCACAGGGGGGCAGTAGCGTGACACCCGTTTCCGTCATCTGCGCGACCCTCACACAGGCACTGCGCCGGGGTGGATACGGCCCTGCGCTCTCGCTCGCTTTGCCCACATCTGCGTCAACGTCAGTGATCTTGGTCTTCTTCTGCGGGCTCCACATTGCCACCGAAGATCCCCTCCGGGGCCCTCTTGGGCTGGTGAGAAGTCTGCTTGCGCAGTTGGCGCTGGAGCTGTTGAAGAATAGGTGGGTTACGGAGGAAGGGCCGATGGGGGTGCTGCCGGATGAGAGTATGGAGGAGGGGTTGTATCTGGCCGATCTGTGTGGCTTGTTCCATAACTTGTTGCAGCTGGTGCCGGCGGGGACGTCGGTGTACTGTATCGTGGATGGAATTTCGTCGTATGAGAGAGAGTTCTGGAGTGAGGACTACGGGGTGGTGATGGGGGCGTTTGCTAGGATTGTGCGGGATGAGGGGTTAGAAGCTTGGTTCAAGCTGTTGATGACGGGTCTGGCTTCGAGTCCAGGGCTGGATAGGTGGATGCCACACCAGAGGGTGTCGGTGGGGAGTGGGAGGGTCGGGGGAGGGTCCGTACAACGGGCAATGAGGGCTGCGTTTAGGGATGTGAACTTGAACGATGACTACTACTAGCCAGGGTGGGCGACAATCGATTCGTTGGCTGACAAATCAATTTTCAATATTCGTCAATTATTTGCTGACAGATCAACGAATATTCGTCAGTGTGGGTCCGAACCACCACAATCTGCTTAGTCATCCAGATCCTCCTCCTCCACCTCCTCCAAGCTACTATTTACAAGGCCTGACCTTATCCAATGCTTCAAACACTCAAGAAACTCAATAGTATCTTCACCCAGTTGCATCCTTTCCCAAGATATTGTACGACGACCCCCAGAAAACACTCGCTCTGGCTCAGCACTCATTGCAGGAATTGATAAAACATTGATCGCCAATTGAGATAATCTTGGCCAGCGTCGTCGTTGTTGTCCATTCAACCACCAGGATAATGCTGATGTTTCGATCGAAATTACTGCTTCTGAGATATACTCTTCAAACTCATCCTTGACGTGTTGCCGTGGAATAACATCAAGATTTTGAGCAAGAATGTCGAATTCATCAAGATCATCAATTTGCATTGATGGTAACGTTGGAGAAGTATTTGCTAATTGATCCTTATGCTTCTCCCAGAGTTCTCTGACAGAGTTGATTGCTGGCCGTATCCATTTTTTATCCCAGTTTTGCTTGAGATATAAGGTTCGTCGTGATGGGTGAAAAATCACTGCTGCTGCGTAAAATGAAGACTCCTCCGTCTTCAGATAATATTTGTCGAACATTGCCCAGCTTTTCTCAATCCGAGAAGATAGGAAAGGATTTGACTGATATACTGAAAGGCTTTTTTTGAAATGCTGAATCAGGATATCCATAGTGAATAAAACTCGGTCGATTGTTGCATGATCTCCTTCTGTTGCTTTTGTTGCTCGAAAGAATGGATGTAGGAAAGTTGATATTAATCGAAGATTCTCCCAATCATCTGGAGAAAGGTAATCCTTTTGGAGAGATTCATACCAGAGTTTGATATACGAATCAAGTGCAGCTTCTTTTTCAAGGGCAACTTGAATCATTAAATACCAACTGTTCCACCTGGTAGAATTATCCAAAGGGATCATTCGGCCAGCAAGCTGAATAAACTGGCTAATTCGAGTAGGGGATCCTCGGATATGTTTGACGATATTATGAAGTTTGATCAGGGGACTCAGATCAAAGGAGATCTTCACCTCCTTCACATTCATCTCTTCATTCTCTTCATCAATATCTTGAAACAGAAATGCTTGAACAGCAAGGTTGATGATATGGCCATTACATCGGATTCGATTATCTGATGATGACCAAGGGATTGCCATTTCGCTGAGAGTTGTTTCGAGGGCTTTACAAAGCTTATCGTTGGTAAAAGCATTGTCGCCGATGATTGCCCCGATTTTTGAAAAGATATTATAATCCTTCAAAACGCAGAGAAGAGCTTCGTGTTGTGTTATTGCATGGTGTGACAAAATAGATGGGAGGCCGATAAGTGCTTTCTGAAGGGTTTCCGATTCAAGATTAACGAAATGAGCACAAACTGCAAGGAACAGTTTCTGATTTGGGGAAGTCCAGACATCAAGAGAGAGGTGGATTGTTGAAAGGGATGATTGAAGCTTCTTCCGAACGATGTCCTTATTCGAAATCCAAGATTTTTTGATATGCTCTCTGATTGTCGAGTGTGATGCGATGACTTCGTTTGATACAGCTGGATTGAGGGCTTTGCAAACGGTGTGAAAGTATGGACTTTCAACAATCCGGAAAGAAAGGCTCTCAACAACAATAAGTGAAGCAACCGCTTGTGTGATAACCTCTTTATTTAACACTCGTTTCATAATTTGAGCGTCTAACTCAGAGGTCTGGTTGGTCACCATTGCTTTCTCGTATAGAGATTGCAATACAGTATTGCTGAGATCATCGACGTTCCTCGATTGGTTGGTAGTCGTGATTCCATGCTTGGATTTGAGGTGGTTCCGGAAGTTGGTTGTGTTTTGAGCACCCCATGATTCGCAATATTTGCAATAATACATGCGGTTTTTGCCTTTTCGCGCTGGCTCGTCGTCTTGTGGTAGCCGAGTATGCTCTATAACAGAGCTTGAGCCTCGGCCTGTATCTCTGGATATTGAAGAACCCTCAGAAATGAAAGACATCTTTGTGGATTAAAGGAATTGATGAATTGGTGAAGTTTTGGTGGTTGGGTTGCGTTGGGCAGCCAAACACTTGTTGGGTGGCAGGTTGTGCTTAGTCAGCTACGAATATTCGTCAATATCCGCGATATTCCGGATCGGAATTATCCGTTGACGAATAAGCGAATATTTTGATTCGTCGCCCACCCTGCTACTAGCGGCGGGCGTCATGTTGACAATTATTGCTATTCGTTCGACATAATAAACAATTCAGTCGCCCGAACGATCAGGCATACACTATCACCGAAACAAGCGGTGTCACTCCCAGGAACGTCAATGCTCTCACGTTACCCCCGCTAGTGCCCTCATCTTACAGCAAGCCGGCGACAAAGGCCAACTTTGTCGAACTCAGGGTGGGGCAGTGAGCGCATAAGGCAACGGGGGGCGTTTGCCCAGGGTATCTCAAGCTGACTGTACGGAAGGCTGGCTGTTGCTTCCATAAGACGGACTTGTACGGAGAAAGCTTCTCGAGACCACAACGCCTCTCAGCTGAAGATCATTGCTTGCAATCTTCTTGAAGCCCTTTACCAGGATAACCTTTTATGTTAGTAACCCATTGTTGTTACGAGCGGCTGAGCTCGACTGACGACGAAAACTCCGACATTGGCGATGTTGCTACGAAGGCGTCTGCCGCGTCCGCCATTATCGATGTGGCTGCCGCATCTAGCGGCAGAGTCTTGGCACACTACTTCGCGGCCATTTCCCGATCGCCCACCACCGTCGCAGCCTATCTCTAGAGTCTTCAGGGAGTTTGTTACTTAAATGGATGACGCCGCGACCATAATTAGCTCACATTCACAATGATATAACACATCTTTTTAAATGGGAATCAATTTGACGATATCCATATTCTAATTAATTATCTCCTAATAACTCAGCGCCCACCTGGGAATTGCGTTGGTCTAATGCTTCGTCAAAGAGCTAAGAGCACGAATAAAACCTCTTCATGTCGCTCGCGAAGGTAAATTATTATGCTAGATTGGACAACGGCGGCGTACTCCGTAACCGTGCCAGATGCGACGCATGAGCAGCACAACCACTCACTCACCCAGCGGTGCAACGACATTAATTGACCGTGATATATTTCTTCCAACTTTAGCAAAATCATTTATGAATGCTTTTCTACTGATACTAACTTTAAAGTTTAACGTTTACCAGCGGAGCTACTTCAACCTAAACTCTTGACTCGTGATTGGCAGTAATTTGGATTCAGCGAGGCGTTAGCCGAGGGTGGGTGGCTGTGACGCAGGTGTGCAGGCGCCTCATGACAAAAAGAGCGCCACCTCAACCTGATAGGGCACAAATGCTTCAATTATTGGGCGCGTGCCGCCTTGCTTCCTAAACCGAACGGAGCTAGAGGGGAAATAGCCACACCCTCAAAGGTGAAGTGTGCCTTTTCTCAGCTCAGGTGCCCACTACCCCCTTGATTTGACGCCTCCACTGACGACTCCACACCCTCGCCCACCACCATCTCGCTCCTGCCTCATTTAAGGCCAATTAGACAAGGAGGACTTTGCTGCGGCCCGTTCACGAATATCGGGAAAGCATGTCTCCTTCGTTCCGAGAGGGCAAAATTGAAGATGAATGCAGCTAAGGACGCAGGCTCTGTGCTCGGGAACGGGCCGTCGACTGCCTAGGCTGCCCGGGCAGATTTCCGCCCCCTTCCATGTCCCCTTTCAATTATGCCTTTCTTCACATCTACCGGTGTAGCCTGGGAGGCGGACCCACTCTGTTGCCTTTTTTCCTGCTCGGTCTAGTGACGCTGAAACCTGTGCCCAATTGTTATTTGGGCTGGACTTTTCCCGTCGCCCTGCCTAATGTTTCCACACATTTCTATGCTTACAGGCTGTGACGAGCAACACAGCGTCCCTTCCAAGGGTCCGCACATTAAACTCTCGTGGCTTCTTAGCGATGAGTTATGAATTCGCCCACCGAGGATGGACCATCAAACGGAACTGTCGACCGCTCACTGGAATCTGCACCCGTCCAACCGGAAATTCGAGGGTTCCAAGAACACATTGATCGCCAACTTGAGCAAATTCGAGAGTTCAAAGATCACATTGATAGCCAACTTGAGCAGCCTGGTCACGACGGCATCGACGGCTATCAGTCGATGATCGCTCCAGCGAAGAGGGATCCGCAAACTCATCCTTGCTCATGGTGTGCCCAGGTAAGGTCGTGAATCGTGTGGGGGGATGGTTCTCGTGATGAGAGGGCTTTGTGACACACGTTTCTCTTCAGCCTTGGGGAGCAGAGAAAGTAGATGTGAGAAATTGTGACTAGAATCGTGCTTGCTATGCTTGGTTAAGGAATAGAGAGGCCCTTGTGTCGTTGCCCGGGGCGGCTCCCGCGAGCTTTATACCCAAATCCCAGTTGCACAATGATAATCGGCGGCCGTCCATACGCGAACTCGACCCGGGGGGGGGGGGGACAGTCAACGGGCAGCTAGGGCTGCTTAGTGACCACGCGTTGGGATTACCAGCGCTCAGGGGAAACTAGGAGAGCCCTGGACACGTCAGCTGCAGCTCACCGCAGCTAAGGAACACAAACGACAATGAAAATTTGTGTGTGCCTAGATGTGTCTCCTCTAGGCAGGCTTTTAGTGCTAGATCTCGAGTTTGATGGTGCAATCGCGCAACATCAGGTGGAGGTTACCCTGAGTGACTGTCATCTAGTTCGTAACGTATAGAAAGTAACTGTTGAACCTACCTAGATAAGCCTGCGGCGAGTTGAACTGCCTTTTCTTCTTCTTTTACCTTCTAGCCAACGACTTGCCTTCGCTTCTCCCTGCTCCCCTTCTTATCGCTCTCTCCATCCGTCCTCTATTTCTAGTAGCTCGCGGATGCTATCACGGTAGGACTCAAAAGGATTCTCCACCTGGACGCTTGGAGTATTCGGATTTCTGACAGTTCCTGAAGGTTCCGCTGAGGCTTCTACATCCGCAACGGTATCCGAATCTCCCACCGCCCCTCCTGCCCCCACTGAATCAGCCGCGTTGCCCTGATAGCTTGGAGCAGCCTGCCTAGTCCCAGTCCTTCGGCGCCGTATCCAGCCCCATAGCCGTAGTTTCGGGAATTGCCATTGGCAGTAACCAATGAGCACAGCAATTACCGCTAGAACTATTACCACAACCGTAAGAACAAGGTCGCGGAGGCCCGAGTCATTGCCGCCTCCATATCCAGGGACCATCGGTAGCTCGCCCGTATAAATATCGATTCTCCTTGAGGGGTCCATGGCCATGTGCATGCTCTTCTGCCACGGGATGCCCGTGATCCGCAGACTTGTATTAGCACAGCACGATGCACCCCCTGGATCAACGCCGGCTACTTCTTTTGACGAAACGCAGTACTCGCTGTAGGTGTTGCATGCCCATAGGGTGATTTTGGGCCATCCGTCTGGGACATCGTGCCTGTCCCTGACAAAGTGCTGCGGGCATGGTAGGGGCCAGGAGGGATTGGTACAGCCCGCTAACGTCAGAACACGGTCTTTTTTAAGATCTGGACTGAAGCCCATGCATAGCCCGTTGTCTAAGCATAGATCGAGGCCGTAGCAGCAGTGGCTGACTTCCTGTTCTGGCTTGCACGAGAAGAATTTGTCGAAGCCTTTGTAACTGTAATCGTTGAGCGTGCCGTCGTAGCGATAACAAGGGCTCGATTCAAGTGTCGCTGCCTGTGTGGAGAACGTAAAGAAGCAAGCACACCAAAGAAATATGACGGCAGCAAGGGAGGGCATAGCGGTGTGCTTGTCTGTCTATGTACAGTTTTCAAGTGAATAAGGATGTGCAAATCCTCAGCTCAGAAAGGGACCAAGGGTTTCTATTATAAGGGGCAGGCGTGCAGGCCGCCCACAGCACCCTCCGCCCACCCCAAACCCTTCAAGAGGCTACCTACAGCAACGAGTGGCCTCCACAGCAGCTGTAGCGTCTAGGACGGCCCATTGTCTGCGACACAACTGCATACGCCATTCTCACTGCCTACCGCCACATTGTCGCATGGGAGGTGCGCCAATCCGTGGCATTTGTGTTCGGGCTACTTCGGCTTACCCGGACACCCAATCAGGGTGAGCTGAGGGCGAGGCTTTTTTAAAAGATGATACTGAACTAAGCCGGGGCCCTAGTTAAGCGCCCATTTTCAGGGCCCCTGAACACGTTAGCCGGGCGGGGTAAATAAGCCACCTTTTCTTCTAGAGGCCCGATTTTGACGATTCGGCATGCTTTGCCCTCCATGAAAACTACCAACTATGCCTGCGTCAGCCTTCTTCGCCCGGTATTCCTATTGGCCTTTCTCTCGATCAAAACAGTACACAATTTGGCTGTTTCAGGGATAAAAGCAGAGCCGTAATGGAGGATGCTATCAAGGAGGACAAGACAGTAATACCTATTGTTGGATTCACCAGGGTACCGGCACTGGACTCAACAGGGCGTGGCTGCACGCCGGAAACTGGTGGTTCAAGTGATGGATTGTAGATGTCTGTTCTTCTCTCTAGCTTCCTGGCAGTGCCAGGAAGCCCCCTTCTTATACTACTGTTGTGGTGGCGAAGTAGGTGGCGAAGTAGGTCGCGAAGTAGGCCGCGAAGTAGGCCGCGGAGTAGGCCGAATCTTTTGCCTGGCTCCTTCGAATCCTTTGCCTGGCCCCTTCGAGGCCCACATTCCAACAAATACGTTATGTATATAGTTATGGGAAAAGGTGGCGAAAATGGGACTCCGCTACCGAGCAAACGCGTCAATAGCGAGAGGGAGGGGCAGTATGTTGGGTTGAAGAAGAAGAAGAAGTATAGGGTTAATTAGGCGGGCCTAGTCCTGCCCAGTGTCACGGCAGGTGCCAGACAGGTGGTAAGAGCTGGCACACCCCGACCAGACATTCTGGTTTAGGATGTGGTTGTCACGACCAGGGCAAGGCATTGAGGTTAACTCAGTCCATTGGGTGCTATCGACGAAGATTCTAAACTGAGGAGGGAAAGAAGGAAAAGTCCGACAACGCGTCGCGTGCTCGCGAATAAGTTTTCATCTATCAGTGGGGTAGGTGGGGCCTCGAGGAGGCTTCTGATAGGCCCGGGGGTTCTGGGCGGCTCTGGCTGCTTGAGGGCCAGTTTGGTGGACGGGTCCTCACAGTGGTCAGTGCATAATGTAAGGAAAAGGACACCCCAAACACCAACTGCGCGCACAGGGTGCGCGCCCACCACTTGTCACCAACTGGCTAGAACACTGCCAGCTGGCATACGCTACGCCGTGGCGCCACGACCGCAGACTGATGCCCGGGCCGAACCCCTGAGCAGGTATATAAACAATGGCCCTCGCCCATCTTCCTTTGCGAGGGCCAGGTTGAAGTCTTACACCAATACAAGTCATTGCTCCCCTACCTTCTTGCCTGCATTGTGACCACCTTGATCAGGCGTACCTACCTTCTCTTACAATAACCTCACCAACTCAACCTATTTCTCTGCGCCCTGCGCAGCCTTTGGAACTTTCTTTTCTTTTTCTTTCCTTAGCTTTAGATTCTACGAATACAGCGACCATATTGCAGCCCTGTCTCAAATTAGTTGACTGTGCGGTGACAGGCGTAGGGCTAAGGATAGGGGTTTCCCCACGGGCAATTGCGCTAGCTGCGGCAACTCTGGTTACCGATTGTCACGACCAGGGCAAGGCATTGAGGTGAACTCAGTCCATTGGGTGCTATCGACGAAGATTCTAAACTGAGGAAGGAAAGAAGGAAAAGTCCAACAACGCGTCGCGTGCTCGCGAATAAGTTTTCATCTATCAGTGGGGTAGGTGTGGCCTCGAGGCGGTTTCTGATAGGCCCGGGGTTCTGGGCGGCTCTGGCTGCTTGAGGGCCAGTTTGGTGGACGGGTCCTCACACCGATGTGCTTCTCTGCCCAGAACAGTCAGTTTTAGCTAGTAAGGGCTATAGCTAGTAGGCTTACCTACCTCTCCTCTGAGCTGGTTACGGCAATCCAGGCAGTTTACGACGGGCCTACGAGGGCTACGGAGTGCGTAAAACTGGTCGACAGGCTTCTCGATACTATAGTTACGACACCGTTTGTATATAGCCCCTACTACATCCGCCATAGTAAATGCAAAACCCGTCTATAACAGGCAAAACAATACCACAGAAAGAGTAGTAACAGCGAAGATATTAAATAATTGGATGGTAGGTCGAGGGACTTTGGTCGTTTGGTCGTTATGGTAAAGTAGAAGTTCGAGGATGGAAATGAAGATTTCGTGGCGCAAAGTCAGAACGATTTGGTAGGACGCGCGAAAACAGCCGGCCCCACATGATACATCTCACTTGCGCACATACCACCCTGCCTGAGCCACCCACACCCCACACACTCACTGTATCACCAATCATTTAAATGCTTGCATCCTGGCTAAAAGCCATTGCACCCAGAATCTGACTTCAGATCTGGAATAGCCTTGCCGTTACGCACACGGCGGTATTGTTTTTACAGATTTCAGAGAACGTTAACATAGTGGCCCACTTTTCTTTGGCAGCTGACCAGTCCTACACGCGGATAAGGGATCTATAATTAGCTTATCAATTTTGTATGGGAATTTTGAAAAGTTTGAGCGTTATATTTTCCTTCGGACAGAATAACCCTAACCGACAGAATAACCCTAACCGACAGAATAACCCTAACCGACAGAATAACGCTAACCTTATACTATCAAATCCATCAAATCCATCAAATCAAATCGAGGTTTGGATTTGATCTGTTTGGTGCCTCAAAAACCGATTTGATTTGTTTGATTTGATTTGATTTGATGGATTTGTTTGATAGATTTGATTTGTTGCCAGCGCTGGTCTGACTCTGAGGGACAACGTCTAGCAAATGTCACATCTTGGCTCAGACACACGTGAGCAGGCACAGACTACGAGCTTATCAGCTGGGGAAGCCACTGCATGGTGCTAGGTCTTATTTTTACGAGCGTTAGAAGAGCACACCTGAAATGGGGTTCGCCTGCGATGATGTGATCCACAGTGACCACACGTAATACTGCTAAGATGCGAAAGAACAAACCTGAAACCCAACTCAGACACCGGTGCCAATAAACATAGAGTCAGCAATAAGCTGAGCTGAACCAACAAGCGTGGGCACGAGCTTAGGTAAATCCCGAAAACCCCCACACACCCACCACGATGCGTGACTAGCACAGATAGCAGATGAGTCAGGATAGGGACTTTGAAATTGTTTTTAGTTAAAAATAACTGAAACTAACACAGCGTGGGGGAGTGGGGGAGTGGGGGTGAAGCGCGAGGGGCGGGAGGCACTCCGAATCCGAATCTGAGAAGTGAGCATTGTCAGATAATAAATTAGGCTCTTTTGGACTGGCGTGTTCACAAGCATTGAGCTGCCTACACCAACAACAGCCTAGGGCTTATTACATGTCAGAAAGGGCCTTGGTATCTAGTTACTCATGTTACTGGGATGAAGGCCTTCCACAATTTCTTCTTCCTTCCTCGAAGCGACCCGTGGGTACGCTCGGCCAGTTTTCTGTTGCCGTGTACAAGCAAGGCCTGGCAAGTACTTAGGTTGCCTGCTTCCTCACTCCTTGTTTTGTTTTCATCGCAACGTCAATCGCATTCTCAACCCATTCATCATTCATTCCGTCCAGCTTCCGACCCTGCTTATATTTTGGCAACACAGATCGTCGCCGCAGCTCTCTACTCTAACACCGCAGTTACGCGTCACATGTGACGGGCTTAATGCCTTCGTCCTCTATTGTTGTTGCGGTTTTGTCCCGTTCCTATCGCGGCGAGCCGGCATGGCTTCGAATTTCTCACTTGCCCCTTTTTCTTTCCCATTTCTTCGCCTCTTTTTAGCAACAGAGCAGGGCGTGCTTTGATGAGGAAGAAGCTCTTACCTATAGCGTCCGGACCATCTTTTCTCCCTCCCGTCATTCTTTCCTGGTTGATAGGTGTAACAAGGGGTGGTCTGCCTGCCAGAGCTTAGGAGGAAAGATAGCAGGAAGGTCACGGCTTGTTGATCCTGAAGTGGCCCAAAGGGCGCTAACAGTTTCAATTCTTACGATAATCTTCTATGGCTTCGAAGGTCCGTTATGAAGGGAATCCTGTGCCTCGGTAGGCCGGCAGACCTTCTCCGGCCCTACTGTCACGTGTATTCGGCATCCCGGGATTGACTGGTTGCGAGGGCACCATCACCTGGATGCCAAGCGAGCCATAAGCGGCTACGCGCTTACCGCGGGAAACCTTCTAGCCATACATCTCGGAAAACGAGAAGATGTGGCGCCAATCAGGCCAGAAGGCCGATTGATTGGACTAGCATGGGATCCGTGGAAAGCCATGGAACCAGCAAGAAGGAAGGCAGGCAAAGACATAAGAAAGAAGATTAATCCAGCTCAGAATGAGAAGAAGGATTCCCTTTGTAACGGACCTTCGAAGCCATAGAAGATTATCGTAAGAATTGAGACTGTTAGCGCCCACAGGGCCACTCCAGGATCAACAAGCCGTGACCTACCTGCTATCTTTCCTCCTAAGCTCTGGCAGGCAGACCACCCCTTGTTACACCTACTGAGGTAGCTGGATCTTGGCATCCACTAGTGCAGACCATCACCTTCGCATATATAGTTCGCTGTGGCCCTGATAGCTAGACTTCCTTCCTGCAAGCAATCCAGTCATCACTTTCCTGCCCACAAATGCTTCTTCTTATTCTGAGCTGGATTAATCTTCCTTCTTATGTCTTTTGCCTGCCTTCCTTCCTTTGTATGGCTAGAAGGTTTCCCGCGGTAGGCGCGTGGCCGCATATGGCCCGCTCGGCCGCATCCGGTCAATCCTAGAATGCCGAATACGCGTGACGCATATGGCCCGCTCGGCCGCAACCGGTCAATCTTAGAATGCCGAATACGCGTGACAATAGGAAACAGATGAGACAGAGGTCTGCCAGTCGACAGGTATCCAGACCAACCATTCCGTCTTGGCCGAGACGCCGTGACATGATAGGATCAGAGGCTTTGAAATATGAAATCTTTACCTAACTGTCTAACCCGACGTCAATCCACCTTCCTAAGGAACTTGGCCAACCCCCCCAACAAGGCCCCCCCCAAGCTTAATTGTCCCCTTTGTATGCGATATCTCGCTTCAACAGAACAGCTAAATATGATTGATCCGACGAAGCCTATGGGGAACTGCCTGCATGTGGATGCACAGCAAAAACGAGGCCAGTCGCGGGTTGCTGAAAGTCTGTAACATTGTTTTGTTTTGACGAAACCCCCGTTCGGCCTGGGAGGTGTGAATTACGCGACACGCAGCAGAGGTCAAATATCGCCAAAATTAAGCACAAAAGTGCAACCCTCAATACCACCAGCTCCCTGATCTGGTCAACGAATATCAGCTTGAAGGTAAAAGGAGAATAAAGCATCCCTCCGGGTGTCTCGGCCTGCGAGTCTGGGGGGCAGATTTGAATCGATGAACAGAGCTGTTGATCAGATGACCGCAGACCGCTTCCCAGCGCTCGGGGACACAGCCTAAGGATTTCCCTTCCAAATGCTTGGGGAGGCACCCTGTCACGGCAACGGCACGTAGAAAGTGAGCAAAAGAGGGCTTGTATTAGGAAGAAGGAAGGAAGATGGGCATGGCCTAGATACCATACTTTGTATGATGAATTCGAGTGTTCGTCAACTTGGCTAAAGGTGGCTAGTAACTATGTTATGCATGCTAACGGGGGAGGTGCAGAGCAACATTGTTACACGTCCACTTATAGCATTTTTGTGCAACTCCCGAGATCCCACACGTTGCGATGGTTGGAGCAATATAAATGGTGGAGTGGGTGATCAAGCTTTTCCCAGTCAACCTCTTATCGGCATATTCGACCCATAGCCTCGATTAAGATCCACGGGCCGGCAGAACAACTGCCGGCCAATATGCAAGATGACACAGCGGTCCCAGGGGCTCCAGAGAGTGGAGATCCACGCCCCACCACACACAACTCGATTTCGCGTGCACCGAGAAAAACCTTTCCTAGGTCCACCACAACTCCCCTTAAAATCTCGCATTTCCACACCAACTTTCCACCAACCAAGCAACAGGCAATATGGCCGAGCGGTCTAAGTCGACACAATGGTGCAGTCCTTGCCGACCACGTCCACCGGACGTTCGCCCGTCCGATCTCCAGGGTACAGACAGAGCATTTCGATAGTATCTTGGCTCGAAGGGACTTCCCTATCGTTTTCGGTTGGTTTCGCTTTGAACCGTGAAAAGAGGATTTCTCTGTATCCCGTCGGCGTGAAACCCATCCGCTCAAACGTCTTTTTGCCTGCAGGCGTGGCGGTGAGGGCTAGGGGGTAGAGATGCACGTCGTGGTTAGCAACAGCGGGACACTACAGTGTGGGTTTCCTGGCCGCAAGACAAGGGTGGGAATGTGCTCAGGTAGAGGGAGATAAAAAGGAAAAGAGAAAGAGAAAGAGAAAGCGGGGAGAAAGTGAGAATAGACGGGCAAAGAAAACCACCAGCTCGGCTCACCTGAGAAGCCTGCGATGCCCCAGCGTCGTTCCCCCCTCCCTATGGCTGCAGCGCGGCGCGCAACCTGGTCGAGGGCAAATTCGGCGAAGCGCTTCTTTGTTGCACCCATGTCTGTCCCAACGGCAGACACGTGGCCCGCCTCTGGTAGGTGGGCGAACCTCTCGATGAGAAAGACGTGCAGGCCGACCTCTTCCCCACCCTCTTCTGCCGGATGTGGGCGGTTATCTCTGACTCCGACTCCGAGCCTGGCTGGAAACATGGTTTCGGCATCGATGTCGGCCTCTTTGATCCTGCCCACGAGCAGGTCTTCCCAATGCGCGCGGCGCAGCGGCAGCACGACGATGACTCCAGCAAGTGGCGGCTGCGGCGACCCGGATGTTTCGGGCTGATGGGCCGCGGGCGCTGAGAAACAAATCGAGAGTTCTGGCCAGGCCGAGACCCAGCTGCGAAAACTTGGAAGGAAAGCGCGGCGACGGGTACATGTCCTGGTCTGAGGTAAAAATGGCCCCGAGGGCAGAACCGCCGATCGGGCTTTGTGTCCAGGCCGTCTCCATTGTCTAGCCACAGTGCACCACCCTGCTCGTCCGGGATGGCAGTCCGCTCCAATTCGGTGAGAGAGAACTCGAAGAGAATCTAGAACATGGTGGAGGGGCGGGTCAGAGGAAATTGATGAAACCAATCATGAAACACGTCGGTATGCAGGTGATCGTGGCAGCTGGCTGCCCAGGTGGTGCCAGGGGTGGTTGTTGGTGTCTGGTTTCGAACGATCGCGTCTAGGACAAAAGTTTTACCATCGAGGTTTGAAGGGTTTAGAGGGATGCAGTGTAATAAATGTCAAATTGTATTTAATATCCGAGAAGCCCCAGAGCGGCAGCCTCGTTGTTCTTGCCAAGAATGGCGGCTATCACCAAGCGACCCAACTCCCCCAGACACGATTCCCCAGCACGGACCAGCACCGCCAACTCCTCATCGTCAATCGCTGGAAATTGACCCCTTCTTGCCACCCCTGCCAACAGCCACTTAAAGTCCGCAATGTCGCCATCCCCCCCACGATCGGCCACAGTCACGGCCCTCAACAACAACAAGTCAGACATGGACGCGACAGAACCGTCATGAAACGGTTCTGCCACGTGGATCCGTTCGATGCACCCGTTCCCAAGCTCGATGATGTTAACTCGGGCACGGAAGCCTTGCGGGGCATCGAACGCGATCTTGCCGTCTGACTCGATGCTAAAGTTGAGGGCGCCGGCCGTTGCTCCCTCCTAGATATCGATTAGCGCGCTGGGAGGCGCGGCAACATCCACGTCCTCCGTTTTCTAGACGGATGAGTGGGCAATGCTCGCTGCACTGCGAACTAGTACTAGCTGGTGGCGGAGCTCCGGTCGGACCAGGCGGGTGATCGAGGGGAAGCACTCGATGAGCGCTTCGCGCTGTGGTGCGGGGATGGCGACATTGGGCTTCGGCATATTGCAGAGGTTCGAGGCAAGAAGGTATTGAGCGAACTATAAGAAAGAACAATGTCAGTTCGAGGGGCATACAATGGCGACAACTCGGGAATTTAAATGTCGCCGGCGAGTATTGCAGCATGGCAAAGAGATACATACTTGATGAATGAGAGAGTTTGAGGCTCCTGGCTGGTGACTTAGCTGCCGTGCTGGGGACGTCTGGGCAAAGTTGGGCTGCTTGTACTTGATATCTACCAACGAGGCTGGTTAGTCACGGTACTGAACCCGAATGTTATCATTGGAAATCGAGATGGGACTGGGAGGTATTTACAGAGATTCCGAGTACAGCGATGATACATCTGCGATCAATGTTAGCATAAGTATTCCTCTTGCTTGCTGGGCCTGGACGTTGGGAATGCTGGTCTTACCAGTGAAAATGGTGGGTGCATTAAAGAGTGGAAATGGGAACGAACATGTCGGGGAAATGAGCCTTTTCTGTGTCCGAAGCTTTCCGCAGTCCGCACTATGGCGGGCAGCTGCTGTTTGCGCTCTTCATGCTCCCATCATTGCAGCTCCTGCCTTACACTGAGTTATTACCCTGGGAAGGAAGGATGAAGTGGGAACAAGCAAGCCCATTTTCCTGCTAGTCTCAATTGGGGTTTAGTCTATTATTCAGACTGATTCAGGCATTCCCGCCGGGCGTTCGCAACTACCTCTATAGTCACCCCCGACAACAATTTCTGGCCAAATCCGTATTAGGCTCGAAACCTGAGCAGGAGCTGAGGTGCACTGAGCATCGCCCTGAGCCGAGCTGAGTCACAGGGATGTTCCGGCTATAATTGCCACTTAAGGCAGCCCAACCAACACTCGCCTTCCCACCTTAATAATTTCATTTCAACCCCACTCAATCATTCAGCAGGCTTGACTTCAGCTCCTCCGCCCACCTTCTCCTCTCATGACCTGTACCTGACGACACCCAGCTACTTCGATTGACAGTGTGCGGCAACATGGAGGGTTTGCTACAGCATGGCACATGCCCAAGGCTTTGGGAAGTGGCATTTGATGCCCTGTCGGCCGAAGACAAGAAGGATCTCGAGTTTGCCCGCGCTGACGGTCAACTCCAACCCTCGGAAATTGTGCAAGTGGTGGAACAAAAGAAGCAGGATTGCGTCAAGAAGCAATGGGATCTCTACACTAACAAGGCGGGTGAAAAGGTGCCAGTCCGCGACGTGCTTGGCAAGATGGTCGAGTGGATCGACAAATTCAAGCAGGTGGGCGACATGGCGGTGCAGTTCGACCCCGGCCATGCGACGATCCCCTGGGCCGTGGTAAAGATGCTTCTCCAAGCGGCCGTAAACGATTTCCAGACGTTCGGCGCCATGGCCGAGAGCCGAGAGCGCATTTCGTGCATCATTGTCCGATATACCGATCTGGAGACCAGGGTCCTCATCCGGACCTCCGTTCTCACCAGCCACCTCTCTACCGCTCTTGTCAGGCTCTACAGCATCGGTAAGACCGCCAAGAGGATGGTCGAGGAGCGCCTCCTCCGCATCGAGAAGGACGAGGATGCTGTGTACAAGCTCGCGACCCTCGTGCAGAATGAGATCTCGGGCGTCAAGCTGGATGATATCCTCAGGGGCATCAAACAGAGCGTCGAGAGCTTTCACGCGTCCAACGAGGAACGATGCAAGCGCTCGACTGCAAATGCGCCGGCGGCCGCTTCGGCTCTCCCTTGCAAGCCGCCGTGGTCAGCGGCCAGGAGGACCTCGTCAGGCACCTGCTCAGCCGCGGCGTCAACGTCTCCCAGACGGGCGGACAGTACGGCGCAGCCATTGTCGCGGCGGCCGCGCAGGCGAGACCGAGCATCGTCCGAATGCTACTTGCGGCAGGCGCGGACCCAAAGGCGGCAGACGGAGGCGGCTAGACGGCGCTGCACCACGCCGCCCGACGCGGGGACCTCGAAACGGCGCGGTGCCTCACTGAGCGCGGGGCGGACATCAACGCGGCGGCGGCAGCAGCAGCGACAACGCAGCAAACGCCGATGGGGCTAGCATGCCTGCTAGGACACGGCCACGTTGTCACCTTCCTCGGCGCCCTCGGCGCAGAACTAGAGGATGCGACCGGCGTAGCAGCGATGCAGATTGCCATCCGGAACGGCGACAAGGAAATGGTCTCTGTCTTGCTCTCCAAGGGCATCTCCCCAAACGCTCCCTTCTCGGATGGCCGCAGGCCGTTCCACAAGATGTGGTGGACTCATGCATTTGGCGACCAAGGGGAGAAAGATGAGGCGCGGGCGGATGACAGGAACATTGATTCACAGGACTATTACGACGCCTTCCTAGAGGTTTCATCCGCCGTCAGAGAAAGCGAGATCAAGGACATGCCCTTAAGCTAGAGGACCGAAGGCTTGGGACCACCATTGCTCGCTTGATAGTGTTCAACTGCCCTCACCTTCACCACTTTGAAAGCGCACTGCTCTGTGCAAGCGCGCCGTCCCAGATGACGACTACGGCCCTCGCCCGCTTACCCCACAGCTCCATCGAAAATCGAAACGAGATCCAGTTCTTGTCCTTTGTACCAAGTTTTGGTTATAAGCCACTGAGAAATAGCTCTGTTCCAAGCCCATTTCCTGGATCGAATGGCCTGCACATTCTCCCGATTTGAACCCCCCATTGGGCACGCGTAGGCGTTAATGAAGCGTCACATTTGAAAGACCTATCCTGATCTCTAATCTCTGAAGAAGAACGAACTCAATATTGCAGATTTCAAGGAAAAACTCAAGGAGGCGTGGCGGGTAGTGGATCAAGGGTAGATGAATAGGTTGACCAAGGGCATGCATGCCCAAGCGCCTCGCAGCGGTGGGTCGGGCCAGGGTCTTAGGCCTAGGACTAGGAGATCCCAACATTAGTATCAGATTTGCTAGACGATTTGCGGGCGTTAAGATATCGTCGAGTGTATATATAGCTGTAACTGCATGTAGGGGGGCCGGGAATGTGGGGGATGGCCTAGGTTTTGTCTTTCATCAGGACGAGTTCCCGCAACTGCGTCGCACTTGTGCCATGAGGTGCCGAAACTTGTCCAGCTCCTGCTTTTGCGACGAGTTGTTTTGTCTTTGCTTTGGCGGCCCTTGAACAATGGCAACCCCTTCCGGCCAACAGAGGGATGACGAGTCGAAGCAGGCGACCATTATCGCAATAACCGCCGTCTTCGCATCCTTATCTACTGCTGTGGTCTCTCTCCGTCTGTACACGCGCTAGTTCGTACTTGGAGCTGTGGGCGCAGAGGACTGGACAGTTCGTGCTGCAGCGGTATGTTGTTTTCGTTTCTTCATTCTTGTCAAGTGCGCCGTCAATGGTGTCACTGATTCCTTTAGGTTCTGTTGATAGGAGCAGCCATAGGAACGATTCTTGGTATGCCGCATACCACCGCCAACACTGAAGGCAACCAGCTAAACAGGGACGGGCAGAGGGACATTGGGGTCTTGGCCGCCACATCTGGACTCTGAGTCCAGATGCCATCCATGAACAGCTCAAGGTACTCAGCTAGAGCTCCGCACGTCGCGCGTAATCCTAGGAGAAGGCCTACTAACGTCGGCACGTAGGCGCTTCTAGCCGTCATCCTTACCTACAACCTGGCTAGCAACGTTGTCAAAATATCGTTCCTGCTACAATTCCGCCGCATCTTCAGCAGTCTTTTGGTCAGGAGGATTTCCTTCTGGCTGATTATTCTCGTCATTATCTGGGCTCTTGTCCAGGTAGTCCTGCTTTCTGTGGCCTGTGTACCCTGGCCACCATTGTCCCCAATGTCGCCGACAAGTGCCTCTCTACCCTCCCTATCTGGTACTTCTCCTCGGCCGTCAACATCGTTAGCGATTTTATCGTCTTCCTCATCCCCTTGCCGTCGGTGTACCGCCTTAAACTACGCAAACAGCAAAAGATTATCGTCTAGTGCATATTCTGCCTCGGATTCTGTTCCCCACCACCCTTTTTTTTCCCCGTCCCTCGTATGTCTACGGAAAAAAATGCCGTCTGCTCTCGGCCCCACCTGGCCTGCTCTGCATCATCTCCATAGTCCGGATCTTTACTCTCCGCATTGCCGCCGTCACCGAAGACCCGACCTGGGACAACACCGAAGCAGCGTGCTGGTCAATTGTCGAGATTAGTTGTGCCATCTTGTGTGGTTCTATACCCACGCTGCGCTCCCTGCTCGGCAAGATGATGCCCGCCCTGGCCTCGACCGGCCGGCCTTCCGAGTACCAGATGCACGGCGTAGGCCACGATGGGGACAAGTCCGCAGCCTCAGCCGCCCACACCCATAGGAGCGAGACCGCCGCTGGCAGTACCTAGGCCCTTAAAAAGCTGTCCGCGACCGAGGACAACGACGCTGTGGAGTACGGACGCGAGATCAGCCGATTGAATTGCGTCACTACAGTTTACGGCAGCAGTGGCGGTCACAGTGATGCCGACACGGACCAGCGTGTCAAGAACAGGACTGCGAGCCGCGGTTTAGGAACGCGGAAAGAGATCTTAGTGACGACGGAGACGGTGGTCCGCGAGGGCGCCGGACTTGGGAGCAAAAAATAAACAGGCCGTTGTGGAGCGCCTCGATGGCTTGTGCGAGTCGGTCTTCTTTGGTAGGGTCTGAGGGGCGTGGGATTCGCTGGGCTTTGGCTTGACGGCGTTTAGGGGGTGCAGTTATCTGCCGTGCGCTCGCTGTACGCTGGTACGGCTACGGCGGGGGCTCCATTGGTGTGATGGTAGGTGTAGGTGTATGTGGAGACGGTCTCAGATCTGGATAAATTCCGAATCTTGCGTTTCTTGACGAAAGGTCGGTATCGTAACGCAAAAAAAAAGATATTGTTTAATTCCTCTGAAGCTGGTGATGCCAACGAGGTCTGAGATGGTCAAATTGGAGAAGGTTGTGATGTTGTTGTTGTTGTTTTGTTGCCGTGGTGTTTCTTTTCTTCTTTCCACTGGTTCGGTAGGGTACTAACAATTGGTCAGCGATACCCCTCTCACTAAGCCGCACCACATGCTGGCAAGCAGGTCCCGAAGTCGCCTGAAATCCTTTCTATCAGCGCTGCCGCGATCGAATCCCGCCGCCAGACCACCATTTGTGTGCTCAAGGCTAATAGAGCCACAGGACCACGGCACGGCGTATGGGATCGAGGCTTGCTTCCTCCTGGTGTTGACGACGCCGACAAGGTCTCACACTACTAGCCTAGATGATTATGGGTGACGGGCGGGCCTAGAGTCAGCCACAGTCTCTTGCGGCGAGCTGAGCTGCAATCGCCACCTCAAACCCGCATGCTCTGCTCACTGATTTGCTCATTGTTGTGATACAGCTGCGGAGTCTGCATATCATCCCGCGGTAAAGCTCGACGCCCTAGGTACTGTGGTAGACTCGATGGCCTTCTGTGCGACAGGTTCTGCAGGTTGAATCGATAGTCGCTCGAATGCCTTGGAGATACGAGGGTACTGAACCATCATATTCCGATGCAAAACGGCCCCGCGCGCAAAATTAAAGAAACTTTTTTTTTTGTTTTTGGTTGGACCCCAACAGATGAAGGTGATTCGTTCTTCTCAAGGGTCCCCTGGGTCTCGGTGTGACGAAGTTACTCCCAGGGTTTGAAGCTCAATCGCTGAAGGCGGCTTCAGCAGCAGTGCAACAGCGGTATATATCTGACAAGTCTTTCAAGCATAGGAGGTACCTCGCGGCTTAGTCTAAGAAGAGGGCCAAGCTACCTATCTCCCGACTACGGACCTTGGGAGCCTAGGTATCGAGGTCGGGAGCTATGGCCAGCATGACTGCAGACGACACAAGGCATTGCGACACTGCACACCCATGACACACTTCCACGCCGCCCATCGCAACCCCCCTTCTAGCCTCACTGACCGGTCAGACAGAAGCAATTGCAATCCTCTCGGCGATCGATATGGGCGTGTCCCGCTATTTCTCTCTCTGCCAAGCAGGCGCCATCAAAGCTGCACCGTGCCATGTCTGATTCGACGGCGACAGCACCAGTCGGGGAGGTGGGGTTGCAAATTATCACGGTTGCATGGCAGTGATGATGCTGCAGTGGCACCTTTGGCGGCGGGGGCTGGCTGAGATGTCCAGTTCGGACTGCGTTGGCGCTCCTTCCGCTCGCAGTTTATCACCTCTACTGATTTCCGGCCCGCTGCGTCACGAGTAACCTCATCGGTGCTTACTGCATTGGGTGGCAGCGCGTCGCTCAATCAGGACCCCCGACAGTGCCCTGGTGGCTGAGTGCGCGTGCCAAGATTAGAACCACCATCCATCCCCCATCACGGCGAGCTGGGCGTGATGCTCCGCAGTCGTGAGACAGGGCTGGATGCCGCACAGTTATCAGGACGGGCGCTGCCAGTCCTCGACGCACAAGAGCCAGATCTCCCTCTCCTTTACCCCCACAACATTGATTTTACCATCCTAGCCTCTTGTCATCTCACGACTCTCCAGCACCATCCCCTCGACTTTGCCATGCAGCTCCTTGGGCGGATATGGAAGGTCGTGACCTCCTTTCTCGGCATTGCGGGCCTGGAGAGCGCACTGAAGGCGGCCGACCAGATTCCTCTTGGAGTTCCCGCTTTCCCTGAGTATCATGCACCAACCCCTCTGCGTCCCCTCCCGGGCCCCATCTTCAAGCCGCCTGGCGGCATCCCCAGCGGCGATGGCTCCGACTTCCAGTGCGACTACTCCAAGATGGTTGGTTTCAAGGAGTGCTCGAGCTCCACCGACCGCTCATGCTGGCTCACGGACGGCACCACGACGTGGGATATAAACACTAACTACGAAGAGGTGGACGAAGCTGCCAGCACCCCGTCTATGCCCATCGGAGTAACACGTACCTACCAGCTCGTGGCCACCGACAGCCCCATCGTCGCCGACGGCCTCGACTTTCCCGAGGGCAAGGTCTTTGACGGAGGCAGTGGACCGCAGTATCCCGGCCCCTGGATCCAGGCCTGCTGGGGCGACACGATTGAGATCACCGTGATCAACAAGCTCAAGGGCAACGGCACTACCATCCACTGGCACGGGCTTCGTCAGTGGTTCACCATGCACATGGACGGCGTCAACGGGCTCACGCAGTGCCCCATCGCTCCCAGCTCCTCGTTTGTCTACCGGTTCAATGCCACCCAGTATGGGTCCTCGTGGTACCATTCGCACTACTCCATCCAGTATGCCGACGGCTTGGTTGGGCCGATTGTAGGTGGCGTTTCTGTTGATTTCCTGCGAGACGGCGGGGACCGACTGACATGTCCAAGAGCATCCACGGCCCGACCAGCGAGCCATATGATATTGCGCCCGATCTACCGCTGCTCTTGACAGACTGGGGTTAGTGTCTCCCTACCACCATATGTCAGGCACGCAGCTTCTGACCCCTCCTCACAGCTCACAACAGTGCGTTCAACGTGGTTTCCTCGGGTGTCATGGAGAACCCCAGCATCCTCCTCAATGGCCGGGGCAATGCCAGCGCCTGGGATAACACTGATCCCAAGGGCTTCGACCCCAGCAAGGTCCAAATCTACACACTCACCTTCCAACGCAACCAGACCAACCCCGAGCAGACACAGAAACATCTGATCCGGGTCATCAACACGTCCTTTGACACCACCTTCACCTTCACCATCGACGGCCACCAGATGACGGTGGTCGAGGTGGACTTTGTCCCCATCAACGGCTTCCCAGCAGATGGCCCTACCACGAGCATCACCGTTGGGATTGGCCAGCGTTACAACATCATCGTAGAGTCTCTGCCCCGGCCCAGCGGCGCGTCGGGAGACTCGGACAGCTACTGGATCCGGACCTACATCCCCCCGAACTGCACAAACCGCATGGTTCCTAGCGGCCCGGGATACATGCTGAACGGCATCCTGCGGTACAGCAACGAGAGCACAAGCGCTCCCACGTCCGACGCGTGGCCGGGTGTGGCGGCCAAGCCGTGTGTCAACGACCCGGTGACCTTTGAGCCGGTCGTCAAGTGGAATGTCGGGCCTCCCTCCAACAACGGCAGCATCGGAGAGACTAGGCAGGTCAACACGACGAAGACCACCGTCACAAACTTCACAGTTGGGCGTCTTGGCCTGTGGGCGGTGGACACGGATCGGTCCCAACCGCTACGGATCAACTTCTCGGATCCATCCTTTTTCAACCAGAACCAGAGCCGACCATGGAAGCCAGAAGAGGTGGTGCTAGTCGAGGACTGGAAGAACATTGGCCCGACAGACTGGATTTACATTACCATCACCAACTTCCAGGGCTTTGGGCCCCATCCGGTAAACAACTATGCCCCCTCACTGTGTGTGTGCTTGTGCTGATCAGCCCGCCGAGCAGATGCATCTCCACGGCCACGACTTTGCCATCCTCAACATCTCGTACACGCCGCCCATCCCTGGCCAGGACGTGATCCTCAACACCAACAACCCGCCGCGGCGGGACGTGGTGCTCGTTCCCACCGGGGGCTTCGTCGTCATTGCGTTCCGCGCCGACAACCCGGGTAACTGGCTCATGCACTGCCACATTGCACAGCACGCGGCCGAGGGCCTGGGCCTGCAGATTCTGGAGCGGCCCGAGAAGGCGCTGCAGATTTGGCCGCCGGGCCAGTCGCAGGCGCTCAACAACACGCAGAAACTGTGCGCGGCGTGGACGGCGTGGCAGAGCAACTGCGCCAACTGGGCGGTGCCCTGTGCCGATATCTTTCAGGACGATTCGGGGGTGTGAGGTTAGGAGATCGGCCGACGTGAACATAGATAGGTAGGTACCTTAGGCACAGCCACGCACCCTGCCGAGCCATGACACTTGAGCGTGTTATAACGGTTCCGATTCCCGTCCGTCCACGAGTGAGTACCCAAGCACTTCCGAGGCCTTTCCAAGCCTTCTTCGATGCAGTTGAGACCTCTACAGGCATTTTTTCGTCTCTTTTCCATGTCACTTGAGATGGAATCAAGGCCATTCCAAACTTTCTTCAATGCAAGTCAATGACATTTCCAAACTTCTAAAAGCTCAAAGGGTCTAATATGAATGATCTTGTAAGGGATGTAATTCCTTCCCATTAATCCGACGAAACAGTCAGCCTATCCTCTTCGGCGAGGTTGGACCTGCTGCGAACCCTAATCTCAAGAAACACTTAGCTTGGCCCCGCGCTTGTGGCGTTGTGAAAATTGCGTCCCCGTTGCCTAACCAGACGACGGTCTGCTGCTCCCCGGTAAACCCCGCGACCTTTGGCCATGTCCACCACACCGGCAACGGCGTCGGTACCGCCGACTCTCGACAGAACTAGCGGCATCGAGTATATCAACATAGCAGAGAGCAAGCGTGTGATGCGCCGAGTCGGTTGGCGAAACTGCATCGAGTTCATGTTGAAGAAGGAGCCGGCAAGCATAGCACATGCTGTTGACATTTTTCGGGTACCGGATTCATGCGGCAGGGTTGAGTCAACGCCGTCAGCCATAGCGCAGCTAGGAGCCATTGGTTAACCTCGTTCAAGAGGACGTGCCAGGGTTGACCGAGCGGATTCTGTATCCCCACTTCTAGGCCTAGACCTCTCTTTAAGCAACGACCGACATTCCCAGCCAGCAAAACACGCCCTCGCAAACACAGGCGCAAAGATAACAACCCCGATAATCTGCCCAAAAGCCCATTCGTTCCCCGCGTAACGCCCAGCCATGCTCTCAGCGACCTCTCGTTGGATCTGTCGTAGCCAAAAGATCTCCCACAACAGCGGGAGAGACAATACCAAGGGCACCAAGAACAACACAGCAGCCCCAACCTTGGCGGCGGTTCTACGAAGTCTCACCACGCCGCTCGTCATGTCTTGTTCCCAAGCAACAACAGTCCACAGACTCCTCAACACATCCCTCCCCTTTTTGGGTCATTAAAACCTCAGCCGAACAACAGCGTGACATCCATCGTCTTTGTCCTCGAACTAAGTTACATGCCGCTGTGATAGACGTCATTGTTCCTATTCCCAGACCATGGTGATTGACTGGAAGGAAGGGCGATAGAACGGGCATGGCAGCATATAATTCCTTGGACTAGCCTAGAATCCAAGGATAATCACGATCTCCCTTCTTCAAGCGAGAGTTGTAAAACAGGAGCTAGGCCTCAACAAACGAAGTATCCGACGTCTTTAAGTTTTTTTTACTGGAATAAGTCTCCCCCACAAAGATGATACTCTCTGTTGGGACTGTGTGGCTCCTCGCCTTCGCCTTGGTGGCCCCTGCGTACGCTAACACCTGCTCGGAGGTTGCCGAAAACACTTCGGTTGAGGTCTCTCATCCCATCGAGCCATCATGCATCAATGAACAGCAGGAGTATTAGTCTACCTCCTGTGCAGCCTTGAAACCTTCATGTATCATCTTCCCTAAAAACGCAGCCGAGGTGTCCGCCATCGTCTCCGTACTTAACGGCAACAACGAGAGCTTTGCCATCAACTCGGGCGGTCACAACCCAAACAACTACTGGTCAAGCGTCGCCGGCGGCCCGCTTATATCAACCCAGAAGCTTGACCAGGTTCTCCTAGATCCTACAACAGGAAGAGTGCGGGTCGGCCCCGGCCAGCGTCTCGACAGCACCGCTGCCGCGCTACAAGGAACCGGTTGGACATTTGTTGGCGGGTGTATTGGCAACACGGGCGTCGGAGGCCTCGTCCTCGGTGGAGGGCTCTCCTACATGTCGGCGCAGTACGGATGGGCAGCATCCTCAGTACTCGAATACGAGCTCGTGCTCGCCAACGGCACGATTCGCACTGTCACGGCAACCAACTACCCTGGTCTCTTCAAGTCCATCAAAGGTGGAGGCAACAACTTCGGCATTGTGGTCTCGTACCTCGTCCAAGCCTACCGCAAAGGTACCATTTACGGCGGCAATATCGTTTTCGTCCGCACCCCCGAGGTCGATGCGAAGATCCTCCAAACCGTCCGCGACTTTACTGAATACAACGTGGACGACAAAGCCGCCGTCATTGTGACAGCCGAGCGCACCAACGTCAACCTCGTTGACTCGTGGATCTTGTTTCTGTTCTACGACGGCGCCGTCCCTCCCGCCGGTACATTTGACAACTTCACCTCCATCGGCCCCATCCTCAACACGGCCCGCGAGCGCACGTATGCAGACCTCATGGCATTCAGCAACTGGGTCATCGTGCCCGCATCCATCGTGACCATTGCTACCGAGACAATCCCCCTGCCGTCTCCTGAAAACCTCGCTGCCGTCATGTACGACATGCACGCGCACTGGCGCAACGTATCCGGCACCACCCTCGCCGTCCCCGGGATCGTCGCTAGCATTGCTTGGCAGCCCTTTCCGAAGCGGATCGCTGCGGCCGCGCGCGAACGCAGCCCTGACCTCATTGACGCAGAACCCGACGCGCACAAGATCATCCTCGAGATTAACTACAGCTTTCTGCTCCCGGCCGACTATGGGAGGATGACGGAGACGATGCAGGCTACGTATGGGGGGATTAGAGACAGAGTGCTCGCACACCAGGAGGCGGGGAGATTGCCGCCAGCATATCTGCCATTGTTTATGAACTATGGGTTCTTCAAGCAAGACTATTTCGCGAGACTGAAGCCAGCGAGCAGGGCGCTTGCGCACAAGGTGGCGGGCGAGGTTGATCCTCAAGGTCTGTTTAGAGACAGGACGGGTGGGTGGAAGCCGTGACGGACCAGTCGAATGTCGGCTTAATTATTCTTCACTGATGAAGAAGACCCACATCCGTCGCACCTTGCCGTCATGGGAACAGACGTGTTCCCTCACCGGTCAGGACTCCATGGGAGGGCGCCCGGCGTTAGGGTGATTGTGGAACGGCCTTCTCTCCTTTTTGGCATCACGTCTTGGGAGTGGCGGTGAGCCTGGCTATGAGCGTGTTCCCTATCGATGTAGAGCTGCTAGAAAGAGACTTACACCCCCTCGCTAAGATTGCGTCTTTTGCCACTGAAACAAGGAGGCGGTAATCAGCGGAGCACACAGCAAGCAATGAAACGTCAAAATTTCATATAGAGAGAAGAAGTAGTACTGTAGTACAGAGGGTGACAAGGAGTGTCGAGTTAGGGTGGGCTAGCAGCAAGTTAGAGTGTCTTGGAGATGGATTATGCTATTTATAGCGCCTTTCTCGTCTCTATAGAACCAAGCTTTTTGTCAACTAGCTAGTGATCAAAGCACGAAACTACAAGATTAATCCCTATTGCCGGGTTATTACCTGACTACAAAGCTTTAAAAGAAAGCTATCAACTAAGCCGCCCGTAACTCCAGTGTCCTTGTTGCCGCCCACCAAGTCTTGCCCCTGTCATCTAGAATTGCAGAACTCTCATAGTCTTTTTCCTGCTGCATGATTGTTAGTATTTTTATTTTATTTTTATTTTTATTTTTTTTCTGTGCAAGCTTAATGGGGTCTTCACACTCACATAGGGATCCTGAGCGGCCGTTTCTCCCCAGTATGGCCGTTCACCTTACCACCATCATTTGCTTCATCAGCGGCAATCTCCTCCGACTCGGCAACCAAGCGCTCTTTGGCCCAAGGGAATCGGATCACCACCTTGATCTCCTGTTTCTTGTCAAACCGTTCATACGCCTTGGGCGCATCTTCAATCCCAACTTGAGACGTCACCACCCAGTCCAGCCTAGCCCTCCCACTCTTGACTAGCTCAAACACCTTGGGAAGAACTTCGTAAAGCGCTACGCCAACCGACCCGGACCCTATGCTAAGATTCTTGACCCACATGTCCGGTATGGATACCAGCAGCTCCTTGTCCATGGTATCAGCCAGGGGCGTACCCGCAGACCTGGCGGTCACGGCATATACGCCCAGGATCCCAATCCCGCCATTGAACTTGGTAACCTTGATGGCCTCCTGAATCACATAATTCTGCTGGGGCTTCAGCCGATGATTCACGCACTCCTGGCCAATGCAATCAACTGTCCGGTTGACGCCATTCGGCTCGCGGCGCAAGATCTGCTCGCTCGCGGTGCCGGCTTCGGCGTTTGTAAAGTCAATCGGAATTGCTCCGATACTGGCCGCCTTGTCAAGCCGGTCCCGGACGTGGTCGACGGCGTACACTCTCGACGCGCCGCGCAAGACGGCCGCGTACGCGCACATTAGTCCAACAGGACCCGCGCCAAAGACGGCCACCGTGTCGCCCGGCTCAAACCGCGCAAAGTCCAGACCCGTCCACCCGGTGACGAAAATATCCGTCAAGAAAAGCCAGTCCAGGTCCGATGAGAAGTCGTCGGGGATGGCCACCAGTGAGTCGTCGGCAAACGGAACCCGGAGGTACTCGGCCTGCGTCCCGCCAAGCCCGCCGCCAACCTCAGGCCCTTGCCCGTAAAAGCCCCCCTGGTCCTGCTGCGTCTCCTCGACGGAGAAGAAGCCGGCGTCGGTGCCTCCAGGGACCAATACCCGGTCGCCCACGCGAAAATGCTCCGTGGCGCTCCCCACTTCGACGACGATCCCGACACCTTCGTGGCCCATCTGCCAGGGTGGCGTCGAGCTGCCCAAGACGCCGTGGTAAGTGTGCAGCTCGGAGCCGCAGATGGCGGCTGAAGTGATGCGGATGATGGCGTCTTCGGGCTGGAGGATGGTGGGTCGGGGCACGTCGCGGACGGCCATTTCATAAGGTTTGCCTTCCCAGACAACGGCGCGCATGGTTTTGCTTTTGTTGGTGGTGTTGGAGGAAGGAGAAGGGCTGTTTCCGGGCTTGTTGGTCGACGGTACGGTTGCCATTGGGTCTTGAGCTTTGGGGTTTTTTCTTGCTGTCCTTGTCTTGATAGATGCTAATAATAGGGGATATAGCCTTGTAGGAGTTAGGGACCTTGATGTGCCAAGTTATATGTCTGATGGTGGGAATGTGTGAAGTCCGGCGTTGGTGTGTCGAGCAGCAAAGGGATCTGAAGCGGCTCTCTTGTCGTTTCTTATATATATCTCCTATAAGGATGGCATGTGTAGCACTGGATCGGTTTATCTCGGCTCACCATTGCTATGGTTAGTTCCCAACCTCTTTGGCCCTGACATACTCATGATTTTTCTAAGGCTATGGGTAGGATCGTGGCTAAGTGGATGACGTGAGGCGCACGTGGTCAGCAATACTACCGAATCTCACTGAGAGACCGGGGCATCGGAAGTTCCGGGTCGGAGGTAGATTCCCTCAAAAAATCCGAGGGCGAGAACTGGCCAATGAGGCGTAGAGTTTGCGCCATAATCACTCTGAGGGTTGACTTCGTTCGTCTTGTTTTAGAGGCATTAGTCTCGTACGATGAGCGCTTGCTTTGGAAGACGGTGTTCGCAGGCCTCGGCTAATGCCTCGTCTATGCGAACATGAGCCATTTACTAGAATGACCTAAGACAGTCAATTGGTTCCCGTGGGTTGCCCCTTTTTCCCTATGCCATTCGTGTGGTCATTGCTCTCGTCATTACACCACCAGGTGCGCCTACGTAACTAGGCCCAATTTGGCCTCAGGCTGCCAAGCGATGATCTACGCCAACACAGGCCTAGTGCTGACAGGCGTAGAAAGACGTGTTTTCCACAGGAAGAAGAGAGGTCTTTTGAAAAGGCTTCTACGCACACACACAAGAACAATTGAAGGCTTGGTTTCTGATCTATTTTGACTGCGCTGTGCGTAACAGTCGGCGGCAATGCACAGTGCGGGGACTCCACTCTCTTCCAACCTACAACTTGCTTGATTAGCTCTTTGTTGTTTTAGAACCAGCATGCCGAAGGATTCGCACCCCTGTAAGCATGCGTATGCTAGACACACTTTTTGACGGGGCAGTCAACCAACAAGTCTTCTAGTCCTTGACTGCGCAGTTGACTTGCAAGCCTTCTGGTCCAGTCAAGGACTGGAAGGCTTGCACTCGAGGAAAGCCCTATTGGGAAAGGCCTTGATACCTTCCCCGCCTCGTTCGACGCCATCTGTGAAGGCGCAAGTATATCCCGCCATTTTAGACGCGCCCGAGCGACTCAGCCAAGAGGGTAAGATGGCAATGAGCTTCGTCCCGAGATGACCCTGACCCTTTCATGCGTCTCGCCTTTGGGTCAGCGAAATCAAGAGCTGGAGCTGGAGCGTGACTTTTATCAAAAAGACCGGAACCGAGCTTGTTTCACAAACACCAGGCATTAGCGTACCTACTACCCCAAGGCTCGCAAACAGGTTCATTCGCAGTCACATCCTCAGGCCCATCATCACCTGCTCCTCAGTTGCCTGAGTAGCCACACCTTGTGGCCGGGACGATTTCAAGTCTATGGAAGAACAAGGCTAGAAGGTACCTAGGCGATCAGATTCCGCCAATCCGGCTAAGCCCCGGTGAGGAGATGCCGAGATTTACTGCACAGAAGTGGGTGGCCAAAAGAATCTTGGGGCTGGTGGGGGAGTCCGTGTCTTTCAATAACCTACTGCGGTGTGGTGCATAAATTTTGGGCTTTGATGCGCGTACCTACCTACTTTTTCATACCACCCACCTGTGAGTCCTTAGCAACTGCTGGCAACTGAGATACACAGAGCCTAATTTAAGCCTGTAAAATCCTGAATTACCATCCGGCCGCCCATGCGCATGCCATGCAGCCCGGCTCAACGGCTCAACGGCGTTGAAGCCGTCAAAACCTTCAAAAGCCCTGAAAACGCGTTTACCGTGGTGTTTTCCATTTTGACGATTTCTTCGTTGCTGACTCAGCCTCGAAATAAAGGCAACTTGCAAATAGCAACTCTGAGGCCCGGATTTATACGTAAATTAGCCAAATGTCATGGCATACGCCCAGCTACCCGAGTCATGTATTGAATCCTGATTTGTTGACATCGTGATGTAATTCCTTGGTGTTGAGTGGAGTGTATCAATCTAAGCAATCTAATCTAATGACAACCTAGTTTGTTGATATGGTGATGCAATTCCTTGGTGTCGAGACCTAGAAAAAGTCCTCCTTTCGAGGAAAAGGGTCATCTTCATCCCCGGAGTTGAAGTCATCCTCTTCAGCATTTAATGCCTCCCAAGAGCGCCTGCGTTGAGCCCTGCGTCCCTACCACTCCGTTACCTCTATGTTGTAGAGGTGGGGATTAGGAACCGGAGTCTCAGTTACGGTCTTCTGGCTCCCTTTCGTTGTCTTTCTGTGATGCGTAATGGTAGGTTGACGATGTGTTCTTTGGCACAAGAAAGCACTGCATATGTATGTAAAGACCTGCAAAGGCCAACTGGCTACTACAACCTTAAAACACCAACTGCGCGTAAAAAAGCCCTGCATAGAAAGTGTAAATAGTGGCATTTTGACTTTACCGAGCTTCATTTGACTTCCTCAATGCCCGGTAGGGCGTTGGGTGGCTGCCATGGAATACGGCATTTTACAGTACAAAAAGCCGACCCTGAGTTGGCAGTTGCCAAGGACCCACAGGTGGGTGGTATGAAAAAGTAGGTGGTACGCGCATCAAAGCCCTAAGTTTTACCCCCTGCCCGGGTACCAGGGATTGGCCCCTCAGACGCCCCTGCACAACAGCCCACAAAGCCCACACAGCCAAAATCGCCAAAATGTCTCGTGGTGAAGAGTGGGATCCTACATGCATCGTTGAGCGTCATCAACGCAAGAAAGGCTGGAAATTTTCGGGTTGTTTTTCAGGGTTAGGAAAGGGCCCGGGTCTTTTCTGAGAAAAGGACTGGGGAACAATAACGGGCGAGTCATATAGAGAATGAGCTACCTGACGATTTTCATTGTTGGAATCTATGCAGGCTAGGTGCGAGGCGGTGATAGCTGCCAACGGTATGCACACAATTTTCTGGGACTGCGCATTGACCTGTCCCCTGCCCTGACTGTACCCGGCCGGGTAGGAGGGAAAATATACCCCTCATTACCATGAAGATCACTATAGTGCGAATAGTGCGAAACACTGTGTGACTTTCAGACTAATTGAACCATCCTGTTGGATTTCTGAGGTCCTGGCCAAGCCCGGAATTCGCCGGCAGTCTGACCTGCAGACGCATGCAAGACAACCTTTTGGGCCTAGGCCAGGAAAACCCCTCTTTTTCAGGGTAAAATGGGGTCCTCAGCTAGAAGGTCCCCAGGACTTACCTTCATAGTGAACACAATCAGAACGTTGCATTTTGAACCGATTTTGGACACACTTTGGTGCAAGCTTCCCAACACATCCCGCCAGCGTTTTTGAAATAAGTCGCCGGACCCTTCACGAGTTCGCATATCCAGGTCGCGTTTTACCAAAACCAAAGACCAAAGACCGAGCCCGCTATATCCACCATGGTTGGGATTAGCGAGGAATTCCTCCAGTCACATCATTTACCAGCCAAATCCTTAGAGCAGCTGCGGACATTAGACATATTTAATATTCTTTCGCTCGACCCTCGCACCAAACTTCCTTACCCCGGCTGTTCCCAGCCCTTACCCACGCCAAACCAGACACTACTAAGCCCAAGGACCCTTAAAAAGTTTCTAGATGCCCGGCTCGAGCATCTAATTCCCATTTGTCATGAGAACTCAAGTTGCTCAGTCCCAGGAGCTCCTGATTACCCAACGCTTATCTTGGTACAGAATTATCTGTTTCCATCTGGACTACCGTCATTCAAACTCGACGCCTGGAACGACATCTGCTCCCGGGGTCTAGACGGCCATGGGCGAGCTTGGGTATGTTGTGACGCTATTTTGAGCGACTCCCAAGGCTTTCCGTCGAGGAAAAAGCCAGCAACCGAAGAAAGCGAACCAGGTGGCCGCGTGGGGGGCCAGCAAAAATGCCCATATTGCGACTTCGAGGACTAGGACGAGCCTTTGCGACGGCATTTATCCGGCACTCACCTCCTTAACCCATGCGACGACTGCACTCCAGTGCTCTCGCTATCCCACGTCCGGCGGTCGCACCGCGGCAGGCTCTGCCCTTGTGGGAAAACGGTGTGCGAGGAGTCGGCTCTATGGCATCTCGTCACACACTTCTTTCTTCCCTGTGAGGCAGCTTGCCCAAGCATCCTTAGCAGTGACTGGAGCTCGCATTTGGAAGCGTGCCACCCATGGTCAAAATGTCGGTTATCCAAATGCGAGGCACTCTTCTTTACGCAGATAGGTGTCTGGAGGCATCTCACGGCCGACCACGGCTTCCGGAAGTGCCTAGACTGTTGTGTGGCTTGCTTCGACGGTACTTGTGATACCCATAATAGGGAATCCGCATGGCAGCACGTTCTCGAACAACACGTTTGGGCCGAGTGCCCTAATGCTTCATGCGGTCAACTCATGCAAGAAAACATTTTACCCGCTCATCTTGCTAGCCATGGTATCGAGATCTGCCCGATCCCAACGTGCCGTGCGGAAATGGCTGTGGGTGACCTCTCTTCCCATTTTGCGAGACAGCACGGCGACACCGAGGCTTGCCCAGAGATTGGGTGCATTGAGGAGCTTCAAACCGAATCTCAACTCCACCGACACCTTGTCGAATTCCATAGCCTAGTTAGGTGCCCTTTTTGCGGCGAGCTATCCGAGTCAGATACGTGGATGCAACATATTACTACTTGCTCCGCTTGCCCAGAAAGGCTGCGCCCAGACCGAACGTCTAGAGAGGGCAACACCCCTACATCTACAGCTAGAGCCGGAACAAACCCCGGTGCTAGTCCGATCTCGGGATCCGACCCCCAGGAGTTGGCTACCACCTTGTACCAACAACTACAGAGTACCGAGAATCTAGAAGCTGCCAACACACACAAACAACTTTGCGCCGCTCTCGGTCTACAGCTAAACCCTCGTTCGCAAAAGCGGACAGCCTCGCCAGCGCCAGGGCCAAGAAACCAAAAAATAAGGTTACGGACCTTATGATTGCTTTGGCCAAAGTAAACATCAGCTCCCCGGCCCGCAGGGCACGTCATCAGCTATTCAGGAAAGTCAGGAAGGCATTCACCCTCAGGGACTTTGAGCTGGCTAAGCTTAGGCACGAAAATGAGGCTCTGAAAGCTGAGTTTGAGAACAAAAAGGGAACCAAGAGGAAGAAGGTGGAATTGAGCCCAAATTCGAAGTTTGCCTCAATAAAAGACATTCGGCGCGCGCAGAGGGCAGTGGGGCGCAATATTGACAGCTCTGACGAATCAGAAAGCTCGGAAGAAGAAGAAGAAGACAAAAGTTGTATAGAGATTAGTTGATTTGGCGATATTTTACATGCTTCTATGTAGGGTGTCATTCATGTAAGTGGGCGGCTCAGCACGGGCCAAAAGTGGGCTGGGCCAAAATAGGCATGGTCAACTTAGCCTCGCCGAGGAGTTCTCGCCCACAAATGGCCAAATAACCCACTGAACTTGTCCCCTTGCTCCCCTGGAATGGGAGGTTCGCACTATTGTCCACCCACACAGTAAGTCCGTTAGTGAGCCAAGGTTAAATAAAGTTGGCTCATGGTTTATCCAAGGTTTATCGTGGATAATTAAGGTTGAATATTAGGGCACTATATCGGACGCTACCATTAGGCACGCTTAGTTTACGCAAATGGCCAAGGAGCTAGCGGAGAGTAGCGTATTAGGGTTTGGACGATAATGCGTTGGTCACGCGTGAGGTGCTTCCTCGACGGCGTACAGGGCGTTGTTGAAGAAGAAGAAGGTGAGATTTGCTGACTTGGTTGTGTTAAAAGGGGGTCTTCAGGTTCCAACAGGGACTCAGGGGGCGCCTGCCAAGCCTGTAACTGGCTGTCAGTCACCTGCCTGGCAGGGGATTCAGGTGCCTGCCAGGCCTGTAACGGGCTATTAGACTGGCTGGCAGTTGACGCAGTTGACGTAGTTGATTGACTGGCCATTGTGGTTTTTTGGGCGGATTTGGCGTTTTTGGGTGGATTTGGTGGATTCGGTGGATTCGGCTGTGTTGACTTTGCTTGTGGTTGACTTGGTGGATTGAAATGGTGGATTTGGTGGATTGAACGGGTGGAATATTTTGAGATTTTTGAATTGAGATACCAATGTGCTAGAAACTACTAGAAATGGTACTTCTGCTTCGAAAGTTGCGTATGTAGCTAGCAAGCTGAAAATCCCCTGCCCAGGCCCCTGTCAAAGCCCCCTGTAAGTCAATGCACTAAGATTTCAAACCCCGGCGGAGGTGTAGAAGGAGGTGCCATGTCTAAATCCACTATGCCAGTTTGAGTTTCGTGGTCGACGCCACTGTGTTGATTGACGACCCAATATGGACACGGTGTTGTGCACTGTTTAGCAGACTGTATACTTTCCGTTGCTTGTCAATTTGAGATCTGTGCGGGGAACAGGCTGGCATGTGAAACATTTCTCTCATGCACCTCGCACGCGTCTCTCGAGGCGTCTCGTATATGTCATTGTAAGGGCTAGACCGTGTCCCCCAGCAGTTGAAGGCGCCAGGGAGAGCTCGGCAATGCACTTCGTAAAAGTTGGGGGTTTGCTTGAACATCATTCACCAATACCCAATCCAAGAGTAAGGCTAACGAGAATAAAATGGCGCATGTCGGCAGATGCACGATTTTGAGGTTGACCGCATGATTCGCTAGGGGCCAAAAAGCAACATCCAACCCCAAAATCGAGGCTAACGACATGAAAGTGATATCCAATCGGATGATGATGACGCCGGAATGCCCTGCAGTTCTGGCACACGAGATTTTAGGTTCCCGCTGCCGTTGGATTAGGTCCTTACGGCACCACCTTGACGGCTAGATAGTTATGCTAAACGAGCTGGCGTATTAGTATCGAGGAATAGGAAAAACGTCTCCAAGAAAGCCTGGATCCCTCATCTCGTCAGCATTTCTCTCTATGGGCAAAGAAGGCCACCAAAATGGGTCAATCAGCGGAAGATCCGACGCACAGCACCTACGTTTGCGGTGCTTGCGGCAGCACAGTTGAAGATGGCGTCACGATCACACCGAACGCCGATTCGGACAGCGGCGGCTCTGAGGTGCCTCTGGTAACCCGAGACATCCGGTTCGACCACACGAGAGTCATCTCGATGGCATTTTCCGTGGGTGCCGACCTTGTCGCCATTAGCACGGTTATTAGCAAGATTGTAGTGTAGACGAATGAGGACAGACCCTTTGTACAGTGGTTTAGACAACCGCATACGAAGGAAGTTTCAACCCTCGCCTTTTCTCTAGATGGTAGTTTTCTGGTCTCCGCATCGTTAGACGGCACAATGAAGCGATTCAAACCGGAGATAGGGGATGACGACCTAGTCGAGCTCTGGGCTCGATCTAGCCTAACGACGATAGCGTTTGTAGCCAATGGTAAGCGATTTGCGGCGGGGGGTACCAGCGGCGAATTGACGGTCTGGGACACGGTGAAGAACAGATCTAGCGTGAATAAGCTAGAACACGGTATCAGTTGCATGGCAGTCTCATCATCGGCCAAGTTGGTAGCTGTCGGCCAGCTCAACAGGACGGTGACGATACTCGATGTTTCCCAGAGCGACATGGTACCGCTGCAGACCTTTGGGTATGACATGGGTATACCAATATCCCTGGTATATTCACCACAAGAAGATCTGCTAGCATCGAGTTCTGGAGCTGGTGTCACTTTCTTGGATATCGGAGTGCAGCAATCGCCTACTTACCTCCAGCCGATGGCAAAGGACTACTACTATGGATATCCTTCCCCTGATTGCCTTTCTTACGCATACTGGAAAGACTCGCAATTGGAGTTGTTCCTAGGCTCAAGAAGAGCCAACACTACGACCATTTCATTGGGAGGGACCGGCGTTTGGGCTTTTTCTCCTGATAGCTCCGCTGTGGCTTTCTCCAAGCCGGATGGCAATATCACGCGGTGGAGCATTACAGAAAACAAAGAGCTCGAATCGCTATCCGGTCACTCCGGATCCGTCCAGCTTCTGGCCTTCTCTACCGAGAGTAGCAGACCATTTGCTGCCGTAACGGCCATCGATAAGAACTACTCGAAGAAGTATAGCCTTTTTATCTGGAGCCTACAGCCTAAGAAACCGCTGAGGATTGAACTGCCGGGATTGAGTGGTGCACTAGTCTTCTCTCCAAGCACACGGATCATCGCCACTTCGCACGAGTCAGGCTTGAAGATCCTTTGGAACTGCGACACCGGGAAAGAATTGTCTAGGCTGCATACCGCAGGGAACAATTCCATGATATTCTCTCCAGACAGTGGTCGCCTTGCGACCCTGGAGCCTCGCGTCCATGTCTGGGACACACACACCGGCTCTCTGCTGCAAATCCTAGACGACGCCGCATCACATCCAAAGGGAGTGAGTTCGGTCGCATTTTCTGCGGGTGGACAGGTTATTGCGACGATAGGGAATGAGTCTCCGGGTATACAGCTGTGGGACGTTCTCACTGGAACCTGCGTCCACACCATCCACACCGCAGGCCCAGTCTCGGGCATCGGCTTTTCAGTAGATGACGACCTCTCTGCTTGGTCGGTGGGGAACGCGTGGGATAAGGCGACAACACGCATGGACTGGAAGTGGAAGATGCCTCGCGCCACAATCCGGCAGGCCTCGGCAGTGGCAGTGACTCGGCACCAGTCTACATTGCCGAGTTCTCTGCCAGCGGCGAATACCTGGCCACCGCCTCCAGCCACCAGGGGCACGGAGACATTATTATTCGCAATTCTTCTTCTGGAAAGCAGGAAAAAAGAATCGCGAGCACTCCGGCCTTGCCTCTAGCAATTGGATTCTCGTCGGATAACAAGACGCTCATGATTGGACTCGCCAATGGGAGCGTGGCACTGGCGGACCTTGGTACTGAAGGATCTTAGCATCCTGAGATTTGAGAATGCCGCCGCCCCCTACGTTTTCCTTGAAAAATCCTCGTTCTCCTGTAACTAGGCAGTCAAATTAGACATGTCTTCTCTAAAATTACAACTAGCCCAATTACGGTCATATTATAGCTCTCTCTAGACTTCATCTTCTGCAAGACCTATGATAGAAGACTGGTTCACTAGTGGGCGAAACCAGATTGCAATCGCACTTTCAAAAGCCAGGCCCGATACCGGCGGCAAACGTGGTTGGCGGCAACTTGGGCGTGTATAATCTGCATGCTCAGATAATGAACAATCCGTTTATTCCTGCGCTATAGTTTCGAAATAGACAAGAACTGCGTCGTACGCGCCAAGCCGTGGTACTCAACTCTGCTCAGGTGGCCACGTCGTTGGCTTGGGAAGCCTCTGCTCGATGATCCACATCACCAGCTTCAACATGGCCCTCAAGGATACGCTAATTCTACGAGCTGCGACGGCCCCAAGCAACACCTTGGGGTTCTTGGCGAAGACTGCTACGAGCTTAGCTGCGTCGCCACTCAGCTGGAATATCAGATCTATGACTTCGCCTGCGGAGCGGAGCGGGGCGATCTTGTCCTTGGGATCGGTCTCAGTGGTGTATTCATGGGTGATGACGATCACCTTGGGTCAGATGCAGCAGGCGTTGGCGAACACGCACCAGACCGCGGACGCCTTATCGATAAAATCGGGGCTGATCTTCTTGGCGATGAATTTGAAGATGCTCACGAGCCTTCCCACCGCATCGAAACCCCAGATCTGGACAGCAGGGGTTGTGGGCCATGATTAGCTACTGAAGGCAACCTCCAATGCTGCGAAGAGAGGGTAGGGAGGATGAGTGAGAGGAGTGGATAAATTCAAGTGTACTCACAAACCAGCGCAGATAATCCATCCTGTCGTGACGGTTTGTGGGAAGCCTCAGGAATATTTCGATCAGATCCAGCATGCTACCATCGAGCATTTCCTGGACTTTATTCAACACTTGGTTGTGCAGGCTGGGCGACTGGAGGGCGAAAGATGGACTGATGACGACGCGCTTGCCCGGGCTCGCCGTACTTGTCCCTGAGCCCTGAGCGTAGCGGAGAGCCGTGTTGATCGTCCAGAGCTGTAGTGCCACGAACTGAACCACGACAACAGCTGCTGGTGCAAACTGGTTCATATCGGCCCCCAGAGTTGGATCTTCAGAGATATCAGCCCCGTCGATGTATTTGGCAAGTGTATTCTTCGTTAGCCTGCCAGCCAAGAGCGGTGGGGCTTTCCCCATGACGAGCTTGTAGATGACGGTGGTCGGGATGGCCAGGATTAAGGCGAAGAAGTTGAGCAGCGTGAGGGGGCGATCGCCCGAGATGAATTTCCACAGCGCCGTGATGACGGGGAATTCCATCTCGGTGTTGGCCAACTGCCTGAACAGGCCGAAAATACGGCTGACAGTTTTCAGAACAGCATTAACGACATTCTCAAGCGAGCTTAAAGCCGCGTTCAAGATATCGTCGGTAATCTTGGACACGACGTCTTCGAGAGTCCAGTTGTTGGAGCTGAAGATTTGGTACAGACCATCGGCTAAATTTTCGATCAAGGTGGCGACGGTTTGGAACTGGTCCACGAGAAGCTGCCACAAGTCGGAGAGGACGCTGTCTTCTTCCGTGCCTAAACAGTACGTTAGGACATCCCCCGTCAGCAGACGAATAACTGGCCGAATAAGCAAGAGAATATGGGACAATTGGATGTCCGTGGCTCTTCACGGCAGGAATGATGTTTGAGGATGCTGATCGGGGTCTTACTTGTTGGTTCGTCTGTGGCCGCACTTGCAAACACTATCCCGTGCATCATTTGATAAGATGACCAGTTGAACGGGACACTGAACACAATGCGGTGGCTTTCTTCATTCACCGGCGAGTTCTCTATTTCTCGTTTGCCGTTATTGAACGGCTCGAGAGACGGCCGGTCTGCCTTGATGGCGGCCCGTACTTGCTGGAGCCAGGCCTTGATGTCGACGTTGAGCGAGTCAACCCGCTCTGTGCAGTAGTCTACGCTGGAGTTGAAGTAGGCTGCGAAGTTGTCCACAGTATTGAGAACATCGGGCCAGTTGAAGACGAATCCGGCAAACTCGATGAGCTTCTCAATACCTACACCGATCTTGGATAGTACCCAGGACATGCCTTTCTTCGCCGTCTCCAGCGTGTTGGCGACGAAGGAGTATGTATCTTCAGCGATGGAGACGACGAACGAGACACCATCGTCTGTATTGCAAGCAGACAGGAGATCAGTCGCTCGTGGAGCTATGGTTACAGCTTCGGCGGGGTTTTGACAGTTTCTAGGCCAACCGAGACACACTCACCTACGCGGTCGACAACCAAGTTGGCAGCCTCCGTGGCTTTCTCTTCTACCCAAGCAAAAGGAACCCACGATGTAAGGTCCAACTTGTCCAAAATAGAAAAGTGTGCCTGGAGCTAGCCGAGCTTGAGTGCTTCAGCTTGCTTCACCGTCTTGCCGTCGACTTGCTCTAGGAATAGGCTAATGGCCCTCGCGGCTTTCTCGGCAACATCGGAAGTGATACTTCCCGGCTGTACTAAGTAGTCTCTGGTTTTCAGTCTTGCCTCTAGCAGCTGTTTACCGGTCGTGATCTCGCGGAGCCGGTCCAGCGTCTTGCTGGTCGGGTCTACAGTTCCGACCGAAAACACGGGCTCTGTCTCAGCCCTGTCCGGCGGCGTGCCCGGACCCGGCCTGAAGCCGTCGACATGGATGATGGAACTGGCGATGTCGGTCGCCTCGCTGATGATTGTCAGAGCCCCGGCCTGATCGGCATCGTACCAGTCGCCGCCGCGCGAGAATGTGGCCACCTTCCCGTTGACGATGGCGCGCAGGTAGCCGGAGCACACCACGTGCAGCTGACATCCGGGGATCGTGGCTCGCTCGTCGCTGTCGTCCGACACGGCCTCCACTCGCGTAGTGTACCCACGGACCGTGAAGTTCTCGGCGGCCGAAGCAGCGTAGAACGGACGCGCGCGCCATAGATGCGTGTCGGACGCCTGCTGCATGAGCCTGAGGCTATCGCTGCTGTGGTCGGCGAAGAGGACGGTCTTGACGAGGACGGTGCTATCAGCCCCAGAAGCCGAGGAGCTAGCGGACGGCTTGGCCGTGACGAGACCTGACATGCGGCAGCCGTGGCCTGCTGCGAGAATCGGGACGAGACTGCCGCTGGCTAGCGTGTCGGCGTCGGCCATGTAGTTATAGGCACTGTCCTCCGCGGTAGTGTACCAGATGTTGACGCTAGATCCCGCGGCGGAGGCGTGCATGCTCTTCAATGGCGTGGTCTGAGAGGCACCGATGATAGTCGTTCCCGCCGAAGTGGCCGAAGTGTATTGCTGGGTAGTGAACGAAGTGACGGTTGTTCCGCCCACGAGGAGCACTGAGTAGCCCGTCTTTGGATGCACGAAGGAGGTGAGGCAGGTCGCACCTAATGGTTCACATTCATCATATTAGTTGCCAACAGGCAGCTTACTCGACGTCGTTTACAGACGGTATAAGCACTGTGGTTGCTCCGGCCTGACTATGAGGCAGGCCGAGGAAACCAGGGGATAAATGCAAGGTCAGAATAACGTACCGCTCGGACACCGGGGCTCGGCTTGAAAGCCTTTTCCACAGAATGTCCGGAATTGCAACTTGACAGCGCCACTCGGGGTTTGATACAAGACGAACGCACCCTGCCCGATGCGACAGGTGCCGAACGTCACGGCAATCAATTTTTGCGGATTGGTGGCCAGCTTCCATGTCGTGTCCAGGAACGAACTCATCTCCACTACCCGATTGCTTGATGTTGACAAAGCCAAGCTGCTCTTCTTTGGTGATTTTGTCGCTAGGTTGGAAGGCCAGGAACACGAGAGGGAGTTCCCGTTCACCAACTTTTCTAGTGAAATCGCTCTAAAGGCGTTTTCAATGAACCTTGATCGTGAGACCCGTTGACAAGGTTTTGAAAAAGAAAGAGGGGAAGTAACGTCATTGAGAAATCGGAGATGTGGGTTTCAACAAGGAAAGGTAACATACGATGAAAACGTCGTGCACATAGGAAACCCCAACGGCACTCTGGATCGCATCGGATTGTGGATCGAGATCAACGAGCTGGCCTGGGGCAACGTCACAGATCAAGTGAAGACTACTGCTTCCCCCGTCACCCGAATCAGCAGCGATAGCAATACTGAGGTTCCCGCCTTCACCTTGGCGAGCATCAAAGGCTGTCACGAAATTCAAGATACCCAGCTGTTTGCTGAAATTATGAGAGACAGGCACACCGTCCTGCTCGATCACGAGGGTGAGCGTGCCGGTCTGCGAGAGTGAGAGGGCTGCCGGGGCCGAGATAGCGTCCTGAAAGGCGAAGAACCGCTTCTCCGCGCGCACGGGCACGGCCGGCAGTATATTTGCCATACACTCGGCGTCCTGGTGGATGGTGATCATGATGATCACGCTGGCCTGGCTCCGTTGTGGTTTCTGCTTACTCTCTTTCTGCTTAAGCTAGAAGCGTTACTCTGTGGGAGAGTTAGAACAATTGTGTCACTATCTGAGGAGAAGAGGAAAAAGGCTACTCTGCCCCAAAGACTTTCGCATGCATCTAACTTAGATGGTCAATGGATCGGCAGGGTCCAGGTGCCTACCGCACTGGCGAATATGGGCCATCCCATATTACGCACCTTTCCTCCTCTTAACATCATGCCGTAGGGGTGCCTAAGCCCGAATGCCTGCATACTGCGAGGCAGCCAGGCCGCACAGCGTCCAGGCGATTAGACTGGGACAAAGAGCCTTCGAGGATCCGGTCCAACTTCCGCTCCTTCATGTTGCAGTGGCTCTCAGATGCGTCCGAAAACAAGACAAATGTGATTGGGCTCTCCATTCAAGGGACGGATACGGCTAATGGTAAATACTTTTTGGCAAATTTAACCCCCTCTTTCCCGCCTCCATCATCGTCATATCTTTTGGACTCTGTCTAATACCTAGGGTTTGGTATTCAAACAGTGAACTCTGCCGCTCCAAGTTTCGTGCCCACGTCTGTCGACTATTACAACTACCCCTGGCACGATCCGAGCATCGACCCCAACGCGACCGGCCCCAAAATCGATGGCCTAGACCAAAACGCTCTGTGCTGCCTCACCATGTCGAACTTCACTACACCCCCCGATCCTGTCGGGCTAGCCTACTCTGGGACATTTGTTAACGCGGATGGGGACAACAGCCAGGGGGCGCTGTTCTGCATGAACGCGCGTCTGTTCTGGGACTCTTGGCTGCTTCCGCTGCTACAGGAGTTGAACCAGGGAACGCAGTTAGTGCCCCTGAAGCCCTATCTCGTGCTACCGGGTGACGACCAGTGGGACTTCCGCAACAAGCCCGAGTTGGAGTTTGGGAGCAACCCGGACCACGAGGCGTACAGCGATCAATACTTCTCGTTTACAAAGTCGTCGTCGGGCGGCGCATGGACTTGGAACGGAGGGGAGCTGACTTCAGAGAACACGTTGAACAACCATGGACACAACATAAAGGTGACCGAGACCGGCACATCGTCTACCACCTTGTCATTTGACAGCGGCGGGCAGAAGATCTTGATTACTGGTAAAAGTAACTTTGGCTTTGAGTTGAAATACCAAAACGAGGACATCTGGTAATTGATGCACCCTTCTACGCAATGTTATTCCCCAACAGAAAGTCTTCGGAACATGATGGGACATTGAGAAACAAAGAACAGCTCTATGAATCACATACTGACGGCACCGTCCCTTGAACTATATCTAGGGCCTACTTCAACACTGAGACCAACTGGCATCTGAATTTCGCGCTGCAGGCGGTCAGCGAAGGCGGCCTGCAGATCACCCGCCTGGAAGACCCCCCTGGCACTGAGGCGTGCACAACGAGCTACAATGATGGCAGTAACAACCTAGGATGGGAGATCCCATTCGATGGCTTCTGCAAGAGCCTCTCCGACTGGTTCAAGTCCTACTTCACCACCAGTCTTGGCTGGCTAACGAACACCCTGGTGACGGCTCTGCAAGACCAACACCAGCTGTTCCTCCCCGGCAGCGGTGTGTTCCTCATGAATGATCCACGCTTCAACCTTCGCGGAGACCTCTTGGTCACACTGCAGTATAATGGGTGAGTTGGGCCCCACCATATTCCTTGGTTCCGCTCATCCACTGCCGCCCCAAGCTTTTAGCCTTTTGTTTCCCATTTCCACTTGATAGTTATGAACAGACCTCTAAAACCAAGAATTCCTAACCCCAGCGCCCCGGCCCCTGCCAACCCGGATGATACGGCCGATGACGGGACCGGTATTGCCGGAGGCAGTACGTTGTCCAAAAAACTTGTGGAGCGAAGTAACATGCACCGCCTCGCGAGTAGTCACGTCCCGGAGGCGTTTCGTTTGATCCCCAAAGAGCGGATGAAGCTTCCCGCTCGGCAGAAGCTTGTGCCAGAACATCTTATTAGGTGCAAAGTCGCCCCCCCACAGCTTCCTCACTTTTCAGTTAAGATGAAGGCTTGAAGGTCAGCGTAGTGAGGGAAAGGCAAGGGTGCGGGATGTGACCATGAAAATATCCTCCTAGGTAGTCTGCTGCTAAAACGATTTCTCTTGGCGTTCGAGGTCGCTTCAGCCTCGGCTTACCTCCGGCCTACCCCGGCTTAGCCTATGCTTACCTTCTTGCAAATCCCCCATGATTGTTGTTGTTGTTTTCATTTATCGTCCTAAACAGGAGGGAGGAGCTTGAACCCCCTCCTGCCCTATAAGCTCTAGACTTGTGGGGACGCGCTATGAGAGGACCTATGTACAAGACAGCCAATATAGCGAACCATGCATTATTTTGCAATTTGGCAGAGTAGGACCGCGCTTCAAACCGCTACCCTCACCTCCGGTTGCGAGGGCCTGCAGCAATGTCGTTTGGGCGAGAGCCCGGGTGGCGTTGTGGCTGGTCTGGCGCCTTGCGTTGTGCCTTGCCGGCCTTGGTAAGAACAAAGGAAATACTCAATACTCCAAACACCATCTCGTCTCCGTTCCTCCACTGCTACTATTCGGCACTAGGTCCTGTAGACTGAGGTAGACAATAATACAACAAATCCCCCATGAGACGCCGTTGCAGGCCTTCAATGAAACAAACATAGTCGTAATTTCCTTCCCTCGAGTGGCTTATTCTAGCCAGTCCATCTGGCTCGAGTTCTAAGTCTCTTCACCCTCATCTCCCCAAAACCGGCCAAGTAATGATTCATATTCCATCACCCGAGCTTGAAGACAAGAGCAGAGAGCCAATCCCAAGTATATTCCGACCACTGCTGCCCAAGACGGCAGCGGCGAGACGCCGCAACAACTCCGCCCATGTGATATCATAATCCGGCAGCAGCCCACTGTCCGAGAGATTGTCAGACCACATCCCGAGCAGGGCATATTCGTTGTCATTAACAACAGAGGCTTCCGGAATCGGTTCAGTTCGAATACTGCTGACAGCGGGCCGATATCGTGCGCGAAGCGTCCATCTCTGGCCCGATTAACGTCGCGTCGAGATCGGAACGGGGCTTCACGCATGATACGGGCGAACGACATTGCCAGGCCGAGTCCCTCCAGCGGCACGCACAACGGTCTCGAGACCGTTGCAAATGCGAAGCCATCAATTGTAGTGGAACCCTATGATGTGGCGTGCCGCGGCGATTTCCTGAAGATACTATTACAAGTTGGCTCCGTGTCTGAAATGTTATCGGCGTGGCAGGATACCCAAATTCGTTCAAACCACTGGCGCTTCAGCAAAGATTGTCGTCCCTCGAGACACTCTTCAAGCGAGACCTCTTCTCTCTGATTGGGAGCAGTGAGGCGCAGATTCTCCAGCGCAGTTTACGGGCTGTCGATGGCGTCGTCGCTCTCCCCAAGCCAGACGATGACACTGCTCGCGGACGCATAGACCTTAGCCATCAAAGAGACTTGGTGATTGCGTTCCTTCACGTCATCTTGGTTGATGCAAAGTGCGTCGACTCACAGAATGCGTTCGACATAGCGGTCTCTTAGACGGCGAAGGGCACCGTGAAGGCCTACAGTGATGGGTAAACTGGTAGCATTGGGAAATGGGCAGTGCAGGGCTTGTCGAACGACCCCTAGACGTACGATAACGCTTCATGGACGCTACAGCCGCCTTGACCGGTGTCGTCGTCGGGGGGAGTTCAGATTAGCGATTTAGACTCGGATCCATGGTCGGTGCTGTTGCCTGCTGAAACCAGTGGTCACGACACGATACACTCAAGGACAAACGCAGTTTGGGGAGGGGGGAGCAGACACCGAAGGGCATGACAGTAATTCTCAGCTATGTGGCGTGATTCCATCTCACACACCTGTACAGCTTCAGCTGCCAGCCGGGTCACGCCACCTAACGCAGCCCTACCATTAATTACTGCAAGACTCACCACCAGCCTCTCCAACTGAGTGTGTAAAATGGGGGCACCATCTCGCCAAAAAAACCACCCCTCCTAAGGGATCTCCCTAAAGATCCCGACGATGTGGTTGCGTCACGCTACAAGATCAGTTCAGCTAGTTCAGCTAGATGCTAGTCATCCCGTTCCACGACTACCGCACAACTACCCGCTGCTACACCATGGCGTTGGGACTAGCCCAGACTAGGCAAAGATGAACGAGACAACCCTTTGGGATGAGGGTGGGCGCAACTGAACAACGACGCCTCGTCGGCTCATTTTGTGCGACCTTCACCATTTACGTCGGAGAAAAGCGATGCGATTACGCATGGCCCCAGCTGGTAATTATATTAAAAGTGGAGCGGTATGTCCTGTAGACAACTCCAGCCGAGGATAAGCAAATCCAGTGAACTTTTAGGCACTCAAATTGACCGAGACCAACTACTGAAGCGGAAAAATCAATGAACCTCCTTGGCTTGCATCATCTGCGACGGATATCTCTACCAAGCCTGTTCAAGGGCTGGCACACGGACTGGCACTTGGGCACTGCCCATCTCGGTTCCAAAGCGCGAGCGCTGTCTTGGCGGCTGCTGGGATTTGTACCGCTCATATTCTTCACTGCTCTAGTCTCGCAGTTTTTCCCTGAAATGCAGCATACCCCCCAGCGTGCCCCAGGCCCGAGTAGCGGTCCTGAGGTCGAAGACGGGTCTGGAAGTTTGTCGGATAGGACGAGTGGTTCAGAGGCTGACGAACGTAGACTCGTTCGGCCGAGGGCGGCGGGATGGAGTGCCATCTTTCAAAGGCTAGACAATAAGACTTTGGAGGAGATCCCCCCCGTCGACTCAGCTCACTGCTGAGTCGAACGCAAACGGCGGAGCTACGAGTCAAGTGGAAACTGGCAACTTTTTAAGGGTCGACTCGGGTATTAGACAAGACTGGCCTGTGACGTGAGCTTAAGAAGTCACAGTTCATTGTTATTGACCGGAGTACCAACAGATTGGCGTCGAAACAAATTATTGAGAAGAAGAGGGCTTTCAGTTGACCTGGTGATGTTCAAGTTAAGAGGGGCTGACAACATTGTTCCCGACCCGAGATTTTGGCACTAGGGCTGCAGTACACGTAACAAACAGCAGCAGGAGCCACAAAAACGATTACCGGATGAGCTTTGATGTTCAACGGCAGATCCAGGGATAACGGCAGCCCCGCGAAAGTGAAGAGTCCAGCACGAGTAAACCCCAGTTCTGGGTGCCTGTATAAGTGCTAGCTCAGTTGTTCACCAGTACCCCCAGTTCTGGGTGCCTGTATAAGTGCTAGCTCAGTTGTTCACCAGTACCCCCAGTTCAGGGCGTCCGCCTTGACTAGACTTGGGATTGTAACACCCCATTATTGTTATAAGTGAGGAGAATTCTTGGCCATTCCAAGATCAAGAAATATAGGCGCTGTGGGTAAAGATAAGGCATGTTAATCAATAGCAGTCGACAAGTGGCAAAACACGGGATTTCCCAGACAGCATTTCAAGAGAATGTGGCGCGGGGAGACGGCGGCTCTTTCCGCGGGCCGACCCCGACTCAGAATACAACCTTCCTGTGAAAGTGATGCAACCACGAACCCGCATGACAAACCAAAAGCAGGCTAGCACTTGCATACACTTAACATCCCGCCCTGCGTAGCTGCAGGTTTCCAATCCACTGCCTGGCCACAAAGGTGCGCTATCCGCATCGGATGTAGCCTAAACAAACGGCTTCAATGGCCAATGGAGGTTCCATTCCCGGTATCAGTCGGCTTGGTCAGGTATGGTGTATTCTAGTAAACCGCGTAAGTAGCTGGAACCGAATATCCGCGCGCCTGATTCAATCGTGCGATGGGCTTGCAGGACGAGCGTATTGGCGGCTTGCCATTTCCGGAGAGATTCAGCTTCCCCGCGCTTTGCGCCTGAAGGGATGGAAGAAGGTCTCGCCACCTCTTTTTATTCCCCGTTCGCCGCGTGTCGATGTAGACGAGTCAGCTCCCTTGCTGGGATGCCGGCCAGGCGACGCAGCATATGCGACAAGCCCAGAGCCTCTTGTTCAAGCCGGTCGATGGAAGCCATCTCCCAGGTTCTGGTGGATAGAAACAGGTTAGCGCCGACTCGGTATGCCGATCAGGGAAAACATCAATGCTGACAAGAACAAAGCTCTCTGGGCCAACGTCTTCCTCTCGGGATTCGATGGAACAATCACGGCGTCTACCTATGCCGCGATCAGCTCCGACTTCGATGCCGCCAATAATGCCTCATGGCTGACGACGTCGTACTTGATCACCAGCACAGCGTCCCAGCCGCTCTATGGGCGCTTCTCTGACGTATTCGGGAGGCGTGTCTGCTTCTTCATCTCCACCATCACCTTTATATTGGGATGCTTCGGCTGTTCGGTGGCTCAGAGCATGACACAGCTCAACGTAGCACGGGCGGCGGCGGGATTTGGTGGCGGAGGCCTGATCACGATGGGTGAGTAGGTCTTGTTGCGATGTCGAGACCGTCGGTGATACTAATCATAGGGTCCGTCGTTGTTAGCCACGATTATCAATTCCGACATGATCCCTTTCGAGCAGAGGGGACTGTACCCGGCCATGTAAAACGTACTCTTTGGGTTCGGTACTGTTCTGGGAGCATGCCTTGGGGGCGTGATTGTTGATGGGATTGGGTGGAGGTGGTGCTTCCTCTCGCAAGTGCCCATCTCCATTTTTGCGCTCGTCGTTGGCTACTGCATCTTGTCGGGGTCCGAGCATGCAACTGGGCACCAGCTGCGCGTAGTTCTGGGCAGATTAGATTTTGCCGGCGCGCTGATTCTTGTTGGGGCCTTGGTCACCCAGCTGCTGGGGCTGAGCCTGGGAGGTAACGACTACCCATGGAACAGCGAGGTCGTCATCGGTGCGCTGGCTTTGAGCGTCCTCCTGCTTGCCGCCTATCTCCTAGTCGAGGCTAAAACCGAGGCGATGCCGATCATACCGCTCCATATGCTGCATGGATGGCAGCCAGCAGCCGTCCAGCTGACGAACGTCTTTGTCGGCATGTCGTCGTACGCCGTAAGGTCTCCCTCCCTTCTTCCAAAACCAATCACCAACCCATCCCGTGAAGGTCTCAAGTGGGGAGGAGCCGCTGACAACTTTCATGTAGTACATGTTTATGGTTCCACTCTTCTTCCAAGCCGTCCGTGGTGATTCTCCGTCAGCCGCCGGCATGCGGCTGATGATCCCATCGATGGCGACGCTCGGCGGTGGAATCCTCGCAGGCCTGATGATGCAGCAGGGTTTCCAACTGCGCTATAATGTACGCAAGGAAACTGCCTTGATGCTTGTTGGGAATATCCTAGCGTGTATAATGGGGACGGCCGGAAACCGGTGGACGGAAATGGCGTATCTGGTCCCTGCGAACCTTGGAGTCGGCCTAACGAACCCAAGTGTGCTATTCAGCTTCGTCTCCCTTTTCGAATACAGAGGTATGAGCAATAGCTCCTGTCTCGGAGGACGAAACCGACAACAGGAAGCCCGGGGGGGGGGAAACAAACGGGGAGGGGAAGGGATGAAACCAAGCTGACCTCTTTCCAGAACAAGCAGTTGCTACTTCTACCGTATACCTGATTCGCTCTATGGGCAGCATTTTTATGGCGTTACCGTGACTTCGGCAATCGTTCAAAACCTCCTGGTTGCGAGACTTCCACAAACGCTCGGCCCAGACGCGAGCGATGAGGTGACCTCCCCCCCGTTTCTCGCCGTGTTGTGTTAGTTCGTTATTTGCTGACTGTTTCTCCCCAGCTCGTCAAGAAGCTAAGGAAATCCATATTTCGCTGCGGGAACTTCCACCGGCTACCGAGATAGCAGTGCGGGCATTGTATGGTGACATCCTGAGGATAGCATTCGTCGCATCGAGTGGCTGCGCGCTGTTGGCGTTCGTCTTTTCATGGGCTCACAGGACCGAGGCGATGTCGAGAAAGAATTAGAGGATCTCGTACTGATGAATTTGGGTTGTATTCGCTTCGCGAGTGGATGCTTGGGAGAGTACCGCGCTCGTCGCTATTTTTCAGGACTCCTTCCATATCAATTTGCTTTGATTCTTTGGAGTGGGAGTTCGTGGAGCATAAGCGGTCGGCTCCGGGCGATAGCGGCTGCGCATATGAGGGGGTGCTGGGGGGCATTCCGCAGAAAGATCAGGCCCAAGTGGGTGCGTGATGGAAGGTGCGGGAAGGAGGGTGGGCGGTGCGGGTTTTTGGAAGTTCTGCTGATGTTTTCCCATCCTGCCGTCAGCCATCCCGAAAATGGCGTGCGAGCTGACCAGCGTTTAACCAACCAGCGCAGCCTCTTAACAAGTAAACAGTCAAATGCAGCTGCCTACAGTTGATCTTCTACCTTCAAATTAAATTATTACTATTTTTTTACGCGGAAACGTCAGGCTGTCCAGTCTGAATGCACGATAATTTTCCCCTTTCTCTTACAGTTGACTCTTCGCAGTTCGGCGACAGCAGCTCTCAGAAACCCTTGTTGCTCCCTTGTCAGAGGGTCCTTCAGGGACCGCCGTCCCCTTTCCCTGATCCTTCCCGTGCGCGGTCAACCCCGGGCCTAGAGCGGCGGGGCGTTCCTGTTTCTTATCCTTGCTACAATATTAACGGCGTGTCCGTCGCAGCGTACTGCTTCGCCGTATCACGGCTATTCCAGTATGGCCGCTTCGCTGCCAACTTCGGGCCCCCGCGGAGGCGCCGCCCCAGCGTGTACACCGACAATGGCGGCCTCGCCGTTGGGCAAGTTCTACACCAACGTGTGACTTAACCCCACGAGGTGGAAGCCAATCAACTTGTGCCTTATCACGTAAACGCGCTGGGCACGTTCTGCGCAGTACGTAACCCGATAGAGCGTGCTCTGGGAGGCAGGGGGGGCTTGAACCGGAAGACTACGTGGCAGTGTGGGCGACTCCCACCCCCATGGTTATGTTCAAGGCCGAGAACGAGGGATGACGCACAAGATTGCTGCACGGCAAACCAAATACCCTCACGCCAAGAGGCTATGGTGCTTGTAGACTCGTGAGCCTGCTAGGATCGGTGAGCCTCAACCATTGGTTAGCTCGACATGACCGAAGAAAAGGGTGGTGGAACCGTGGCGACATGTGGCGAGACCAAGAAGTATAAAGTTAAGTGGGGATGCAAGCTCGAATGAGGTGATTTTTGTGAGCATTGCGTGCTTGAGCTCCAGCAAGACCACCAACCAGAATGGCCATTTCCGCAGAGCCCCAGGCGGGCCAGCACTCAACCTCTCGCTGGCTCTCGACTGCCGAAGTTGGGAACTGCATTCGCAGCGCCGGACCCATCTTCCAGGTTTTGCCCCCTGGCCATCAAGCTCGCACGGACATAATTTCATTCAGGTTGCAGCCCCCTACTACCGCCGGCGAGAAAAGCAGTGCGCCTTTTGGCCTGAAAGTCTACAATGAGTGGCTGAAAGGAGACCACGCCCTTCTCGGCTTGAGCTTCTCCCAGTCAACCGCATCCTTTGAGCTTGATGTGGGCCCCTCCAGCCACCTCCGCGACGAGATCGAGCTGAGAAACACGCTCGCCTCTCTCTCCGCCTTAGCACTTGAGGCAGCCGTTGAACAGCACTTGACCGAAGGTGGCGACGAGCGCCTCAGTCTGTCGTCTGGTGGAAACCTGTATCACTGCCCTCCTCGTCCGGTCCCTGGTGCCATCATCCGCGGGACGTGCACTTGCTCGCCCCCATCTCGGCATGCTCTCGACGCAGCCTGCGCAAGACTCAAAAACATCTGGGATGGCATCGAGGACTTTGGCGAGGCTTTTGATGATGTCCGGCATCGCATCTCGGCAGCCCTTGGGCTCCAGATTCAGCACCACATCGTGCTCCACCCTTCCGGCACTGATGCCGAGTACACGCCGCTCGTGATTGGGACGAGCAGCGCCAAGGCTCTTGGCTGCTCCGGCGTCGTGAACGTCGTCGTCGGGGTGGGAGAGGTCGGCTCCAACACGCCAAAGGCGGCGGGCGGGAGGCACTTTAGCAAGTTCATGCCGAACGGTGGTGCCGATAGCTCCAAGGCCCTGGTTGACGATTTTCCTGAAGGGACCAAGGTCTTGGAGCTCAAAGCGCGACTCGCCGACGGAGAGGCGGTGCCCGACTTTGAGCAGCAGGTCATGAACGCGATAGAAGACATCTCAGCCTGCTCGGAGAAGCCCTTCTTCATCGTCCACGCCGTCGACGGGTCCAAGCTGGGCGCTCGTGTTACGAATCACAAGCTCGTCACTGACATCCAGGCCAAATTGGGGAAGCGAGTGCTCATCGTTCTTGACGCCTGTCAGGGCAGGACCGAGAGCGAAGAGCTCGACTGGTATCTGTCGCATGGCGCCGTCGTGCTCATGACCGCAAGTAAGTTCTACGGCGCCCCTGGGTTCTGTGGAATGGCGGTGGTGCCGGACTCGGCGGCTTCGTTGCTGAAGAAAGGCGCTTCCATCCCGCCAGGCCTCAGTGATTATCTTACCAAGTACCACGTTCCATCGAGCTTAGAAGCACTTCACGAGGCACTACCTGCCCAGCCAATCAACGTTGGTCTCCTGCTTCGTTGGACCTGCGGCGTTGTGGAGATGGAAAGGATGGCACACGCGGGACCCAGCGGTAGGGAAGGGATCCGACGTTGGGTCTATGCGGTAAAGGATTTGATCAGACGGGAACATCCAAATCTGGAGCTGATGTCTGAGAGCTCATGCGCCATCAGCCAGGCATCCCAGCTCGGTGGCGTGAACTCCATCATCTCCTTCAAGCTGCTGGCCGGGGAGAACAGGACCGCGCTGGGGACTGCGGTCCTAAAACAAATCCATCGATATTTGGTCAAGGATGTTTCCGGCTTGCTACCAAACTCGGCGGACGAGGACGAGAGGAGGGCCGCGGCCGCTATTTGCTTTATAGGTCAGCCGGTGGATGTCGGAGACTTTGCCGTCCTCCGGCTCGCGATTGGGGCGGCGTTGGCGGCTGCACTAGGAGGCAATCCCCGGGGCTTGGAGATGGCATTGAAGGAAGATAAAAGGGTGTTGGATAAGATTGAGGTACCGCTTAAGTACTATGAGGTCATGTAAACAAGTTGTTTGACGTCAGATGAGGTAGGCGTACAGCTCTATCTGGGGGAGGTGTATAGCTGTCACTAACTCGACAAATAAAGGACGCCGTAGCAGTTGAGTGGTGGGGAAGGAGATTTCAGTCTTTTCTCAATGCGTAGTCGAAGGCTTATATCTTTTGCAAGTGGAATCTAGGGTTACTTTTGAAGGCTCGCCCTTATTTTGGTGGGAAGCTGTAGACCTAGTTGTAGCGGTGATCGCGCTTAGGTCCGTGATAGTAATCTATGACGGAGAACGACGTAATAACATGCGTGATAGGTCAGTCGACAGACAAGCGAGCCGATTGTTCATCAGAGTTTGTCTGAGAGAAGGCAGGCACGCCTGATCAAGGTGGTCACAATGAAGGCAGTAGGTGTATCGAAGCAACACCTGGATAAGGTGCAAAAACTCAACCTGGCCCTTGCAAAGGAAGCTGGGCGATTGGCCTGAACTTGTATACAACGGAGCTCTGTGCAGGTCCCACTGGTAGTGACTTGCTTTGATCAGAGTTGTGTCGCACGAGTCCCCCTGACAAACCACCGCAGCGGCTTCCTCGACGGCGGCTGGCAGACAACGGCGTCACATCTCAACCCTTAATTCGTATGATGATGACGACAACGAACCAGACGACCGGCGCCGTTGCTACTATGACCCACACGACGCGCCCGCGACCTTTTCGACGCAGTTGGTCGCCATCCACGTCCCCGGGTCCGCTTATGGGGGCATTATGGTGGTGATGGGTTGCTGTGTTGTGTCGCCTGGGCGCCTCGTGTCGTCGACTGCACGAGCCGGCTGCCGCTGCTGCTCAATGTGACCTTCAGCCTGGCCGGGCAGGACCTGGCGGTGAAGGGGTTCGAGTATGCGATTCCGTGGGAGGGCATGGATGATGACGATGGCGGGGATGCGCCGCCGGGCAAGAGGAGCAGGAGCTGCATGTGTGTGTTTATGACGTCGAGCGGGTTTGACTGGTCGGGCGAGGTGGTGCTGAGGTGGTCGGTTTGAGGCGGTGGGAGACGGTCTTTGATTTGGACGAGGCAGAGGTTCGATGTGAGTGGCTTCTTTCTTTTCGTTCTTTTTTCTTGTCCACCCTCCCCCCCCCCTTTTTTTTTTTTTTTATCCCCTTATTTCCTCTCTTTTTTTCTCTTCTGGTCCTGACTCGCTATGACACTCAAAATACTGACGAGTCTTTCTTAGCTATTGAGTTAGAGTGACTTGCTACTCATCAATACAAACAAGAGACCCTGGGCTTGATGGAACTTGCCAGATGCGAAAGAATAAGTTTTGTGGCATGCGGATACAGCAATGGGGCAAAAGTGCAAATGGATTCAGTACATAAGGTACCTAAAACCGAGCAACTTGGACTCTTCTGTGTCAGACTCTCAGATCTGCAGCTGAGATCATGTGATTATATGCATGAATCTACCACTCAGCCCTCTCCGCCCGGCCAGGGCGTTGATTGGTCTTTTCACCAGTACACTCCTAGGCGATGAGGGGTAGCTCTCAAACACTGGCATCCGTCTCCGTCCGGACATGGGCTCAAGATTGCAGGCACTTTCAGCTAATACGCAAAATGCACCTGATCAACACGCGAACTCTCCTACTGCACGAGTTCTTTGGCGACAAGATCCCTCTGTACGCAATTCTATCACACACATGGGGCGACCAAGAAGTCAGCTATCAAGAATGGATCTATGTCCACAATCAAAACGTCGCCCGATGGGGCTGGGTGCGCATCGAGAGCGAGGTCAAAGCCACTAGAGAAAAAGCTGGTTATGTTAAGATTGCCCATGCCTGTAAACTTGCCAGAGGCCTGGGCCATCAGTGGATCTGGTTCGACACAAATTGCATCGACAAGACGAGTTCTGCCGAGCTGTCTGAAGCCATCAACTCCATGTACGCCTGGTACCGCGACTCGGCCGTCTGCTTGGTGTATCTGGCCGACGTTTCCATCGCCGGCTCCAGTCACAGAAGCAACGTAATGGGTCGTCTCCAGGCCCCAGAGAGCGAATTTCGAAACAGTCGGTGGTTCGCTCGGGGCTAGACGCTGCAAGATCTGCTGGCCCCGATTGGCCTTCTCTTTTTCTCCCAGCACTGGAGCCCTCTCGGCAACGCCCACTCTCTCAATCCACTCTTGGCCGAGATCACTGGTATTCCGGCGTCCATTTTGAGATTTCACCACACCCAGGGTTTTGTGTCACTCGGACAGCGATCGACCCGACATCAGACCGCATCAACTGGCTGTCTCGTCGAGGCCGCCTCATGGCTCAGGTGTCGATTGCAGCGCGTCTCTCTTGGGCGTCTAGGCGAGAGACTACGCGATTTGAGGACAGGGCGTATTGCTTGCTTGGATTTTTTGGCGTCAACATGCCGCTCCTCTACGGTGAAGGCGAGAACGCCTTTGCCAGACTCCAGGAGGAGATCATCAAGCGAAACCCGGACAGCACAATCTTCGTCTAGAGAAGCCATGTCAGCAAGCAGACATTTCGCTTTCAAGAGTCATCAAGCCTCGAGCATTTCGCTATTGACCTTCTTGCTAGGCAGCCCGAGTGTTTTGCCAACTCATCCAACTTGTTATGGGCACCGAGCCAAACCGCCTCGGATGCCGAGTCGCTGACAGTTTCCATCACCAACCTGGGAACATCCATCCCGGCCACGCTGATTGAGACTCTGTGCCCCAAGCTTCAGATCGCTGTTCTGATGAACAGCAGACGCAAAAACGGAACCTATCACGAAGCGCAAGAATTCTGTCCACATGTTGGAATCCCCACCCTTCTTGTTGGCGACCAGGTCAGCTCGGGAGTCTTTCGATCTTCCTTTCCCGCTCAATCAATTACGCTTCCGAATCTTAGACTGTCTACGGCTCGGCCGCACACAACGATACTTGTCCGAAATCTAGCCAATCTCCCTCCATCCCACGACAGAGCAAGACAGGAAGCCGATTCATGGCAGATGACCGAGAGGAAGATTCTCCGTCGGCTTGGAAGACCCGAGGTTGGAGTCGTAGTCTACTTTCCCCATGGGAAGCAAGAGCACAATCTCGAAGCTTCCTGGCCTGCTCATGATGACAAACAACTTAATTTCGCATTAGAATGCCAGGGTGATCGTCTCTACCGCGGAATTCTTGTTTTCTCTCGACCAGGGGCAACTCCCAGCACCGTCGGAATCGTATTTGTGGCGCTGCTCGACTCTCGCGACCTACTCTCGGAATGGACATGCATCATCGTAGAGGCGAGCAGGTTAGAAGGAGTCGCCGGCAATGATTCCGAGCTGCGGAGGCTTTCCCGTGATGCCGCTGCAGGGATCGATGACTGGACTCGCAGGGCTGAAGGAGGGAAGGGGCCCCGATATCGTGTGGAGCTGGGAAATGAGACCTACTCGGTCAGGTTGATAGATCATGGAGAGGTCGACGGACATGCCTCAGTGTCGTACGGAAAGGAGCACGTCATAATGGCGCAGGTCGAGTTTCTAATATCTTGACCGAGTTCGCTGCTGAGCCGTTGCTTATAATTATGCTATTACGATACAAAGTCTATATTCAAGATTGACGACTTCGATTTTGTGCTTTTTTCGTTTTCCTTTTTTTTTATATAGTCAGTTAAATATTTCATTAAATTATATTTGTAGATTTCCGCCTCTTCCAAAAGAAGAATATAGGCAAGTTAGTATAAAGTTTATTAATTCTTAGTTAGAATAAAAATGGTGGCTCTACTTGGTTTGATAACGGTAGCTGGTTGCACCGTAAGAAAAAAAACGGAAGTTATAGGCTGGTGTCCCAAAACTGGGATCAGTTTGGACACGGCAGGTATAACCGGGACATCCCTAGGACTCAGCTCGGCTCAGGGCGATTCTCAGTGCGCCTCAGCTCCTGTTCAGGTTTCAAGCCTAATACGGATTTGGTCAAAAAATGTTGTCGGGGATGACTATAGAGGTACTTCAGTGCTACACTGAACCGCGCCTCGGGAGAAGACAGGACCAACGCTAAGGCGTCTATTGCTAGCAGTTTTCGAAGTTCCATTTCTCGCCGCTTTAGAAACGTTAACTTCAGCCCAGGGTAGTTAATTTCGACCGTGACATGTCACGCAAGGACGCCTAGCCGTGACTGGCACGTCCTGCATGATACATGAACAACATGGCACTGGTCCGAGGCCCATTATCTTCATTCGCTGTGGCCCGGTGTTAGGATAACTCAGGATATATGCAGGGCCAACAAATTTTAACGTGTTAGGATCACGCAGCCGTCATGGCCATGGTAAGTGCTCTAGTGCACGATAGCATCGTGCTTCTTTACGGCTTATGCTAACTTTACTAGAGATGGTTTGGAGAACTATAATCAATTGCTAATTAATTAGTTTATATCTAAAGGGTACCCGCAACATATACCACCATCTACACCACTACACACCAAGGTCTAGCAGCAACAACTCTCCCGAGGCTTATTTCTTGACATCAAACCGATCCAAATCCATAACCTTCGCCCACGCCTTCACAAAGTCATCCACCATCATATCCTGCCCGCCCTTCTCCGAATACGTCTCCGCGATCGCCCTCAGCTCAGCGTGCGATCCAAACACCAAATCCGCTCTCGTAGCCGTCCACTTCGTCGCCCCCGTCTTGCGATCCTTACCCGTGAACGTCTCGCCACTTTGGTCAGGCGTCCAGACAGTCTGGATATCTAGCAGATTCGCAAAAAAGTCATTTGTTAGTGTGCCCACACGCGCCGTCAGAACGCCCTTATTTGAGCCGTCATAGTTCGCGCCGAGGGCGCGCATACCGCCCACTAGAACCGTCATCTCGGGCGCCGTCAGCGTGAGTTGCTGCGCTTTGTCGACTAAGAACTCCTCCGTGCGGGCGCGTGCCCAGCCCGTGGTATTGCAAAAGTTGCGGAACCCGTCCCCTTGTGGGTTGAGGTACTCGAAGCTGACGACGTCAGTGTCGGCCTGCGTGGCATCGACGCGGCCGACTGTGAAGGGGACGCTGGCCTTCTTGTAGCCGGCGGCGGCGGCGGCCTTCTCAATGGCGGCGTTGCCGCCGAGGACGATGAGGTCCGCTAGGGAGACTTGCTTGCCGTTCTTGTTGGAGCCGTTGAAGGCGTTCTTGATTGTGGTCAACTGTAGTTATGCTGTTAGGGACGATGTATAGGACAGATAGGAGGGGGGGGGAGACATACGGCTGCCAGAACGGTTTGTAGCTGCTTGGGATTGTTCACCTCCCAGGAGACTTGAGGCTGCAGAGCGATTCGGGCACCGTTGGCGCCGCCGCGCTTATCGCCGCCTCGGAAGGTGGAGGCAGAACCCCAGGCGGCCGACACGAGGCTCGAAACAGTCACGCCGGGTGCTGCAAGAATCTGGGCCTTCAACTTGGCCTGGTCCTCGTCGGTGATGGGCTTGTAGTTGATGGTGGGGAGGGGATCCTGCCAGATAAATTGACGCTGAGGCACTTCAGGGCCGAGATAGCGTGTGATGGGACCTATGTCGCGATGGGTGAGCTTGACTATTACGCGTCCCATCCCGAGTTAGCAACATTGAGTCCGGGGGAAGGGTGTGCGACGGAAGAACTCACACCACGCAGCCGCAAAAGCAGTAGTAAGGGCCTTGAAGTCTTTCGACCAGGCCTTGGCAATAGGGCCGTAGGCAAGATCCTCACGCAGCGCAAGGTCGCTCACCAGCATGGTGGCGCGGCGGAAGGTCTTGTTAAAGGGGTCGGGGTATTCGGCAGCGCTTTGAAGTGCCTCGAACTGAATAGCACCGGCAGGGCTCTTAGTCAGGGTCCAGTTGTTCTTGAAGAGGCTCGTCAGGTAATCTAGAAACAGCTTAGTGAGTAAGTGGAGCCCCTAGAGAGAATAGAGTCAAAGGAGAGGCGTACCATTGCTCCATTGCGTTGGCGTCTTGGACCAAATGACTTCCAGTCCGCTCGTGACGGTGTCGTCAGCATTACCAGTGCCAAAGCTGTTAGCCCAGCCAAAGCCCTGCAGCTCGAGGGGTGCGCCTTCGGGCGGGGGGCCGACGGCTATAACATAACAGACACCTACATTAGTAACGCTCCAAGGACCCCAAGGACAGTTTTGGGGTCTTGAGGTACTCACGGGTACTAGAGGCACCGTGGGCCTTGCCAAAAGCATGGCCTCCAGCAATTAAGGCGACAGTCTCGGAGTCATTCATGCCCATGCGGCCAAAGGCAGTCCGGATGTCTAGAGCCGACAACTTGGGATCCCCGTTGCCATTGGGGCCCTGAGGGTTGACGTAGATGAGACCCATGTGGGTGGCAGCAAGCGGCTGTTCCAGCTTACTGGCGCGTGCGGCATAGTCGGTGCTACCGTCGTAACGAATGTCGTTACCCTCGGGCACGAAGGTAGTCTCTGAGCCCCAGTAGACGCTCTCGTCCGACTGCCACGTGTCGGCACGGCCAGCACCAAAGCCGAGGACGGGGAAGCCCATGCCCTCGAGAGCTACGTTGCCAGCCAGGAGCATCAGGTCAGCCCATGAGATAGCCTTACCGTACTTTTGCTTGATAGGCCACAGAAGGCGCCGTGCCTTGTCGAGGTTGCCATTGTCGGGCCAACTATTGAGAGGAGCAAACCGTTGTTGGCCCTACACAAGAGGAAGTAAGCCAACTGCCAAGAAAAAACTTAAGAGACGGTAGTCTCCGTACCATGCCACCACCCCCACGTCCATCGATGGCGCGATAGGTGCCGGCGCTATGCCAAGCCAAGCGGATAAACAGACCACCATAGTTGCCGTAGTCGGCTGGCCACCATAACTGCGACTGGGTCAATAATGACTTGAGGTCCGCTTTGAGTGCCTTGTCTGCAGCCACATCAGTCTCGCTTCTTGCCTAGGTGCGAGCTGAGATGGAGGGTGAAGACTTAACGCGACTTACAGTCAAGAGTAGCGAAAGCAGTGGCGTAGTTAAAGTTGGCCCCGAGCGGGTTCTGTTCGGGAGAAAACTGGCGAAGGACGTCGAGCTTTAGCTGGCACGGCCACCAGTCATGGCTTCTCGTGCCGCCGCCGGCTGCGTCGCTGATCGTCGGGCACTTGCCGAAGGAGCGGGCGAGGGTGTCGAGAGAGGGCTCATTTGACCTGGTGGCTAAGATGTCTCGCTTGTTGGCGGCGGCGTAGGGACATCCCTGGGCCGAGACCAGAGGCATAAGCCAGAGCACCACAGACCGAACGGAGGGCGCCATTGAAACGGACCAGTGTAACTAGAGCTAAAGATGACAGCGAGCGCGACGAGGGCGACGACTCTGACGAGGGCAAGAGATTGTGGAATTCATGGGGCCAATCCTATATAGGCTCCAGTGATGCGGAATGCTTATCCCAACTTCAACCTCTGCACAGACGGTCAGCAGTGCAGAGTGGTTACATCGTGTGATTAATAACCGCAGTCGAATATGGCACAGCAGGCGCATCCACTCAATGCTTCTGCTTGGTCCCGGGAATCACCGAGAGGCTTGCAGCGAATTATTTGGTAACACCGCCGGGGTGAGCCTGGCAACTATCGTGCAGCCAATGCAACCGACACGAGCCAGCAAAGCGGTGAACTAGGGGGCAAACATTAGCAGTCACCCTTGAGTGGGTGCTTGGCCAGAATTTCTCAGACCACAGCTGCGGCGCAGAGATAACGAAATATTGGACAAGGCTCCCTACGAAATGATGATCATCCGCCAGGCACCCTGGAAATACAACGCTGCTTCTGACGTGTACTGTCGCTTCAAAGATGAAGAAAGATTATACTGTTTTCGGCACAGTCTAGGGAGCCCGGGCAGGGCCCGCACAGGGCACCTACTCTAATTAGACCGCCTTTTCACAGGGTCAGCACAGGTCCCAACCCCGCGGGCGCAGTCCCTTTGTTCTTCCTACATCGATCAATACACACACGCGAATACCTGTCAGACTGCAACAGCACTTCTAGGATTGTGTGCACCAGAGTGAATTGCTCTTATTCTCGTCCTCCAGTCTTTCCACAAAAGACTCTCTCTCTTATACTTCCTTATGTGGCAATTACATGACGAAACCCAGTGGCGAAGATTACGCATCATAGATTCCAGAACCTTCTAGGCCATTCCATCTGACAATACCCTCATTCTTGACTGCTGCTGCATGCTTTTAGCTTCTGAGAGAATGCTTAGGATGCCTCGAGAATACATCGGTAATAATTGCTGCGACGCCTCAGGCCCTCGGCTACTGCCTGGTTGCATCTTTCTTTAGACCCAAAGTCCGCAAACGTGACCAAAAGCTGGCCTCGGTCTGGGCGTCGATGATGGCGCTCTACTACATAGTAGCTCTACTACATCTACTACACAGTATCAGCTAAGAAGAGTATTCCCACGTGCGCGGCATTTCAGCGCCTGTGTTCACGTGTCGTCTGGCTATTTAAGATCTGCTTCGATGCGACTAGCCATTTCGGGCTACTACAGACGGTGACGTGCCATCACTAGCAACATGGACATCGAGCATAAAGTAGGGTTGCTAATTAAACCCAACGCAGAAACTGCATTGTTTTGCCTGCGCGACCCGCCGAGGTTAGCCGATCAGATCTCACGCTCGGACCCCCATCTTGTACCTCAACCAGCGAGCTTGGGTACCAGCCCCTTCACTGATCAAGTCGCCAGATCTTCATAAATACACCGCACCCTCACCTACTTGCTCATTTTCAACTTCTCCCCTTTTCCTTCCGCATCCCTGTTCTATCTTGCTTCGGCCAATAGGAAACGCCCCATACGTCGCCACCTTGTCCTATTACCAACACCCTGTCTCATCGCCAGCCGACCTAGCCCGATTGAGCAGGAGCACGCGTCGGATCTCTAGACGAGAGCGAGAGCGATCTACACACCACAAAACGGATGCCGCGAGCAAGGCTCCTGGCTCTATTCCCTTAACGTTAGCGACGCGTATTTCTATAGGAGCTAGATAGTTTAATAAACGTCTCGTCTTTAGTTAAGAAAGATAAGGGCTACTAAGAGAAGGGCGGTTATACGGGCCTGGGTAAGAATAGAATGGGATAATAGTAGTTCTAGTAGCCGGCGGTCTATTAGTTCGGCTCCTAATGATAAAAACTTGATTCTATAAAAAACTTGACTCGGTCGGTAATAGTAACGGCGAGGACGACAACGGCGAGAGCGATGCCGTGGTGATTACTCAGGCTCGCTCGAAGTCAACAACGCCGGCGGGAGGGCGGGAGAAGAGAGCCACCCGGGTCATCACGGTTGATGCCTTGGATCTGTTGTGATCACGTTACCTATTGACGTGAAGGAAGAAAGGTTTGACGGCGACCTCGGTTCATTCTTCGCGATGGACCTACTTCAGCAGGCTCATCGCAGGCAAAAAGAATTCTCGGAGGCGGTCCGAATGGAAACAACAGGACTGTATGCCCTTTTCCACCGCCTGGACTTTAAAGCCGGGTTGAGGGTCCTGTTGCATGGCCCAGTTGCAACAAAAAAAGTGGGGATTCCACTCCCGATTTTAAGAGGCAATGGCAGTGCCACACCATTGCCAGTCATTGCTCACCCTTCTTGTTGCCTTCATCGTGACCACTTTGATCAGGCGTACCTGCCTTCCTTACACCGGGTCCCAGCCTCTCTATTATACCTAGTATTCCAGGCGGCCGTATATCGTTCTGGAGGTTAATACGCGGTCGACCTCCCGCTCCTCTTCTTCATTTATTACTTCCGAAGGGTTCTCGGCTTCCTACTGGTAAGGGGTTCTTAGCATATCGCTTGAGCCTATCGGCGTGGAATATGTGTTACGAATCCCTGAAGGGATGCAAGGGAGTGGGGCACACCCAGCTTGGTGCCGACCAATCAGGGGTGTCCTAGGGTCCCGTGCTGAGGAGACGCGGGATACCGGGACATAGTACGCAGTCCCGCAGTCCTGCTCGGGCCTCGGGACGGTGGGACGCAGTTCATTGGTCACTTATATCGCATGGGCCATATAAATAGGCCTAGCCTCGTCAAATACGACCTTGGGCAAACATCTCGTATTTCAGGCAGAACCGCATATCGACCTACTCTACAGACCTCGCTATGGCTTCCTTTTCAGGTCACCTAACCCTATTCCAAGGCCGGATTCTTAGCTATAAGTAGGACCAACAGGACCTTCCTTTTTCGTCCTACTTCGATAGACCTTTTCAGACAATTCAATGCTTACCTTCCTGCATCGAATGCCCCATTTTCCACTGCCCTGTGAATGCGCGTAATGACTTACTTACATATATACGATGACCGTAGCCACGGTCTTGGATAAAGCTTGCTTGGTTCTTCAAGCAAGCAATCATACACATTAACATTCACTGCACTCATACACTTTGAGTGGCAAACCCCCTTCGACTGTATTACTCGTGCGATAGGAGCTTGCCCTTTGTTCATTCTTAATTACACCAACCCCAGCATTCTGTGGAGCCCATGCTCCCTTACAGACAGACGACCCTAATAGTAGAGCGGTTTGTAATAAGTGGTTCGTCCTTTTCCGCGAGTATTGCCTACCATAGTGACCGGCTCGATCGTTACCGTAAGGTAGGGAGGTTAAATAATTGTAAGAGAGGGCAGGTAAGCCTAATTAAGGTAGTTATAATAGAGGTAATAAGTAGGGCGAGTAATAACTGGTATTAGTATGAGACTTCAACGTAGCCCTCGTAAAGGAAGGGGGCGAGGGCCACTACTTATATATATTGTCACGACCAGGGCAAGGCATTGAGGTGAACTCAGTCCATTGGGTGCTATCGACGAAGATTCTAAACTGAGGAAGGAAAGAAGGAAAAGTCCAACGACGCGTCGCGTGCTCGCGAATAAGTTTTCATCTATCAGTGGGGTAGGTGGGGCCTCGAGGCGGCTTCTGATAGGCCCGTGGGTTCTGGGCGGCTCTGGCTGCTTGAGGGCCAGTTTGGTGGACGGGTCCTCACATATATAACGGAGTGTCGGGGCCAGCTAGTGAAAAGTCATAACAAAAGAGTGAGGTCTGGGCTAGCTGGTTGACATGCGTATGTGTGTGGGTTAGGGTTCTTTCCTTACAGGTGTCACTATTCGGAGCTTAACGTGTTAGTTATCTTTAGGTTTTCCGAACATATTAGAAGGCATGGAGGAAATGCGGCACAATATCGCCAGTGCTTAGGGGGTGCTAGGCCAGTACCCCTTGACCCTAAGAAAGTGTTCATACGGCTAGCCAACCAGGAGGTACCTACAGCGATTATTTTACACCAGAATAATTCCATTTGCCTGATTTGCCCGGTTCCAGTTTTTTGTAATTTGCCTCGTGTTGGTTGGTGTGCATGCATTTCGTGGCTTGGAAACTAGTCCTAATTAGTCGCGGGGATGATACACTAGAATTCGTGGCGACTGGCCCTATCGATTGATACCCAATCGTAGCTGGCGTAAAAAACCCCTCGGTCACCATGGAGTACGAGTTCCAAGTTGGGTAATACCAGAGCCTTGCCTTCGGAGGACGCAGGTAGGGCGGGCGGCCCTGAATGGACATAAATAGCTGGTTGCCCGCCAATTTGGCGCTCTGCTGTCCTTGTCCCTTAGTTCTAGTTCTTGGCGCCAAAGAAGCCCAGTATGGATGAACCACCCCCTTACCTGACGCCACCTTCTACGGCATCGTCTAGATCGGACCCTAGGCCCTCGCGCAGCGATGCCAGCATTTCTCGCTCACGTAGCGGGCGCGAGAAACTGCGGGCTTCTGCTGAGGCCATGCTCCGTGACTCCCTCGCACGGCGCACCGCGCCTTCAACGATTTCCGATCAACCATGGTCCAGTGCAGAGCCAACCCCATCCAGCACCGCAAACAACACTGCGGTGCGCGAAACTGAGCCGCCGAGTGAAGCGTGGGAGGCCGATTCAGCGGCCCGCCGCATTAGCTTTGCGGAAGATCCGGCCATGTTGGCGGCCATGACTAGCGCTGCTGACCGAGCCCGACTTGCCGCGTCCTTGCGCTTGCCAGCATCTGGTTCCGTCATGACCACTACGCGCACTCGTGAGCGCCTGCGTCAAGCAGAGGCCGAGCGTGACGAGGCGCTCCGTGCCCACGAAATCGAGCGCAGGATCGCAGAACGTCTCAAGCGCGAAGGCGAAGTCGGACCCTCGGCAACAGAGGCCGAGTTGCGCATCCTCCGGTTCAAGTATGATGCTATGAAAGCCGCTGCCCAGATGACGGAGCCGCCGCCGGCAGGCCTGTTTAAGACCGCTTGCTCCACCGACTTGATGTTCCTCATCGACACAACCAGTTCCATGTCCCCGTACATCGAGGCCGCCAAGAACCAAGTCAGGAGCATTGTCGACGACATCAAGGTCGCCTTCCTCAACGAGGCAGATGTGTGTGTGGGCATCGTCAGCTACAAGGACCACGGTGATGATCCCAACATCGAATTCCTCGATTTCACTCCCGACGTTGATAAAGTCCACGTCTTTCTCAGCAACCTAAAAGCTCGCGGCGGCCGTGATTTGCCCGAAGACGTCCTCGGTGGGCTCCAGCAGGCCCTCAACGCCTCCTGGAGGCACCAGACCCGATGCATCATCCATATTGCCGACGCCCCCCCTCACGGAACAGCACTGCACGACATGGGATCCGACAGAGACGACTACCCAGGTACCGGAAGCGAGCCTCATGGCCTCACCCACGAGCCGCTTCTCCAAAGGATGCTTTCGCTCAAGATCAACTATGCTCTCCTCCGTATTACGCACGCTACCGACAAGATGGCCTACGTCTTCCTGAAGGCCTATGCACAAGCCGCACCCGAGGGCAAGCTGGATCCCTCCAACAAGTACTACCGGGACGCCCAAACCCTGACAGCGACGGTTACAGCGACGCGGGTTCCTGCTGGTAGCAGCCGGGCCGGGGGAGGGGGGCCCTGCTTTGAAGAGACCAAGCTGGGCACCACGTACAGCGCGCTGCGGCATCTTGTTGTCCAGCGGGTGACCATGTCCGCCTCCCGCACTGCGGTTCGCATGTCGGCGGCGCGCGGGCCACGCAGGACTGGGGATAACACGGCGGCGAGGACTCTGGTGTCCATCTCCGAAGGCGACGATCCTACCGGGGTGGAACTCGAGACGACGGCGCCGCGGTGGCATGACGCGGACTGGCTCGATGAAGTCGTGACGGTAAAAGCCTACTCGACCGATGTGGCGATGCAGCACTGCGCCGGCACGCTCGACAGCATGATGGCGCACGACGACAACATCAAGATCAGCACCACCGAGCTCACCATCCGCAAGCGCTCCCAGCCGTTTGCCCAGGGAGCCATGCGCCTCGCTGCCTACGCCCAGACTTGTGCCTCCACCAACCAGCTCGTCGTCAAGTCGTACAAGCGCGACGGCAAGCGCCTCGCCGACCTCGCCGAGGATATGCGCTGCCAGGCCCTGTGCAAAGCCTTCGCGCTCGAGTTCAACTCCATGCTTGGCGAGCGATACTCGGTCGACTTCGTCGTCGTGACTTGTCTGGAGCCTAAATCCAGCGCCGACTTCAACGGGGAGTGCATGTCGCTCGAGCCGCTCCTCCAGGGCGACTATGTCAAGTACAATAGCAACTGTGGCTACGTGTACAATGAACATCCCGACGACCCCTTTCACCATGCCGCCCAGGCCTTCTCCCATTTTTCTTTCGAGCGCTCGCGCGGGGCCTTCCTTGTCGCCGACCTCCAGGGAGTGAACCACGTCCTGACCGATCCGGTCATCCACACCCGCGACCCCAACCGCTTCCGCCTCTCGGACGGAAACCTCGGCGACGAAGGCGTGAAATTCTTCTTCGCCACGCACGAGTGCAACCCCGTCTGCCGCAAACTCGGCCTGAAGAGCAGCGCGGCCATGATCATGTCGGGCAGTCTCGAGTTCCGCACTTCGTGGCCGACGAACTCCTCGTCCGGCAGCTCCGGCATGGCATGCTGCTGCTCCAACAAGCTCTGCAGCCGCATCGTGCGCCTCGCCAAGGCCCAGACTTCGCCCGAGTTTGCAGGGTACTATTGGTGCGACACGTGCTGGCCGCAGCTGCGCTCGTCCACGGTCAAGTTCATCTGCATCGCTCCGAATGTGCCGCATCACGAGTTTGACCTCTCGCGCTTCTTTTACGAGTCCCAGGGGCGCATCATGCCGCGTCGGTGTCCCGAGCATCGCGCTGGCGCGGATTTCATGTCGAGAACGGCCGCCGTAGGGCTACACGTGGCGTCGCGAAGGTCGAGGGGTGGCGAGCAGTCGGCTACCAGCGGGGGTATCGCGAGACACATCACAGGTGGTGTATCCATCTTTAGTCCCAGGACAGATACTCAAGGAGGGGTATCCTAATAGCTTTCTTTTTCGATGTAAGCAATTTTTTTTGGGCTCGGCCCACGGCAGTTGGATTGAATGAGGTACGGCACGGCATCCAGTAATTTCTCAACATCCTAAAAATTAGGAGCCTCCAATTGGTACCCTGTCACAGAATGATATGACTTGATCAATACAACACACCAAGAAGCGGGGATTCGGAATCACCAATACGTAATAGTGGCTTACGGGGAGCGGAGGGGTGGGTTTGGATTTGGGTGGCTAGATCCCGACGGCTGCTCACAGGAAGCGGCCCAGTCTCGCTCCCTATTACTTCTCCTCCCATCCATGAAGCAATGGGCGGGTAGGAAGCGAGATTTGCGCTACCGTGAGCAGTCAGATAATTGTCTCGGGGGAAGCCAAAGTATTTACGGAAATCCAGGTATTTGGGTACTTTATATTATTGCCAGGCGAGGTTGAAGGATAAGAAAAGGCTCATTAGGTGTCAGGGATCTGTAAGGAGGTTACGTAGGCACCTACTGACAGAACGGTCGCGTCACTCAGCTATTCCGTGTCTCTTTTCTACAATCCTTCGGCACAGTGTTTCCGACACCACACCTCGTTCTCAAGTTTGCAAATCCCCTCTACTCCCCGTCGTGGTATCACAAATCCATTGTCAAAATATGATTGTATTGGGTATGAATAAACGCATTAAAGAAATGAGGCGTAAAACTTACCGCATGTCTATCAGACTGTAAGTCGCACCCCGCTGAACGACGAAGGAAATGCCTTCTCATTCCGATCTGTTAAAGTGGAACCGACCGTTTTCACGAGTCATTTATATCGGAGACCCTGCAATAATAGCAAAGATCTTAGTTGCCAATTAGCCCAAAGCCTCGGCCCAGTACGACGGGTTTCGACCCCTAAATGGAGACGCCCTCTTTGTACAAACACACCACGAAAGATGGAAGATACAGAGAAAGTGTCTCACACCGGCCCTGCCGAGATGCATGGGCGGCTCCATCCAAAAGGCCGAATTTAATACGGCAAAAGCCGGTCAGTTGATGTCAAGTGCCAGGCCTATGATTTTATCATGGGGTGGGTGCACCGAGCAAAAGGGGTGGGTGCGCGCAGCAATCCTCTTAATAAATAGAACCACGATTCATTGCTCGGGGCGAGCCAGCACCCACGGCATTGTCGCCGTCGACGGCCGTTTCAACTGCATGCAAATGGGCCAGCTGAGCCCTCTGTCGTACGTTTGCGCCGCTCTCACACACACCTTGAAGCAGCAGTCAGAAAGCGCTAGAGCCTCGAGCTCTCCCGCCTCACCGAAGCTCGAAAAGGGGCCGCCACCACCGCAGCCACCGCCATCACACAGCGTTGTGCTAGAGTACTACTGCGCGCTGCACATCGGCGAGGACGACGACTTGCTAAGACCCCAGGGCCTGATTCGTTGTCTCACCACACAGCTGATCCTCTCGCTCCTCGCCAACGGGTGGATGGGGCAGACGAGGCTGTGTCTCTGCCTCATCTGCGAGACAGCAGGGAGGAAGAGGTGCTAGAACAGCGAGACCTGGCTGCGGTGTTTCGGCCCTTCATCGCGCTCATGCGCCTCGGCCCCGAAGGAGGGGGTGCCGACCCACTGCATCGTCGACGGCCTGTCCGTGTACGAGCGGCAGGACCTGTGGCAGGCAGACTATTAGGGCGGGATACGGATACAGCTTAGATGTGGTACTTAATACGTGATAAAATGTCTTGCTCGTTCCCCGAAGAGCTCTTCGTGGGTGATTATTGTTAGATTTTAGTAGTTAGCTACGTTATAATTGTATTTACGTCGGGGGAACACAAGAAGCGAGCGCCGTGAACGCGGTGCCGGGCCATTGTATTTACCACGTACCTTCCTAAGTTCTAGTTATAACTTCCTAGGAACCCCAAGTGGCGTATACTCGGGGGACGGGTTACAGCGGCTTTACGTAAAACCCATTAGCAGGAAGTCACTACTAGATGCCTTGATGGTCAGCCAAAATCTGCAGCCCATAACCGGACCCCTTCTAGCAGGAACGACGACCTGGAACACTTCCACTCACCCTCTGTTTGCATATAAAGGACACCTTTGTAATACCAGACGCTGTGTCTCGACCGAAATGCTTGAGCCACCAGTCCATCGACTTCTTTCTGTCTACAGATCCGTCATCGCGGAACCCGGCTTTGCGGTTGCCACCCATAGAAATAGCAGCGTTCTGCTTGTTTGAACACGGCTGTCTGTTTCTTTGGTGAGGGATCATTTTCGTCAGGATCCATATCTCTCCACGTCCCTCCAAATATTTATGTGTGTAAATAGCACTTTGACATCTCCCCTCTATGATAAAAGCCCAATGTGACGCTGAGGGACCTACATCTAGGGTTCAGACCGGAGTCCCAAACAAAGTGATCTCAGGTAAAGTCGTAGGTACTGACGCAGTTGAGCTTATGTTCCTTGAGATGGCAAAACACATGTTCTGTGAAGGAGACTGAAGATCTGGCGTTCAAATACGGCCTGTTTGTCCATCAAGCCTGTAGAGTGCGGAAGGCGCGCATGCTAACGCAATCAAACGATGTCAATACGCGCTTGGGAAAGCCTCCAAGTGTTTTCGTGGCTTACGGCGGTTTCAGTTCCATCGAGTTCAATTGGTTGATAAAAGTGTGGCTCGGCCCAATCGTATATCAAAGAGACTCTGAAACTGCCGCACCCCGGAATCAGCTGAATGCAAGCTGAACGGAAGGATGTAACGGGCGGGAAAAGAACAACCCAAAGCTAACCTGCCATTGGTCCATCTGCTTGGACTCCTTGACAACGGCCTGAGCATTCGGCCCGCTTTCGGATCCTCATTGCTGCAGCACCTTCCTGCATCATAAACCCTGTCAACCCCCTGATTCCCATGAAATCGTGCCCAAGGGCAACGTCTCTCCTCTAAACAGATCGCCGCCTTGATCGTTGAGAATAACCATGAGACGAACGCGCCTACTGTCGTCATGCCTCTCATAAGTCGCGGTTGGTTTCTCATCATCCTGTCAACCGGGTTTGTGCTGCTTACTTGCCTGCAAGCGAGGGGTAGTATTCTGACTCGCGGTATCGAACTGGTCGACAAATCGCGGGCGTACCCCGTGTTCGTGCTACGCGCCATCTCCGAACTCGCCGGCTTGGCACTGGCGGCCACCATCAACGCCACATGGGAGAGGATGAAATGGGCACTCGTGTGCCGATCCCGAACCAATACCACTTTTCTCGACTTTTTAACTCTCGACGAGGGAACTAGGGCCATGGCCTTGATGGATCTCGCTGCCGGGCGTGCGGGGCCATCACTTCGGACGCGGCTTTGGAGCTTGGGGCGTCTGCTGTCGACGGTCGTGATTCCGGTCACGGGTATCCTCATCATGAGTAAAAACCATCGTCTTTGCTTTCCAAATTTGTGGAAGAGACACATGCTAATCACTGTCTATACAGGCCAGGTTGAGATTCAAATTGCCTTCACCGAGGAGCCATCACAGCCTCCGTACCTGGGTTACGACCTCCAACCCATGAACGCCTCTGTGGCTGTCGAGTACTTCGGCTTCAGCGATTTAGTCCTGACCGCTAACCCCGGCGCTTTTCTTCACAACCCGGCACGCTCTGTTGACTTGTCGCAACAGGGCGAGGACGCCTCACTCTGCCGTCTCAATGCGGATTCCCAGGGGCAACGAACAGGGTGCCACCGGAGCTACTTCATCGCCGGCGAAAGCGTCTTCATGACACCTGACCTAATTAATGACGCCAGTTTCCCCAAAGCCGAGATCATCTACGCGCCAAATCGCCGTGGTTTCCTGCTCGAATTTGACGCAGGGGACTCGACCACGCGCTTCGACCCCGAAAAGGAGTGCCGTACTTACTCATCACGATACTGGGGCGCCAGGGCCGGCGCCGTGCGGCTCTGCGTGGGCAGCTCCGGCCCGAACGAGCTCCAAGCGCGTAGGTCACCCCGAAAATCCATCCCCTAACTTAGAACACAAACCCTCCCCTCCCCCCACTAACAGCAATTCAGGCCTTGTAAGCTGCCCCGGCTCCATCGCCGCCCTCCAGCAATGCCAAAACGACACCTCGTGGTACGACAACGTCGACTGGACCGTCAAGATGTCGACCTACTTCCGCCACGCCTCGGTCGCCTACTCCCGCTCCAACGGCACCATCATCTGGCACTCTTTCACCAACGCTCCGGCCATCCCGCTCAACATCACCCCGACCGAGACCCTTTCCGCCTACGACACTCTCCTCTACGACACCTCGAACATCTTCGCCAAGAACGCCTCGACCCCGCCCGCCGCCGCCTTCTCCAGCAGCACTTTCGCGGCCTACCTGTGGATGAGCGAGCCCGTGTTTAGCGGCCAGAACGCCACCAACCCGGCCACCATCAACGGCGTGTTTTCCAATCTGCAGTCTCTCCTCACCATACCGCTGTATCTCTGCCAGAACGGCATCGCGCGTCGTCTGCTGCCCCTTGCGCTCGGTGCCAAGTCCGTTGACGATAAGAGCAAGGATTCGAGTAGGGGCAGCGGAAGCAGCAGCCCTGGGTTTGACGACCTCGTCGGCCTGCTCAGCCTGCTGCCCGACCGCACCAGCCCGGCGTCGTTTGCGTATCACAGATATCAAGTCGCTGCGAGCACGCCAACGCTGATTGCGTATATTGTGCTCAGCGGCGTGGCGGTTCTCTGCTGCGCGGCTGCGCAGTTGTTGGTAAGGTCCACGGTGGTTTCTGGTGGAGGTGAAGGTGACGACAGATGGCGGGGGCGGCGCGTGAGGCCTGATTTGAGCCGGTTTCCGGCGCTGGATCTGTTCGCGCACTGTACGATTGAGGACGAGAACAGGTATGTGGTTTATCAGGGGAGGTCGGGGGCGTTTCATTATGATGCGGCGCAAAAGAGCCAGATGGAGTGGTTGGCCACGCTGAGGGTCAGGTATGCTGGCGGGGCAGCCGATGCGGAGGATGGGTTGAGGTTATTTACGTTTAAGAGGGGGGCGGGGAGTGGGAGTCAATGGGATTTGGGGCAGAGGAGGAGAGGGTTTCGTATATAGGGTCGAGAGGGTCGTTGTGATAATTATTATTATTCTTACACCGTTATGCCCTTGGGCGTGCCGGTCCTTCTACCTCGTTGTGATTATATATATATATATATATTTGTGGGGGGGTGGGTGTGTTTTGGAGGGAGTGTAAGGCCATTAAGAGGAGCACCGAGCTTGCGAGTCGCTAATAGAGCAGGCACATCGCCTGAACAGTTAATACCGGCCCGTGGATGCTGAATACTACGTAAATCTCTAAGATTAATGAATATCATAACCCCTATAAGGAGGACTAGGCTAGGTACATCTACACCTTTCGGCTGACGGCCGAGTCGAAGCCGTCGACACCGCCCCGGTGCTGGCGGACGGAGGGGTGAGTGATGTGTTTGCGTCGTATGCTATCGCGGACGATGACGGCGACGATGGCGATGGCGAATAGACGCCTAGAAGCAGGAACCGAGACGCGGGACGAGCTGCGGAGGGGAGGACCAAGAAGAGCACGGACTCGAAGGACAAGAAAATCTTGCTCAAGATTTGTCGTGCAACCAATGTGTACCGCCGTCTTGACGAATGGCAGTGGCAGGGTGGCTATAATCTGTCACTGATCCGGTATTATCCGTACGTGCCCTCGGCGTCGACCGCACCGTCGTCGTCGTCGTCTTCGGCTGTTCCGCGCAAGATCCCGCATAGTCATAAGGTAGAACGACTGGTGTATATAGAGTTGGCGGGGGTTGCGTGTCGCGGATTAGGAGAAGTGTGCTGCCTGTGGCCGCGAGTATAGGGAGTGGTTCTAGGTCGAGGCGACGAGGCAGGCGGTGGCCGAGGTTGAGGTGGCGAGATGGTGGTCGGATTGGAGCGAATTGCAGGCGTGAGATGATGAATAGGCTGGGGGTGGTTCTCGAGGTAAGCAAATGGTTTCCGGCTGCTTTAAACTTGGCATTGCTACTTCAGGACGTAATTATGGGTCACATTTGCTGCATCTTTGGAGTGGATGTGGCGTACTGAGATGGATGGCATTTGTCTTTGGTGTTACCACATTTCGCCATCCTCCCACGCCGTGGCCATGATCTGGCGTACCCCGTGCTCCGTATATGTGTTTTGTCTCCAGGATCTCATACGGGCATGTCGAGCACGCTGATCTTACTTTAAACACGAGGAATGAATCACGATGCATTGTGTTTGCTGCGGAGCCCCTTGCCCGGATGTGCAGTTACCAGTGCGAAATCAGCCCCTGAGCGCTATGCCTCAACCCAAGATATTCCATACCAAGTCAACGGAGTAGCAGCCCCAACGTCAGCCCATCGTCGTCCCCTCTCCTAACCCCAAAGAGGAAAAAGTCGCCAAAGATTAGACGCCATCTATCGCCCCTTTTATTTGAGCCAAACCCACATGTTCGTCATCGTCACTGTGCCCCGGGATCGAGTGCCCCGGCAGTGCCAACTGGTCAGCAGCCCCGCGTTCTTGACCGGCTTGGCCAAGCCGCCTGTCAGGCTGTTGTCGAGGCTGTTAGTGAGGGTACTCAAGGGCCAGGAAGCATGGATAAATGGCTGCGCACCGTCTCGACACCCCAGGTAATCTTCCAGGAGCCACTGCCCGAGCTCGGCACACGGAGGATCAAAAATGTCGACCCAGGGCATCTGGCGAACATCTGCCATGATTTCAACCCACGACACCAACCTCGGCTGTTTCATCTCGCTGGCTATCATTTTCCTCGAGGTCGCGAGGTCTTCATCACTAGGTTCACCAATGCTGCAGAGAACGAGAAGCCAAAGACGGACGAGGCGTAGGCCGGGACTGTTCCAGACCTGTTCCGCATTGGACTCGCTCGATAGCGTCTTAAGCAACCTTGAGATACGTTCTTCAGCAGTTCCGGGATAGGAGCGGCACCGTCGCTTCACCCGTATGATCCAGAGCACGGCGCCGAGCCGAAGCGCTTCGGAAATAATATCGCAACGCGTTACTGGCTGGGATCTCGATGATTGATCCAGCAACTGGTGAGTGACTGGATTCATGAGGATGCCCATCCACTCTTCGTCGTCCCAGATGGCATTACCTTTGGTCGCCAGCTCGAATCGAACAAGTGCAGCGAGTGCATTCAGATCACCTATACAGGACAGGGCGCTCATGAATCGCGTATCCTGTCTGTTTTCGTCATTAATGACGCTGAGTAAGGGATCAGGCAGCGTTTCCAGACCCGAGCCACTGAATACGCTGGCGCTGGCCACGGGAGCGGATAATGGAAAAATCGGCTTGGTGTCGTGGAGCAATGCCGCAGTAACGTCAACCCTAAGGTGATTTTCTCAGTGCCTGTAACAAATCCCCAAAGATGGGATCGGCAGGTTATTGGTGTCGCCGAGCCATACCACAAAATCATGAGCATCAGGTCCCGGTTGGCTTCCAAGGTAGAAATGCCACCTCTTGCTGCAATCACCGCCCACATGCCCTTTACATGGATCATCGCCTGATCAAAGTCCAGACTAGTAAACTGGTCTCAGAAGTTTAGCTACATGGTTTTTTTGGGGGGGGTTTTTTTTTGCTTTAAGCGCCACGGCTCCCAAGGCAGAGCTTACATTGTAGCAAACCAGTGCCAACACCGCATGGAGTACACCATCAGATGTCGCGCTGCTTGCATCAGAGCTAGAAAGCCTGGACTCAACACACTGAATGGTTTCTAAAGAGCGTTCCAACGCGAGAGATCGCAGCTCTCTGGCGGATCTGCGGTACAGTGGGATGAGGACGTTGGGTGAGGAGAAGATTTGTCAGTAGTGATGAAGGAAAGCGGATTTTCTAAAGGCGGAGGGGAACCAGAAGGTGTTTGTCGAGCAAGCTGTGTCCCATTATGTTAGCGAGAGTGGTGACAGTTGAGGTTGATAGAGGACTTGGGTGTCATCATTAATTACTAGAGCCCATTGCGTTCCTTCCTGCGACCATGATCAAGGTGAACCCATAGGCTGAAATCGAGTCCTCTCCCCATTCCTTCTCGAAGATGGACAATGCATGTAAGACGGGCGGCGTCGTAGTAGATAGTGCAGGATATTGCGCAGCAGTCTCTCGTACAACCAAATCCTTCGCAGGAAGTTGCAAGGATTCAGCATCTCGACTGGTCGAATGTTCACCTTGGTCAGCACTGGTTTTTGCCAGGGACCATACGAAGGTGACGAATTGAGGTTCTTTCAATGGCTTTCTTCGGGACTTGCCAATGTCGACCATGAGATGGCGACGGACCTTAGAGTCGAGCGACTTGCTGCGAGTGCGACGTTGTGTTGTTGGATTTCCAGGATCGGTATGTAAGAAGAGGAGGCGTTTCTCCTTTGGAAACTCCGCCATCATTGGTTGTTGTCAAGACGTATTGTGATAGACAGGAAACCGATTATTTGTGACGTCGAATTGAAGGGCGTTCGCTGTCCGACTAGGTAAATTCCGTTTCTAGGCTGCTGGTAAAGGCCGTACAAGGAATTGGCCCAGGAAACAGTTTTCTGTGGTTGAAGGCCGGCCTTGCCGAGTGCCGAGATAATAATCAATGTCACGAGAGAAGGGGGAAAAAACCATGCCAGGAGACGAATCACAACTGTTCAGGATTATATTTCCATGACTACGTGAGATCTCTGCGTGTTTCTTAGGTGCCGCGACGGTACAAGTCGGCCCATTGGCGGCAGCCTATCCATATGATGGATCAGGGAAAACCAGTCGGGTCCCTATTGATCTCGCAATCACATACAATTGCGCGCGTGGTTGATTATACCTGGCACTGACGATACAAAGCTCAAAGCCCAACGTTAATAATAACTGAGCACCCCATTGCCACCATCCTTGTTGCTTACTGCTTGGTATCAACGTAGAGGCCGGGGTCGTAGGCATCGCGCACGCACAGCGCGCGGTCCGCGACTCTTCGTCCCAGCAGAGGGCTATTGAACGCTGTCGAGCTGACAGGATGACAGTCCCAGAGACAAGTTCTAGGCCATCATAGGGTGGCTGAGAGCGAAGCCGAGGAACTAGGGAGAGTAGCGAAGCGGTGGGCACCCGTGTGGCCGGCAGCGCATCATCGGACCGCGAGTGTTGAAAAGCTGCGCATTTCTCCATTCGGATCCCCGCGCAAGATTTTGTTCGGCCAGGCATCCACAGTGCGTCAGATATCCAACTGGTGGTCGAGAAGTTTCAGCCCTGCGATGGCGATATTCTAGTCAAGTTGTGGGTCGGTGAGGACAGAAAGCTGCGAACAACACCGCACCCGCCTTTTACAATTGCAGACCTGGAAAGCACCTCGGCCAAGTATCGGGGGTATGGGAGACAAACTAGAAGGAGTCGGCAGAAGCGCAACCCCTGCAGTTCCCGCACATGGCAAAGACTGCATAAATCCGAGCTGGTACGTGGGCGTCCCCTTTGCATCTCAGCTCTCGCGTCGGTGGTCATATACGACAACAGTTTTCCTCTGCCTGGCAAGATAACACTGCCGAATATGATCAAAACACAGTTTGGTCAACTCAGCGCCCTGATCATGACAGACCTTCAACGGAGTTTATCAACAGCTTTCAACAGCTCCTGTAGCACTCGGAGCCGAGAAACTGGGAGGTCCTTTTCATTACTCTTGCCGTTTTGGGTAATCTTGTTTCACACATGGAGCAAGATGACGCTCGGCATGCAAAAGAGGCAAATGCAGAGGTAGGATTCCGCGACTCTACAAAACCGCAGCTGTTCTCCGCTAACACATCCAGCAGGTTCCGTACATGGATCCCGAGGCGGTATAGCCGAGGCCAGTTTGAATGTGCCCTCTGCCCACTTTCACAAATACCAGGAGCGGCCGTTGGAGACATGTTCGCCTGGCGTGACGGAAATGTACATCACTATGTTCAAACAGGACGGCCCTGAGGTGGGCACTTCAAGGTGGTTGCAGTAGCTTGGGGAAGTGGGATGGGTGCCGCGGCCCACTTTCGCGCGAGCTAGTTTCTTGGAGCGGGATCCGTCATGTATTTCCCATTTCTATTGCAACAATTTTTACTCAAATATGTGGACAAGGGCATTGTCACTTTGCTTCTTTCGGAGACCCTGTCGGCGCCACGGAAGGGATCCGGGCTTGCTCCCCGATCCCCCCAATCCCCCCGGCCCCCAACCCCATGTGCAGGGGCAGCACAACATGGGCCCCTGTTCATCAACAGCCACACGATGAGCCGCTCCATTATTTAGGGGCGACACCTCCCATCCCGTTCACGGCGCTTTGCAATACGGAATCGCCTTCCCGGCCCCGAATGCTTGAATGAGTACTTGCTGTCTTTGAGGGATGCCTGGTACGCCTATCCAACGTCCGCGGCTATGTCGCAAGCGCCCACTGACCATCCGCAGTTTCCTCCCCTCTGGCCACAATTTCCAAGCTCACGGGCGGCCCGAAGGACGGGCAGCACGCCGTCACAGAGGAATCCATCGTACGTCGTTTACTCGTGCCCGCCACAGCATTTCACTAACTCAGCCCTCGTGCTTCAGGACGGCTGGGAGATGGTTACGGCGGACACACCGATGGAGGCCCCGGCTTGTCGGCAAGATCTTGGCCAGTTTGATTTGATGACCGTGGACAGCAACCCTTGAGATGGCGACTCGTCGTCAACTGCGTCGCTGAGTTCGGAGGCTGCTAGTTACAAGTTTGAGTGTGGCAGGAGATATCATGGTTATCATGACGGCAGTACGTTTTTGTGCTGCCTGCCCGCATTACCAATGCTGACGCGATTCGCAGAATACTGCTTTCCGAATGATGAGGTGAGGCATTTGACAAAAGAGTCCGCTCTCCTGTTTGCTGACCTGTGTCAGCTATTAGCAAGAGCAAGAGAGACTTGGTACGTTTTCATCCCCAGATAGTTGACATTTGTCGAAAAGCCACTTTATTCATCTCAAGAGTAGAATTGCAACATTACATGCTCTACGACGTTACCATGGAAGGCGAGCTCTTTCTGAGCCCTGGAGGCAAGCACGCGAAACGGGTCCTTGATATGGGGGCTGGCACCGGAACCTGGGCCATTGGGTATGGTAGGTCTCTCCACCGGCTATCCTTGCTTTCTCGCAAATCCAAGTAACAACCGTCACAGCGCACGCATATCCCGAGGCGGAGGTCATTGGCGTCGATCTCAGTCCCATTTTCCCCGAATGGTTTGTCCTGTCCTTATCCTGAGGAGGTTGATGCTATCGGCTGACCAGACCCTAGGATACCACGAAATGTTCAATTCGTGGTTGACGACCTCGAAGATGAGTGGAACTGGACAAAACGGTTCGACTTCATCGTGGCTCGATTTCTCTCTGTAATTTAAGTACATAGGTACATAGGGAAGCGGGGCTTAGCCTGACGCGGTTAGACCGCGTCTGCCCCACCAAAGGTCCACATTAAGGTCCTCGGCAGGGCAGTGCTCCCGAGCTTCCTCCCTCGATCATCAATTTACCTACCTTTTCACGAATAGCCTACCGCATTCCGTGATCTAGGTGACGATCACCCTTCAAATGGTAGCAGCGACTGCTCCTGAGTAGAGCCAAACCATTTTTTTCTAGCTTCCGCAACGTCTTTTCTTGTCCGGGGAGATTGTTGCAGAAGGCACCTTTTTGCGGCGGGGCGCTTGTCAAACCGTTGCGAAAAGCCTCACGGTCGGGGCGCTTGTCAAACCGATCGCGAGAACCAACCGATCCAATCTGGGGTGCTTGTCAATCCAGAAACAGATCAACCCATCAGCGAGGCGCTTGTCAAATCGCTGGTGGTTCTCCTCTTGTCACGAAATCAATTGGTCCAGTGGACTGTGGATCACATCCTGATTCCGAATCACTCTTTTGGTCACCGGGGCGCTTGACAAACCGGAGGCATCTCAACACCTGGATCCAGCGGCCGCCACGCTTGACAAAGCCGCCAGTTTTTCCAACCCTCCACAGTCGTCCTCTCACACCACGATCGATCTGGTCAATTGTTCATTGCTAAGGTGGTATGGTACAGGGTCCCCACGACTCTGACGATACCTACTGTACCGCAGCGGACCTAAGCACTGACTCCGAAGACATACCATACCGCCAAGCTCAACTCCTAGAAACCCTCGACGAACTCGAGGAGGAAATCTACCTTGAGAAAGCCGGTCCGTCTGGAATTCGACATCGACCATCATTTATTATGTCGGCGCCACCAGAAGGATCCCCTCCTGACCCAGATCTTAACCGGCTGTCCAGAACCTTGAGCTCGGAGCAATTGTCCGATGGCAGCATTGAGTACCGAATCGCCCGGCCTACCGAACTAAACAATGACAAGAAGTCAGTCCAGTGGCTGGCGCAGGAAGTTCGCAACAATGCCAACATGACCAAGCGCGAAGTCAGTGGCATTCACTCTACTATGCTGGTCATATGACCCTATCTTGGCGCTCCCTCGCTCAATCAGGCATCACCTACCTTCTTTCAAGCCAAACCTTCTTCTCCTATATTTCTCGTATACCTTACACCATTTCTGTTACAATCTGGACAACAAGTCCACGGAGCTAGGCCCGGCCTAGGATTGTGGGGGTCTGGACGGCAGGTAGGAGATGACAGGAGACAAGGAGTATCGTGCACAGATTGCGAAAGACAGACTTTCAACACACAACCAATGTATGCTTAACCAGATGCATTGATAGCTGCAGAACCGTTCTCCCAGAGAGCGTGCTGCCAGCTCCTATATAGAACTACGTACAACCAATCAGAGTCCTTTTCTTGCAGTGCTCAGTGATCCAGAGCGCTCAGTCTCTCAGGACGACTGAGCCCGCAATGGTAGCTGAGCACTTCCCCAATTGGCTGCACTTCCTGCTCAGTGGGTCTTTCCAGTCTTGGCGGCCAGATGCACTGAGCACCGCCTGATTGGCCGCACTGGCTCCCGCGTGGCTCGACCCACCTGCCCGTGCTGCCCAACCAGCGACCGGGCCCCAGCGCCTCCTGCAGACTCGAGCCAGGATCGTAACAGATACCGTATTTAACCTTAACGTTATATATAAGCGTAAACTACTCGCGAATAACCTTTGGATCTTCGTATTTGGCCCTCTGGTAGTCGTATTTACGCGTAAAACGCGTCCGAAGTTCTGGCTGGCGCTTGACGAAGTTGTGAGCCTACCGTACGCCAATAGGGGGCGCGTCGCGTTTGCGTAGCAATCGGTTGGCCATATCTTCCATATACGAAAGCCGGGGATAGAATGCGCGTGAATATAGCTCAATTATATATCGGATAATCGTTTTCTCTTCCAAATCCGTAAGTTTGCGCGAATTGGCTGGAGTATCGCGTCGTGTAGGTTTGCCGTCGAGTCGGTTTCGAAGGGTATTCTTATTAACATCGTAGATCTTTGCTGCGGCTCGGATATTAAGTTTTGGGTCTATTTGAAGGGCTCCGAGGGCCAAGCTTATCCTGGCTTCGTACGAAGCTGTTGCTATTGTTGGTTGTAGAGGAATTTGGTATTTTGTATAAAGGATGCGCGTCGTGTCGGAATTGGCTAACTCGCTTGTCTGGCTAACTCGCTTTTCACGTACGTTATAATATTAATAAATTTCAAATTGCATTATTTCTCGAAACTCCGAACATGCACCTGATTAGCTTACAACTGTGGTACATATTACAAACCACTCGACTGTTAGGGTCGTCTGTCTGTAAGGGAGCACGGGCTCCACAGGATGCTGGGGTTGGTAATTATGAAGATAGAACAAAGGGCAAGCTCCTATCGCACGGGTAATACAGTCAAATCGGAATGCCACTCAAAGTGTATGAGTGCAGTGAATGTGTATTGCTTGCTTGAAGAACCAAGCAAGAACTCTCTAAGACCGTGGCTACGGTCATCGTATTTATCTAATTCATGTAACTAATCAGAGTTCTCTCTTTGCGCTCCGTGGGCCCCGGGTGCTCTTCTCACAGAGCACGGAAACAGGCTCCGGTTAGTTGATTAGTACGGACTCGGTCAAATCCACCGGCTCGGTAATCCGTACCTGCAAAGCAAGTTACACGGGCTGTCAACCGAAGCCGAAGGAGGCCGCTTATAAACTAAGCCGGGCGGGAGGGTGTTCATAGGAGATGTTACCTCAAGCATGTTTGGTCAGTGACAGAGTCATGTTGGGGGATATATTCACCTTTTTGGCTCCAAGACGATTAACTCCACCTTTTCCAGTCCAACACAATAAAAGCGTCAAACACTGTGTTTCTTTAAGATGACCGTCTTAGCGAATCAATCGATTTCGGCCCAAAAAAGCCTTGCCCGGGCCGGCCATTCTTTCAATCTTTGCAAAATAGATCGCACGGCTATGATAGAGGCCAAATGGCTCAAATTGAGCATACTTAGTTTATTGTAGATCAGCGGCTTCCTTTCTCAACGCCCGCGGTTTTCAAGTGATTTAAAGTGAGCTTTCTTCCTTCTATTCTAGCTTTATACGTAGATAAAAACTCTTCCGGCATCGCACCCGCGCCCGTAGAATATGTAGATAATGAACTCGTGCATTAGTGCCCTTTATATGTCCTAAGCGCAAACTGTGATCTTGCATAGCAGTGGTAAAGTTCGTGAGCCTGCCGGTATGAGTCTATCGATGCCGTTTAATTATCTGATTTTTTACTATACTGCGGTAAATGCTTATGTTAGCCTTTCATTTATATATATAATGACGGGTATAAGCTATCTGGCTTTGTAAATAAATCTACGTATTGAAGTCTCTCCTTAGAGGAAGTCTTATTGAAGTAGACGAAAGGAATATAATCGACTCGTTCACTCAATGCAGCTCCCCGTAGCTTATAATCGGGACTCTTATTGTAACCAGTAGGTCGTGTGCTCGAGTCGTGACCATTCCTCTCGTCTTTCAAGTTATGAATAACTAAAACCTCTTTCCTTTCTTAGGCACCTGTCGCCATGAGACTAAGAGAGAAAGGAGGGTTCCTTGTGCCAGGAAACTCCCTTCCAACATCATGTTCTTGGCGCAGCGGAGTGTTTTTCTACTTGTATTTTGGCTCCAACAGAGTGTTGTGGCTCAAGCAGTACGAGTACGGAGTTCGGCTGCAATAGAATATGCTTTGTTTACCGTGTTTTATTCATGCCATGTTGGACTACTATAATTATGTTGATGGGAAACCGACTAATAACTCCTTGAGCAATGATTTGTTTGCGCCGGGTGATGTTGTATTTTTGATATGCTTACGGTACTCCATTATAAGGCCCCCCTTCCTAGCATGGTCACAACTTGGAATGGTTAGAAAGGGTTGGGATTATTTGTATGGGCGAACCAAACTAGCCCACAGAAGAAGGCGATTCGGTCCGCCCAGGCAGCGAAAACAGACGCTCGTGATGAACCCTGCCTTTGACACAGTGCGTAATTCAGCACATGTTGTCGCACAGTACTGCGCGCAAGGGCGTCACTTCAAATCAGGCAGGCGCATTGTCAGAAACTCGTTTCTCGCACGGCCCAGGTCAGCGGTGGCAGCAGCATAAATAGGGGAAGCCCTTCGCTCGACTTGAGAAGGCGGGATGGCAGTCACAGTCACAGCAACATCTCTTCCCACTCCAGTATCCACCACAAGACCGGACAGTCTTTGATTTTCCCACCGAACCTGCTCCAGCAACACACGCACAGAACACACAGCATGGCTTCAGAGAACAAGAATTATGACGTCGAGGGCGAGATCGCCGTCTTCTTCTCCAAGACGTCGGTGCGCCGCGAGACGTGCGACGCATTGGCCAGGGAGCTCGTCGGCAGCGACCAGGTCGTCCCCGTCCCGGTGCAAGGGGGTGTCTGCTCGTATACGGTCTACGCCGGAGAGGGCCTCGGCCAGGTCGTCCAGTTCCGCCTCAAGTCTCGCGAGGTCAAGACCGAGACCGTCCGTCTCGCGCGACAGGTCTTCGGCGCCTTCGTGCCCGACGTGTCGTTCAGGCAGGCGCTCGGCGACGACGAGTCAACGGCGACTGGCAAAGAGCCGCTGCTCGTCTATGTCATGCCGCGCGTCCGTGGACTGACCCACATGGAATTCATACTGGCCCACGGCTTTCCGGAAAACTCGCCCGAGAACAAGGCCTGGCGCATGAATCTGGTCTAGGATGCCGCAAGGTCTGCCCGTCGGTTTCTTTTTCTTCTTCTGATCGCTGTGTGAGCTACGCTGATTCGACTTGTTTGCTGCAGGTTCTTTGCTCTTGCGTGGAAGGCGCCGCAGGAGGTGGACCAGTCCTACCGCGACCGCACGGCTGAGACGTTTGAGACGGATCTGCAGGCCTTGCTCGTCAGCCTGCCCGACCGGTTTCACTCGGTAATCCGCAACACGCTGGCGTCCCTGCCCAGCATCTTGTCCCTCCCCATGGTCCTCCTAGACATGGATTTTGGCGGATGCAAAATCATGGTGGAGGAAGAGTCGTGCCATTTGGTTGGCGTCGTTGATTGGGCCGAGGCGGAGATTGGCCCGTTTGGTACAAACCTCGAAATGGTGCAAAGTCTGATGAGCAAACTGCACTTGAAGAACGGCTGGATCAGGTACGAGGACTACGATGACCTGACGCGCTCGTTCTGGGAAACATTGGGCGACGAGATTGGCGGACTAAGCGACGACACCAGCAAGGCTATCAAGGCGGCCAGGGTCTTGGGGCTGCTACGATCTCGGGGCTTCACCAACAGGCTCGCAAACATGCCGAAGCCGGTACCGATCAAGGACGATGACAGCGGGAGGTACAACGTGATGATTCTTGACGGGCTGCTCTTGAACCCAGCTACCCGATTTGAGGGGCCGTGAATGACTGACTAGCTAGACTAGACTAAGATAGGAGAGAAATAGAGACTGAAGGTCTCCCAAGATAGAAAAGAAATAGAGACCAAATGTCTCCCAAGATAGAAGAGAAATAGAGATTGAAGGTCTCGCATACGAAACGTTCGCACTGGGGTTGCAAATAGGCAGTAGTTATATGACACCAGCCCCGACAAGAGCAGCCTTGAGTTCGTCCACGTTCTCTAGCTTGGGATGAGGCTTGCCTGCATTGAAGACCTTGTGGTTTCCTTTCACCATGGCCGTATGCGTCTCGTTTGCTTGGCAGACGCGGGGCTGTCCGTTGACCGACTCAAACGTCCAGCCGGTGACACGGGCCGGGCGACAGTTCTTGACAAGAGACGTGTCCAGCATGACGGTGCCACTTCGTTCGTCGAGGATGAGCTCGGACATGCTGCGGTTGCTGCAGCCTTTGTGCCCTAGGACTTGGAGGCCAATGAGCCCGGTAAGGTTGTTGGCTACGATGTAGCCGGAGAATTCCGCAAGGAAGTTCTCGTCGACGGCGGTGAGGTCGGGGGGGGGCCCGTCCTGGAACTCGTAAGCGCGGAAGCCGCTGTCGGTGAGGACGAAGATGTGCCCGTGGATGGAGGAGCCTTCGAGCTTGTTGGAGTCTGTGGGCTTGGCCCAGCGCACGTCAGGGTTCCGGAAGTTGGTCCCGACCATGACGGTGCCTTCGGCGATTTGGAAATGGCCATGGATGAGGTGGACGCCGAAAACGTTCTCGGCGTTGTGGCGGACGAACAGGGCTGCAAGGTTCTGGGTGTGCGTGTCGTCAACATAAGGCTGGTCTGCATCATCCTTGAGGCTGTTGTACCTGGGTGGGGAAAACATGTTAGCTAGGCAGGCCGTTAAGTTTACTAATTATGGATGACTTGGGGGTGGACTTACAGCGCCCGACTTTCTTGGAAGTCGTGAGTGTTCAGAGCCTGGTCGAAGGCTGGAAGCCTGGGAAAGGTGGCTACTAGAGCTGCCATTGTGCTTGAGGAGATTCACAAGAATCGACTTTCTTGGGGCTTTTGGGAGACTTTTCCAGCTCAGGACGAGGAGGAGAAGAGAGTTGATTGAATGGTCTTTTGCTGTCTGCGGTGAACTTGTTTCGTGATGGAAGATGAAGGCGTGCTGTTGATGTGTGATAAATGAGGTGCTTGAGGTGTGATGATGGAAGAGTTAAAGGAAGGGGAGTCCTTTGAATTTATACTTATCAATATCGACGGCGAGGCAGACTCAAGGTCGGTGTAATTGTCACGGCCCGCAACGGCCGTAGCACACTATAACCCACTACAGGTTGCAAGTCGTCGACTTGCAATTCTGGCATCCTTTTGGGGGTTCTAGCGCAGTGGTAGTGGGTGCTGTGAGCTGGCGCCGTCACAGTAATACTTCATGGTGGCCCTCGTAAATGGCCTCGGGTTGATCATCATGACCGTGAGTCATCGGTAGTGTTGCAAGCCAGCCAATGCTGATTGTGCCAGGAGGGGATAATTCGACTTCACCGTCAACTACTGATCATGAGTTATATGGTCATGGCCATGGCTATGGGTGTGGCGAGGAAGTGAGGTTGAACTCACGACCGTCACCGAGGTTGAACTGACGTCGACGACCAGCATGTAGCCCATCACCGGCGTTACCTGGCCATGGCCATGGGTGTGGCGTGGAAGTCAGGTTGAACACACGGCCGTCACCCAGGTTGAACTGACGTCAACGACCAGTATGTACCCCATTGCTGGCGCTAATGAGTTAGTGATTTGCTGTAATCCCCCCAATGTCGGCGTTTGTTGGGGGGAGGGCTGCGGACTCGCAGTGTACATTGTACAGGCAAGGTTCAGTTTTATGGCTTTCACGAATACCAGACCCTCCCGGCCGGAGGCTGGTGCCGAGGCCGTCTGTTTTTTGGCGTATCTCTCTTGCGGCGTGGAACTCTTAACACTGTCTTGGAACCGGGCCAACTGGCTCGCCACCTGGAAATTCGAGCCTAAACTAAACTTGCAGCAGTTCCCATAACAATAGTCCCTCAAGTACTCCGCAGATGCAATTGACCAAGGAGTGAGTGGCTGGGGATGTGCCGTAGATAAAGGCCAACTTCGCACTGTATAAGTTAGGTGGGGGAGTAAGCGAACGCCACTGATCCAGAACATTGTAGATAAGCGAGGAACACAACCAACCCTCTTATATAAAAAGCCCATAACTCAACCAATTCTTTTCCAATTCTCTTCATCTTCAATTCGTTTTATTCTTCTCTTGACAATGGTTTCATATACAGAAGAAGACCTCCGCAAGGCTTGCGAGGAAGCCGTCAGAACACATCGATTACGCAAAGTCGCGCGAAAATGGAACGTTCCACCCTCCACCCTTTATGGCCGTCTACATGGCTCCCTACCTCGAAATGTTGCTCATCAAGATGAGCAAAGGCTTACACAGACCCAAGAGGATCGTTTAGTCGAATGGATTCTTCTTCAACAAGATTTAGGATTGCCCCCTACACATGCACAGATCAGGGAGCTTGCACGCCGTATTCTAGCTGAAAGGGGGGACTCCTTACCACTTGGAAAGGGGTGGTGCCGTGCCTTTCTTAACCGCAATCGAATTTTGAAGACTCAGAGGGCCAAGAGAGTCGATTCGGTCCGCGTCAACTGCGCTACAGAGTCAACAATTCGACCTTGGTTCAACCATTTCCAAACACCAGCTATCAAGGCGATTAAGCCAGAGAATCGCTGGAACAAGGACGAATCTGGTATTATGGAAGGCAGAGGAACCAACGGCCTTGTCATTGGAAGCCGTGCCTTTAAGGCGCTTCAAAAAAAACAGCCTGGAACCCGCACTTGGACCACTTTTGTCGAATGCATCTCAGCAGCTGGCCGTTGCCTTCCTCCTTTGGTCATTTTTAAGGGGAAAAGCGTTCAACAACAATGGTTTCCTTTGGATATGAAGCCATTTCAGGATTGGTTCTTTACAGCAACTGAGAAAGGATGGACTACCGATGAGACAAGCCTCAAATGGTTAAAAAATGTGTTCATTCCTCTCACCAAGCCAGCAAACTCCTCTGAGAAACGACTCCTTATTATTGATGGCCATGGCAGCCACACAACTGCCGATTAAATGTGGGAGGCATTCACAAACAATATTCACATTATTTATCTGCCTCCCCATACTTCCCATGTCCTCCAACCCCTAGATTTGGCCATATTTGGCCCCCTAAAACGACTTTATCGCAGACGGCTTGAGGACCTTCTTGCTAACGCCTTTGACGACTCTTCTGTAGCCGGAAAACGTGCGTTTCTGGAATGCTACCAGATTTCACGCACAGAGGCAATTACTAAGAGTAATGCTAAGTCAGGATGGAAGGCATCAGGCCTTTGGCCCTTGAATGTCAACAAACCGCTAAGAAGCCCACTCCTCCTCAAGAATTCTAATACTTCACGCCCCTTAAGAACTACTATAGTTACCCCAGAGGTTCGCACACTCCGTATGCCAATCCTGGAGGATTATGGAGACGATCGGGTGCAGTGGAGGACTCCTAGAAAGGCACGTGATTACGTTGAGCAGGCAAAGAAGTTCGCACGCATCATCAAAGCAATGCCAGCGGATAAGCTCTTCCTCAGAAAGATTGGTAAGGCTTTGGATGAACAGGCCTTTGAACTGGCTATTAGGAAGCGAAAGATTGAAGGTCTAGAACACACTCTCGAATCAATAAGAGCCAGAAAGAAGAAGAAGGTTGAAGAAGATCCAAATACCACCTTTGCGAATATTCAGACTATTCGTGAGGCCCAGAGAGCTGTAGGGCGTGCAGCAGAGGTTTTAGAAGATGCGGAAGAAGCGGATGATTCAGAGGATATCAAAGATTGTATTGAAGTTTTGTAAATAAAAAGATCACCCTTTCTTTTGTTGGAGGGTTAGTTGGGACTCCTGCTTATACAGAATGTTCTAAATCAGTAGTGTTCGCTTACCCCCCCACCTAACTTACTACTCACCTCTGAAGCGCCGGGCTGATTTCGTCTTCACTGGGTCCGTGCAACCACGTACATGGGTTAGGAGCGTATACATGGATGCCTGTTGGTTTGTTATATTCTCATTGCATATGCACCTCATCGCTGCCATGTAACACGCCCAATACGCGCCTGACAACTTGCTGTCAGCTTACCCATTGCACACGCAAGGGGGGCCACAAAGTTAGAGAACAGTAATTGAGTAGTCAACGTATCAAAGAAAAATACTCCGTACAGCCTCGTACGTAGGACCAGAAGATTTAGATCATTAAAAATGAAGATTTCTTCAAAAAGAAAAAAGAATAGGCTTTGGCGGGGGGGACCCCGTCAGATTACAGAGGGAGGACCAACTACCTCATACAAGGCGGTTAGAGAAGAAATGAAGAAAGAAGAGGATAACTAGACAATGATATGTTACGGCGATAAGCCCTTAGTTGTTTGTAAATAACGCCCCTTTTCCCTCGGTCACCTATTCCGTCGTGTACAGACTCATTCACAACTAATTACAAACTCAAAGGGCTGGACTAGAGAGAAGGGCGTGTGCCCACAGATACATACTATTATTATTTCGCACCCATCCTACTGCACAACTTACATTCCGCCGCCGATTGGTTCATTTGCATTGATTCATGTCATCTCCGCAGGACTTGATGGATATAGGACTGCGGAACGATTTGACTTGATCTATGACCGTGGCTTCCGGTTATTGTTTCAAGTTTGGTCTTGTTGAGCTACCCATGCAATTTCTGAACGGGGTGGCCAGCAAATGTGGTAATTAGTTGTTTATCGCAGTGAAACGGAGGTTTCAACACCTTCTATTTCCATTTTAAGAGCCTGGACAGAATGGTTGTTGGTGGGGATATGTTAGTTAAGCCTGTTCTAGGGTCGTAACGCTTGGGGAGGGGATATGCTACTGAATGGGACTGCCCTGGTAGCAGAGTTGTCTGAGTTTTGAGCCTGCTATCGAGGGAGAGTTCGGTTCGTACGCTCTTTGGTTTCAAGTGACTTCGATAATTATTGTTATGAAGAAAACGGATATACTTGCTCATAGGGCTGCGGATGCGGGCGTATTGTTCGTCCTGCTCTGGCGGAGTTATGTAAATTACTATGGCCAAGTATTTTATAGGTAGGAAGCGTGGTACAATCTAGACAACGAGGTCCACGGAGCTAGGCCCGGCCTAGGATTGTGGGTTCTGGGACGACGTGGAGGAGGTGCTAGAAGGTAAGGAGTATCGTGCACAGATTGCGAAAGGTAGACTTTCAACACATGTCACGAATTCCTGTGGATTCCCTGTGGTTATGCACAAAGGTGGGGCAAGCACTTTTTGGCGCGGGCCAATCAGGAGCGTTCCAGGGTTCCGAGCTCTGGAGCTCGGGCACGCGGGACAGTTCCGGTCGGGCGGTGACCCGGACGCGGGACCACGGGACAACGGAACCACTGTTATTGGTTACGTAGATAGATATATACGACGACCGTGTCCACGGTCTTAGATAGTTCTTGCTTGGTTCTTCAAGCAAGCAATACACATTCACTGCACTCATATACTTTGAGTGGCATTCCGATTTGACTGTATTACCCGTGCGATAGGAGCTTGCCCTTTGTTCTATCTTCATAATTACCAACCCCAGCATCCTGTGGAGCCCGTGCTCCCTTACAGACAGACGACCCTAACAGTCGAGTGGTTTGTAATAGGAAGAGATTTATCTAGTTCGAAGGGAGACGTCGTCGCAATGGTGCGGAGGGAGGCTCCAAATTTTCCCTTTATCCATGACGAGAAATTCAACCGTGGTCACACACAGGGCGCACCAATTTACCCACCAATTGACCAATGATCTCGGCAATTCCTCCAAAAAGGCTAGTCTCTGTCGGCATGGATAGTCAAAGCAACTAGTCTAAATGATGCAGAACAGGAGTGACGTGCCTACTTACCCAAATACACGGTTGATGGCTCTAATCGAGATCATACTGGGTTATAAGCCAGCATGGCATGCGTAACTTTCTTGCTACATCGCCTTTATAAGCTACGAATAACAAGTGTATAGAAAGACTGTTTTTCTAGCTTTGCTAGAATTAAAGCCAAAGACTAATCAAGTTCACATATATATTAGAATATTACTCGTTCCTCAAGCCCACTATAGATCCAAGGTGCCGATGAACTCCTTTGAAAGTTGTACCTGTGCCTATTATCATCACGGCGAGGCACTAGAATGAGATAAAGCCTGAAGGGCTAGCCGCCTGACTCAGTTTTATAAGATTTCAAGATAGAAAAGTGGAGGGAAAGCCCTGCAAGGCTTTTGGCCGGTTACATGCACGGCCAGATCAGTGATCCGGTATGGCGAGACCGAGAGCCAACACGACCCCGTATTCGGTCCAACCACCGTCTCCGTTCGCTGTCAACGCAACGTTCAGAACCAAACGCCACGGACATATCCCCGCTATTTGAATCCTTTTGGCACCACCAATGTCGTACCCGGATGGCATGGCCGGGTATTTGGACCGGCGCGGTCGCCCCACTGGTTTGACATGGATTTACCCGACCGGAAGCGAAAGGCTTGGAAGGCATTCTAGATATTGCAACAACACATAAATGTAGAAACCAACACCAACTGCCCCAACGAGGGTGGGACCCTTTTTCGTAACGTCACTGCTCTCTTAAAAAGGGCACACACATCCCGTCATCCATATACTCAACCTTGCACGCAGACTCGACCAACGCAGACCGACCCGTACCTGCCAAACAACATGCGCGTATCCACCGCGTTCTCCATTCTTGCCGCCACGGCGGCAGCCGACGTGGTAATCATCCCCGGCGGTGACCCGAAACCCTACCGCGGCGACGCAGCCGTCACCTCCGAAGACGCCTTCTTCCGGCGGTCCGCCCCCAACGAATTCTTCAACTCGTCCGCCAAACTGATCATGAGCTCGCACTCGGCCGTCCTCACCAAAGGCCGGAGCACCAACCTGACAAGCGCCGACGGCCTCCAGCCCTCGGGCGACTCCTTCCTGCGCGGCGCGATCCAAGCCTGGGGCGAGCACCTGCACCTGGTCCTCCGGCCCGACGAAGTCTGGTTCACCATCCTGGTGCAGCTCAACTTCTACATGGCCGCGCACGCGGAAGAGGTCCGCTCGCTCTTCGTCTCAACCCCGCCCGGGACCCAGCAAGAAATTTACATCCAGGACATGACCCTCTACCGCGTCCTGATCCGGTTCCAGGACGAGATCCAAAAACGCATCAAGACGCCCTGGCTCCGCGACTGGATCGCCCCGGGCTTCTCCACCACGACCCAGTCCGACGCCATGACGGCCAACATCCTCATGATGGGCCTCACCAAGGCCTACTTCAAGTACACGGGCAAGGTCGTCTGCGGGCTGCCGTCCGTCACCCTCCTCGGCACGGCCGCCGACTGGGACGCGCTGCTGGCCAAGCTCGACCGGCTCCCCGCCTTCGGCACCGAGCCGGCCCAGTACGCGGCCCGCCTGCGGCCGGTCCTGTCCCGGTTCGCGCAGAGCTTCCGTAGCCCCGACGCCGAGTCGACGAGGCGATTCTGGAACCAGATGGTGGTCGGCAGGCGCGGCCAGATCTGCGGCGACCCGCCCGTGTTGGTGTCGGGCTGGATCACCGGGTTCTGGTTCTGGAACGAGCGCGGCGGGGCGTATGCGCGCGTGAGTAATACTTCTTCGGCGAGGGGGAGTTTGCTGACGCTCGACGGCGTGGCGTACCCGACGCTGGACGTTATGGACGCGCCGATCGGGTATGCGCGCACGCCGCTGCTGCTGCTGGATTGGGACGGCGTGGCCGAGTTTCCGGCGTTTGTTGCCGCGGGGCCGATCGGGAAGCAGATTACCGAGGGCCCGCCAGCGGGGCATCGTGAGGCGGTGCTGAGGGCGGGCGGGAATGGGAGTCTGGTTGGGGGGGATGATGAGAAGAAGGGACATGCCACGCTCCGGCCGCTCAGTGGGTGGATGGTGTATGGGCCGCTGGAGCATAACAAAACGAATTCGGCGTGGGTGGTTGAGGACGAGCTGGCAATTGTGCAGGCGAGCGCGGTGAGGTATTTTAGTGAGGAGGTGTGCGGCGCGTCGAGGGTGTTTTGATGTGTGTTGGTTTCGGGGGGGTGGATCACATGGTTTGTTCGGGTGAAGGTGATATGGACTGCCCGGCTCTGGAAAAAGCGGTTTGGCCGGGTATATTGTCATGGGAGAGCGAGTGGAGATTCGAGTCCTTTCTTTCTTTTTCTCTTTCTTTTTTTTTCCCAAGAAAGAAAAAAAGGCTCCTTGATCTACACATGCCTGCCAACTATAGCGTTGGCGACCAAGGTGAAGCGGCCGAAGTAATTCGGAGCGACTGTCGCTGCTTGCCGTGGTGGGGTTGTTATTATTGAGCGACCGGGAAAGTGTAGTAAATCACGATGCGGGCAGTAACAGTGGCCCTGCGGACCAGGGAAAGATGAGAGCAAAGAGTTGTTGTATTGCAAAGGGCGGTGCACCAATTTAACTAGCTACCAATATCTCCAGGCGGCTCCTTCCTTGGCCACAAACGCCACGGAAAGATCAAGTTGCCACATTGACGGGCTTGCTACACGTCTAGGCCCAGCTCAGTAAATCGGTCAGAATGCGTACAAATCTAGGTAGGTGTTGAGATTGCTTGGTGCAAGGCCAAGGCTGTGGCTGGGAGGGTTGACTATGGCTTGCAAGCCTTGCACGTGAGCCCCCGCAGGAGGCCCCATGAGCGTAAGAGTGTGGCGGAAGGCGCGCTTGCTTTCTGTAAAGAACCTTATTTTTTATGATTGCTCGCGAGCGTCTGACAAGCTTGGCTTCGGCTCTGCCGTGGGATGTCGGATTCTCCCCTTGTTACGCCGAGAGAGGCGTGTCGAAGACGTGGAGGCCCCACGCAGGGCCTTTCGGCTTAGGCTGGCTGGTTATTATCTGTATTGCCTTTCGGTTGCGCTTGGCTTTTTTTTGACGCCATACCCGGCGTGAAGTTAATTTTATCCTCAAGATTGGTTGTAACTTTAAGCCTTCAACGAGTCTAGCGTCGCCAGCTTGCGAGCGGAGCCAGGCGAAGTGGAGGAGTGCGTCGTCTACTGGGTTTGTCATCGTGTGCCGCAGGTTTTTCGTATGGGGGCAGTAACAACCCAGGCAGGGAAGCCCGCCGCAGGCGCAGGGGACCCCCGGCCCCAAAAATACTCCCAAACTTTACAACGACACTCTACTTCGTGTCGTTCCGATGACACCTTTCTAACATCTGGGCTAGGTTGTCAGCTTTATTCACTTTCACCGCAGCCTTATACCTTGGTAGAGTTCAGCTATGGGCCCGTCGCACTCCATCCCAATGACTTATTCGGCATCCTTTGATCTTGCGAGATCCGAGCCGCAAATGGCCATGGAAAGGAGAGAACATGGAGACTTGGTGCATTTATGTGAAGATTACCTACTCCTTACATCTCAACTCTCTCTGTACCATTACTGGATAACGCCATGTACCAATGGGGAGATTGCCTTCCCTGATCCATCCCCAATCAATTCAAATTACCTTCCTCGAGTGTATGTTTTGCCACCCAAGGCAGCCTGGTCATGCACATACAACCCCCGAGCCAGAATGCTAACAACCCCTCACTCGTAAATGTAGCAGTTATCCCCATCCACGGTCGACAAAACATCACGAATAGCCTTTGGCGAGTCGAGCACACCAAAGCTGATCGTTGTATCCAGCGTAGCATTCTCGCTAGGCGGAACTAGAAACAGGGACAGACAAGTCAGTTCTCTATAACCCGGATGCAGGAAAGGTAGAATACATGTACTCACTATTCGCGGTAGTAACCGTGCCATAAACCTGGTTTAGCCGCGTCCTCAGATCCTGGCCCTGCCAGATGGGGTACAGCCGATCGATCTGGGCATGGTGCAGCCAAAAGATGGGATCGCTCGGGCTCACTAGCACATCGAGCGTAATGGTGCCGACCTGGAAGTGGCCCGACGTGTGGATCCCGCCCGGCGCGTCGAGCAGCTGGTTGAAGCAGGCTACGTCCGCGCAGGCCAGTTCCCAGGACACATTGGTCGGGTGCGTGTCGCGGCTGAAGGCCGGGTCGAGGTCGCGCGTCAGGCAGCGCGGATTATAGCCGAGGCCGCCCTGAGGCCCCTGCGGGCTGCCGGCGATGGGCCCGAGGTGGATGACGTACTTATCCGGGGTGAAGGGCCCGGAGGCGACACAGCCGCCGCCCGTGGCCGGCTGGAAGGTCAGATTCTGGCCGAATACGTTGATGGTCACGGGGTCGCGGTCCGGCACGTAGAGCCCGTTGCTGCCCAGGGACCAGGGCGAGCCGTCGAAGACGGTGGCGTTGCGCGGGTCCTCGTACGTCAGGCCCCAGTCCCAGTAGGACTGCGCGCCCTGGTACCCGCACTCGGTCCGCAAGGCATTTTCGTACAGGCGGACGAAGTGCCGGTGGTAGCTGAGGAACAGGCCGTCAGCGTGCACAAAGGGCGACTGCTGGAGGTGGCAGCCGACAAAGTCGTCATAGCGCGTGCGCGCGCCGGGGATGTCGGTTTGCGAGGTCTGGCCGGTCTTGTTGGCGAGGCAGTGCACTGCGTTGACGTAGTCCTCGCGCTCGGGCTCGGAGAGAGAACCCCTGGGGTCCTTGGGTTAGATACACATATATCCGAGTCACCGTCTCGTTCAAGGGTGGGGGGGGGTTAGAAGACGTACCATTCGCGACGATGGAGGAGATTCTTTGGGTTACAGACGGTTCTACGGCGGCGAATTGAAGCGCGCAGGTTATCCTGATACTGCTTCTGGAGCTGAAGGACGTCCTTGGCTGCCTGCACCTCGGGATCAACCGACGCGTGCTGGTCGCTTGCCAGGCCCAGCAAAGGGAGGCACAGGACGAGAAGGGTGATGAGCTTCATAGTTGGTTTGAGAGGCGAATGCTGACCGGGTGTTTTGGAAAACGGATGGAGAAGGAAGGAAATCTAGACTGCTCTGGCGCGCGACACCGTCACCTAAATACTTTTCCGGTTCTGGCGAGAAGGAGGTTGGAGGCGTGAACTTGTTCCTCAGAAGTAGGATGAAGACGTACCTGGCCGCACCCTGAGTTGGTCACACGGTTTCTTGAGCTTGTAGTTGACATTGTGAGCAAGGCGGCTGATGGAGCTGCAAGTTGCAAATGTGGCCGTCTCATGTATATCTCATTCGTATTACTCATCTGTACAGCCATGTTGCTTCAAGACAAGCGGGGCACAGTCTCTCTTTGACGGCTCTGTTCACCACCCCGCACCGCCTTTTCGCGGTTGTCTGTCCCCTTTCCTTTTCATCCGAACTGTCGTAGGCAGCACCGCGTGACACGCTGCTTGCTTCCCTCCTGTTCAGCCTTTGGTCTTTAGTCTTGCTCGACACGCCGCTAGGTAACCAGAACGCTAAAGCGTGGCCGTGAGGCGATCGAGAGATTCTGCCGACGCGTACCTGAAGCTTATACTCCCGAGCTGGGACCCCTCAGATATAATTTCCAACCCTGTGCATGTCTCCATTCTGGTCACTCTTTTTTCTCATGAGCACATTACTCTACCCGTTCCTCTATACTACCGCCGCTTAAACAGATCGATTTGCCAACATACCGAAATCCAAATGCCGCTGCTTACAGTACCGTGTCGAAAACCCTCCATGTCATAAAGTCGCACAGTACCGCATGCAAGCCAGCACAGACTCGACCAATCGCCGGCCCAGCTTTCGCGCCTTGCCCAACCCCTAGGCAGGAGACCTGCGGGCTGCAGTGTCAACTCGAGACATTCAGCTTCGCCCACCGCTCAGCCCCCTTGGTCTCCTTCTACTGGGCTACCTACCTTCTAGAACTTTTCCAACGGGCGAGCTCGGGTTCGCGAGTATCCCAAACTATTTAGATTTGTATTTGTTTCCCCCACTCTCACCCCATCCTGTCTCTGCTCACAGCCGCAGGGGTACCCTCTTTACCGCCGGCGACACCGCCCATCATGAAGGTATCCCAACCCGCCACAGCTTTACCCGACACAAAACTCCCCAAAAGCAAAGACTAACCATCACCACCACCAGACCATAGTATTCCGCCTAAGTATGCCTTGAGTCGTTCTAGGTACCCTGATCGTTACAACCGTGACAAATCCAGCGAGAGAGAGCGCTCGCGGGAGCGTGGCGGCAATCGTGATCGCTACAAGGACAAACGTGACCGGCGCGACGACCGTCGGGAAGACAAGCGAGACAACTTCCGCCGTGATGGCCGCGACCGGCGCGATGACCATGATCAGCGCGACAAGCGTGACCGTGATGACCGTCGTCAACACGTCAATTTTGCCTCGGAGGTTGACGGCAACGCTGACACGTCCGACCAAGCCCTAGGCAGCGACGAGACTGAGGCTGACATCGTCTGCTCCATTATCGACCGCCACCTCACTTCTAACAAGTGTCACCTAGCTCTGCCTACCGTGCATCAGAAGAAGGCACACACCCGCCTCTGCACGCCATTTAAGGCAACGCAAATGGAAGGGTTCCGGAGCATCTCACCACTGGACCCAGCCCGGCGGACTTGTGGGTATTGCCGCAAGGTGTTTCCTTCCAGGAATAAGCTCTTCCAGCACCTGAAGGTTTGCAAGGACGCCAAATCTGGCAAAACGGCCCCCAAGGGTAGCCAAGAGCTGACCAAAAAAATTGCCCAAATCACCAACATGGAGGACAACCCCGACACTGCAAAGCTTCGGGAAGACCTCAAGCCAGAGATGATAAGGCCCTGGGACGAACTTGACGACGACATTGTAGCGTCCGCCACTCTCTCGCCTCCAGCAAAGGTCAAATACACTATCAGGGAAGCACCGCGATCTATCACGGAGGACATTGACCGGAACTTAAGGTCTAGTCACACGCACTTACGCATTCAAGTTAAGGCCAACCCTGAGGGGGACGACTTGGAACTGTGTGCGGACCCTGGTGCTTCAAGGTCGTTTATCGCTAGAGGGTTCCTCAACAACCTAGAGCACTCAATCGAGAAGCGTAAAGGTACAGCCGACGGCGAGGGAGGCCTGACAGGTATGAAGGAATGGGCGACTTTCTCATTCTATGTGCCTGGAGTGGACAAGCAGGGGAACAATGTGATGCTGAAGTTCACGAAGTCCGCATGGGTCATTGAGCGCTTGACGGCCAACGACTTTATCAACCCACACGGGAGTGTCATCGACTACGAGGAGCACCGGATCCATATACGATGCCTAGACTTCTCGTGCAAGTTCGAAGTGGTACCGCAAGCCAACCCTTGTGTTCGAAAAGTCACCGCCAGGCAGAAGGTTACCCTGCTACCAGGACAGAAAGCCTACGTGCCCGCCCGCTACCTTCCGTTGCCCAAGGGACGAAACTTCCTGTTCGAAGCCAAACATGGAGCCGCCGTCAACGCTATCATGGACCACAAGACCCCGGCTGTGGTGTAGGTTATCAACACCATAGGAGGCATAATACTTATCCTAGCTAGTGCGGTCCTCGGACACATCAAAGAGAACCTACAGAGCGGGTTCTTCGCTTCCACTTGGTCCAATGCTATGAAAGCACTGACGGTAGGCGTCGCTCTCGCATCTGCCATTCCCACAGCAGCCGCAACGAGCACCCCGTCCGCGGCAGGCGACTTCGCCTACACGCCGAAATCAAGCGTCATAATCGGACATCCGTCGATCAACACCGAGTTTAGCATGGGGCCAATGGTACGAGCAATTGCGCAAGGATACGCTCCCAGCCGAGACCCTGAGAACAACACCACGGCGTACCCGAAAGACACGCCTTCCAACTTCGGAACCAACTCTGCAACTCCCTTCTCCGATACAGTGTTCAACCTTATCCAGAATCCGGCAAGCTACGCTGGGCAGTTCGAAGTCACCATGCCTCCTATGCCGGTCCCTGAGGATCTGACGACCCCTATACACACTTCGCCTACCGTTACGCAGTCGACGCAGCAGTCTGACTCTCCCAACGGTTGTTTCGAGTCACCGCAAGACATCTTTTGTGAGGCGTACAAGTACTGTCCCTGTAGTGTATTATTGGCGGCCTAAGCTGACCTCTTCCAGGCACCTTGAACCGGGAGGCTCCATCGAAGTACACGACATCGACTTTGTCCCTAGGTCGATGCGAGGGACGGTGGACGGCACTCATTTGCAAAGCTGTATGCAACTGATATTACAGGCGGCAGAGTTGAACGGAAGGCCACTAATTTGTGCCCAGAACTACGAAGGCTGGATGAAGGGCGCTGGGTTCATACAAACCAAGGTGTTCCCTTGGCCGCTGAACGGGTGGGCAAAGCCACCTCACAAGCGCATTGGATTGCTGAACGAGGATAATTTCTCCCAGTGGCTGGAAGGGCTTTGTATGGCGCTTTTCACAAGAGTTCTTCACTGGACTGAGGAAGAGGTCCGAATGTATTGCGCGAAGGTGCAGAAGGAACTCTCAGATCCAAAGATGCTCGTCTATTTCGAGGTGTGAGTCTAAGGCGTGATGTATGCCAGCTGTCCTGAACCCCGCTGATTCCAATATAGGGTTGCTATTCACGGTTGTAAGCCAGACGGTAAAGACGCTGCGCAGATGACGGGAAATCTGGGGAAGTTGCCCTGTGTTTCATGATGTGGAAGTATTGAGTTTGTCATTGCTGTATCCGTAATTGTATCTGTAATTGCCCTGCGGGTTAAGGTCTGGGGTATTGGTGATTCGCAATAAAGGAGCTAGGTAGCTTTTGGTGGGAGCTCAGGGAGCCCGAGCAACGACGAGAGACTGACAAGCGAGCCTCTCCTGCGAAAAGCACCCGGGTGCCAAAAAATAGTCGGACGGGTATTGTGGCTCCGGAGTCATCTCCCCGCGATGACACGAACCCCCGAGTCCTCCTCACCCGGCAGCGCGTTGGCCGTGCCGGCAAAAGTTTCTTGACGTGCCGGGGCACCAGCTGGCTTTCCACTGCCGGCAACGCTGAGCTGGCTTTGTCTAGCTCCGTTTGCAGCTTTTTGAGCAGGTACGGAATTTCATCAGATCATCCAGCTGCGCCACCTAACCCTCCCCCAGGGCGCTGCCCCGCTGCTTCCCCAAGCTGTTCAGCTCGCCGGACAATGACACCGCGGAAGGGCGGGCTCGGTCAAGCGCACATCGGTCTTGGCCTGCGCGGTTATCTTGAAGAGCTGGCTTAAATCGTCTGCGCGTAGTGGGAGGTGAGGTTGGTTGCGTCGGTGTGGTCGCTGGAGTAGCTCTGTTTGAACAACGACTCAGTCACTGTTCCGCCCCAAACGTAACTTAACGCCGCATACTGCGTTGGTTGAGAGCAAGTCCGAATGCAGTTTTTGTTGACGTCGATGAGACAATAAAATCAAGTCCTTCGGGAAATCTCTCTTTGCCTGATGCGCAGCCACCCAACGCACAGTCGGGATGGTAGTTATCGCAAGTATGCATCCATCGTCGTATACCGTCGAAATCGATCGATCGAGGTGGGTAGTACTGACCAATCTCTTCCTCGGGTGAAAACCTATTTTGGAAATACAGTTTGTACTGCCAGCGCTGGGTGAAGCGAGAGGACCAGTTAGGACCGTCCTTCCACCGTTCGTTTGACAGCAGCTATGCTCGGAGACTCTGTCGAGAAGGTGGGGATCCGCCAGAAGTACCGATCGGTGTGATGAGATTATATGAATCGACTTTCTGTGCCACATCTACGACTGAAAATGGTTTTACATCAGAATAAGCAAGCACAGAAGGCTAAAGGCTGTTGATTGTCAGATGACAGGAGTCAGCAGAGTTTGATGGTGGAGCTGTAGGGGCGAGGCTTTTTTGCCATGAACAAAAGGTCTCCGTACAGCAAGCAGCAAGACAGCAACGTGGACGGAAAATATCGATTGAAAGGCGTCTAGGGAATTTAAAATGATCTTAATGTTCGAACCAATTTGATCAGTTTTAAACAGAAATGCAAAGCTGGGATTGTTCTAAAATTAAAGTACCCAGCATTTGGCTCGCTACGCAGGTGGCTCGTAACACAGTGATATGTGTTACTGCAAGCGCCATGAGCGTAATGTCTCGTTCTTGAGCTGTCAGGATGAGTGTTGCCAGCAGTGTGGTGAACACAAGATAATTAGCGTGTTCCTAGCGCAGGCGTCGCCTCTGCGCAGTAGTGCCGAAGAACAACTGAACTACTAATGCCCTTCTAATTACTGCAAAGGAAACACCCTCCCGGTTTCGGCACGCGGGCGCTGTGCAAGCGGTAGTCTCCGACTCGTAACACTTCATTGGTTGCGGTCGAGTGGCGTGATCATGCATGGCGTCTGTAAGTGTTCTGCGGCTGACTGCATCCAAGTCGCGCAGTTCTTTGACGTTTCCTTCTCCTTGCGCCTTTTTTTTCTCCAAGTGTTTGACAACCAGATCTGCGAACTCCCCAGCCGCTCGAGATGAGCGTCTCGCCTTCTGACAGTGCTTTGCCCGCGGTGGGCGACGATGTCGTTGACGGCATGACAATCTTCTGGATCCTCTTCGGGCTTTGCAGCGCCGCAGCGCTTTCGGTGGAACAATGTCCTTGCTTGAAACCTGCCTAAATTTCAACCACGGTAATAACAGTGAGAGCCTAGGGTAAAGATATGGGATGACAGTAAGGTATGGACGTGAAACACGGCCTAAAAGCAGTCTCGAACAAAGGCGAAAAACCCGAACTCGGGTCACAATACGCCATTATTCTTGTAGTGGCGACTGAGTCAGTTTTGGACCTGCTCGAGATCCGGTGGGAACTAATTAGGAAGGAGCGAGCAATGCCGACCGGGGAGAACATCCGGTAGACCCGTGAGGAACCATTTTATTCCACGCAACTACCTCAGACCCAAAACGAAAAAAGAAGGCACGACCTACCGCCCGACCGTCCTCCAGGGCCTCAGGACGTCGGGCCCTCCGCCCTGGCTCCAAGTCTTGAGGAGAAGCACGACACAGCAATATTTCCTCGTGCACCACCCGCCAACATTTGAATCGCTGTCCGGTCAGCAGAGCACCCCTACGTTTCACTCTCTCCTCCATGTCGTTGGCCCTCCAACTTCACCTTTGATCCTCCTATATATCTCGACCTCGATTTACCCATAGAAATATCAATTTCAGCATTTGCATGCGGATTGTATCCTTCGCTGGAACTGATCACCTACCAGCCCAACACCCTCCACCGGTTTGCCTTCCCCATCTCAACACGGCCCTGCGAGACAGTTGTCCCTTGGCTCTCTTATTATCAACCCCCCAAATTCGCCACAGAACCACATCAGAGAGGCCATGTTTTCTCTCGGTGGCAACAAGAAGAAAGAGAACCCAGAGGCTACCGCGCAGCCATCCAATTCCAAACCCAAGCTCCCCAAGCCCAACCGGCGCGGCTCATCAATCTCGTCGGCAGCCTCGGGCACGGCTCTCATCGGAGACAAAGACAACGCGACCAACAACGCAGCCGGCGGCGGCGCCAGCAGCACAGAAGCCCACCGCGGCTCTCAGGACACGGCAGCGCCAACAGTATCCTCGCAAATGATCCCGCAACAGCAGTCGCTCGACGATTTCCGGTTCCCCGACGGCCAGGACATTACCAACAACCCGCAAGCCCTGCTGCAAGCCCCATCATCGGCATCCACGTCCAAAGACAAATCCGCACACAGCAATAACAAAAAAGACAAGAAGGGCGTGGCGCCGGCGTCAGGCCAGTCGTCGGCCAAGACCAAGGGGTCCAGGAGCAAGAAGGTGCGGGCGCTGCCGCGAAAGGTGGTGCACCGGTTGCGCGGATACGGGTCGCGGCTGCGGAAGAAGCTGCACCGCGGGCGCAAGCACATCAAGAAGCCCACGGGGCCGACACTGAAGCTACGCGTGCAGGTGCAGGAGCCACTGGGCCAGGCCGCGGAGGTGGGCGAGATGGTCGGGGCGCCGCCGCCGCCGGTGCCGCTGCCGGGCGCGTAATTAGGGGGAGAATAGGATGGAAGATAAGAGCATGGATTCCAGGTTGATGTTGGTTGCAACGGTGATATGAAGGGGTTGGGTGATGCACCACAGGCGTGCCGTGGAGAGTGAAAACAGTGAGTTGCTCTTTTCATCCTCCTCTTTGTCTCTCGACTGTTTCTCGAAACTACCTACACAAGTCTAACGAACTTATTGGATTTCTCCTAGTCCTCGCTCTAAGCTTGAACTATGCTCCAACAACCTTCTACTTCTGACGCAAACGCCGCGCTCTTCACCTTTACTTCAGGAATAGCCTATGGCACCACACACATGAGAGCATTAGATGAATGAAGGGCACACTTAGGTCACTCATGTTCAGTTCTTCCGAACACGTCATTGTTTGTTGAGTAACTAGGTGTCAATTCAGGTTCTTCTCAGCAAACGCATTTGTTGTTCTGCAAGTGACTTGAGAAGTTGAGAGTCAGAACTGGTAGCAAGTCTGCTCACCGCAAACGTCAACATACACAACACTTTGCCCCCATGCTCTGATTTGTTTCGCATTGACATTCGACATTGTTATCATATATACTTCGGCTCTCTGCAGCTTAGAATTACAAGGTAAGAAGTTAAGTGGAAAAGCCAAAAAAAATTACATCGATGACGACTATCGCTCAAGAAAACCAGGAAATGCCTCCACTCTACGAAACATGGTGAGAATGCGACAACAACCCATGGCACCGCCTCGTCCTAGCCAGTCCCCAGAGGCTCGGTGCATTATACCTCTCTCGTCATTAATTTTTAGTTCCCACAGCCGACCGCCAGTCAACCCGTCCAACCCAACCCGCCCCTCCCTGTCTGTGGAACATATATATACCTTCCTAAGGACCCCCAGACAGTTCCGATTCAGTAAAAGATCTATACAGAAGTGCGAACTTAGAAAGGCCGTGACCGTCCTATCCACAGGCCTTGCATCATAGCTATTATTATTATTTATATCCTATTCCCTCTCCGTCTTTGAGAGACACCAGCGGAGAAAGCCCGTAGCGGTCGGTTGATGCGCCCTTGACAGCTCCAGTCCCGCAGCTTATGGAGATATTTCAGGCGGCCTGTCGGTTAGCACAAAAACTCCCGGGCCTGAACGTCGATGTTGGCCCATGACCAGTACCTGGCGGGGCTTGAGCCGGCTACATTTGGAGCTGCAGCGTGGCCATGCCATACGGTGACACCCGAAAGGGCGCCAGCAGTGGCGCCAGTGATTTGGCGCGCAAAACGATTGAGAAATCGCCATGCTGGATCACCAGCCCTGACCCACAGTGCCTCTTCTTGTCCTCTCGTGCTCTCGCCTCGTCGCGCCCGTGACACGGCTCCACTCTTCCCACTCGCGGCTGACGTCCATGAGCACACCCCCCATTACCTGGGCGCTGGCCATCAAGCCGTGGCCTTCACCCTCGAGCACGCGCACCTCGCAGCGTCGCATTGTCTTGCCCAGCCACTTGACGTTTTCTACGGGCACGCGCGTGTCGCGGCTGCCGTGGTGAATGACGACCGGTCTCGTGATGTCGACGTAGCGGAAGCCAATGGTATGTCGCCGCTCGAGACATACAAGCAAGTCTACTGCGGGGTTGGCACCAGTCGTCGCCAGGTGCCAGATCGCGTGGGTCAAGCGGTTGTCGTACATCTGTTGGCGCTCACGGTCGGCAAGCTGAGAATTGGCCAGAGCGGCGGCCGTTGCGAGGATGTGCTCTTCCTTCTCAGACTGTCGACGAGAACCGTGCTGGGATGAGTTGGAGCGGTTGTGGCGGTGGCTGCTGTTGCCATCGGTGTGGGATGGATTTGTTCCGCCAGGACCAACCATAGTGGGGCTCGCCCCTGTTGGACGGATGCGGTCCATATCTTCGTCCGCCGGCTGCGAAGGCTGCAGATCCTTGGGTGCGCTGCCGCCGTGGCCGTTGTTTTCCTTATTTTCGACCCCGGACTGGTTCGAGTTTCTGCTGGCCTCCTTGGCTGCGGCGCTTTTCTTGTCCCGCTTCGCTCTCTTCTGTTTTGGCAGGGAGCTGGTGATGCTGGAGCTCGTGGCTGTCATGAAACTGCTGTTGGCAGCCTTAAGAAACGGAGTTGGGAGAGCCCTCAATATTCTCTGACTCGTGGGTATCGCGTTGGTGGGAGGCAACGGGGTCTGAGAACTAGCACCGAACACGCTCATTTGCGACGGGGGAATCCAAGGCGCTAGAAGGTGTATTCTGCCCCGGATGTGCTGGGGCATGCGGAGTGCCGTTGCCAGAGCATAGATAGCGCCGGCTGAGTGAGCCAGGATGGAGAACTTTGTGATCTTCAGCGACTGGCAAATCGCGTACACATCATCTGCAAGAAGTCAGCATCAACACAATTGTGACCCAAAACGGGCTAGACACAGTGGCAACCTACCAGGCCAACCCAAGGGGGTTGCAGTTCCCTCTGCATAAGGCTCACTGTCGCCTACACCAGGCCGGTCGGGTGTGATGAGGCGCAGCTTTAGAGTCAACGCCAGCTCGTCATAAAATGCAGTGATATACCTCGTCAGACCCATTCCAACGCAGCAGAAGACGGCGCTTCCGTTTGGATCTCCGACTTCGCTGAAGCTAATCACCCGGCCCGTCTGTGGGTGCCGGATTTTTTGGCTCAGACGCGGGCTGCACAGATAGCTCTCCACGGCATCGTCGATGCTATCGGCACTCCTGGGTCTCTCGTATGCAATGTGTGGCTGATCGCTGTGTGTGTTTCCAGAGGCCACCCCTTTATCTGACGCCTTGTCGGGGGTAGGGCTTGCAGCGCCAGAGAGCCGCTTAAGTCTGCTGCTGCTGCGTTTCACCTTGAGAGTTACACCACCCCCTGTCTCGCTGTTGTACCCGCTATGGAGATCCGGTGTCAAGTGGCCGGAGCGACGACGATGGCGCGCATCGGCGCTGGATTCGCGGTCTCGACGGCGCCCCTGGGCGATGGCGGGAGACGGCGCACCATCGTCCAACGGATCTGTATCTGGAAACATGGCTGCAGCCGGAGTCGACGGACTCGAGCTGTAAATGTCTGGGCGCGGTTTACTGAACGACGTCGTGTTCGATCGGGGAAGGTCTGCGGAAAGCCTCTGAGGGTCAAGCTCCTTGGCCGACGTAGCACCCGGCCGCTGCCTGGCAGTATCGCCGCGGTTAGTACGACCACCGCTGCTTTGCTCGTCGATCTCGTGAATGGTAGCGTTGGGGCCGCCGTCACTGTCGCGCTTCGACGTTCGTGACGCACGAGCAGAAGACCGTTTAGCACCGCTACCAGTTTTTCGCAGCGACGAGTCTCGAGTTGGTATTTGTCGGGGATTGGGGACACCTTCTCCACCGCCAAAGCTGGTCCGTTCGCGGCGAGGAGGGGAATCGGGGTTCGATTCTTCGTTGATCACCGACTCTGCCGAAAGCGGGTCAAGACGCGGTGTAAGGTTTCCGTTAGAAACACCGAGACCGTTTGGGTTACCGCCTACAGCGCCAATGCTGGCTCTCTTCTTGTCGTTTTCCTTCTCTCGTAGCCTTTCCTTGCTGCTCATGTACATTAACCCACGCTGGTTTCGGCCGCTCTTCTTACCCCAGCTGTCGTGGGACTTTTGCCGTGTCAGGCCCTTGCCTTCGGTTCCGGGCGACAATGGCTCAGCGACGCGCTCGACGCTCAGCTTTCCAATGCTCTCAGTCGCAGATGCTAAAGAGCCCCTACTTGACGGACGCGACAAGGCGCCGCTGCCTCGAGAAAGCAGACTCTTCAGACCCGATGTATCCCGATTCGCCGGGCTTTTGGGTGACTTTGGCGACGTCAAAGACGAATACCCGCTGGGAGGCTTCGAGGTTCGTATCACCGGGGCGCTGGCCGCGAGTTCATCCAGAGGCACGTCCTCTTCGCGCAGCTCGGCAAGGGATGGCTGGGAAAAGGCGCCGTAGTCAACACCAAACGAGCCTCCTGAGTGACCGGTAGGGGAGCCCGGGCTAGACAGGTTGTTCGGAGTGCGGGCGCCGCCGATGGGGCTGAGATAAGAAGGCCCGTCAAAGTGGTTGCTCAGCGGTCTGGAAATGGCCGATAGAGACGTGATGAGCGACGAGATGACCTCGGGGGACCCTGGGACAGGCGGAGAAACTTTGTCGTCGTCTCGGTCCCGCAGGTAGCGGTTGACGTATCGCTGGCGGTCGCGGTCGGACCAGTCGGCAAAGATATCGTTCTCTCGATCCTGGGTGGGCTCTGGCGTCGGGATGGCATAGGGAGCGTTGTGGCGGCGCGAAGTTGGCTGGGCTTGGTCGCGCTCTTGTTCACGGGGCCGGCCACGTTCTCGTTCGCCTCGTTCACGGGCTTTGCGGGGAATGGGGGGGAAAGTCGGTGTCGACGAGGTGTGATCCATTGCGGCGTCGGCGGCGTCGTCAGGCGGCGCAGGAAGGGGTAAATAATGTGCGGTATCCGCCTTTGGTGTCGGCGCGCGTGCAGTAGCCGTGAAGCCTCTTTTCGGCAGATCGCCTAACCAGAACCAGGATTCGAAAGTATCGACCGAGTTTGACTTTACGGTAGGTTAGGTTTGGGCTGGTAGATCTGGCGCGGCTAATTGTTGAGACTGCGGAGCACCTCCTGCAGAGCAGCTGCATGGAGGTTCGGGCGGGCGTCGATATGCAAGACTCAGGTCGACGTCGGCCCGGGACCAGTCAGATGAACCGTCACGACGGTCGCAGCGTTGCGGAAGCTGGATTTGATTGACCTCGCAGGACTCGCTCGATCAACTGGGCAAAGGGATGGTCGGTTGGGGGGGACGCGGCAAGGACGAGGGCCACCTTGGCTGCGCGCCGTCGCGAAAGGAAGCAGGCGGTGGCACAGGCACAGGCACAGGCACTGACTGGGGGTAGCGACGGGAATACCTAGGTCCCCTTTTCCGAACGGTGGCTTGCAGACGAGAAGCTTTCGCTCGAAGCCAATTCGCCGGCGGCGCCAAAAAGTCGCTTTTAGGTGGGGAAAAGTCGGGGTCGGGCCATGCAGGAGCAGCACCTCATGTCTGCCGACGAACGTGAATTTGGAGCTTGCGAACGTTGCCCAAAGACGCGAACTGAGGAAAAAGAGGTGCAGCGCTGCTAAGGGGTGCGCGTGCTACAGGTGCATATGCTAGAGGTGGACCCGGACAGGTCTTGGGCTTGAATTAGCTTTGTGTTTGGCAGATGGGACTGTGCGCCGCCGGCTGACGTTCATGGCAGATTGTCCGAGAAATTACGGATAGGCATGTGTCCTGTCTACAGTGCCCCCGGTTACCAATAGCAGCGGCGCGTCAGTTAATGTTTAACGCGTCATCCAGCCTGTCCTGCTAACACTGAAATGGGCTGCACGGGGAGCGATGAATGGAAAGACCTGGGAGGCTCTTGGGCAACGGCAGCCGATCGAGGCGAATCCCCGAATTAATTGCTCTCCGGACACCCCTGAATTGATCAATCGCATGCATCCGGTATTGGCTCGAGCTGGCCGCTTCTCGTGTGGTTTCCAATCATGGCATGCAGCAGCCCCTCTTCCCCCCACGCCGCAGCTGACAATCCGTACCCCTGGATCCAAAGTCCTTCTTTGGAGCCCAGAACCCAACAAAAAGCTCACCCCTCTTGAGCGCGACTGCAACCTCTCGCCTCTGGGCAAGCCGAGGGTGGGATAGATCACGGTCTGCGACCACCATGCCACAGTTCCCACGACACCTTACTCTAGACAGGCACGACGCTGCAGTTTTTTAGGCCTTCACATTTTCGCAACCTCGGGTAGCGGCATGGCGAAAATGGCACAATGCGACCCGAGTCCAAGGATCGAGTGGTTGGCTGGCTGTGGAGAACCTTGCTATTCAGTGGGATCGGGGCGGCCGGACAACTTCGAGAATTACTTCTGGAAGAAATAACCGGCCCATTGCCATATCCCGGAATGCTGCGACTGCAGCTAGAGATCCAGCACTTTCCGAAGTGTACGGAGTAAACAGTTCGTTTGATCAGCCCGAGACAACCGGGCAGCGACGCAACAACTTACGATACTCTGTACTCAGTATGCAACCACTTGCCACTCGCAAGTTAATACGGGAGAGCGGACATGCCATATTGCGGAATAGGGGTAATAATGTGGCCTAAAAGCCCGGCGATGGCACTGTTCGCTGTCATGTCTTGCTGGTCCTCACAAAGGGAAAATGTGCCGCCATCGCCGCCTTCGCCGCCGCCGCCGGTGCTCAATCTGGAAATGGATGAACGGGGCATTTGCCCGCGAAGGGGGTTCCATCACAGTGATCAGACAGGCGTAAGTGTAGAATGGGGCCTGAGCGAGCGGCAGAATAAGAGGTTCCGCCGAGCTGCAGCAACCCGCATGCATCGTGCAGCGACGGCCTTTGAAACTCCAAGAACCAGCTGGAAGTGAGAAGAGCGGTCTTTGCGCACCAGTCACCAGTCTCTTCCTGAGTTGTCGGACAACTCTGGCGATCCTCTGTACATCGCGGCGTAAGGCCCTCACAGTTGAGACACGGCGTTTCCAATACACTGGATACGACCCGGTCTCTGAACAATAACAGCTTTGAGATAACGACGACTCGTCCATATTGGCGTCGAGTCCTTGTTCCCCAAGGCCCTGCTGCAATAATTGTTGGAATTATTAATGGGAACCCCGTGCGGCTCTCTCGCCCAATGCCCAACAGCTCTGCTATTGGCCATGACGGCCTCTGTCCGACACAGGCGGGGAAGGGTGGGGGAACGAACAAGTCAGGCCAGGTCATCCTGTCTCAAACGGGACCAGGCAACGAAGACACAGAGAAACCGTGCCATATAGCTGAAGCTGCTATTGCTAGATTGGGCCACGGCCTGGATGGTATGAGTCTGGCACAGTGGTCCAGCCCGTGTTTCTTGTGCAACACAACCTAAGAAGCGGAAGGAACTTAACCGGCCGCCAAATAGACCTTGCTGTGCCTCTCCCTGGAGAGAGCGCCGGCTGTTGACAACCCACACTTTAGATAAGAAACCCAACTTTGTACGACACAGGATGAGATAGTTGTGCGACATCGCCGGGGCAGCTGCTCAACTCTCGTGGAATCCGAGGCTGGGAGCGCAATGCTTGCAATTATCCGTCACAGTTATGGCTATGATCGTGATGGCTTCAGAGAGAGCAGTGGCAAGAGTGCAAAATGGCAACGGACTTCGGCAGTGATTCAGAAGAAAAGCTGGAGATGAAATATTTGCAGAGAAGAAACACGAAATTGGGAAGAAGAGGAGGGGAGGTCATACTCTCCGGTTCCTTCCAATTCCGGCTTGACGGCCACAAAAGCAAATGGAAGGTGCCGCCATGATTACCCACTGTCCTAGTCGTCCCTTACAAATAGATATTAAGACGAGGCAGATGAGAGAGAAAACGGACTGGCGACCAGGGAGGCAGGGCCAGTTGGCTGGTGTTGCATTGTTCTGCCGGCTCAGACCGCTTTGGGTCGGCCACGTAAAGCTCCAGGGGGATGCCATTTGCTTCAGTGGTCTCCCTCATCTCACTGACGTCATAACAGATGACAGCGGGAGCAGCTCGCGACACTGGATGGCGCGGCAGCTTGGCAAGGCTGCCTGGGACAGTCGCCGTCATGGGCTTCGCTGAAGACATTCCTTCATGTTTCTGGTTTAAATTTTAAATTTTCGAGAACCAAGACTTCCTCCGCTCCGAGCGCTTAAAGTTGTTCCAAACAAGGTTGCCCTTGGCACAGTTGAAGAACCGACGTAACAATCTTGACCCCTAGTAATAATAACCCTCGCGAAGTCAACAAAAAGCCTACCCCTGAGCCACCATGGATCTCCTGCTCTCCCTCCCCATCGCGTCCTATTTCTTCACGACGTCTCTCACGTCATGGTCGACGTCCCTCAACCTGCTGTTTTTTTACATGACATGGTCGACGCTGGTACTCAGCCACTCGGCGCTCAAGATCGAGCTGATGGGCACGGCGGCGCTGCGCGTCGTTCTGTGGCTGGTGCCGTCTCTGGTGTTCCTGCTGTTCGACACGCTGCTGCCGTCGCTGGCGGAAAGCATCAAGTACCGGGGCGCATCCGCGCTGCCACCCCGCGGCGTGTCGTCGGTGGCGCGGCTGCTAGGGCTCGCGGCCGTCAACCTGGCGCTTGAGGCGGCCGTCGAGGCGGGCGCGTCGCTCGGCGTCGCCGCGCTGTTCCAGATCCCCGCCGTGTTCCGCACGTCGACCACCCTCCCGCTGCCCTGGCAGATGGTCAAGCACGTCGCGCTGCTGTTCGCCGCCCGCGAGGTCCTGACCTACTACATCCACCGCCACGTGCTGCACGGCCAGCCGCTGTCGCCGACGGTGCCCACGTGGAATCTGCGCCAGAAGCAGGCGTCAAAGACGCACAAGAAGAAACTCGGCGGTGGCGGCGGCCACGGGCGCATCGCCACGATGCACGACGGGTGCGCGCACGCGCACGCCACGCCCTTCTCGCTCCTGCTCATGGCCGACCACCCGCTGCCGTTCCTGCTGCACCGCTTCGTGCCGCTGTACGTGCCGGCGCTGGTCGTGTCGCTGTGGTCGTCGTCTTCTCTCTCGCTGACCAGCATCTTCAGCCGCAACAGCGGCAACTTCCTGAGCAACACGTTCCTCAGCAGCGACAGCGGCGGCCTGCACATCCTAACGTACCTGCTCTTCGTGGGGCTGTGCACGGCCGAGGAGACTTTGGCCATGTCGGGCTACACGGTGGTGCCGGGCATAATCCTCGGAGGCATTGCGCGGCGCAATGCGCTGCACTACGCGCGGCCGGGCGCGGGCAACTTCGGCTGCTGGGGGGTGCTGGACTGGGTGCACGGCACCAGCCTCGGCAAGGACGTCATGGCTGACTTGCACGACGAGGCCGAGAAGCACAACCTGAAAGGCAGGAGTGCGCGCGCGGCCAGCGGCGCCGGAAACATGGTCACAGATGGCATAGACGGGCTGCGCCGCAGCGCGAGGTCGTCCAAGGGCCGGCGGAGGAGCGCAAAAGGGAATAACAGCGAGAGCGATTAGTGATCTCATCGATGCTACTCTCTGCTCATTCCTCTCCACCGTATCCCACAAACGGTCGTTGGGCCTCTTTTCCTCCTGTTCTCTCTCTCTCTCTCTCTCTCTCTCTTTTTTTTTTTTTTTTTTTTTTAATATCGTCTCGCTGGTGTCAACATCCTGGGATGAGGCGTTAGGCTGGCGTGGGGGTCCTCTTTTTCGTCACTAATTTTGTTGGGCGGAACTGGAAAGGTATTGTTTGGATAATCCGATACCCCTTTGTTGGCTTTTAGGCATGCAGTCAAATAAATGCTCGAGCGAATATGATGACCGGCCACTTGTCACTTTGGTTGCAAAGATAGAGAGCCGAGAGTGGAAACAAAATCTTTAACTCGTTCCCCTTAGTATCCTGAAAAGGGACTCGATTTATAAATCCAGCTCTTTCCCAAGTCTTTCTGCCGCCATGCAGATCGCGTCTATATATGCACGTCGACTCTATCTATGCAAGCAGGATATAATCCCTATCGTACCAAATCTGTCCATCTATGTGCAAAAATCAAGCCGTTAGTACCCAACCCTTTTTCTTGTTCAGCCACCTGAGGCTTTCGATGCCGGCTTTAACTCTCATGCCGAACCGCGCATCCAGCACGAAGCCATCCCACTTGGAGACCTTTTCCAGGTAGAATTGGCACTCTTCTGCCTTCTTCCTGCGGAACTCGTCGACCGCCTTGGCGTTGGCGCCTTGGTCATCGTTGGCTGGAGCGGATGGCCAAGCCTCTGGGTTGCAGACGTCCATCCACGCGACGGCCGCGACTTCGTAGTGAGCGGCTGCAGGGCAGTAGTCGTCTCTTGTGACACCCTTGAAAGCGGTCCTAATGCAGAAAACAGGTTAGCGTGCTCTCACGCAGTTTGGATGCTGGGGTTTTTGTCACGTACTTGTCCATGGTCAAAAGAGGCTCAACCAACGCCTTCGCCTCCGCGCCCCGGCCCAGCTCCCTCAGCATCGATGATTCGGTCACCGTCCCGATGGCAAGTTCGTCCTTCTCCTGTTCCATTTTGGCAATATTCCCTGCGCCCGCTGTGCATCGCTCGAGCGCCAAGAGCGTCCTCGCCTTTTCGAGACCAACCGGCCTCATCCGCTTGAATCCGTTCCAGAGATAGATCATCTCCATGGTCGGGCTCACACAGACGGCATCCGCGAGGTCTATGCCGAGAGTCTTAGCGCGTTCTTCCCACTTTTGCAGCTTGCGGCACACAAACACCTCAAACGGCAGCTGGCGCGCCATGAAGCGCTTCTTGCCTGAAGTGGCTGGCGCTTTGCGAAAGTACTCCTCGGCCAGCTTCTTATGCTTCTTTGCCTCTGTATCGATTATGCCGCGCTCCTTGTCGTCCTCGGCTAAGCCAGCTGCGCGGTGGAATGAGTCGCGGTACAACTCAAGCTGGGCACTGCCAGCAACGTAATAGTAGAGCGCATGGCTCCAGTCATTGAGCTCAACGCAGCGCAGAAAGTTGTCGCACATAGACGGCCAGTCCATGATGTACATCGAGTTCATTGCCAGCTCAAAGCTGTTGAGGGCTGTAATCTGGCGCATCTTGCTGTCTGTGTTAGCGAGGAGCATTTTGACAGACTCCTCCAAGTTCTTCGCGTTTGCAACTACCCTCGCCTCTTCCAGCTTCCACAGCCTCGAGTCTGGGTAACGTAAACGCAGCTCAGTTAACAAGGCAGCGCACTTCTCCTTAGGATATCCGACGGCGTCAAAGTCGTCATCATCTTCGCCGGATCCGCTATGCTCCGCGACATCCTTTTCGCTGGGCAAAATGTCGGCAAATCCTAAGTAGCCGTTGTAGTACTGGAGGAGAACCAGCCCTGCCATGGCGCCGTTGATATTCGGAAACTTGGTGGATTGCCATAGCATTCGAACCCCCCTTTCGCGGTCACCCTTGAACCCAATGATGGAAAGAAGACGCGAGAAAGCCGGCGGTACCATGGAGATGAGGAGCAAGAGAATACCGAAGCACATATTGGCCCCGCTGTGTACGAAGATATCAGCGGGCGTGGTGAAGAGCGCCTTGTCGACTCCCGCTTGGTTAAGCTGGTCCAGGCTAGAAGGTTGAGAAGCAGAAGGCTCGTCTTTGGCCTGGACTTTAGCAAGGCTTGGCTGCTGCGATGCGGTCTTAGAAATCGCAGCTCCATCGTTTGCCAAAGCCAAGTCGCCCAGTTTCTCGTTCAGAGCAACAGCATCCGTGTTAGCAGAGATTTCAGGCGCAGCCTGTTGGAGTTCGGTAGCCCCGACAGCATTTTGGCCTGCCGGTGTCTGGGCACCTGAAATATCCTTGGCGACATGGACAAAATCTTCATCGCTGTTTTCCTTTTCCTTGATCTCTGACATCTCTGCTCCGACAATGTCGGAAATCTCTCCGTCATCGAAGCTACTTGGCAACCTGCCGCCGGACGCGCTTGGCCGTTGAACAGAATTTGTACCCCATCGTTGTTTAGAGTTCAAATACTTGGTCTCGGCGTCCATGATTCCGTCTAGGGTTATATAGGCCTTGCGTAGTCTGTAGAACCCCTTGATTGCCTCTGTCAGGCTTTCATGCATGACGGCGACCACGGCGCTCATCAATTGCGCCTCTGCTTGGATAAGGGCATATTCGGTGCCAGGCGGGTAGATGGCGCTGCCGTCCGTCGCAACTGCGTCCTTCTGGGCTTTCTTCATGTCGTTCCACGCCCTGGTTTCGGCATCTGCCAGCCGGCTCGATGCTTCGGCCATGATGTCCTTTTCGAAGCCCAAAATGCTCCTCATAAAAGTCGAGATGCCCATCCCTAGCTTGTGGAAGGTACTAGAATCCTCCCGCAACCGCAGCCGTTCGTCAGCGCCATCGATATCGTCGTTCATGATGAGGCCGGCAGCCTCCATCGCATCCTCCATGTCCGAAGCCTCTTGCTGCGACTGCGCGGATGCGGGGGGCGCGCTGCTGGCGCCGGGGCCGGCGCTATTCAGCGCAACAGAACTCGCGGTAGGGCTCGGCACAGGGCTTGTCCCTTTCGACGATGTCTTGAGGCTCGGGACAGCAGCGGGCCCCCGGAACCAGGAGCGAAGTGTCGATGCCATGGTCGGGTACTTGGGGGGATCAACGAGAAGCGAGACTAGGCAGTGACTTGGCTTTTTCAGCAAGGCAGTAGGGTACAGCATGCGAGAGCAAGGCTGGAAACGAAAGACGTCGCAGGCAATCGCCAGGGGATTTGGGAGAAGGACAGTTGCAGGCTTGCTCCCCGTAGTGGAAAGGGGCAACAGGGACTGTGCCGAAGCAAAATATTTCGCGCCAACGGCCCCAAGGAGGTGCCTTAGAGAAGAAGCCTGGCGAACCCCTGTGAGAGAATAGAGCAGCAAAAATTGTCAGCTAGGGAACCCGGTGTTTAAAGGTCTGGACTTTTGGCAGGCTCAGGCAGCTCAGCCTAGCCTCGCCGAGACATGCGGGCGCAGCGGACTGCGTAGTGCGTACGAGAACCCCGCCAAGCATGGAACGAAACGGGCAGGTCCAGCCCCGCCACAACAAAGAAATGACGTTTACATGCTGACATCAAATAACGGCCTTCGCCCGAGACGCCTGCATTATTATCCAGCGTCCTGTTAGTTCAATTGAATGCTGTCAATAGTGATAAGGTAAACGAAGCTCAAAAGACCATTGGTTTGCACACAAACTCATCATTTCTTGGCGATTCACACCTTCAGCTGTACTGACATGGATATACGCAGTGTTTGCGGTGGGCCGACCGCTAGCTGTAAATGTACTGTACGGAGTACCATTCTGATTCAGTCTGCGGGGCAGTGACGGAACCCTGCTGCTGGGCGCCCCCTTGGGGCGAGGCTCGGAACGAAGGTGGGATGCTTTGCGGACGCAACTTCACAGTCGAAAAGAAAGCATCGAGAAGGGAACGGAGCTCGCCAAGAAATACCTACTTGCTCCTATAGTCACATCAAGCTGGGACCTGAATACGGAATATATGCAGAGGCTTTGTGTTCTTGTAGAAAGTGACGTGATTTAGTCCAGTCCTCAAGAGGCTGACGGACCGAGCCTCTTTCCCCGGAATTTGAAGACTCAAGACGCGTTATTATCGGTCATCACTAATACTCTGCAGTTCTTGGCCGTGACCTGGGTACGGAGTACGAGTATCGCACAACGTCCATGAATCCCGAAGCCTAAACGAGACAAGGGTAGGTACTGTGCGTACGGAGTACGGAGGTAGCAAACGGCCCGTTCCCGGCCCAGCCGGCGCCTTAACACTATTTGCAGGAAACGAAATGACGCGTTACTTACGCCAAGCGATAGCCAAGTGTAATCATCCTTTACCACGCGGCCAATGTTGACGCAAGGGGGCTTTGAGCCGCTTCAAAGCATAGGCGGTTTTTGATGATGCGTGAAGATATGTTTTTGACAAACAAGACTCCGTACGTAACCTGTCCAGTCCTGTGTTCAATTCGCCGTTGCACCGTGCGTAGTGGGGTGGGCGCACGTGAGAGCGCCGAACTTCTGGACGCATTACCTAAGCCCACGCAAACTGGCGGCTTGCTCGTGCCCGCCAAGGTGTCAGCCCCACCACCAGCCGCAATTGCCTGAAGCTCCAACGACCGCGAAGCCCAGCAGACAAGCTGTCCAGCATCAAACACCAGGCATTTCATCAAAGGGCCAACTGCAAAATACCTACCTCGGCGTACCCGCGCTACGATACAGCCACATACTCTACAAGCACGCTCTTCTCCACAGGTAGAGCATCTTCCCAGACAACCCGTCCCTTCCCCGACGCGCAATCAGGGCGTCAGCCTACCTGCCTGCCCGTCGTCAGCCGATTACGGGGGCTATTCGACTCGATCGCGACGAGAGACACGTTCCACACACAGCGCAATAAAGCAACCACTTGTCAAAATGGCATCAGCACAAAGCTCGTCCAAGAACGACGGCAAGGCGGTCACTGACTCGAAGCAGCCCGAGCAGCCGACAGAGCAGAAGACGGTGGCTGCGCTAGAGGAGGACGACGAGTTTGAGGATTTCCCCGTCGACGGTATGCCGACAGCCCCATTATTTCCATTAGGCGTGCGGAGTCGTACACCTCGATATAGAGACTGGGTCAATAGCATGGATGATGACACTGACGGCGGCCGTTTTGGCAAAACACAGATTGGTCGGCCGAAGATACCGAGGTCGCCAACAGCGGTGAGGGGACACAGCACCTGTGGGAAGAGTCGTGGGACGACGACGACACAAGCGACGATTTCTCCGCCCAGCTCAAGTACGTTCCTGGCCCCTCTAGCCTCTAACTCGAGGAAATGGGAAGAGTGTACTAACAGCGCCACGCGCTCAATAGGGAGGAGCTTAAGAAGGTCGAGTCATCGAAGAGGCGATGAAGCTGGGGCACAAATACCTATATCAACCATTTGACGCAGTATGGCTAGGCTATGGTTGGGGGCTATTAGACCAAGGACTTCCTTTCTTCGCGTCATGTCATTGGACGATGTATAAGCAGAAACTACGTCGAGGTTACTCAGCGGGGGTTGTAGTAATTTGGCAGTGGCAGAACTGAATTAACTAAGCTCTATACAAGGGAGTGGCTGGCCTGGGCGACATTTCTTGTGCTAGACCTTTTAGGAACTCACAACTAAGCAGCAAAAAAAAGATGGTAGTGGGGTTTACAAGACAACATTCTTAGGTTTAGAGAAATTGGAACCTGTCTAATTGACCTGGGCTACAATCCTGGCATCACGTCCTGTGCATGGGTTTTGTGGCAAAATGTTTTGTTCTATTCGACCGCGGTACTAGAGACTAGCAATACCAACCCGGACCCGGCCTTTTCCTCCCCAATTCCATTAGTCATGACAGTCCTCTTGGGATCAAATCCTCCAAAGACCTAGCCAACCAGACCTGAACCTCTCCGAGAAATCGCCTACTTACGCTCGCTGAGAGCTACGACACCAGGCAGTTCCTTGCCCTCGAGCAGCTCCAAGCTGGCGCCGCCGCCCGTCGAGACGTGGCTCAGCTTGTCCTCGACGCCGTACTTGGCCGCAACGGTCGCGGTATCGCCGCCGCCAATGATGACGATCTTGCCGGCCTCGGCCGCAGTAACAGCAGCGTCGAGGGTGGCCTTGGTGCCCTTGGCGAACTTGTCAAACTCGAAGACGCCGGCGGGGCCGTTCCATAGGATGGTCTCGGCGCTGTCGATAGCCTCCTTGTACAGCTTGATAGACTCGTCGCCGCAGTCGAGGCCCATCCAGCCGTCGGGGATGCCCTGCGCGTCCGTAGCGGTGCCCGTGTTGGCGTCCTTGTCGAACTTGTCGGCCGTGATGTAGTCGACTGGCAGCACCAGCTTGACGCCGTTCTTCTCGGCCTTCTTGACCAGGTCGCCGACCGTCTTGGAGCCTGCCTCGTCAAACAGCGACGTGCCGATGGGCACGTTGTACAGCGTCTTCTTGAAGGTGAAGGCCATGCCGCCGCAGATGATGAGCGTGTCAACCTTGTCCAGAAGGTTGTCGATGAGCTTGATCTTGTCCGACACCTTGGCACCGCCTAGGATTGCTAGGAATGGCCGCTTGGGCGACTCGAGCGCCTTGGCGAAGTAGTCGAGCTCCTTCTTCATCAGGAAGCCCGCCGCCTTCTGGGGCAGCTCGACGCCCACCATGGACGAGTGCGCGCGGTGTGCGGTACCGAAGGCATCGTCTATTTGCACCACAAGAGTTAGCAAAGGTTGTTCTTGTACGAAACAATATAAAAACCCGTGGGTACGAACTGATAAAGATATCTCCGAGCTTGGTCAGCCCCTTGCGGAACTCCTCGACCTTGGCCTTGTCGGCCTTGACCTTCTCTCCCTTCTCGTTGACGCCCTTACCCTCTTCCTCGATGTGGAAGCGCAGGTTCTCAAGGAGGATGACGTCGCCGTTGTCCGCCTTGCTGACAATCTCCTCAACCTCCGGACCGACAGAGTCGGGGGCGAAAGTGACGCTCTTGCCGAGAAGCTTCTCGAGCTCGGGCACGACGGGCTTCAGCGAGTATTTGGGGTTGATGAGACCGTCAGGGCGACCGAGGTGGGACATCAGGATGACGGCCTTGGCGCCATGGTCGATGGCGTACTTGATCGTGGGCACGGCGCCGACGATGCGCTGGGGATTTGTCACATTCTTGTTGCCGTCGAGGGGAACGTTGAAGTCGACCTGGAAAAGTCTCTCGTCAGTCCCATAGTCTGCATTAGTTACAGCTCAATTTGACACACAGCAGGCGCGTGTTCGTGATGGGCCGCTCGGCTTGACCTACGCGGATGAGGACGCGCTTGCCCTTGAGGTCGACGTCCTCGATGGAGAGCTTGTTTGCCAGAGACATGGTTGCGGTGTGGTGGAGCAATTGGTCTGGAGGGTGGAATATTCGGAGTTGGCAGGACAGAATAGGAGCCAAAGCAGTGTAGAAAGGTGATTGGGATGACCGGGGAGAAAAAAAGTACTGGTCAAGGTAAAAAGACGCAATAATGATGGCCTGACCGGGTTGAAGGTCGGAGATGGAGGGGTAGAGGGGCACATGGTGTTGGTGGGGTCGTCATTGCTGGTGACATCGGATGGTGGTTGGCTAGCCTTTTCTTGGCAGGAATGACTTGCAAGCTCTGCATTGGGGAAGCTCCGATTGAGCAATCCCAGGCTCAGAAATTGACGCGTGCTTTTCTGCAGACCAAATGCGGGATTTCATTCGCTTTGTCTTTCTTCCCATTGCCGTTCTTTCCATCCCGTTACGAGCTCTCGTCTCACTTCTCCGTGATATTTCGCGCGACCTACTAGTGCCGCACCTGCGGCACCATGCCCACTAAACTATCACTCAGTCAGTACCGTGGAATGTTCTTCCTGCACAATACGGAAAGTCTCGCCGGTTTTCGGCTATGTAACCTACATACGAATTGGAATCGAGTTTCATGAATAGCAGCCATTCTTTTCTCTTCACACGCGCGTTGTCTATTTGGTAATTCTGTCTGAGGCTCAACCCTCCCTCCACCGTTAATTAATTAACCCTTCTAAGAAGTCTTTCCAAATCTCAAAACACAGGAACGTCACACTTGCCTTCATATGAAACGAGTGCTTGAATACCATTTGTCCGATGATTTGCAAAGAAACACAAGGGCTCAAAATGGAGTTGAAATTATAGATGCTCACAAGTTAATATACAGAGTGGGTTCGGGGATGGGCTGAAGAGAACGTTGATTTGACTCGATAACAGACTCAGCATGTACGAATAGTTGTCATGAACTTGGTATGCATCTCGTCTCAGCCAGGCCCATTGCTTCGTGCGCAAGGCTGCATAGTTGCATGTACCTACCTTGCTTTGTCGCCTTTACAATGTCTCCTTAGCATCAACAAATTCTTCCTCTGGTTCGCTATCGTCGTCTTCATCATCATCCTGCGTCTCTGGCTGATCAGGCTGAGGCTTCTCTTCGTTTGCAAGCTCAACGCTGTCCAGCAGTTCATCAAACGCTTTGCGAAGCGCTGGAGTCGGATCTCGCTCGTTAAGCAACTGAAGGGGTGTCTTGCCAGTACGGTCTTTGGCCGCGGTATTAAGATTCCGCAGCTTCTTGTCTGTGAATGTTCTGATCATTTCCATGTCTCCAACCCCAGCTAACACATGAAGCAACCCCCTGCCGTTATCGTTGACGTTCGTGTAGTCAATCCCCTTCAGCAGCAGAAGGTCTGCAGTTCCGTGTTGTCTGCCGATAATCGCGTCGAACAGCGCTGTGTCGCCCTCCCAGTCGCGGTGGTTGATGTCTGCGCCGCTCAGGAGAAGAATGTCCACCGCGGCTGCATTCCCGGTGGCTGCGGCGACATGCAACGGCCCGGCCTGAACATTTGCTCCGTGTTGGATCAGCAGAGATATGATTCGAGCTCCTTCTGATACCCGCGCGGCAACTGTCATGGGAGTCAACCTATTACTTGTCCTCTCGTTAACCAGAGCCCCGGCCTCAAGAAGCACCTTCACCACCTCATAGCGCCCACTGCTGCACGCCTCGTGAAGAGCTGTTGTCCCCGCCTTGATAACCTTCAAGTTGACATCGGCACCCGCCCGTAGCAGGAGCTTTACGGCGCTCAGGTTGCCTCTCATGGCGGCGAGACAGAGGGGGCTTCGGCCATTCATCAACTTGGACATGCTGTTGATCTCGGCGAGGTATTGGGGCTTCTGTAGCGCCTGGCCGAGGTCCACCTGCAGGATACCGGCGATAGCCATATGCAAACAGGACTCGCTCTCGAGAAGGGAATACGGAGGTAGCAGCTCCACAAGCTCGTCCGCACCGCAGCGTCCGGCCAAGTAGTACAATAGAGTGGAGCTGGTTGGGGTGAGCCCGTTTGGAGCCTCCTGGTTCGGATCGGCGCCAGCTTGAAGGAGAAGCCTGATAATGTCCTTGTTCAGGTTCCTCCTCCGGACGGCGAAGAATAACGGTGACGAGCCTCCGTCGCCCAAGATGTCGTAGACGGAGCCACGGCGTTCTTCGAGCAGCCGCCGGGTGCCATGTACGTCTCCACGATCAATGTACCCGAAGATAGTGGAATACGCGGTCACGGGATCGCTCTGGATCACATTGAATATCCTGATGTTGAGCTCAGGGTTCCCGTTAAGATTGCTCGAAAAGAATACCGACAGTGCCCCCCGCATCAGCCAGGCCGGGAACTGGTAGGCGACCTTGACCTCTAGTCGGGGCTGGCTTACCCGCATCTGCCGAGCCCGACACTCGCTGTCGTTGCAGACCCGAGTTCTCGAGTAGGTCAGGCTGATGGATCCCAAGATGGGCCTGGGCGCCGTCATCCTCCACTTAAAACATCCGCCGGCAGAGTGGCAACTGCAACGACAGGTCATGTCGCACGGGTGCGTGCCTCCCGGGGGGTTAACGGTGCGTTGTAACAGCGATGTTGAGGTAGCAGTTATGGCATGTTGCGGAACAAGTTGCCATCGAAGCGGTGTGAGTTCTTCTACAATCGACTCCCTTATGGCAGCAACGACCACTGATTGGAGAAAACTGAATCGGCGGTCCACGTGGGTGATGATTGAGCGCTGTGATGATTCGGCTCGTTGGTTAAGCTGATCCGAAACGTGGTACATGATTTCATCCTTGGATCGTTCCACCAGAGTCTGTATCTCGGTCGACACGGCCCTGTAATTAGGCGCAGAAAGGGGTCAGTTCAAGTTCTCTCTCCAACAGGTGATAATGAGCCGATCTTCTCTTACACATTCTGGGCCAGGAGTAAGCGGCACGCCCCAAATGCTATACCATTCAGCTCCTTTCTCAGCTTAGCTATCTTTGCCGAATGCTTCAGCCACTTGGCCTTGCTTCTCTGGCCTAGCCGTTTATCCCTGTCTGGGTTGACCCCGTCTGGCACTATGATGGTATCCACAATGTCCTCGATCTCCCTCAGTACAAGAGAGCCTTCGTCAAGAAGCGCATGCAGTTGGTGGTAAGAATGAGATATCGTTCCCTTGTTGTTGTGTACCATCGGAAACATGGTTTGGATGCCATGGCGTGTCTCTTGGAAGAAAAGCTGAGTTCTTGTGAGGTCCCCAAGGAGACGATGGACATCTTCGGGTGCTTCCCGCCATGCATTACACAGACGCGTTATTTTCATGGTTGTTCGCAGAGCAACGTCCGCAATGCCCACCACGGCGCCAAGGACCTCCATTTTTGTTATTATGTGGCGTGCTCGAGGGTTGTTGTGAGATCGTATCGGGATTGTAGAGAGAAGAGTCTGAGTCCTAACAAGTTTTATAGTCTCTTTAAGGAGGAGAGAAAAGTCATCGGTCCTCGCCGAGAATGATTAGCGTTTTGTCTTAACGGTAGGAGGGCAGCATGATTAGTAGACAGTGAGCTGGGTACCAATTTATCCTATTATAAGCTGGCTGAAGTACCCAATTATGCTTCAAGGGCTTCCAAGATTCAACTAGCCTATTGCATTTCTAGACATGCAACACTCTATTAGCCGAGACGGCATAACCTCACTCAACCGGACTACGCCCCATTACTGCATCTGGCATTAGTCATTACGACATGAGGTTCCCTTGACGAAGGACCTCATTTTCTAGAACGAGACGCCCCAAGTTAGAAAGTCTACCTAGGCACATTCGCCATCGCTTAGACAAGGGTCATGGCTTGACTGGAAGCTATGTCTCTGAAAACCGGCAAGAAAACGTCAGCTAGCTGGCTGTCGACTGGCAGCCCGGGGCCGAGCTGATCATGATCCGACGTCACGGCTTCGAAGCCTACCGGTGGAAGAGAATCACTCGCCGACCGTCCAGGTCAGCCGCCGAGTCCCTGCCGCGGACGTCACACATTCGAAGGGCCAATAATGGCAGTCTCTTTTCCACATGTTATCAGGACCCGAATCAATTTCAGACATGAGGTTGCTGTTCGTGATCTTGGCATAGGAGACAGTGGCAGGAGCGGCGTCACCGGCCAACTTTGACTGCCACAACTCTATACTAGCCGTCTAGAGAGTGGTAGCGGGACTGGGGCACTGGATGTCCACGATCTCAGCTTCCTCGACGTAGAGCACCTGGCTGCGTCCCTCGTTCGCCCCAGGGCCCGTTCGCAAAGTAGGGCCGCATGAAGCTGTAGCTGACTATGCCCGACACGGGGCCAGCGCAGGCTCCGCCGCAGACTAGGAGATGTCTCACGTGAACTCATCGACGTTATCGCTTGTCGGGATCACAATCTACTCTGTGCACCAGCAGTAGCTTAGGCAGAGATAGTTGCCAAATTCTCCACTGCGAGACCCCGTACAGGTTGGCTTTTGAGATCAGGCCAGACTAAGATCCATCTCCGACGGAATCCCCCGGGTGCATGCTGACGCTAACACGCGCTCGGGGAAGAGAGTATCCCTAGCGGTGGCACAAAGACCGCGTTGGCATTGATAATTGTCTGTCTAAATTCTGGCCTGATTTATTGCGCCTGCTAGATCGTTCTCAACGTCCTCGGTAGATCCTACTAGGAGCTATGGGCCTGGGGGATCTGATTCTGGAGGGCGAAACAGCCTCTTGTGCTCATATCGGGATAGAAGTGGCTTACAACCTTGACGATAGGTATATCGTAGGTGACGCAGCTTTCTGCGGACGATGGGGGTGAGCTTAGGGGCCGTGGTATAGAAGATTCCCTAGGGATGGCTCTGTAGCTCGTCCCAGTCAAACTCTTTGCAGGTTTGGTAGAGTTGATGCTGCCGCTGCTGCTGCTGCACCTACTTGTACCCGCGACTGCGCCCGTGCCTGCATGCGCTCCCGCCTCTGGGCATACCCGGCGCTATGATGGAACGACACTTCCATCGTGTCCTAACTTTCAAGGCAGAAGGGTAAGCGCGGGGCTATTGACGTCCCGCCAGTAACCTGAAGTTGTCTGTGTACTGGGCGTGTGTCATAGCCCAGGAATGCCCCAGCCTCCCTCTTCGCACCGTTACGCAGAACGTCGGCCAGTATCCAGGCTGCTCAGTGAATGCCCGGGCGAGTGACGGGCTGCAAGTCGGGCGTCGAGCCTCAGGTTACAGGAGAGGACAGTGCCCAGGGAGAAACAAAACAAAGGGGGAAAAAACGGGGACAGGAAAAAAACGAACGGCCTAATCAGTGACCATTCCCAGGAACTCAATATTTGTTGCGTAGCTGCAATACCTTAGAAGTGGGCGGTTAGCGCGAAGATTCTCGTCGCTGGACTTCCCATGCGTGGCGGGACTGCCCGCTGAAGGGCGATGGATGGGATCAGCGGCTAATTAAAGGGCATAGCCGGAATAATTAATAATTGGGGTCAGGAATGTGAGATCACCACAATCTAGCGCGATTAGCAAACAAAGGCCAAGTGGAATAGTCTGCCAATGATCCCACCATACACCCCAATTTAGCATCTGCATCTTTCTATCGACCGCTTCGTTCCATTTCCATCCAAAGGCGTCGGGTGGGTCGAAATCGACGAAACGTCCAGTCCGGCAGTCAGTGGGGGGCATTTACGCAGCAATCCGCTTGTGGACACGAAAGGCTTATCTGTCCGCACTCGACCCCTGTAGCGTGTCACGTCGGGCGTCATAGCTCCTGTCGCCTGTGCCACTTGTCGTCATCGACCCAAAACCGGCTACGCGAGCCAACGCCGCCTCTTGTCCTCTGGGATCAACAGCATCCGTCAATCGCCCGATTGCCCGATCTTTGTTCTGCCCTGCTGCTAGTCACCACACGGCATCTATCACAATGACTTGGGAACTGACCCGTCGGCGCTGGACTCGCACGATTAACAGCAAGTTTATTTGCGGTCGCATTGTATGTTGTCCGTCAGCTTCTATCTTCCCTTCCCCCCGGCCTCCCTTGTTCGCGACTTCCGTTCCTTCGGGCCTTGTCCCGGCCCTGCTCTGGCTGGCCAAAAGACTGACCTGCAACCTCTTTAATTAAGCCCCTCCTCCACGTCGTCATACTTTTCATCGAGATGGCCCTCTTCGCGCGGCTAACGAGCCGCTTCAACGCGTATTACGATCAACGACCTGGTACGTTTCCATCTTCCTCCCACGACGCGCACACGGGCCTCGAAGCTCCCCGGTCCCTGGACTAACGACCATTTTCTCCCTCTGCAGTACTCACAATGATGGTGTCCAACGCGGTGCTCGGCGGCATCGCGGACACGGTAGCACAGTCAATCACGGCGATCCGGCAGCGTGCCGTCCGCAAATACTCGTTCGGCAAGTCGCCCAACGCGCGCGATGACCCCCTCGCCGTCGAGATCCACGAACTCGACCGCAAGAACCCGCTCAACGAGCGGGACCTGATCCCCGACTCGCGAACACTGCCGCCTCCCTTCGACTTTGAGCGCCTGACGCGCTTCATGGCGTACGGTTTTTGCATGGCGCCTGTACAATTCCGGTGGTTCAAGTTCCTCGAGCGCACCTTCCCAATCTCCAAAGCCAGCGCCTTTGTCCCCGCCATGAAGCGCGTCGCCATGGACCAGCTCGTCTTCGCGCCGTTCGGTGTTGCTGCTTTCTTCACAGCCATGACCATCGCCGAGGGCGGCGGTCGCCGTGCCGTCTACCAGAAGATGCGCGACATGTACTTCCCGACCCTCAAGGCCAACTACATGCTGTGGCCGGCGGTGCAGGTCATCAACTTCCGCCTGATGCCCGTGCAGTTCCAGCTGGTGAGTCTTCGTCTTGGACACCGCAAGCATCTTTTCGACGCGCCACACTCCCCGTTATAAAAGTATAACTGACATCTATGTTTTCTTTTTGCTAGCCCTTCGTATCGACGGTTGGAATCGCCTGGACGGCGTACCTGTCCCTTAGCAACGCCGCCGAAGACGTCACCCTCGAGCGGAGTCGCGTTGCGCACGAGAATGCCGCCAACATCCGACTACCCTAAACAGGACGGCGATGAGCCGCAGGGGCTGTATACAAACGCATCCACAGTTGGATAGTATGCACGTAATGCACGTAACGCGAGGCGAAACTCGAACTACAGATTGGTCCTTGGTAGACATGGTCGGGTCATTGACTGGCAGGTCGGATTACGGAGCATAGCACACGGTTATCGTTCTTTCTCTTCTTTTTGGGTTCTCTTCTTTTCGGGTTCTCTTCTTGTTACTTTCTTGGGGTCTGGGGCATTTTGATAGACTGGAATGATAGGGCGACTCTACAGGCTGCCCACCAACGAGCTACACTTGGCGCATGGAGGTTTAGACGGTGTATTTGGTCCTTCCGCACGTGTACCAACAATAATACAAAGTTATTAATACATCGAGGGGTAGTGTCACCGTATAAAGTGCTGCTACAGTTCGCCACGACGAGGACGAGCTCCCCGACTTTGTCGATGTCGACACGCAGGAGTGGCGTGCCAGCGACGCGTTGTTCCACGAGAAAGCACTCGAAACGTGCGCGTCCTCCTCGACAGGTACCACTCCTCCATCTGGACGCAATAGGGCAGCCAGCAGGTTAGAGCCGCGCTTCCTTAGCACGGCGTTCTCGGGCCTCGCACGCAACTCGACCACGATGCCGCCGACACAAGACGACAGCGACGGCAGCCTGGCTGCGACATTTTCGCAGACATAGCTCGCGTTTGTACCGTTGGCGGCGAGCTGGTTTAACTCCGAATTCCTAACGGAATTCTAATGCCTCACCGGAATTCTTGAACCACGCCGAATTGGTAACCAGGGATCAAGAGTCTAATCCTGGACTCAAATTCCGGAATTCCTATCCCGGGCCGTCCCGTTTAAACATCAAATTCGCAATGGTTCTGTTGGAATGTGTCAAGCAGAAGGGCCTCGAAGGTTTTAGATAGAGACTTCGCCACCCACTTCGCCACCACAATAGTAGTATAAGAAGGGGCCTTCTGGCACTGCCAGAAAGCTAGAGAGAAGAACACACATCTACAATCCATCACTTGAACCACCAGCTTTCGGCGTACATTTACGCCCTGTTGATTCCAGTACCGGTACCCTGGTGAATCCAACAGGGTCCTTGATGGTGTCTGAACCCCAAAATAATTCAGAGCGGGCCAAGACCTGAGGGAATTTTAGTTCTGGCGATCACCCATCTGCAACAACAGCAGAGAGAGCCCAACAGAGAGCAACCAATAGCTTGCAGCCAACAGAGTGTAACTATCAACTATCAGAGAGAGTGCGGCCAATAGAATGCAGCTAACATATTACGAACCACCCAACCTGTGGCAATGCGTGACGGAGACCCAAGTCATTGAGTAAGGTGCTTTTATTTCTGGCCCTGTAAGATCACTAAGGGCCCAGTATCACCCAATGCTGTTATATAAGCACAGCTTTGGGGCGGCATCCGCGGGATACAGGCCACTGTGCTAAGAGGGTTCAAGAGGTAAATAAACAAATTGAGACCTAACCCATAAACACCGGACCAATCTAGCTCGGGGACTCTCACTAGCAAACATAGCTACATCACGTTGTTTGCGTGCTAATGGGTATAGGCGATTTCACTTTGGCGATAGATTTAACTGTGGAAGGCCCTCCATGAGCAGACGAAAGAGAGCATTGCTAAGTCATATTTCCGGGCTATGCCTATCGGTGTGCACACCCCAGCCCTTGAATGATTGTTAGCTTAGGTTTTAAGAGCTGAGACTTATTTGATAGTGGTATTTTGTGCTAAAATGGCGGTCCTCGTTGTTTTTTTTGCTCGGCTTTACACCAAGATTGATTGGCTATAAATCTTGTTGTGAGGGTTTCGAAGAACCAGACCAACAATTATTCAGGGGCAGGGGTGTAAAAGGGGTTGCAGGTGGAACCAAACAGGAACAGCGAGCGCCTACCAGACCCAGAAGAAGAGCACGGAACAGATGTGTGTAGCGAGTCCTTGCCAGCTCCTTTAAAGTTTTGTCGCCACTCGTGTTGCAAGTCCGGCCACAAGCCCATCCGCACTCTACCAACCTGCCGCCCGGGCCGTTTTAATACCGGATTCACTCGCGCAATACGAAATAGAAACCCAACTAATGCACAACCCATGGCCACGATGCGGCATTCGGCTAGCTCCGCGACTATGGGCGGTGGATGGAGCCGCACCGAATCTAAGCATATACCTTATCACAAGTTCGCAGCCCGGCAGTTAAATATAAAGGCTGTCTCGGGCTTTTGCTCGTCTGATGAATGGCGGCGCAAGAGATCCTTCGTCAGTCCGAATCTAAACCCCATTACATATCCAGGATTGCCAAGGCTCACGTGGCCCGGAAAGCTCGGAGCACCCATGAAAAAGAGGTCTGAGATGACCAACATCATAGAGACCGAGGACTGCCGCGGAGTTGCCGTTGGTGCCATTCAAGAGTCGAGCTTCCTCGACATGCTAACTCGCGGCGATGTGGCGGTTGGATCCATCTCTGGGAGGCCCAACGGGAATGTTACGGTCTGTTTCACCCCTAAAAGTTCGGCCTGGAGTTCGCGCTTCGGATGGATGGTGCCAGAAATGAAGCATTTTTGCGGCTGTTGGTCGTCAAGTGTGAGGAATGCAGGTTTTCTGTGCCCTGCGTCGATATAGACACACCAAACAGTACCCGAATCAGGTATCCTTGTCTGCTCGCACACCATTTCCCGTAGACAGCCTTTGTGCCTTACGGTTTCTCATCGGCTACGTCGGTACAGATAAGGCAGATGCCGAAAATTATTCCAAAGGGAAACGCCGCCAGGGTAACCGTTTGGCTCGCCGGGGGCTTGGCTTATATGTCGCATTTGGATCATTGAAAGCATAAGCCACACCCGCGTCCGCATTGTCCCCGTTCCTTCGGTTTGCCGCCGCGAAGCGAATGTCGATAACGCCGTTGATGTTGATTAGCGATACCATCGACGTTATCGCACGAACATTCGATCTGCTTGCCAAAGTCTACCGAAGATTGATGGCCTGCTGGCCCTGGGGGCGCCGGGCCCCCTTCGGCCTCGAAAGAAATTACGGGGTTGTTCCGGACACTCCAGACACCTGCGTTATTCAACTCCAGTCGCGACAGCAGCAGGTCCGCACGGTTTGTTTGGGAGGTTAAAGGCGGGCGTCTGCTTGCTTGCAGAGATAGGAACTATCTAAAGACGTCCAGGCTTATGTAGATCGAGGATGGTTTGCAGTCTGGGTCTCTAGCGGGGACCTAGGGCAGGCGATGCGTGTTTAGGTTGCGAGTCAGTCTCACCATCTAAATCCCTGACATCGCTACATTCGTGCCACAGTTTGCTTGAGTGTCGGCTTGGTTCGGGTAGGCTTCCGAGGACGAGAACCGAAGACGACGAGCACGACGAGGAGTACGACGAGCAGTCTGCAGACTCCATAGGCATAGAGCCTGTAGCAATAGCCAAACTGTCAGGCCAAACCTCTTTTCCCGCCAACCATGACGCCACGGCGACGCCCAGCCCCAACACCAACACAAACATGAACATGAACATAAGTATGAGTATGGGTATGAATATAAGTACTATGAGCCGCCTGGTATAGGAGGCCAACGGGCCACGAATGATCATCTCGCTGTGCGTCATGACAGGCATATCGCTGCTGCTGATGCTACTGCGCTTCGGCTGGGACGACCACCTGCTCATTGTGATTAATGATTGTTAAAGTATGGCTAGCTACTACAGCTATAGGGCCCTAAAGTGCACCAAATTGTTTGCTAGGCCCCACAGCACCTTCTCGAACCCCCTACGAGCCCACTAGAAGACTGTCGAATACAGGGCTACGTACGGCTTCTAGAACACTCTAGAAGATCTACTTTGGGTCTATATTAAGACCTATTCTTTCCCTTAGATAGATTTCCTTTCAAGCAAGCATCACACTCACCACTCTCTGTACTATAATCCTTCTATAATACAGCTCCTCTCAGTCTTCTTCAGCACTTCTGTTGCCCCCCGAAGACCCTGAGTACAGGGCAGAGTTCCCTGTAGCCTACGAGGTAGACTGCTGAGCAGAGTCCTCACAAGTGGCAGGCCTGTAGCAGAGTTCTACAGACCTGTGGTGTGACGGCCCGCCTTACGCAGTAGGGATGTCAATGGTTGAAGGCAGCAACGAATGTGGATTTAAAGCTAAGGAAGAGAAAGGAATCTATCGCGGGGTCCGCGCAGGGCGCGGAGAAATAGGTAGTGGTGCTCAGTGCGCACAGGCCACACCCTAAGCACAATGCAGCCAATAGAATCAATCCTGTCACATGAGCCCTGTGGCGACCGTGACATGTGGCAGGCTTGTAGCGGAGTCCTACAAGTCTGTAGCAGTCGGTCTGCTTCCCTCAGTGGCTTACACAAGGCACTATTGTACTGGACCGTAGGGCATAGTTCCCTATAGTCTACCCTAGGCCGTAGGGAATAGTTCCTACGATCTATCCTGCACTTGGCTCCGCCTACGTTACCGCTTCCGCTCCGCCTGGCTACAACACGCAGTTCAACAATGATGACCGACCAGTCATCTCCCGTACATGTCCAGCCAGAGGCACAACGCCAGCGATGTTTCCCACCTCCTTCACTCTCTCTCCCTCCCTCCTCCGGCGGCACAACCCCTAACATTCACCAAAGGAGATTGGCATCAACCTCGGGTTCGATGTAAAATTTGACCGACTCTTCCTCACATTCTGACAGCGTGGCTGCTGCAACTCTCGGCGGCACCACCTCCCCTCTCGAAGGCCCCCAGTACTCGCTCGCTCCCTGCCGCCACGGAGGCAGGTGCGGGTTCAGCTTGTGGCCTATCGTTGTGCTTGGCGCGGTGTGCCTATGCTTGCGCTCGTAGCGCACCGCCCACGCCTTTTCAACCACTGTAGCGAGCTTTTAGTCAGGAAGGGATCTTGTACTATCAAGTAGTGCGAGGAAGTCATGGGGGTAATGGTGGGAGAGTTCTCAGATAGGTTCGGTGGGTAAATGTGGGCAGGAGCGAGGTTGATAGGAATCGGGAAATAGAGAGTTCAAAAGTTCAAAGTCTAAAATGAAGGACGGAAAAAGAAAGATAGAGCACCCACGCTCCGACCGCCGGTACGTCGCAAAATAATTGAGCGACTTGTAGTACTTGTGGAAGGCCGACCCGGGCTCCGGCATTTCGTGCGGCTCCCAGTGCCGGTGTCGCGCCGCCAGGAACACGATCCCCGCCGGGTTTAGGTCTGCTAGCGCCTTGACGATCGCTTGCTCGGCTTGGTCTGCGATTGACGGCGCGTCGAGGCTGGTCAGGTCTAGGTCTGCGAGGGTGGCGGGGTGTGAGTTCAGGCTTCTTTCTCTTCTTGCCAGTTGCCACTCTCGCGTCGAGAGAGATTGATGTGGCATAGTTCTGGCTGCCTTGAACGGCGATCGCGGGAAAAGAAGCAGGGATAATTACCTCGCTTCGCGTCAAATAGGCGCCCCGGCTTCTGCGAGCCGCTGTTCTCTTTCTCCTTCTCCTTGTCCGGCGCGGGTGCCGGCGCGGGAAGGGTCTGGGAGACCTCGTCGCCGGTCTGCTCTGGGTCCGTCACCATCGCTGTTACAGTTTTTGGTCTTGAGATTTGGATGAAGATTGCATTCACGCTTAATTTTTAGAGTTGGGATTTTGGTTCTTTGGGAGGAATTAGATGTGATGGGTGGTGCAAAGTGGAGATCGGGCTTAATAAAGTTTGACTAGTTTTCTGCTTTATCTTGTGCCAGAGAAAGACAGGCGGATAGTGACGTGGGTGCGGATGCACAATGCCGCCACCGCAGTCAAGATCTGTGGTCGTCCAACTTCTTTGTGACAACAACCGAAATCGGCAGATGAATCCGTGCTGACAGAGGTGAGACAAGTGTGGCGGTTGGTTCCCCCACGGTTCACCGATGAACAAAATAGATCCACAGAGTACAGCTTTTCAGGAGTGTGGGCTTGTAATTCGCTCTCCTGTTTTAATTACTTTAGCTTTCGCTTGTCCAAGTAGGAGAGGGTTGCAGCTTTGCTCAACCCGCGCACGACAACAAGACGTAAGACTTAATTCTGATATGGATAAAGGTCCACGATTGATGTGAGGGAATGAATTCAACAATACAAAGCGATGAGCAACCTCAAACTAAAGGACCCGGACAGCCTGCCCGGATATTTTGAGGAACAACCAAGCGATGTGCATTCGGCCTTGTTTATGTGTTGGTATTGGCATGTTAGATTCAATCAGTCTGGGTCGGCGGTTCTTTGGCGTGCGTGTTTTCTGAGGCGCTTGTAACTGGTCGGAACCTTCCCGGCATGACTCTTTGTTCTTGAAACTGTTTGATCCATATCCACGTTGTACGTTGCTCGTCGACGTTGTACAGCACACGCGTCCAAGCAGATTGGTCAATCCCTGTCGCTACCCTTATGGACCGTCGATCGATAACAATCGATCCCAAGTCTAAAATGTGTTCAAGACGGTGTTTGGTCTGAACACTGTGACGGGTCAAGGTTGAAACCGGCGGATATCCGGATATCAAGATTGGGTGATAGCTTGTCCACCTGCCTATACCTAGGGTAGGCAATGTGGTCCGCGCCTGACGCTCGAACAAATAAGCTGACATTCGTTCACTTGGCAGGCTATTTTAGAACGTGGCTAGGCTGTCTGTTCAGCCTTGAGCAACGCTACTCAACCAACCCATCCTGCACCAAAACCCCATACGAACTGTACACGGCGAGTGGTCTCGGCTACGCAAAAATATCCTGGCTGGTACGGGCCGCAGCTCCCCCGCTGGTTCAATAGTTACATGCAATCCAATTCGAGTCCCGTTTGGGGACCTGTCGGCCTGAGGCTCGAAAGAATGGAATTTGCAGCCCGCATGACTACAATGCAACTTTGATAGTGATGTGTCATGTCGATCTTTATTTTTTTAATCTCTGCCCAATCCGAGCGCCGCTCAAGTCCGATCTCCCATTCCGAAATATTCGAGATGGATGGTCGGAAATCTATGTACCCCGAGGACCGCTGACCCCAGGCTTCTGGAAAGAGCGCCAAGGGGAACTCGAGTTTCCGTGCAGAGTGGCACATTTTGAGTACAACACTGCGCCAAGTCACGACATGTCAGCGCCTAGGCAGTGGATGGTGGCAGTGGGCACCCAGGCGACTCCATACCAAGCCACGCACTAGACTGATCTTGTTTCTCGGCGGTTCGCTATTTGACACACTTGACGGTGTGCACGAGGGGCAGGTACTACAAGCAAGTAAGTACAGAGACTGCTGTGTTATTGACAAAGAGGGCCTTGGGTAGGCTGGCATTTGTAGTTTAATGAGCTTATGATGACGATGGGATGCGTGGGATTTGCTGGAGCGTCACGTCGAAACTCACACAAGATGACATGGAGATTGGAGATGGCGGCCCTCGGATATTATTGGACGGCCAGGGCAGCTGGAAGTGCAGAGCTGCCGTTGATTTTTGGAAGGATGGCCGGTGGATTGGCAGCGAGTGGCGCATTGAATCCACTGCGACTCGGTAACGGTCCACAACAACGGAGAGAAGACACCAAACCGGGCATAGTGGCATGAGGCGTGTGGGTGGGTGGGCGCTGCAGGGTGACGGCGACGAAGGGAGTGGCCTTTGGGCTTACCTATTGGAAGACTGAGTGTTCCAAAAATATTATTGCCTCCAGGGTTTGCGCCTGTCGATTGCCTCGAGGTTGTGCCAAGCCGGCGCACCAAGGCACGAGCCCGCAAGATCGAAGCCAAAGGATGGCCACCCCTGTCCGCCCTGTGGGACTTGCCACCTCGGGCCCTGCAAGGCGTGTGCCCCCAGGCCCTGGGCCGCCCCCAGCGCAACCGCCAAGCCTGGGCAAAGGCCGAGGGGATTGCGGCTCGGTCCAATAAAAGCGCCCCGTGCCCTTTCAGCCCAGTTGAGAACAGGGACCCGCGGTTAGGGGCAAAGCTCCCGATGTGGGTCAATCACTCTCGGCCCGTCGACGCAAATGCATCTTTGTTGGTGTTTGGGGGTGCCCGGGGGGGGGAGGGCCATAGGCACAGCTGTGCAGCCCTATAGGTAGGTGGGAAGGAGCTTAATTCTTCTTAAGTCGGCCAGCAACGCCCCCGTCTGCACCCAAACCCCCGGAACACTCTTTCTTCTGTTTCCCTCCCTGAAATCCCCGGCTGCCGGATAATCCCGTCTTCGGTTCTTGCCCGAGTCGACGGGCCCGCAGCCAGCTCGACGACCATCTTTGACGGCAGCCTCGACAGTCTCGACAACCGCGAGCTCGCAGCAGGGTGGGAGCGAGGGAAACCCCACCTGACCTAGATTTAGGTCTTCTTCCCGGGGTAGGTCGCGGCTGCGACTCAGACCTAGACATGGCCGTTGTGGCTGGCCAGGACCGGGTCAACCTGGGGCCTCTCACCCAAGTTTTCACTCCCCCGTTCGACTGTGCGCCTCTCTTTCCAGCATGCACGACGTGCAACTTTGGCTGGAAGGGCCAGGAGTGCGGACCAGACGGGGTTCGAGATGCCACGTCGTGCTGGCCGCCAACTTCCCAAGGAATCCCCGCGCCGACTGGGGCCCTGTTTGGCTGGGGGTTCTACTCGCCGGGCGTTCATTGCCCGGCGGGCTACACATCAGCCTGCACCGCTACTGCTGGCCCTAAGACGACGTCCCAGGGCTGGCCCGTGCAGTTCGTCATGGAGAAAGGAGAGACGGCCATTGGCTGCTGCTCGTCAAACTACGCTTGCGCAAACATCAACGGCCAGACATGCGTCCGCGTCGTACAGTCGACGTCGGTCCGAACGGTATATTGCGACGGCGTCACCACCACAAACCTCGGTAGCATGACCCTTCCCAATGAGTATGCCTCGATGCTCACTCTCTACGCCCCCATGATCCAGATCAACTTTCAGTCCAGCGACATGTCAACCAGCCGTAGCCCTAGCACCAAAGCCAATACCATCACCAGCCCCGGCCCGAGCAGCTCGAGCAGCCCAGGCAAACCAGGCAGCTCAGGGAACTCAGGAAACTCGGGAAGCTCAGACAAGTCGGGAAGCTCAGGCACCTCGGGCAGCTCAGGTAGCTCGGGAAACTCGGGCAGCTCAGAGAATCCGGGGAATTCAGGCAGCTCAGGGAACCCGGGCAGCCCAGGCGGCTCAGCCAGCTCGAGCAGTTCAGGCACAACGAGCGGAGCAAGCAGCAGAGGCACAGCCACGAGCGACCTGGCCGCGGCCACCGCGCCGCCGGCCGCCGGGGCAGCAAACAACGTCAACGGCACTACCATCTCATCAACACCATCAAACGGCTTGTCGGCGGGCGCGATCGCCGGGATCGGCGTCGGCTTGGCGGCCTTAATCCTCGCCATCGGCCTCGCCACGCTTCTGCTCTGGCGGAAGCGCCGGAGGCAGGCCGCCGCCGCCGCCGGCGACAAGGACGCGGACTCGGGGATCCACCATCTACACGAAATAGATAGCGGCGGGCCGCACTACGACGTTAAACCGTCGTCCGAGTCCTCCCCCGTCTCACTGTCCGAGGCCCCCGGCTCCGAGCCGCCCCCCGCCGCGCACAAAGGCTACCCCTACTACCCCGACCAGCAGCGCCGCCCCGGGCCCGTCTTCGAGGCGCCCGGGCCAGAGGAGGGCGTGCGCGAGCTGGAGGCGTAGTTGATGTGGCGGTGGCGTAATATGGCGGTGGTGTAATATGGCGGCTGGCCCCTGGTTATTTCTTCTCCGAGCCTCTTTTTTCTCCCAAATTCTAATCAAAATACCTACCTACCTACCTACCTACCTACCTACGTTTCACTCCCTTCTCCTGTGGAGCCCGGCCTGGTCGAGTTTGTACATCAGTTGGGCTGCATACCCGAGTGGTTGTTGTTGGAAGACGGAGGGAGTTGGGTACCTAATTGCTACTGGGATGTGCATGCTTCCTCGTATCCCCATGTATCAACATGTATGGGGTGTCGACTTGGTTGTCGACTTGCCAAATGGCTACCAATGTATATACGATATTCTTCGATATAATTAGACATGTTGAAATCTTGTGACATGTTTTCGCGCTTCAGACTTTGGGCGGGCGGGCAGATGTTGCAGCCAGCCGTGTTAAGATTCTTTGAAGGGGATCTACCATCATAACTATTTGACGTTTTGTGTGGCATTGTCGTTGATTCTTTACGCTGATCTAGTTAGGAAGGGCCCCAAAGATCCCGGTAACAAGGGAAATGAGGCGGTTGCCTCACAAGTCGTCTTCCCAGGTACTTTTATCCAAAACAAGTCCCCAATCGCCTTGCAAGATTAGAGTTCAAAGCCTGAGGGTCGGCCAACCGAGCGAGAAAGACTAATGAGTCTAGATTTCACTTACCGGTTCATAAATTCTCAACTACTCATCCCATTTATTACCCGTTCGTGAATTGAAATCACGATATTCACACATCAAAGACTGAATACCAAGCCAAGATCTATTAATATTCATAGACTAGCTGAGTTCATGGTGTGCGTTTTGATGGCGAGGCAAAGGTTGATGTGCTGTGACAACTGGGGTCACTTTTTGAAGTTTTCATTTGAGCGTCAGGGAGGCCGAGAATTTCCTCCGAGTTGCCTCATGACAGGTCTGAGGCATCTGTCAAACAATCGTCAGCATGTTTTGGCCCCCAACGCCCACCAGGCACCACACGGTCAGGTGAAGTTGACTGGTAGTTTGTGAGGTCTGTTTCCCATTGAGTAGGGGGCCCCTTGCCATGCTATCGACGTCGGCCACATGTAAGTTCTGAGCCCAAACATTGAATTCGAAAACAGGATAATTAGGATCTTGTTTTTGTACCAGCGCAGGAGGCTGCAACCGATGTGCAGAGATAGACTATTTGTGTTGATGAAGAGTCCAGAGAACTAGTAACTACTTAAACTCAGCGACCGAGCCTGCTGGAGGTCGTGTGACTTCCTGAGGGGTGGAGTGTCAAAGACTGATCGGTGAGCTGATAAGGGCAGCGATTGATGATTGAGGACCAGAGCCTCGCGAGTTTTAGTTGGCTAAGCTGAGAGGCACACGTTCTTCGCGTACCTATGTGCGTGCTACAGGATTTTGAAGGCGCAGGAGACGGCTGCTGCGGGTGCCCGCCTTGTGATTCATCGAAATTCCTGCCGGCCTTGTTCAGCTGTCTAAAGCAAGCCGCCGGCGCTACAAGGGAAAGATTGTTGGGAAAGATTGTTGGGCACTCTCCCCGCCCCGTCGCTGTTGCGGTAAATCAGGCCGTACTATACCTGGCATGTCCGGATCTTTGAGCCCAGAGCCTCTTCAGAGTCCCGTCGCTCTTGGGACACGACTGAGGGATTTTCTTCTGACCCCAAGCCTGAAACTTTTGCCGGCCCTGTCTGCGTGCCTGGCGTCGACCTTGGTGTGAAGGCAGGCATAAACGAGAGTCAAGGCTGCAAGTAAGGAATGACTGAATTCGTAAATAACTAAGCTAAAGAAAGGAAAAGGAAAGAAGAAGCCTGCGGTTCCTGCAGGCCGTGGTTTTGTGGTGGGGAGAGGGGAGGGGCAATTGGGCTAGTCCCAATTGGGAAGCGTGGGGCTGCGGGGTGGAGCCTACAGCCAGGCTTGCCAGGGCATGGTTGCGGCACCACGGACCATAGTTCGGCCGTGCCGTAACACTTGGTACTTGGCCCCGCAATTCATCGCTGATATTTTCTCGTGGCTTGCCCGAGAGCAAGATAAGACTGAGGTACCTAAATCCTGGGTATTATGTCCCAGCCGCACGAGACTACATCCCAAGGGCCGTTGGGCGCGCTGGTTGCGCTCTGCCACTGTTGCCCCAGCCTGGTTAATTCAAACCAAGCACTTTTTATTTAGACTTGCCCAGTCTCAGTCTCTGCCATCTTGACAGTCTCCATCCGGGGGATAAGCTCTATTTAATGACAATGTAAAGAAGCCGGATCCCAAATCGTGGCCGAACGACAAGAAACGCCCGTCGCCGGATAAGAAGCCTGCAGTGCTTCACAAGAAGCCGTCATTGCTTCCTATGGATGCGGTGCCTCTACCAGGTCCAGGAACGCCCCGGCGGCGGAAGCGGCGGCGGCTCACATGCTTCGGCTTCGGCTTTTGTTGGATGAGCAACAGCGCGTGTTGCATCACTGCAGGTGTCATCTGTCTGGTTGTGCTTATTGCGGCCATCTTCTCGCCCACCGTCATTCTTTCCAGCAAGCCAGTGCCGTACGTCTCTCTTCATCTGCTAATTACAGATACCCGCCTTACAAAAAAACCACTTGTATTCTCAATTCTGAGCTGACGGCACCGCAGCGCGAGTTCGAACTCAACGGCAACTACGGTTGTGACGGCGACGGTCACCCAGACCCCCACGACGCCTCCTACGGTGACAGTCACGGGAATTGCCACCCCAACTTCTCCGCCCACGGAGGCTTGGGCACTGGGCGGGTTCGACTCGCTGGCCGGATCTATCTTCTACTCAGACCGCAGCGGTAATGTCGCCCATATCATCAACAACGGACATGTTTGGAACAATGCAACGCCTTTCACTGTTGGTCGTGGCGCCGCGGCAGGGAGTCCTGTGCAGGCCATCTTTGACCCGCACTCCCAGGTACGTGTGCGGACTGCCTATGGAATGCCTGCGACTGATGAGGAGAATAATCCAATAGACCCACGTCGTTTATATCTCGTCGTCCGGAGAGCTGCGCGGCGTGACAGCTCCGTACACTGGGCATTCGTATGACACGACGAGCCAGACATGGTACGACAATGCCGTCAACGTTTCGGGTCTTGTCCCGGCTGCCGTCAACGGCTCCTTCCTGCATGTATGACGTTGTATGACGTCCCACAGAGCACGGTGTACTACTACGAAACAGCCACCGGCGCCACGCCCGTGTCGGTTGTCGTCGATGATGACAGACTGTTGGAATGTGTCAAGCAGAAGGGCCTCGAAGGTTCTAGATAGAGACTTCGCCACCCACTTCGCCACCACAATAGTAGTATAAGAAGGGGCCTTCTGGCACTGCCAGAAAGCTAGAGAGAAGAACACACATCTACAATCCATCACTTGAACCACCAGCTTTTCGGCGTACAGTTACGCCCTGTTGATTCCAGTATCGGTACCCTGGTGAATGCAACACAGACACATCGTGGAGCAAAGGCAAGCAAGCATGGCTGGAGAGAGAGAGAGAGGCGGGGTGATGCTGACAAGAATACACGCACAGTCCTCACCATATCCCAGAGACCGCACCCGCAGACGAACCTGCTAGTCGAACCTGCTAGTCTATACATCGGGAGTAGACCAGGTAACCCTAGGCCGCCAGCATCTCATGTACCTGGACGAGACGGCGGCCCTCGTGCGGGCGGATCTCACGGGCCTGGGAAGCAACGTGACGGCGTCACTCTCCGAGACCCTGACGTCGGGGGCCACCAGCGGAATCAGGCTCGCGACGGATTCCAGCAGTGGCAACTGTGGGGAGACTGTAGGCGTCTACTACCAACGCAACTGCACCTCGGCGCTGTATACTCTGCAGTTTGTCGACCGCCTTTCCTGTGGTTAGGCGCCTCATGAATTGTATTGTGGGTCTAGGTGCCATGGCAAGCACTTCTCCTAGGCCGTTGGCTTTGTGTTGCTTTGTTCGCGTGGTTGCTCCGTGGGACTGAGCAAGATGGGCATGGGAACGTCACTCAATTGTCAATCAGACAAATACTTTTACAGCGGCTGGCCAGACTATGCAAGCCGGTGTCATAACCCGGCCACCGGCGGAACCAGTTCATCTTATCCTCGGTGCGAACTGTATTTTGGCCAAGGACTCAAGGAGGCTGTGCAGGGCGTCATGAGAAGCTGCCGCCCAGAGCACCAAGGTACCTTAATTGCTTTGGGTACCTAATTAAGTAGGTGGTCGACCATGCTCAACATCAATGATTTTGAAGAACGACGAGAGAGAAATTACGAACGTCATACATCTTTATTGTGTAAAGAGCACAGAAAGGTATAATTGATTATTGGGTATGTTTGTGGACGTGGTAGGCAAGGACACGAAGTGCCGAAGCTGGAATGCAAGGGGCAACAACTCTAACTGGCCACCTCCAAGGCCTCCGAGAACCCGGCAACACATTGCCGACTGCCAACCTCACGTCAGCTCGCAGCAATGAGCCTAATCGAGACACCACAAGGGGCGGCCCGGCGGAAGAAATATGGCTAGCCCGATTTCAGCAACTCGATGACGTTTGGTGTCGAACTGGTTGGAGACGAGTTTTGCGTGTCCTATACTCGAGGCACAGTTAAGAGGCTCACGCTCAGGCTCCTAAAGCCAGCCCCTGACGCCAAACTTCACGTCTATCAACCGCTGGCACCGGGGTGTGTGAGGCTGCTCCGGCGCGTTCCGCAGCTCGACGAAAGCATTTTGCCACTGATATTGCCAGAGACAAAGAAGATGTCATGGTGAAAGTGATTTCTGTCATCTGCGGCCCCAGGCAAGACGGCTGCCCGATGGCGAGGAACACGCCGCTTGGCCGCCTCGACCTGCTCACCGACGGCACGACCGCACCCGCCAAGCCGGACCTCTACTACGGCGCGCCTCTCGAGCAACTCCACAGATCTACCCGCGAACAGCTCAGGGGCCACATACGTACGGAAATGAGCGCGATCCAAACCCCCGTGAGTCATGCCAGGTGCCATGATGAACAAGGCCTCACGTTTAATTTTCGTGGATGACAACTATTAGGTCTAGGTATAGGGGCGGTGCTAACTACCATAGTTCCTTTCACCAAATCTTAATTCCCACTTTTTTCACGATAAGCCATTCGCCGGAATATGCCCATTGGCTGGCTATGCATCGTTATCCCGGCTTCAAACAGACTAGCGGCGCCCCTTTGTCTCTCTCTTACCTGGTCAGTTGATGGACGGCATGTGCTATTTGCTTTTCTGCATTACCTGGGCGAGCAGGAAACCCGATCGGGGGGCAAAGGAGGAGTTGAGATGAAGTGGTGGCCAAACAGCCTTCTCTCAATAAGGGGCATGGTCCCAGGCAACTTGGGCGCGCTGGGCTACCCGAGGTCGTTGGGGATTCTGCTTGCACCGGGTACGGATGATATGGAAGGAAGCAGCCGCGGCCCGCTGCCCCCCTCGCAGTTTATCCCCGTGGACCTAGAGGCCAGCAGTAGCACGTCTACCCAACCTCGATACGTCGGCAGTCGTTTTTCTGTCTCTGATTTCCAATCGAGGTTGCTATAAATCTGGAGAACAGCCACTTGGAAATCGCGAATCAGAGACAAGACTCAGATCGGAGATCACCCTGTTCTTCAAGACTCTTTTCAGCTGCCTATTACTGCCTCCCCGTTCGTCCATTTTCTTTGCCATGAGACCTCGTGTATGTCTCGCCCTCTGGGCAGTCCTGTCAATGGGGGCAGATGCGTGCATCCACCACCTACAGGATCGAAACCCGTCGCCGCCTTCCGTGACCCGCAGAAGCCGGCCTGGAGCCCGGACAAAGACTGCCATTAGCAACGCCCGTGTGTTCAATGGCATATTCATTGAGCCCCCTAGGACGGTCATCGTCGATGGAGAATTCATCGGTATTGACTCGAGAAGTGTCGAGACGACCGTCGACGCCTAGGGCCGCATTCTGATTCCCGGCCTCATCGACTCGCACGTGCACGTGAACGACGTCGACGGCCTCGAGACCTTGACCTCGTTCGGGGTGACCACGGCCATGGTCATGGCTTGTCAAGACTACACGTACTGTTCTTAGCTCCGCGGCCATGACGGCCTCTGCGATGTCCGGTTGGCCGGCTTACCGGCGGTGGGGCCTGACACCCAGCACGCCAAGATGTTCAACATGTCGTCGGACCAGCTGCTGTATCCCACGGCCGACCCTGACGCCGCCGTCTCGTACGCCTTCGGCAACAAGTCCGACTTTTACAAGATCACGGCCGAGAAAAGCGGGCTGAGCCAGGACATGCAGACAGCCCTCGTCAAATCGGCCCACGGGCGGGGCAAGCTAGCCATGACACACGCCGCCAACGCGCTATCGTGGAAGCAGGCCGTGCTGTCAGGGACCGACGGAATCCAACACACGGCCACGGATGCGCCCATCGACGCCGACGTGCTGACGCAAGCGGGGGCTGCCGGGCAGTTCAGCACCCCGACCATGAACATAGCGCGCTACACCTTCAGCAACCCCATCCTCCTCGAGCAGATGGGGCGGACCCCGGACAGCCCCGATTCGTACGCACAGGTCAAGGCCAACGTGAAGGCGATTCGCGCGGCCGGAATTCCCATCCTGGCCGGCACCGACGCCGTCGGCACCCTCCTCCCCGGCGTCACCATGCCCTTCGCCTGACGCTGCACTACGAGCTGCAGAACCTCGTCGAAGCCACCGGCATGGAGCCCGCCGAGGCCCTCGCCGCGGCTACCTTGGTCGCCGCGCGCCACCACCGCCTCGGCGACCGCGGCGTTGTTGCGCCCGGTATGCGCGCCGACCTCGTCCTCCTCAACAGCGACCCGCTCGCCAACATCTCCAACGCGCTGGACATTGCCCGAGTCTGGGTCGGCGGCGTCGAGTATGCTCCCGTAGCCAACGGCAAGGAAGCCGTGGCTGCTAGCCCGAATCCCTCGGGGACCGTGAGACAGAAATAGGAGATTGGATAGGGGAAAGAGACGGCGGTGAACGGGCACTTGGTAGTATATATTCGGCCTTAATCGATGTAGGGTTCGTCTTAACGTGCTCTTGATTGACCTCGCTGAGATGGTCGCGAGTGTTCTTGGGTAATTAGGTCGATGTTTTTCAGCCCCTGGTTGCTATCTCGATAAAAGCAGCAACGCCCTCGAGCTGCACATGCAGCAGATCCAGGACTCGCTGCTGCTAGACCTGAAGCAGATCGAGCACAGGTTTTTGCAGAGGGTCGACGATCTCACTGGACGGGCGGCCGTGCAGCACGCCGAGAGTGAGGACTCTCCTCTCATTATCGACGCTAGAAACGAGTTTGAAGAGGCATTGCTAGCCATAAAATCACGACTTAGCCGCAGCGACATGGAGTCGTTGAATGCACTGACGGCCGGCGTGGCCATTCCCACCGAGGCCCAAGGAGTCAAGAGTATCAGAGCGATCGAATCCAGCGTTGCGACGATGGCCGAGAAGAGCAAATCCAGGGTCGTCGTGATGATGGCCGAGAAGATCTTCCAGAGGCTGGAGACCACCAAGACGTTTGACGCGCTGGGAAGCGATAACGATCAAGGTATTCCGTAAACCAATATAATATCCCTTTCGGTGAATTGAAAGGACATAAAGCTCTTCTTCTCCAGTCGTCCCGCGTTGGGTAGGTAGTTAAAAAGACAATTGGAAGGTAAAAAGAAATTCGGATACCGGGAATCGAACCCGGGGCTAGTGAGTGAGAGTCACTGATGTTACCGTTACACCATACCCGATTGAATCACGTGGGTCGATGAGAGTAATTGCTCATATGCGTGCCTAGAACATTAGCGTGGTGGACACGAGGTGGATTGCTCATTGCTCCAAACCACACTCTTTCAACTTTTGTTTTGTTTATGACTTGACTTCGTACTAACTATGGGTTTTACTAAGTGGGTTAAAAAGATATACCACCTTTTTTATCAACTTTCCTTTAATCACGTTGAGAAGTCTTGGATATGCCATCAACTCGCCACACACTCTTTCAGATTTTTTTCTATTTTTTTTGGAGGGGCTCACTCGCCAGCTGCTAGTTGCTAGTCTGAGAATGGCTCGATGAGAGGGGGTTGTTTAAGCGGTGAGGCCATTGAACGTGCTGTCTCGGCTTGCCGATGTGTAACGTGTGAATGCGGGGTGGACCTCGGGATGTGTTCTCTTCTTGCTGGCGTCAGTGTGTCGAGGATGAAACAAAACCCCGAGATTTCATGCCGTGCGCTATGACACGATAATTGTCAAGCACGAATCCAGTATTCTTTTCGACCCGCCAGTGCGTAGGCCTTTTTTTTTTTTTTTTTTTTTTTTTTTTAAAAAAAAAAAAAAAAAACGTAATTACTTCCGGGTCGTTGAATGGGCATGCACGCTTCCGCCGCTAGCGCCGTCGGTGGAAACGATAACTAGATTATTTTCGGAGAACGTAACCAGACTCGAGTCTCACATGCAATTCGCCCTTGCATAAGCCGGATTCCGAGAGAGCTGTTCCCCGCAAAGTGGAATCTTGGCTGTGCAACCTAGGGCAAACCAAGTCCACGGTCTGACCCTCAATCCATCTACGTAATTACAATACGAATAAATAGTATCTACCTACCTCCTGAACACTTGAATCCCGCCAGAGAATGTCTCGGATCGGCGGCGCAGGCAGGATGAACACAACGACGGGAATTTAAGGTAATGCATTCCTCGACCTTCCGTAAGTTAACCGTGTTTGCGACTAGATCTGCAATCTACGAACTCACACGAGTTGATATACGTTCGTGTTGCACGATCCCAGGTGAGATCGTCGAGTTGATCCCGAAAACGCGGCCAAGCGCTGCCAAGAAGTCGGACGATCCGCTGCGGACGCCGAAGCTGTACTATCGGGACCAATGCCGTACAAGTGAGCAATGGAAGTTGGGTGTGCCGGGGAACCCTCGTGGGATTCCGGCCTCGGGCCACGGCGGCCGAGCAGCGAGGGGCGGCCGATACGGCCAGCCATGAGGCGCTCCGAGCTTTCGCCAGAACCTTGTCGCCTAGAAGCTCAGCTGCTGAGACGGACGGACTTTCGGCCACCGAGTCCATCTCACTGTTTGGGACACAGTCTCTCTCTCAGCCAGCCACCGAGCCAACCCCGCCGGAACTGTCGAGGCTTGCAGTTGGCTTGCATCTTGTCGTCTCTCAACGATACGATAGGTTGGTGGTTGTTGATCGCCGCGCGACCGGGGACCCCCGGGTGGCATGACCCAGGTAATGTTTTTAAACCTGCCCATTTTCTCTCCTGTTGCACTGGAACTAGTGGAATAATGATGCAGTGCGACGCAAGGGGTTGGGAGCTCAGCTGGCAACGAGTACTACTCGGAACCGGCCCCTGACGCAACCGTGCAAGTAGCGCAAATTGTTGACGCCGAGGCAAGCAGGCCGGAAGGCTTGCAACCCCGTGCGGTGTTATATAATTACCTTGCCAAGTTAAACTGCTCATTGCACCCCTTGAACTTGCTCAAACTCTCTCGCGTTTCCTCCCACCGTCGCTCAGTCGGCTCGACCCTATTTTGTAGTTCCGAGTTGACTTGGCTTGGCGCCGCCCAATAAGCCGCCATGAAGTTCGCGTCGGTGTGGACCAGCATTGTGCAGGTGTTCAACGTCGCCACTTTTTCTTCTCTGGAAGACACCGAGGTGACTCAGATTCCCCTAATCCCGCAGGAGCCCGAGCCCGGCCCCGTGTTCCGTCATCTCCCAATCACGCAGGACGAGGATGGCAACTACTGGCGCGGCAAGGTCAGCCTGACCCAAGACTGGTCCAGCGGCCAGATATACGACGCTAGAGACTACCAGGTCACCCCGTACCACGTCGACGAGAACAACATTGTCTACAGCGAGAGAGCAGGCCCCCCAAACCGTGGAGAGACACCCGTGATTCCCACGCCAAAGAACCCGCAAGATGGATCGCGCATCAACTGTAGATACCCCAAGATGTTTGGTTGGCGGACCTGCTTCAACGAGACCAAGACGTGCTGGCTGAAAAACGACACTCACATCATCGACATCAACACCGACTATGAGAATATTAACCTGATTCCTGTGGGCGAGACCAAGTATTACGAATTTGAAGTTTCCGAGGAGCCTATCTCGCCTGATGGGATGACCATGGAGCACGGCAAGCTTTTCAATCGCCGATATCCCGGCCCGTGGATCGGTGAGTTGCACTGCAGCCACCATTTGTCTCAGACTGTCACAGCTTACTGACAATGTTCATCGAACTGCATGCAGAGGCTTGCTGGGGTGACACTATCGGTACGTGCAGACCCGCCCCATCCGCTCATGTGCCCCCCCGCAGCAGTGTCTCGCTAACGTAACGCTGAGGTAGAGGTCAACGTCAGGAACAAGCTCCGGTGGAATGGCACATCCGTAGGTTGCAGCACAGATGACAGACAGAGACTGCAGACTGGACATGGTCTAACCAGTGGACGCAGGTGCATTGGCATGGCATTCGCCAGTTCCAGAGCTTCCAGCACGACGGGGTCAATGGTATCACAGAGTGCCCCATCGCGCCTGGGCAGAACTTCACCTACCGGTTCAGAGCCACGCAGTACGGATCGGCGTGGTACCACAGCCATTACAGCCTGCAGTACGGCGACGGCATGCTCGGCCCCATAACCATCTACGGTCCTTCGACGTCCGAGTACGACGACAAGGAGGCCTTCAAGCCGCTGCTCCTGACTGACTGGAGTCACCGTAGCGTGTTTGAGGATTGGCCCATCATGATCAAGTCGGCCACGGCGCCCGAGATGACAAACATTCTCATCAACGGCATAGGCGAGTTCGGCTTCGGGCCCAAGCGCGACAAGTTGAACCTCACGCTGGACTCTGGTAACGACCACTTGCTGATTCTGATCAACACGGCCGTCGACACCACTTTTGTCTTCTCCATTGACAACCACACCATGAAGGTGGTCGAGGCCGACTTTGTACCCATCGTCCCCTACGAAACGGACCACATCAAGATTGGCATCGGCCAGCGGTACCACGTCATCGTTCACGGCCTGGACAGACCCTTCGCCGCTGAGAGGAACGGCAACTACTGGATGAGAGTTGTGCCGGCCAGAAAATGCTCAAAGTTTGCCTTTGGCCCCGACGAGCAGATGGGCATCATCCGCTACAACACTAGCACGCAGGACCCTCTCTCGGAGCCACCCCTGTACGACATCAACTGCGCCGACGAGCCCTATGAAAAGCTCCGGCCATATCTCAACTGGACCGTTGGCAACCCCGTCAATATCAGTAAGACTACCCTCTCTAGCCCCAAAGACGAAGAGACGACGCAGAGCTGATTATCATCGTCGAAAAGACGCGACCACAAACAACACGCTGCTGCCCTCCGAAAAGAAATACATTTTCGACGTCGGCATGCGGCCCGTGGGAGGCCCCGACAAGCCCCCTTATATGCCGAACGACAAGCCCTATGTGAGAATCATCCCCCCCACACCCCCACCCCCTTCATCACAGCCACGCATACAACTACCAATAACACATGCTGACTCACGGAACCATGGCACAGGGCCGGTGGGAAATGCACACGGCGCCGCACTGGGCCAACTTCTCAGACCCGACGGTGCTGGCGCTAGACCGGCTGCCGGAGCTGGAGAAGGAAAAGTACCTCAACATCCTCGACCTGGACGACGAATACGAGGACAAGTGGGTGTGGATGGTGATCACGGCGCCGGCCAAGGTGCCGTCGGACGGCGAGCGCATCTTCTTCCCCGCGGCGCACCCCATGCACCTGCACGGCCACGACTTTGCCCTGCTGCGGCAAAGCTCCGACAACTGGTACCCCGACGGCGATGATGATGGGGACCGCATCTACTTTCCCCCGGACAAGCTCAACTGCGCCAATGAGAATATCACCTGCATCAACCCGCCGCGCCGCGACGTCGTGCTGCTGCCGGCGGCCGGCTACATCATTGTCGCCTTCAAGGCCGACAATCCTGGGTATGTTCTCCACTCACAGTCTGGTAAAAACGGAACCGACACTGATAAACAATCTAGCACGTGGGCGTTCCACTGCCACATCGCGTTCCACGCGTCGTCCGGGCTAGCGATGCAGATTGTCGAGAACAAGCACCTGATCCCCGGCATTGTGGGCAAAGAAAAGGAGCTGCTCGAGGAGGGCTGCTCGACCTGGGACCGGTGGTTCAGCAACGACATGAACCTGTGGGACTGGAACCACCGCGACCACTTCCAGGACGACTCGGGCGTGTGAAAAAGAACAGAGGAAGGAGGAGGCTGCTGCTGCGGGAACAGTCATGAAGCAGCCAAGAGTGATTCACATAGCTACCCACTCTGATTAAATATAGTCCGCACGGAATATCGTACGCTGATTGGAAACTGTGCATACATGAACTCTGCTATTTTTGTGTTGTCCCCCACATTATTTTGTCGACAATGGATACAACCTGCGATCTTAATTCCAACGTGATATACAACAAGAACTATCCCTAGTCCAAACATGACAACAGCCGCGCGAACCCCATTTCACACCGTGACAGTGTGCACGTACTTGACCTTGCCGGCCTCGAGGCGGATCTCGTGGCTGTCGGGCAGGCTGCCGAGCGAGTCGAAGGAGCACAGCACATCGACCGACCCAATGGTCTCATCAATGACATAGCGGCGGTTGCCGTTGTTCTTCGCGCTGCCGCCGTGGGGCAGGGAGCCGCCGCAGGGGCGGGTGAGGGAGGAGCCCTCGACACGCTCGCAGTTGGTGCCCCAGGGGATAGAGTCTGCGGCTTTCGCGTCGGTCCACATGTCGAGGTAGGCGTCGCCGACGCGCTTGAGCAGGTCGCGGGAGGGGCGGTCGGCGGCGTCCAGCACGCCCCAGTTCTCCTTCTGGATGTAGCCGAGGGTCTGCTTGGGGTTGAAGAAGAGCGAGCCGGTGGTGGCGGCGATGGTGTCGATCATGGAGATGGTGGAGGCGTCGCCGGCGTCGTGGCGGAGTTGTGTGGCGAGCACGTACGGCTTGGAGCCGCCCGACGAGATGATCATGGTGTAGCTGGCGCAGGCGACCGTGTCGGCCGTCGAGCGGTTGAGGTCAATCTTGAGCGGCTGGCTGAGCACGCCGCGCTTGATGTCGGCCGCCTTGTTGTTCTCCTGGTACGTGAAGTTGGTGCTCGACAGCTTGAGCCCGTCGATCTTGCCCGCCGTCACTGCATTCACGTAGCTGTTTGCCGCCGCGAGGAGATCTTCGCGCGTGCAGTCCGCCGAGACTGGGCTGGCCGCAAAGGACCCCAGGACTGCCAACACGGCGCCCATCGCCGAGCTTGATCGAACCATGGTGAACGGTGCTGGGGCTATCTTTCAGACACTTGGACAATTGCGTCCCAGCGAGCCGGGCAAAGGCACTGCGAGAGCAACAAGACACAAGCTGGCGTATTTTGGATGGTACGGGCGCGTCAAGCTCACGGCTCGAAACAGTGGAAAACACAACAGCCTTCGTTGAACAATATATCACCGTGTGGCCACAGAATTGGAGCTCCGGACGCCGTCTTAATTTAAGACCGTGGCCTGGGTAATTGATTGGTTATGCGGGGTTCCCCTTGCTCCGGGCCAGCAGACGACTCCCTGCCGCTGCTATAGATTGAGGCCCCTTAACTTGGCAAGATTAACTTGACTGAATTAGGCACTCGGGGTATTCGGCAGCTTCCGCTCGCCGGCAGACAGGGACGGATGCCCCCTGGGTCCTCTCTCTTCGCCTGCAGCACAAACTTTTGCTGAGGAGATACTGCGTGTCTGCGAGTTGGGAAGCCCGGACAAAACGGTGACTCTAGGTAGATGCCTTGTCTCGGAACACGCCGCTGACAGTGAGCATCCGCGCCAACATTGCGTCTTTGACGATCGCCAAAATGGTGGTTGTTATTGCAGTGTCAGAAAGCTCTGCAACGCGCGTGTGAAGCGGCATGCCCGACTTTTTCGCAGCCGTGAACTTGTCGATCACGTGGTTAATGGCTTGCTCTGCAGCACTCTCGCCGTCTGGTCTGTTATTGATACGGAGCGAGCTAGAAGGCTCCTTGCCATCCAACTTGTCTTTGAAGCCGGCCACGTTCCAGAGGACCAGAATCATCGACGCTTGCGGAAAGTGGCGCGTGTTGACGAGATGTTCAAACAAGGTCAAAGACTCCCTCAACCGGCCCTCGCCGTGGTGAGATTCGTCATCATTGTCAAACAGCTCGACGCAGTGGGATAGGTCGAAAAGGAAGAGCAAGATCGTGGTATCCTCAAAGTACGAGCGTACCGACTTGATGCCACTGCTCATACAGTTCATATCCGCGAGGCTGACGGATAGTCGCTTGAATTTAAACGTGCCTTTGAACATCATGCGCCGCCGGTCTTGAAAGAAACGCCGGTGGTCGGCCAGGGTCGGCATGTAGTTTTCGGCTGAGATGCGGCGGACAGCATCCATTACCCTGCGTAAGATTGTCAGAAATCAAGATAAAAGGCCAGACGTAACAAGTCTGCAAGTTGTTAGGAGGGCGTTGTTAGAAGGGCGAACTTACAGGTGTGCATATGCATCCGGCTTTCCAGCAGCGGTGCATGCGGTTCGAAAGGCCTCGGAAGACCACAACTCCTCGATCGAGAGGACCATCTTATCGTCCAGTGTCGCGTTTTTGGCCTTCATTCTCTTGACAAGGCCCACCGCCTGCTCCATGTCTGAATGCTCCTCCACGACGTCCAGCAAGCTTTCGACGAATCTTCGAGCTTCAAGCAGGACGTTCCGCCTGATCGGAACCGCAGCGGCCTCCAGGTCGACATCCAGTTCAGCCGCCGATGCCTGACTGTCAGATCTCGCCCTCGACGACGACGACGCCGCCGCCATGAAATTCTCCACCACCAGCACTATGGCCTCGTAGTCGCCCCACACCAAGACAGACTCCTCTCTCCCCTTGAAATCGGCTGCGATCTGCTTGTTGATGGCGGCGGACCTCTTGCGAGCCTCCGCTGCCTGGCGTACGGCAAGACTTTGCGATCTCTGCTTGATCAGGAGCGGCCAGGTATTGGCTCTGGGGAGCGAGTCATCCTGCGATTTTGGTCGAGGGCTCCTGGGCCGGCTCGCTTGCCGCCCGCGGGCCAGGAGGCCATTCAGCCGGGATGAAGTCGGCAGCAAAGACCTGGGCGCCAGGCGCTGTCTCCAGGACTGCAGCCGACTCTCTTGGGTGTCTTGGCAAATTGCCATGAGGCTCAAAGTGTCCTGCTGGAGCTGGTAGAAGAAGGCGCAACAAGAGCTGCTGCCGAGAAAGGCCTGCTGCTCGTCCAAAGTTTCACTGGTCCCCAGAAAACGGACAATCAGTAAACACGGCCTAGGGAAAGAGAAAATGAAAAGCTTGGCCAAAGGCGGAAGCAAATCAGATTGCAAAAAAGAGGGGGGATAGACTCACAAACTGCTGGCCTGCAAAAGGACATCGAAACCCATGACCAGACGGTCGACGAGCGGATGGAACCTAGCAAACAGATCACCCGCATCGGCATCTTTCGTGTCTTCTCTAACATCGAACGTGAGTTTGACCTTGGCCAGCGGCGCCGTCTTCTCGTTTAGAGCACCGACCTTGTCGCCGCCCGCCGCCCGGAGAAGCGGCACGGCGTCCTGGTCCGCGTCGACCCTGCTCCTCCTGAAGACACTGCCGCGGGTCTGACTGCGCCCATTGCGCAGTGCGCCGGCAGCATTGCGCAACCTGCCGGTAGCGTCGCTCCTGATGAAGTCGAGGCCCTTGCAGATCAGCGCGCTCAGCCGGCTGACGACGGTTCCGCAGCTGTCAACGAGGACCTGCGCATGGGCGTTGAATTGTGGGGTGGTGGTGGTGGTGGTGGTTGTGGTGTTAGTTGCAGCCTTCTCCGATCCCGACGCTGCTGGTGGTTCTGGTGATGTCGGTGCCAAGTCGAGACAACCGCGGATGTGGGCGAGGCTGGTGCGAATGGCAGCTAGCTTGGCGGCTAGTCTCGAGACGGACACGCCAACGAACGGCGGGACGCCATCGTCACCGTCGCTGTTTTCGTCGACAGAAGTTGGGGGTGTCGTGGCAGTGGTCCATGCGACAAAGTCGTCCTCGCACAGTAACGCCTCAAGCGAGCCAATCGTGTTTGCAAGCCTGCTGTCGAGCTGGGAGATGGCGCTGGCGGTCGTACTAGTAGCGGCGGCGGTTGTGGCAGTGGAAGTCATGGCTTTGGCGAGAATAAGCTAGTCTTTCCAACTCTGCTGCAGCCCCGAGCCCGCGAGAACTTCTTTCCCAGACTCTCACAGGACAGACAACGGAAAACAGGAAAAACAAGGGCGCATGGGCCGCCGGGGCCGCCGGGGCCGGACAGGCAAGACTTTAAGAATGCTCGACGGTCATAGCTCGCAGCTGAGACACTGTGATACCGGGCTTAATAACCAGAGGCGGGTTCGTTTCAATGTCATGCTGTTGGCCCGCCCCCCCTCCCCGCGCCCGGCCGCCAATGACAGCCGTCGTGCATGCTAGTGCAGAGGCCGTTCCGTGGAACGGCTCGCTAAGGCACGACCTGAATTGTGGTCCCTGGCTCTCAAGGTGTGTTGGCCTTTTACCTCGCCCTAGGTTCTCCCATCGGCTAGGTTAAGGTTGGTCGGAAGTGACTAGCGCTCACTGGCTGAACAAGGGCCAGATCTTGGGGGCTGCTAGGGCTGCAAGGATTTAATAAGACGATCGGCGCAGGAAATGACATGTTCCGCCTCAGTGTACCGGTACGAGACCTGTCATCACTCTCCAGTCTTCACAGTACGCGCGCCTTGGCGGCCCGCAATGCAACTAGCCCAGGAGGAATAAAAGTCTGTTGGGAATAATTCCGTGTTAATCACCTGTTGGCCATGTCAGGTATCCTGGATAGCTAGCTTCTGCCTCATCTCCCGCTTTATCCTGGTGATGGTGCCGGGGCCGCCGTACGTCAGGCCCGTGTAGACCATGGCCACGCTGGCACCGGCGTTGAGGACGCGCAGTGCCTGGTCGCCGTCGGTGATTCCGCCTGTCGCAAAGATGACCTTGGGGTCGCCTGCGCCGCCGCCCACCCCCCGGCCTGCTTCAGAACCCCCGTCCGCACTGGCCGACTGCAGCGAGTAGCCATCTAGCGCCTTGCGATACCTCCCAACCAGCCGCAGCGTCTGATCAAACATGGCCGGCCCCGAGAACCCGCCGTCCTCCAACAGCGCCCTCTGCTCCTTGGCGCTGATTTGGACGCCCTGCGGGACTAGCCCCGCTCGACGCTTCGTGGTGTTTCCCACAATGACGCCGTCGACGCCACTTGTCCACACGGCCTCCACAACTCCCCGGACCTGACTCTCGTCGTCCTCGTCGGGCGAGACCTTGACCATGACCCTTGGCTTCTGCCACCTGTCTGTCTTCTTCGCCTCGCCGACCACGGCGGCGAGGATCTTGGTCAGCGGCTCCGTGGCCTGCAGGTCCCGCAGCCCTGGCGTGTTGGGGCTGCTGACGTTGACGACGACCACGTCGGCGTACGGCGCCAGCCTGCTGACGCAGTAGACGTAGTCGCGGATGACGACGTCGACGTCCTTCTCGTTTGTCGCCTTGTTCTTGGCGATCTGCACCAGCAGCAGCCGCCCGGGCTGCAAGCTGCCCGGCGGCACCCCGACCGCGCCCTCGCCCTGTTGCTCCCCGTCGAGCAGGTCCCGCTCCGTCAGACCGAGGCTCCGCACGAACCTGCGCAGTCGGTCCCGCAGCCGCGCGCCCATGGCATCCGCCCCGCGCGAGTTCAGCCCGTACCGGTTGATCATGCCGTCGATGCTGGGAACCCGGAACACTCGAGGCCGAGGGTTGCCAGCCTGCGGGAGCGGCGTGCAGCCGCCTACTTCTACCACAGAGGCGCCGAGAGCAAAGAGGGCATCCGGAACTTCGGCGTCCTTGTCGAGGCCGGCTGAGATACCTATGGGGTTGGCAAGCTCGGTCCCAAACACATTGACCGACAGCGGATTGCCGGGGGTTTCGGCGGCGGCCCGCGATGGGCGCTCCCGAGGATGGAGATTGAGGGTATAGAGGGTCTTGAGGGCCTTCGTTCCGGCATGGTGGGCGTCTTCGGCGTCGGGGTAGACCAGGCGGAGGAGCGGCGGGACGATCCAGCGGTGGACCGAGGCGCGGGTGTCGGTGACATAGTAGTAAATGACGTAGAGAGAGACAGCTCCCACGCTACTGTAGAGAAGCGCCCTGATGCGGGCGAGAAGGACAGACTCGGAGGTAGAGGACGAGGACGAGGACGAGGACGAGGTCGAGGTCGAGGTCGAGGTCGAGGTCGAGGTCGAGGTCGAGGTCGAGGTCGAGGCGGGGCGTCGGTGGACCTGGTTGCCAAAGTTGCTCAGCGAAGCCCGCGGCGCGAATCGGGCCGTCGCCAGAGGCTGCACAGCCGACGAAAGAACGTTCCGAGCGCGCAGAAAGGCAGCTGCCATCGTGAGCAACAGATGCTGGGCCGAGCCAGCACTCAATGGCAGACAACGAGCGAGCGACGTGGTGGGGTGGTCGAGGCGTGCTGCGAGATTCAAGCTGCCAGAATAATTGGGGGAGCTTGTGCAATCGCCTCAAATTGCTCGGGAGATGGGGGTCAGACAGTGTGGATTGAGAAAGCGGACTGTGCTGACCGCGGGGTCGATGACAGCCCGAGGCTCTGCCAGTCAAGCCAAGCCAAAATCAGGCCATTATCTATGCTGCAATTTCTTTCGTCTATACAAGAATTCTTCAATCCCATATCCCATAATTCTTCAATTGTTTGATCCCATTGAATGGTCTAGATTCCAATCCTCTAGGTCTATGCGAAAAAAACGCCAAAACATGCGCCAATCGCCCAAGCAATGCATTTGAACACCCACGGAATCCACCATCGTCGCTGCCGGCTCTCCAATGCTTCAGCATCTAATTAGGCCACGGACACGACCGCGTTGACTTTCGGCGCATCTGGCGCTGGCTTTGCTGATCGTGCTGCTTCGTCTTCAGCCATGCGATTGAGGAAGCTCAGATACGTCTGCCATCCAACAGCAATAACCCCGGCGAAAATGGACCGGTACTCGAGCGGAACGAAGGTGAAGCTGAAGGCGGTAACTGCGGGCCAGATCTTCCAGCTGTTGACCCAGCTGGTGGGCACCGTCCGCCGGATGCGGTCCCAGACCTCGCCCAGATTATCGCCGGCGAGCAGCGCCTGCATGCCGAAGAAGTAGCTGTTGAAGATGGGCGTGAAGCACAGCTGGTTGACGACGACTTTGGTCCCCAGCGACAGGATGCGCGACGGGTAGTTGAAGCTCGTCGACAGCCACACGAACCTGCCGAGCCGATCGCACCCCACTGGTCAGCTCCCGCCGCCGGATACCTACCCTGCGAGTCCTCGCCGCTGCTTCGAGAGAGCGGGGAGGGACTTACCACTTGTAGCTGGGAGCCGACGATATCGCGCCGATCACCAAGGATCTCGCCGTCCGCACCGGGTCGTAATCTCTCCCGCCCATCGTCTGCGCCGAGACTGTAACGATGCCCGCGTTAGCATGGGCCACACTGGGCCGCATTGGCCGTCGCTATACGGGAGGTGGGCCGACTTACTGTCGGAGCAAAAGTAGATGACCAGCGAGCTGCACAGCTGGGTGGTGAGGGGCCTCTTCCGCTGTGCGCGCCCAAAGGCTTGGGCTGCCCTCGTCAGCGGGCCCAGCCTCTGCCAGAAAGGGAGCGTTGGGACATTGTTGGGCGTGGGGATCTGGTCTTCGGCTCGAGCTGTCCTGGCCGCCGGCGGTGTGTCTTTGGTCGACTGCGCTCGGCGCTGGCGAAACTGCCGCAGGGCATAGTGGACGCGGCGCCGAAGCATTGCTTGGTATACCGAACACGCCGCCATGCCGCTCTGTGTCTGTCGGCGATATCGGGCGCAAGGTCGCAGCGCCGGGTTATGAGGCTTGCATGGTAGGTCTCGAGTTGTTTGCAAGTCGAGTCACTGTTGGGCGGTCGCAGGAATGCGCCAACTGACTCGGTGCGGTGTCAAGTGTCGGTCTCCTCCAGCGGAGCCAATCGCGGGGGAGCCTGCCTGGACCCGCTGGAAAAGCCAGCGAAACTCGGTATTTTGCTGCCCCGGCCTAGCTGGCTCGGCTGGAACTAGCCGCCCCCAGGGGACCCCCACTGAAATTTGCGCAGGTCACACGACGAATGGAAAAGTGACGGGGAGTGCGAACGTGCGGGCGTGTGAGCGTGCGAACTGCACGACGTTCTCTCCCAGTCCCGCCTCTCAATGTCTGTCGGTCAGATGCAAGGCAACACTTGCACCTGTCATCTATGAATTGGACATGCAAGTAATGTTTGGCATGCACCACATGGCACAAGAAATAGTTACGTTCGAGGTACCTACCTACTGTACTCCGGTCGCTACCCCAGGCAGGTAAGCACTCAACGGCGAGCCATGGATGTTGTAAAGTCAGCCATTAATTACATTACATGCCAGTCTCGAGACGAAACATTTTGAATTACATCCGGTCTCTCATTCTGCCAAACTACCTATGTGCAACTGTTTTGCCAGGCGTTTATGCATGAGGCGCATCCACCGCCTCGGCTGCCTTGCTGAGCACCACTGGGTCAATTTCCTCCTCGGAGAGCGCTGGATCCTCAACTTTCCTCAGATGAGCAGGCCGCTCCGGCACCATGAAGACGACAAACGAGGTTGCCGGAATCGTGATGGCGAACATGACAAAGGCGATTATCAGGTTGACCATGGGAGAGACCGACGCGGCACCAATTCCGAACGAGATACAGGAGCCGATGGACTCGAACGATCGGACGAGGCCCACTGCAAGCGTCAAAGTCTCGAGATCATCGAAGAATGTCCCCACCAACCAGTAAACAAACATGTAATGCGACTCGTTCATGAACCTTTCGTGCTTGTCAGCGAGGCCTCTTCCACTGGCTACGTTAGACACTCCCGGTAAAGCCGATGCGTACCTTAGGATCACCATCGAAGCAAAGCCTCGCCCGAATCCCGGATTGTCCCAGTCCAGGGTGACGCGGGGGTTGGAGTCTCGGTAAAGTTTCTCGTTTGCGACTTGCCAGCCGAACGCGGACAACATGGCGACGACGAAGAAGACCCAGCAGATCTTGGCCAGCCTAGGGCGCTTGAAGACAGTCAGGTCGTAGAACCAGCCCCAGAAGATGTTGGCAAAGGTTGCAGCGATGGCCGATGTCAAGGAGCCGAGCGTGCGGGCTCGGACCGAAAAGCTGCGGACCGAGTGACAGGTTAGCTGTCAAGCACTTGTCACCAGGTCCGGGTCGCCATGCAGTACTGGGAGCTTACTATTTGGTCAGGTAGATGCCCAGATATGTCCCGTTCCATGCGAATCCGATCAAGATGGGCACCATCAGGAACATCTCCCTGCGCTTGAACAGGGCCCAGATGTTGCGGAATTCCTGCTTGATGCTCTTGTTCTTGGGAGCGGGCTCCAGCCTGCTGCCGTCATTCTTGATCACCTTGTGCGGCGGCGACACGAGCAGCGCCAGGGGCAGCCCGAGGCACTGCAGCGCGATCAGGACCAGGTACGTGCTGTATCCGACCTTGCCGCGGTTCTGGCTGCTGGCGTTGAGCGACAGCTGGATCGAGGACCCAATAAGTTGCCCGAGCTCGCGGAGTCCGAGCCAGATTCCAGCTGGAGCAGCACATGTCAGCGGCCAGCGTCGGGCATCCTGTTGCAAAGCGATGCGTGAGGGGGGAACAGGGGGGGAACAGAGGGGGGAACAGAAGAGGGAACAGAGGCGGGAACAGAGGGGGGAACAGAGGGGGGAACAGAGGGGGGAACAGAGGGGAAAAGCTTACTGAACTTGCCGCGGTCCTTGACGTCGCCGTACCCAAGAGCGATGGCGCCCTCGGACGCCCACAGCGCAGAGGCCGCGATGCCGCAGGTCGCGCCGCCGAACAGCACGAACCACTCGACGCCGTATCGGTTGTTGACGTACAGAGAGGCCGAGTATGGCGCATAGCCGAGCGTGCCAATGATCAGCACCCACTTGAGCCCGATCCTGTTGGCCAGGATGCCGAAGAGCGAGCAACCAAACGCCATGATACTGTTTCGTGTTAGTTTTGCGGGGCCGCGGCTGCGGAGTGACAACACTTTTGTGGTGGCTTACCCAAAGGTCAGTGAGTTGGAGCCATTTACGAGGTACTGGGAGCACTGTCAGTCTCTCATTCCACAGCAGTCTGTGATAAGAGGGGCACAAAGACTCACCGGCTCCTGCTGGCCGCCGGCCCCCGTGTTGTTCAACGCATTCCAGATGCCCGGTTGGGTGAAGGAAATGAGACCGACGATGATGACGTTGAAGAGCGGGCTGCGGAACCACCGCGTGAGCTTGGACACGGGCTTGGCCGTCTGCTCAGCGACGCTGAGCCCCCCCTTGACGTTGCCGTCTTCGACGGTCTTGTCGTGGTCGATCGACGACATGTTTTCGGCTGTCTGTGAAGGAGTTGCCTATTCCAGCAGCCCCTACATGCAGACAAGCGAGGTTGTTATTGGAGGATGCGAGAGACAGAGGAACCGCTCGCTTCCAGAGGGCCGGGACGTGACAATCTTTATGTGAATCCGCCGAGTCGGTGAACGTACCGACGCATCGGATCGAGCGTGATCACTCCATATTTTTTTTCATGATCTTTTCTGGCGGCACTTGGGGTCGGACAGCTGCCAAGGCCATGCATTGTCACCCCAAAGTGGAACTGTCGACTGCTCCCTCGCTTTTTGGCGGTTAGTGGCAAATTTGGGGACATGTCGTGATGAGGTAGCGCGATGGTGACATGCGCTCGAAAACAAGTATTCCCCACTGTTCAGAATCGCTCCCACCCGGGCTCGACTCGGAATCGAGATGCTTGTTGAGGAGCACGATTTGCCCATCCTGCCCGCGTCCCAGCTCCGTGGTGCTCTCGGACGCCTGGGCCGCGTTGGGCAACATGGCCGGCTATTAGCTCTACGAGCATGTAGAGAGAGTGGAGTCTGGCATCGTGAGGCATGCGAGACGTGCTTGCAGGGATCGCGTTGCGCCATCGGCTGTCGATAACACTACCGACTTGGAGAGCGGGCGCGATAGTAATCCAGCTGGCGATGGGCTCGGCATGTCGTGTAGCGGGCGGAGTGATTATAAGAGGCATAACAAGATGCTGCCTTGCTGCAGCTAAGTCTAGTCCCAACGCTCACACTTTGCCCGAGAACGGTTGCGAAATGCAAGATTGTCAAGCCACACCCGCCGACACAATCTGACAGCCAAGTCTCGACTGCATATCCACCAAGGCCCAGAACCCGCTTTGCTGCAGGTGTTATCAGCGACTAGCATGACTGCCGCCCAGGTTCTCCGCCCTGCCCCATACGGGCCCTCCATCAGCCTCCCGGCCCCGTACCCGGAGGGCACCGCGTTCCCGCTATCCCTGTCGCCGGCCCGGGCCGGGGTGTCACTCGACGACATCACAGCCGAAATCCGCGGGCTCGCGGCGTCGGGGCGGATATCAAGTCTCCTAGACCGGCACGGGGCCGTCTACTTCCAGGGCCTGGGCCTGAAGAACGCGCACGAGTTCTCCAAGTTTGCCCACGCCTTTGGCTGGCTGCCGCACGAGGACATTGGCAACCCCGTGCGCCGCACCGTCCTGGCCAAGAACGTCGCCACGGCTAACGAGGGCCCAAATACCCAGCCCGTCTACCCGCACAATGAGTTCGGCCTGAGCCCGCACTACCCGGCATATGTGCTGTTCTACTGCGTCACGGCGCCCGAAACGGGTATGCGCGCCATATCTGCTGGACATAGCCTGCGCTGTTGTTGCCTGGTGCTTACACGTTGTTTGTGTTTGTGGCGTCGTAGGGGGCGAGACGCCTATCAATAACTCGGCTATCCTGTACAGCCGGCTGAAACTGAAACATGCCGAGTTCATCGAGGAGGCGGAGAAGAAGGTAGGCCGTGAATTCCATCGCAATCGCGTCTCGGCTGCTTTCAAACAAGCGTAAATTGCAACACACACTAACAGAGAGCGCTTGCACATCAGGGAGTCAAATACCAGCTCTTCCACCCCAACGGGCCGAAAGACCAGACCACGTCGGCCGGCACGACGGTGCTTCAGGCCTACGGACGGCACGTGCTCGACTCGGACGACGCCGAGACGACGCGGCAGAAGATCGAGAAGGAGATCCGCCGCCTGCCGACAGCGACGTGGCGGTGGGAGAATCAGTCGGCCACCAACCCCCTGGGCGACCTGCGCGTGTGGCAGGTGTTGCCGGGTATGTTGTTGTGCTCAGGCGGTGTTTGTTGTGAAGAGTGACGCTGGCTGACTGATCCCAGTGGCCAGAGACCATCCGCGCACCCGGCAGCGCGCCTTCTTCAACAACATCGTCTCGCGCTTCCTCAACGCCGATAATGCCGGCACCCTGCTGCCGCCGCATCTCACCGGCGACGGCAAGTACCAGCCGCCTGCGTTTGTAAGTGTTTATGGGTGCAACTCGGCCAACACATGGTTCTTTTCGTAACTGTTCCGTTGTGATGCAGCGAACTCGCCAACACATGGTTCTTTTTGTAACTGTTCCGTTGTGATGCAGCGGACCCGCTGACTCTTGTTGTTGATTAGTACGGAGACGACTCATTGATTCCACGTGAATACCTCGACTCGGCGGTTGAGTTCATCAACGAGACGCGCGCCATGGTGACGTGGCAGGCCGGGGATGTGATACTGATTGACGTGAGACTTGACCTATTCTCCAGTCTGAATAGTTCTGTGGTGGTTAATTATGCTGACATTCGCAAAGAATCACCATGTTCAGCACGCGCGTGAGCCGTGGACGGGGTAGGTTTCGAATTTGATTCCCGTCCATCCCCCATTCCCCCATTCACTGGCGGCGCCATCTCTCACGGACCGAAACTCTTTGCTGACAGCTTCCAAACAGGAATCGCAAACTGCTGGCAAGCTTGTGGGACGAGGCTCACTGATCAAGTTTTCCTAGATAATTGGCATGGCGTTTCCATGACATGATGATTGTGTGTTGTTTGATGAGTTTGAAAACCGAAAACTGGCATATGGAAAAAGGGCGCATATCTTTTTCGGAGGTTGTTTTCTGATCAACAGATAGCCCCTGTTTGTAATTGACGGTTAGACTAGACCTAATTATCCTGAGGATTAGGGTCATCTGTGGATAGATTCCCAAACTTCCCCGCATTTCAACCCGAAACCTTGCTCGAACGTCAACGTGAAAGCCGACCGAACAGTTCAGACCAGCCTCTCGGACGGACCGAGTAAACACACGGGAGCTCGTCCCGCAGTTCCAAGCATGGGCGACATATCCATCCGAGAGTATATCCGCTGGCTTCCCGACGCAGCCAGCGAGCCGACGTCGACCATTGTGCTCACGTCGCCCGGCCGCCGCTTTGTCGACTTGCGCATCCTCAAACCGCCCGGAGGCCAGCAAGTCCAAGGTAAGGATGGCAATCCGTATTTCTCTACCTCAATTCAAGATATATCCGTTCGACGAAAAAGTAAAAAATGAAAAAGTGAAAAAGAAAACTCACCGACCCTAACCAGGAACTGAGCCCCTCCCCCTTTCCCGACTGGACTGGGCCATCGCCGGCACGTCTGAATCGTGGCCGCTCGAAGCCGGCGCATCCACCGGCAGCGCCAACGAAGGCGCGTCCCGCGCGCAGTGGCGGCACTGGATCGATTCGCGCACGGCCGACACGCGCGGCCTCGTCGACGAGGGCGTCAACTACCCGCAGCCGCCCGACGGCGCCAAAACGCTCGAGAAGGGCCGCATGGTCAACCCGGTCACGGGCGTTGAGACGGAGTACGAGGAGCTGTGGCGGTCCGAGCCGGCCGCGGCCAATGTTTGGCCGTTTGGATACGGCGTGTCAGGAGGCCCGGGTGCTGAGGGGCTCGACGCCGTGTGTGTCGTGCTCGAGCTGCGGGACGAGGGCGACGTTGGCGACGTTGGCGACGTTGGTGACGATGGCGACGTTGGCGACGATACCCTGCAGGGCTCCCGGAAGCGGGGCCTGTTCGTGCGGTTGGGCCAGTACTGCCAGGCGCTCGTACGGAACGGCGGGGAGGTTGGAGTTGAGAGGCTGAAGTGGAATGCCGGTGTGGGGACGTGGGTGACGGAGGTGAGGATCGGCGAGATGAAGACGCCGGCCGACTTTGCCATCTACGCCGGTCACGAGGCGGCCGTGGGCGACAGGGTGGAGGCCGGCGGGGACGTGTGGACTGTTGTGGAAGCGGAGCTGATTGTGCCTGACGGGCATCTGGACACGACTTGATACTTTTCAGCACGGGGCTTGAGCCGTGCTCCACGCAGTTGGACTAACAGCTGTCGCGGCTTGTAAAATGCAGGGCTGCTATGAGATAACCCACGTATTTGGCTGCCGTTTGCTCATGTAGCCCTGGTGCCCAAGTTCCAGCCCAACGGTGGCCGATGAGGTTGGGTTTTGTCCGACAGCCCTCTTTGACGAATGGCAACGGATCTCTTTACCAACAACATTAATCAATGCGATGCTTCTGGGTTTCTCTTCCCTGCATTGAAGCGCGATGTTCATCAATCGATTCACACGAAAACTGTAACAGCCCTCCCGTTGCCCCCTTTTTGCCCCGAATTCTGACTTCTCTGGAGCTGAAAGTGCCAATACTAATCCACTGCAAGCCAAGACTGTAAAGACAGTTGGGTAATTAGGTGGTGGTAGTTAGGGGTGGTTTGCCACAAGGCAGTTTCTAGGTGTCCAGACAGACCGGGCGGAGTCTGCATTTGGATCATCTGCCTTTTGAGACGAGGCGCTGTCAGTAGAGGCAAGTTGTCGGGATTAGGTAGTTGGGGCCTCCGGCGTGGTGGCTTGGCCGTCAGCCGCGGCTGACTCTCGATTTCGACACTCAGGCGCAGCCCCGGCGTGTCCCACAGCACGCAATGGCTATCCGATGCCTGGTCTTCATAACTGCTATAACAGTGCTGGTTATCCTGCTTGACGTTTCCCGTGGATATGCATGGGTCCAAAGACTCCTTGCGTTCCCTAGTCGTATTTACGGACGTGTCCTGCGAGAGAAACCCGAGAGACCATCAAACGGCCGGCCATCAGCCATGGCCGTGGACAGAGAATCCCGTCGGCAGCGGGCCCGAGATCTTCGCCGGTCGGCGAGGCATGCTCTGAGATGGTCTGCCTCCTTGCCGTCGAGTTCGATGCAGCTCACTGGCGGCCAAGAGGCCTTTCTTGACCTGGCAAGGCTTGTCACATCTCGGCAGGGAAGAGCCAGAGTAAACCGCCCAACATCTGATCCTCTACACGCTTGAAATGGTTGCTAACGGGCATGATACAGGACCTCGCGGTCGCGCTATGGACGTACCGGCTCTACGCGCGGCCCAGAACCCTCGCGGATACGTGCGCCGAGCTCGGGCTGCCAGCTGGGTCCAGCGCGCAAACAACAAGGCCCGCGCCCGCCGACTTGGCCGACTTGGCCGACTTGGCCAACTTTCTGGCTTGCCTCGGGGCCACTATAGACTCTATTCCAGGGGACAACCCTCAGGCCCGCGTCCTCGGAGTCCTGTCTCTGGCAGTGCGCGCCACGGCGACGGCAACGACGACGGGATCGGGCGGGCTGGGGCTCACGCGAGACCCGAGCCCCTTCTTCTGCGTCTCTAGCTCGGCCAGCTGGTTCGGGAGCGTTGATGATTCGCCCGTGTTCCGGCTGTTCGCGCACGGCTGCGACACGAAGGGCATGTACGGCCTCGCCCTGCTCGTGACCAAGGGCGAGGCCGTCGTCGCCGCGTGGCTCGACAGCATGTACCGCGACATGATGGGCGCGTTCCGCGACGGCCGGGCGTCGCCGCGCGATGTCGATGAGACCGGCCAGACGCTACTACATCGGCTAATGGAGATTGTAAGTCGGGGAGGGCCTAGCTAGTGAGAATACGTGGCGTGATATTATGCTGACAGGCATGCGCGAGGACCACAGTTCTTGTACGACGGCCCCTGGCCGAAATACTTCATCGACGAGCTGCGCAAGGTCATGCTGGGCCTGCACCACGCAGGCATCCCAATAGTCGGAGAAGGAGGCTACGGAGAGTAGGCGATCCAATCCTAATCGAACCGGCGAGACACGAGTAGGACGTGGGACGTGGGACTCGGCGCTGACAAGTCTCTAGGTCTGCGCTGTCGCTCGCGCTCATGGGGTACGCGAACCTGCCCGACGTCCCTGCGCTGCTCGCGCACCGCGAGCTGTGCCGGCTGCTGGCCGACCTAGACGTGCACCTGTCTCCGGGCTCAGCCGCCATCTCCAACTACGCAGCCCCCTACGGGCGGTTCGCTCTTGAGCTGCACTACTGCCCCGAGCTGCGCGAGGGTGCGTGTCCACGCTCCACCAGTCCTCCTGATCCCTCCACCGCTGACCAAGCATCCACACGTAACTAGTCTTTGGCAACGGCCCGGTCCTCAACGCCTACGCCAGCCGCTCCATGGCGCAGGTGGCGGCGACGCAACACCTGGCAGCCAGCGAAACAGCGAACCTCTTCGGGCATCTGCCCATCCACCTGGCGTGCTTCTGGCCCGCGGGCCTCAAACACGTGCTGCAGACCACCGGCGCCGACGAGCTCTTCAGCACCGTCAACATGGGCTGCTTCGCGCCCGGCGGCGGCGGCGGCGGCTGGGGCAGGAGCTGGAAGCCCATCAACTTCGCCGCCTTCGCCAGCCGGCAGCTGTGCCCGACAGAGACGGGATGCCGCGCCGGCTGCCGCTGCGCCGAGGCCCTGCAGCTTCTGCTCGCCACAGGCCAAGTCATGCTCACCATCGACCAGGTCCCGCCGCTGTGGGCGATGGCGTCGCAGGGCGCGCGGATGGCGCTGCTCGACGAGCTGGCGCGCCGCCGGCGGCAGCTCAGGGACCTCGCGCTGGCATCCCTCCCGCCCGCCGCCATCGCGTCTGAACCGGGCCTCAACAACCACGCCGAGTCCGAGTCCGAGTCTGAGTCTAAGTCTGAGTCCGAGTCCGAGTCTGAGTCTAAGTCTGAGTCCGAGTCCGAGTCCCTCCTCGACAGCCGCGCAGAGCACGTGCAGGCGCTGCTCGCGGCGCACGGCATCGACGTGCCGGCTGTGCTGTGGCCGGGCGACCGCGGGCCGTACACAGTCGCGAGCCTAGACCACGACGTCGCGACGGCGGCGCACGCGCTCGCGCTCGGCTTCCGCGACATGGCGTGTTTCACGCCCGTTGGCGACCTGCCCGTGCACGCGGCCGGCGACTACGCGCGCGCGTGGGAGGCCGCAGGTGCTGGCGGCACTGGGTGGCCGCGCGGCGGCCGCCCGTGGACGTACCACGCGTGGCTGCTGGACCGTGGCGCCGTGCGGGTGCCTACGGTCTTGGCTGAGGCGGCGGCGGCGGCGGCGGCGGCGGCTGCGGACGTGGAGCGCCATGATTGGGATGCGCGTGTGGGCGCGACGGTGGCGCATACCGAGGCCCGGCTGATCGGCAGGTTCCTGCAGAACACTGACAGGGTGTATGCGAGGCAGCTGGCGGAGCCGGCGCTGCTGCGCGTGGCCACGGCCGTGTTCAGTGAGGCGGGTGTCAGGGACAGCTGTCGGTGCCGGTGTCTGGTTCCGGGGAGCGGCGGGTGCTCGCCGCTGACGGTGGCGCTGAAGCAGATGACGCACCGCGGCGTGACCAAGTGGATGGCGTCGGGGCAGTGGTGTCTGGCGCTGAACCGGCTGGTGCACTGCTGGCGCGGGCTGGACGCGGCCACGGTGCGCGGGCTGTCGCTGCAGGTGGTGCGGTTCGTGACCTTCGAGGCGCTGCAGCTCGAGCACACGTGCTGCGACGACAGCCTACGCGCGCAGTTCGACTACGACCCGGCCGACTATGTCGGTGTCGACTGGAGTACGGTGCACGAGCGCTTCTATCCGGACACCAGGACCGTGGAGAAGGTGTGGGAGGACGGCAGGCTGCGCACCGCCGTGCTCGAGAGCGTCATGGCCGAGCTCGAGCCGCAGTGGCGCGAGTTTGGGGGTGCCGGGGGCCTGCTGGAGTTTCTGTGTGCGCGCTGGGAGCCCGTCGTTGCTTCGGCTGTTGAGCGGCAGCGCGAGCTCGAGGAGGGTATGATGTGGAGGGAGCGGCCGCGCGGAGTGCTCAACTGGGAGTCGCTGAGGGTCCACGACGTGCGCGCGCTGTGCGGGCCGGGGCCGTCGACGGACCGCGAGTTCGTTGCCAGGATTGGTGTCGAGGTCGACGAGGAGAAGTGCGACCACCACCAGCCTTGGCTGGACGATTTCGGCGAGACTGTTTGACAGACGCCAACCATGTCTGTTGGCTCTTTATTGCCGCCTTCGTGTGCAGAATTTACTGATGTGGGCAATACGTGTCAAGGCCAGGGTATGAGCACAGAGCCTAGAACTGTGAGTCCAGTTAGTTCGTTTTTGTTGATGACAATGGAAGAAATGTAGTGCCCTAGTTACCTAGCCATCAAAAGCAACCCACCTCGGACGTTTCTCTGGACTCTATCCAGCCTAATTGTACCCAGTCGAACAAGACCTATAGCTAGTTCACCGATATCTGTGTCTTGTAGCTAGTTCACCGATATCTGTGTCCTATAATCCGCGTTCAGGTCATCGGGATCCACGATCGGATTGTCGAAATCTTTTCGAACACACAGCCGTTCCATGATAGTGTCATATTCCACTTCACACGTGGTCCGTACAGTCTCGCGCCACTCTTGGCCGTAAAACTCCTTCCAGACGGCCTCGCTCTCCGCTGCCACTTGCTCGCTGACGTCAGTCCAGCCGTGCTCGTTGGCGGCGTCGTGGCTGGCGCGCGTCCTGATGTCGAACCGGTGCCCGGCCCACGGCCCCCGCGTCAGGTTCATGGGTGCCTTACCCGTGTCCAAGATCCCGTCTCCAGCAGTCCAGCACGTGCGCATCATGATGACCTCGCCGAAGCCCCAGACGCCGATCTCAGGCCCGCGCACGAGATCCGGTGTCGGGATGGGTCCGGACAGCGGTATTCCATCCTCCTCCATCCACGACTTGTACAGCTCGCGCATATAAGTGTCGGTGACAAACCTCTCCGGCGCGACGGCTTTGTCACGCACGAATTCCTTGGTGGTGAGGTTGCGGAGGATCCACGGCTCGTCGGCCGTGTAGAAGGTGGCATCGGACACGCGCAGGTTCCGCACGATCCAGGCTCGCGTCGACTTGCTGGCGCCGACGCCGCCGACGCCGCGCTTCTTGAGGCGCGACACTAGCAGGTACGACACTTGGTCCAAGCCGTCCAGGTGCCCCGCGGTATAGTTCTCGGCGCCTTCGGGGCCCCAGCCCTTGCGCAGGTCGTACACGAAATCGTCGTAGCCCTCCTGGACGGAAATTTCCGGGAAGGCGAAGGAGTAGAGGGTGAATCGCCCGTCGTCTTCCGAGTCGGAGTGCTGGCTGTGGCTGCCGCCATGGCTGTTGTCGTCTTCGCTGACGTCGACCCAGGTGTCCGGAGGCTCCATCGTTTGGTTCAACTCATCCATCTCGGCAGCTGAGAGAAGGCCGGGAGGGTAGTCACCGGCCTTGATCAGGTTGTCTACAAACACGACGTTCTTGCCGGCCCACCGCCCGAGAAGCGACACGTAGTAGTTCTGCAGGTGCTGGCGGCCGATGGCCCAGAAATACGGGTTGGTGAGGCCAAGGCACACGGCATCGTCGATGCAGGCAGTGGCATTGAAAATCAGCCGGTACACGTCGTATGGCAGACTGCAGAAGGTCGGCGCCGATGTCAACCCTTTGACGGGACCGGGGGAGGTGGCTGCTGGAATCACCAGGTACCGTACTGGAAACAACAGGGCGTGCTGCACGCCGAAATCTGGTGGTTCAAGTGATGGTCATTGTTGTCTATGTGTATCTAGAAGAAAGAGGTGGCCGTAGGCTACTTATATGGAATCTGGGACCCCTACGCCTCCACCGCCGCCTGTCTGGCTGATGAATGCGTTGCTACAGCCACCTCTATGTGGCTGGAATGCGCGTTGTTCCAACAGTGGCTGTCGCCGTGGACGGGCCGGGGGCGCCGCTGCTGTTGTGGCCGACTGCAACTAGTGTTGTGGTTGCTTTTTGCCCTTTTTGTCCCTTCTGCGCCGCTGCTTGCGGCGGCCTGCCGGGGCTGCCGGGGCTGGGGCGACGACGGGTGCGCCAAAGTCGGGGAATTCGGGCTCGGTGTGAATGGGCGGCCGGACAGGAACAGCAAAACGGCGCGTGACCCTGTCCCCCGATTCCTCTTCGACGTCGAGGCGGCCCAATAGCGTGTCCAAGAGAGCGCCTCCAACACACAGCCAGTTTTTCTCGTGGAGCGACGAGCGCAAAGTCGGTCATGTGATGTTCAGCCAAAGTCGGCATCTTGGCCGCTGGTCGGTGGTGGGTACCTAGGCCGCGGCGAGGGGGAAAAAGCAGGAAGAGAGATGCGTAAAGATTTGATTGTGTTTTGGCGGTGTGTTTTGGCGGTGTGATTGTGAAATTGGCAAGACACGAGCTGAATTGCTTTCTCCGCAGTGGCGGTGATCCCTGATCGCCTGGCACCGGTCGCGTCGGCAGAGCTTTGTTGCGAGCCAACGAGAATAATTAATAGGAGCTAAATTAGCCCCTGCGATTTAAGCAAGACGCTGTGAATTTGGTCTTGTCATCGCTTACTTTTTAGCCTCGGAAATATGCTCATCCGGAACCGCTTCGGCCCAATTGTTTACGAGCTGGCCAAGAATCCGCGCCTTGAAGGCGTGATAGAAAATTTCTTGGTGGGACTGACGAAACTTCGGCTGTCGAGTTTCAATTCCTCGAGAACAAGTTTGATGGCGTGGGTGAGCTCATAATTAATAGGTACGCTGCCAAAATGTGAAGAGCGAGCAATGACGTGACTTCCATAAGAGTCTTTCCAGGTTCCCCCCCCCTCTCCCCATTTTCTTCAGTTAATTCACTACCACATCGTTGTCTCAATGGCCCAGCAATGTCCCAGGAGAGCAACCGCCAGCCGGTACTACTTTTTTGATCACAATTTTGTCAACCACAGGCACGACAATGTCAATTTTCACCGGGATTCGTCATTAGCGATCCTCCGAGCTAGCGCCGACTGCTCAAGCAGACAAGGCCGAGAACAAGGAATAATCCCACTCAAACTAGGACTCAGAAAAATGTTTTGACGGAGAGAGAATACGATATTCTGGTGAGCTAGTGATCCGACGAAACTTTGCGTGCGATGTATCAAGTTAGGACTCGGCAGCCGACCGACGAGAGCACTCATCATCGGCCGTATATATTGCAGAACTGCGTCATGTGATGTATCAAAAACTTTTCAAGCTGGCTTCTTGGTACCGAGGTATTCATATTTCATCCATGACGACCAATTCATCCATGACGACAAATTCATCCATGACCACAAATTTATCCATAACGACAAGTTCATCCCTGATATATGGTCTATCTTTTCAACGACAGAAAGGCGTCCTTCACGTGCCCAGATACTATGAGACTCCCACCCCCGCGACAAATAATTAGCAGCCTGAGACAGCCCATCACTCGGGCTTTTCAATCCACTCGCGCAGCTTCTTCAACGAGTACGCATCGTGCTTGGCCTGCGACGTGAAGAAGAGCTCCTCGTACCAGCCGGGCGAGCCGAGCGACTGCAGCCGGCCCCCGAACGGCTGACAGGACCCAAAGTCGATCAGGACGGGCACCCCGCCGTCCTTGATCATGATGTTGTAGGGGTTGATGTCGTTGTGCGCCAGGCCGAGCGCGTGCAGGTGGGCCACGGCGGCCTCGAGTGTGTCGACGAACTTGGTCTTGTCGAGCTCCGCAAACTCGGGCTCGCGGATGTACTGCATCAGCGTCTGGCCGAGACGCTCCAGCACGATGCTGGTAATCCGGCCGCGGCGCACGCGGCAGCCCAGGTAGTTGATGATGTTGGGGTGGGGTGACTTTGCGAGCCGCTCCATGATGAGCGTCTCCTCGAGGAGGCCCTTGGGGACGAAGTCGGACTCCTGCATGCTCTCGTACGAGTTGAGGCCGGGTCGCTTGACGAAGGCGGATGTGTCGTCCCAGTGGTCTGGCGCAATTGTGAGGGCCGTGTCTTTGGGAACCTCGGGGTAGATTTCGCTATCAGGGACATACTCTAGCGCGGCATTGTAATCCGCCAGAGTGATCTCCTTTTTGGGTCTGAACAGCTGGCCAAAGAATAGCTCATCCTCCGGAGTCACCACGTAGAATGTGACATATTTGGCCGTGGTGGCTCCCTGGTCGAAAGCCTCAAGGATGGTCAGATCCCACAGAGATGACAAAACTGGTGGCTTCTTGGTCTTCTCAACAACGTCGGCTGTGTCAGATGCGGCCATGATGGGAGTGGGAAAGGTAGGAGCGGTAGTGTGGAGTGGAGGGAGATGTGTTTGCAAACCAACAATGCGAGGCTTTGGGGAGGGTGGTGACGGATTTTATTAGGCAGGCAACCCCTCAATTATTCGGTTAGGTAACACACCACGCTGAATCGATCAAGACAGTCCCAAATAATCCCACGCCCCACTCACAGACCTATGAACAGCCAATCAGTGGAATCTCTCTGCCAAATTTGTTTGCCGCTGGCCAATCTCGGACGAACGCAGGTCCGCGACTTCACTTCCTACCCTGCTCCAACACACCGAATGACTCGGTCCTGCAGACGAGCCGATTTCGTGGCCCAAAATTGAGGTGATAGAAGGTGAAAGAAGCAGTCATCCAAAGTTAATTGGTTCTCTTCGCCTCAATTTTGCCGCCGAACTTGTCTCTGGCGTGACTTGTCAGGTTCTCTCGCAATTTGTACAGTGTGCAGTTCTCGCACTGTACCCTAAGACATGGCTTTCTGCATTCTACAGCCGCCTCCATCAAAGCCATGTATCAGACGACTCTGGCGGATACCGTAGGTAATGGCTCTCAGGCGCGCGTTCTAAGAGCCGGAAAGTTTAACCTGTTCGGCCGCGGCCATCAGGCGCGTAATCGCACATTCAGTCACTCTCTCAAGTACCTCGACGTTCATGTTGGTCAGACCTATGTGGTAGAGGTGTGCATTCGTCTGTGTATAAATATTCGACAACTCCTGCTCAAGGTGAACCCCGAATATCACCACCACGCACTCATCAACACTTGACTCACTCATCAACACTAACTCACTCACAAGACTCAACTCACTCATCAAAGACGTAACTCAACTTCCAAACACGTTCGCACGTTCGCACCTTCACATTTTCACACCTTCACACCTTCACACCTTCACACCTTCACACCTTCACACCTTCACACCTTCACATCTTCACATCTTCACATCTTCTCAACAACTTGTCGGAGCCGTTGCCTGCCTTACCACACTAGACAACATGTAAATACCCGTCCATGTTCACCAGTTTTTGATCTCGAGTCCTCAACTAACCAGCGGGTCGACGCTTGCTTAGGTGCACCACCACTACCACCACCAAAATCGAAACCAAGCCCAATGGCACCACCACCACCACCTATACCACGAAACATGTCGACTGTAGATCCGCTACTTGCCCAACTTCGGCGTCCTACAGAGGTTAGCTCACTTTACGAAGATGTGTCATGGGCGTTGATCCAAGGGGGTGGTTTTGGGGAATTGGAGGATGCTGGGTGCGGAGAGAAAAGCCTCAGTCATTGTCTGGGCTACCGTTGGCGCTCGCCTAGGGAGCTGGTTTGATGGAAGCCTGGTTACTTGTCCTGTCATATCGGTGTTCCCAGCCTAGTTCTAACCTAAACATTGTTCTGCTGGCCTTTCAACTTGACTCAATAATTAGCACTTTGCATCGAGCAGGGTTTACGCCTATGAGTAATTAGGTCTGATTTGTTCACTGTAAGCAGGCATTTGCATGGTAAACATATGATCCTGGTCTCTGCACATGTGACATAGGTGCTCGGATCCACACGAGCGCGCCTGAAACGGGATGATTTGTTGTGGCCATTTCTCATCATCGTTACAGATCTAATGTAATTCGTATGCTCCCTTTGACAACAGCTTGATTGTATGAAACGAATCCAGGCACTCCAATTGCAATTGTTGTTGATAGCGCTGAGCTGCGCGTACGCTATGGCTCGCTTGCACTGAGAATCGAGATGTGCCTGATTCTTGTCCGCTGTATAATTAAGGTAGCTATAGAGATCCATTTTAGCCCCGCTAACATAGCAGAGGTATGTGGTATGTTTCCGAGACCCTCTTACAGCTGTATTTAATCAATCATATAATTAAGATCGTAAAAATCCGAGAATAGATTTGAAATTTGCTTGAAATGGCCATGTTCGTTATGGGTTAAATATCTCGTGCTAGTTACCAGTTTGAAGATGGGACTTAGAAGTGGTAACCTGGAAGACTTGCATGATGTAAATAGCTTCACAAAAAACCACCTAGAGACCCTTCCCTGCAAAATCTATAGCCGAAGGCCTGAACGCAACCAACACTAGGCCGCTTCATCCTCTGTGCTAGCGGTGAGCAGTGAGCAGTGCAAGTTAGAATGCAATGTGAATTATCTTTTACCCTGAAACCTAACTGATTCCAAACCCGCCCCTTGCCTCCGTGGCCCATCGTGATTCGTGCAACCCATCTCGAACACTCCCAACCCCATTGCACAGAAATAGAGACCGCCCTAGATGTTCTGGGGCGCGTAGCTCTTGTCGGGGGTGACGGCGACGCCGTTGACGAGCTCGCGGTCCTGGTAGGCGGGCCACACGATGAGGCGCTTGGCCTGGTCGACGACGGCCCACGTGGTGAAGCCGTTGCCCGGGCCGAACTGGCCGCTCCACCCGGAGCTGACCGTGTACGGCCCGCACGAGATGCCGCCCGTCGTGGCCCGCGAGGCTGGGCTGCCTGTGACGGTGTAGGCGCAGCTGGTCACGGCCGCCAGGTGCGTGTCGACGCCGAACGAGACGTTGCATGAAGTGTCGGCCGCGTTGCACGAGCGCGTGAACGACTTGATGGTCCACTGCGGCACGTCGGCCATGGCGGACACGGAGCCGTCCGCGCGCGAGCTGAGGGCGGGCGCTGCGAGGGCCGTGGTAGCGGCGAGGAAGCCGAGGATGCTGGTGAAGTACATGTTGATGGTGTTGTTGATGTTGTAGTCTTGAGGCTTGGCGTGGTTGAATGTGATAGTGGTTGATGCGAGAGATGTTGAGTGTTGACTAATGGTGATGGATGTGATGATGATTATTTTAGTGTTCGAAAGGGTGGACCACATGCCCCTTAAGTACTCCTCACTGGCCCCTGTATTCTGGATATCACGGCACTCGACAACCCGGACTCGCCTCCCATGATGCTAAGAGTATGCCAACACATTCTGGAATGTGGAGCGTTGCGGGGGCCGTACGGAGTACTGCCGAGTCGACCGCTGACTTCGTATAGGTAGGAACATAATGTCAGAGCGTATTAAACAGACGCAGGCTCGGCTGACCCCGCCCCAGCCGAGGGATGGAGCGTGGTAAGGTCGTCATTGAGCCCAACACTCACGTGTTAAAACTCGTATTGGGAATGGTTGCAGTGCAGCTCCACAGCAACACGAGACTGCCAGTGGCCAAGCACACCAGCCCCATCCCATTGTGGCTTTTGCTGCAAACGATTCGGCACTGGCGAGCCAACCGGCAACCGCTCTTCCACTCATCGAGTGGCATGTCGGCCCGCTTGCAGATCTTATCCAGTATGCACACTAGCTTTGATCCGCCCCGAATTTAGCCACGACACCCGGCCACTGACCAGGAAGGACGAGCTGCGCATTTGGAGATCAGTCTTGGACTCGGCAACTCTTCCCGAGCTGGTCCAACAAAAAGGATGTCAAGTAGTCACAGGAACTTCAAGAACTAGACAGTAATTATCGCTGACCCGGAATTCATCCCGAAGCCAACCAGCAACGGCCCCCCCATGTCGGGAATATCACGTAACAACACTACGAGGGCGCCAACCCTACGAAGGCGCCAACCCTACGAGGGCGCCAACCCTACGAAGGCGCCAACCCTGTCGGGAGAACAGCCGTTGGCTCAATATATCATGCGGCGCAGCAGCGTCGCCGTCAGCAAGAAGGAAGAACGAGAGCTTACCACGCTGATGTCATAGGGTGGTATCCGTGTGTTCCTGCAAATCCATGCGAGCTCGTGTTAGCTCGTCACGGGGCAGATGGAGCGAATACTCCAACCGGCACCTGCAACCGTGATTCGGCGAGCCGTGGGCCCGACTTTAGCCTCGAGCTTTCCGGCGTCGTACAATCCCATAATAATAACCTCGACAGCCCACACCGCGTCCCGTGTCGATTGCTGCCCGAGTCCGACGGTGTTTGTTCCGTACTTTTCGGCCACTTTCTACCAGGTTCCTAGCTGAGCTTTTCGCACGGCTTCTTGGCTGATTGAATACGAGACTCAAAATCTACGGGGTTCTTAGACATTAAAGGAGTGTCTCTCTCTTCTAGACGGTAACGTTTCATTAATAAACAATGCCTGACGTTGCCTTAGTTTGCTACTGAATAAACACTTCCCGGACACATGGCGACGGAGTTCATTTCAAGACCCTGGGAAGGAAAGAAATTAAATCTAAGCTGAACTAAATGTACTAACTCCCTAGGTACCAGTCAACTCGCACCAGGAGATCTCTGCGAATCTGCAACCCGACAACCGAGTCGCGCTCAGCATCCAGCTCGTCGCGGAGCGACAGCGACCTAGAGTCGAGCGCATCGGCGCGCGGGAGCATATACACTCACCGATTCTCCTTCCCGCCAGGCCTACAGTGCCAAAGTAGCTTGGCCCTCGAAGCTCCAGTCGCCATTACCACGGACCCAGCGCGAGAGGCCCTCGACGTCGCGCGCGAGGCCCTCGACGTAGCGCGCGACCTGTCCCCCGTCGCCACCCCACGACGGGAGCGCTGTCCTGCAGCGCACAAAAGCCCACACGATCCCATCCATCCAGGAGTGGATTAAGTCGGCGGCCGCCTGCGGACCTAGGTCCAGCTAGTGCATCACGATCGTGACGAGGTCATGCAGCGCAGCGCGTGTCCGCGCGCGCGCTCGACGTTGCACGAGTAGAGGTCCTGACGTGAGATGGTAATTCAAGTCTGCGAGAGTTTTGTGTTCTTTGTTTGGTCGTGCTCACGTTGCTTGCCGTGACGATGTACATGGCGCAGTCGCGCAGCCGCTCTAGCAGGGGATGCTGATACACGTCCTCGAGAAAGTCGAGCTCGAGCTCTATGAGGGCAAAGGACGGGAGGCAGCCGCTGGTGTAGCGGCGGACCTCCCAGTAACTATCGATGGTGCGGAGGCGGTCGTGCGTGGGGTCTTCGGACTGCTGCACTACTGCGTCGACATACAGCTGCATCGTCTCAATAAAGTGCCGCTCTGCCATCGGCGTGGCGGTGCGGCGGCCCGAGGCCCAGAATCTGCCAGGTGATTGAAAGTGAGATAATGAATGTCGACTAAATGTTGCGCAGACTCAAAACTCGCTGCCGCGCCATCTCCCCCAAGAGACACTCGCCCTGCGGTCGGGGCTTGTCCGGGTTGCGCACCTCGTCCACGAGCATGTCCGCCATCTGCCTCGTGGACGTTTCGCCCGCCACGTCTGTGTACTCGTCAAACGCGTAGAACAGCGTCATGAGGTCGCAGCACGTCCGGCAGCGGGCTGTGGAGAGTGTCAGAGTTGAGTCTGTCTGGAGGACTGCCTTACAGACCTAAATTCTGAAAGTCACAGGAAAGCACTGCTAGCCTATCTGAACTAATGTCAGATTAAACAATAACTCTGGTCATTGGTGGCTCACCAAAATCGCATCTGTTAAATGCATCTTGTGACTTGGGGTCAAAGGCTTGAAAGCCAGTGAACCATTCACGGCTTGCGGCTTTGGCCACTTGGTAATGTTGGCTGAGATGACGCTGCCAAGGCCAGCATCTCAGGGGTCGGGGATGCGCACAAGTGCCGCTGGAATTGCGAGCTGTTTGGGTTGATATGAGGGCTTCTTAAGTCTTTTGAAGGCTTTGGTATAACACGACTACTTTTAGGGGTCGGAAAAAGACAGAAGGTCAAGATGAAGAAAGAGAAGGCCAAAGGGAGGGAACGAAGGTGGGAAAATTGAAGGCGGGCCGGGTCAAAGACATGAGAAATCTTTATCAAGTTACCAGTCACCAAGAATTGCTCTAATATGCCAAGAAAGACCGCAGATATTTCCAATTTACATTCAGTCAGTAGGTATTAGGTGGGTGGCTCCAGCCAATAACAGTATGATCCTAATTCCAGCTAGTAATGCTGGGTGGATGTAATCAGTATTAAATGATCACATGCTATATCCTTTTAGAGACACGCGCATCTGAATGTTTGCAATAGATTCGTGCCTCTGCATGGATGGCCGCGCATATGCATCTCCATCGGCCGCGGCGGAGGGTCAGAACCTTGAAGAACCGATAATGGCCGCTGAAGCGCAATCCATCGGAGACCGAAGTCCGAAGCGGCGAAGATACGTCACCTGGACAGAGGCGTGAAATAATTAGGTACTTCTTGAATTATCTCTACTCATCATTGTCCAAGTGAGGTCGCACGTAAACAGGTAGTGTAGTTATAATCGAGTTGTCCCAAGGTGGGTGAAGTGCCCTTAATAAGCAGACTCAATGCCCCCAGAGTCGAATCCCGTGGGCGTGCCGCGGCGCTCTGGCGGAGTTCCGATCAAGATGCCGTCAGCCCAACTAAGGTTTATGCCAGACAGCCGACTATGTTCTCACCGACTTTGTTCTCACTGACTATGTTCTCACCGACTATGTTCTCACGGACTACGTTCTCACCGACTACTGGTCTGATCTGTAGGTCGACACCCCGATGTGAACCACCTGCAGGTGCAGCCGACCCTGCTCAAGTCCTTTCAGCCACGCGAGGTCCGGGAGTCGTGGCGGTGATCAGGTGGTTCCCCCGTTCACTACCCCGAGTACGTAAATACATCGTTCTGTCGGAATCGCCCTCCGCCATCTCCCATCCTTTCCATGCTATGCTTATCTAAAAGGTTTTGTTCTTTCCTCGACCCGGCTCTCACAGTTTGCTCGCGTTGCGCACCTCCTTCTGGCCCTCCTCGTGCGCAAACGCCGGCTGGTTGTACTCGACCGGGCCCTGCAGCCAGCGCACCATTCTGCGGCTCGCCTTTTTGGGGTTGAGTCCGTCGGCTGCAATCGCGAAGGAAAAAAAACAAGGTCAGCATTGTGCAGACAGGATGAATTGTGCAGACAGGATGAACTGTGCAGACAGGATGAATTGTGCAGACAGGATGAATGGTGCAGACAGGATGAATGGTGCAGACAGGATGAATGGTGCAGACAGGATGAATTGTGCAGACAGGATGAATTGTGCAGACAGGAGTGATTGACGAAGAATCACCCACCGTATCCCACGAAAGGGATAGCGCTTCGGTAGCCCATCATATCGACAATACGCGGCGGAATCTCGCCCGAGAGCGCGCGGCGCGGGTCGATGGCGACCATGAGGTTCTCGAGCGGGCGGATGTAAGGCTGGCAGTACTGGATCGTGGCCGCATAGCGCGGGGCGGCGGAGCGGTTGGCGCCGCCGGCGTGCCAGGTAGTGCCAAGGAAGTAGATGACGCTGCCGCGGGGGCAGACGGCGGAGACGGCGTCGCGCTCGTCGCCGACGCGGTCGCTGCCCCACTTGTGGCTGCCGGGGATGATGCGCGTGGCGCCGTTGAGCTCGGTGTAGTCGTCGAGCACGATCATGGTGGCGGCGGTAACGTGGGGGCGCGGGCGCGGCAGAGCCGTGACGGCGTCGTCGTGGTGCAGCACCTGCGCGCGCTCGCCCGGGTTGATGGTGATGCTCTCCATGATGTAGATCAGGTAGTCGTCGTCGAGGAAGTGGTCGTTGAGCGCCTGCACGGCCGGCAGCAGGCAGAACTTGTCGAACGCGCGCGTCTTGCCCAGCAGCGCCAGGATGCGGTTCGTCTTGAACCCGTCAAACGCGATACGCCCCGTCCGCGGCGCGTCCCCGTGCAGCCGCTGGATCTCGGCCTTGGCCTCGAGCGCCTCCTGCTCCGTGAAGGCGTTGGGGATGATGACGTAGCCATCCTCGAGCACCCGCTCGACCAGCGACCGTATTGTCGGGTCGGCAGGCAGAGGCTTGCTTTTCCTCTGGTAGTAGTCCCTGTCGACGGGCTCGGCCGCCTGGGGGTCATTTTGTGCTGGCGCCATGCTGTGTAACTGTGGTGCTCGGTGTGGCGGTGAAGCTGATCAGATGTCGTCTCTGTGTGCGTGTCCGAAAATTCGTGTCCAAAACGCTTCCATATACGTGAAACGTGACGAACCGAGATGGCGGGATTCGCGGGGGTTTATTATAGGACGGCTGAACCCATGGCTGCACGCTGCAACCCATGGCGGCACGCTGCACAGACCTCCCAACCTGAATGGCAGCCTGGATTTGCAATGAAACGTCCAACGACCTCGACGGCTGACGTGAGAATCCTCGGATTCCGGCCTGTGGGCCAAGATTCAGAGGGTAACAGCGCCGGGAGGAGTAACGCCAAATCACTGGGTGAGGAACGGGCATCTCGGGCTGACGCTGGCGTTGGTTGGATGGAGAGACAGGGGGGCTCGGCACTGGACCATTGGGATCGACTTACCCTGTCCGCCTTTAACGTCAAATGGAAGGTGTCAGGCCGAGAAGTGTGATTTCGGGTCATCATTGCCAAAGTGCACCAACGAGATCCAATTACGACCCGATCCTCCCGAGGAGTAAGCATGTCATCATTCGCAATGCCTTCCTAGTCAACCACCCGCTTGCCCTTGCTGGATATGAAATTGGGGGATTCCTGCCGTTAGCCTGGAAACTGCTCGTATAAAAACTGCTCGTATGAAAACTGCTCGTATAAAAACCGCTCGTGTTTTATTCGACTAACTTGGTAAAGCGATCGATCCGGTGTTGTTGAGTATTGACAATTTATTCAGGTTCGAACAATAACTACACACCCTCACGCAGCCGCACAAGTAAAGTAGTTCCCGGCCACGACGCGCCCCAGCCCCAGCTTCTTCTCCAGGCCCTCCATGTCGAACCTGGCACGCTGCATGAGGCCGAGGGCATTCTCGCCAGCCTCGTCCTCCGGAGCAGCAGCCGCTCCCGCGAAGCCGAGCGCGTCGCGGATTCCGTCGGGCGTCAGGCCGGCCGGCTGCTCCCACAGCAGCGAGACATAGCGATGGGGCCCACTGAGTCCGGGCGGCGCGGGATGCACCCACGCAACGACGCTGCCGCTGCTGTCACTGCTGCTGTCGTTAGGAACCGCCGGCTCAAGCGGGATGAACTCGTCGTCCGGGTCGAGCGCCGCCGTAGCCAGCGTCAAGTCCGCCTGCAGGCCGTGCAGGACGGGCCCGAGGAACGGGAAGCTCGGGAACGGCGGGTCGAGGTCGATGCTGGTGACGATGAAGCGCGGCGAGGGCAGCGCGGCCGGCGCCGTGGCGGACACTGCGGCCGCGGCGGTTGCGACGGGCGTCGCGGGCACGGGCACGGGCGCGGGCACGGGCAGCGACGATGTCGAGCTGGCGCTGGCGGCGCTGGTGGTGGGGGAGAGGTCGCTGGGCCGGTGTTAGTTGACTTCTGCTGCACTCGTTGGTTGCTCGTGAAATGGCATGCTTACCAGTTGGGCATGCTGACCATGGCGTCGATGGCTGAGGCGGCGACGGAAAAGGCCGGAGCCGGCGCGGACGCGGCCTTGCTTAGCTCGGTTCCGGGGTGCGTGACAACGGCCGACGGAAAGTGGATCCGCAGCGGCGCGGCGTGGCCGGCGACTGCGTCGAGCGCGTCGATGACGTCTCTCGCGCTGGTGGGTTCGTGGGACATTTTGATGCGGACCGTATTATTCGCCGGGGGGGTGATGGTCCTCGCTTGGTGGGCGGCATCATGCTTGACTGTCAAATGCTAGTTATACAACAGCTGGAAAACTCTAAAATGCGTGGCTTGCATCCCTGCTGTGGGTGAGGTTGGGATTTAGTTTGCCTTAGTCGTCTCGCTGTCGTAAATATGATGTGAGATTCGCCACTGTCGGCACCGGCGGCCAGGATGGGTGGAGCCTCGCACTACAATTCATGCGGGGAGGAAGTTAATAGAACCAGACATGGTGAGCAGTCGGCGAATCTGTGAACGGGGTGGACAAACGATGAGGGGCGATAGCTGAAGACGAATGCAGGTTTAAATTCTCAGAAACCATGCCCATCCACCCCCTGTAACTGCAATTAATTGGTCTTTGATCCTAGAAAGAGCTTCTGTAGGAACCCCAAAAACAAACATCGAACAAGGCTGTCCCTTGGAGTCCCGTATTCCACACAGCTCCTCATCATGCGCTGATCTGATGGCATTCAAACAAGACCATAATACAGTGTGTAAGGGCAAGCAGGCAATACGCCGCCCGCATCTCACCCTCACCACGAACAAACACGGCCCCAAGAAATACCGAAACAGAAATAGCGCATCACTTGAGCTTCTTCTGCGCCGCCTGCTCCTGCTTGATGGCGCGCTCGAGGTTGTGCAGCTTGAACATGCGGTACATAATCGTGTCCAAGACCCACTCGCCGAGGCTAGTGGCGAACCAGACCTTGCCGGCCCAGCCACCGGCATAAAACCAGTCAGGGCGGCCAAACCAGGAGCGCAGGATGACGGGCCACTCGGGGCGGAGGGCGCTGGCGACGAGCTTGCGGGCGAAGGCGTCGGTGGGCACGGTGGCGTTGTTCTGGGAGAAGGTCAGGCGGCGCTGGAACATGTCAGCGACGCGCTGGTAGATGCTGGCGGGGGGCAGCACGCGGTGCGTCTTGGAGGCGATCTGGCTGCGGATGGTGCCGGCCATGGCCACCATGACGCGCACGCCGTAGGGCTTGAGCTCGAGGCGCAGGGTGCGCGAGTACGAGACGACGGCGCCCTTGCTCGCGCAGTAGGCGGACCCGAACACGTAGGGCGTGATGGCGGCTAGGCTGGCGATGTTGATGATGAGCCCGCCGGCCTGGATCAGCAGGTCGGCAAAGGCGGCGCACATGGCCATGACGCCGAAGACGTTGGTCTCAAACGTCTCGCGCACGTCGTCAATGTCGAGGTCCGTGGCCGGGATGGTGTGGGTGCGGCCGGCGTTGTTGATGAGGATGTCGAGCCTGCCGCCGGTGAGCAGGGCAACCTCGTCGTGGCACTCCTTGATGCTCGCGGCCTTGGTCACGTCGAGGGCCAGCGTCGTCATGCCCATCTCGGCCATCTCGGCGAGCACGCTGATGTTGCGCGCTGTCGCGATGACATGGAGGCCTTGGCGGCATCAGCATTGTTTCGTGAGAAACGATTCACCACATAACAAACATGGTGTTTTGACGTATGCGCACCTTTGGCGTGGAACTCGAGGGCCAGCGCATGGCCGATTCCACCTGGGGTGCAACTGAAGTTGGCAAAAAAAGGCCGTCAGCACCTTAACCACGGCCCGCCCGTATTCGGCATGCAACTGGAGTGGCGGCAATGCAACTGGAGTGGCGGCAATGCAACTGGAGTGGAGCGGCTCACCCAGTAATCAGCACCGTCTTCTGTTCCGGTCTGGGCGGCATCTTGGCTTGGCTTGGCTGGAGGTTATTTTGAGCGAGCGACTGGTGGATGCAGTGTGAAGCTCAATTCGAGGTTGGAATTGGGTTTGTCGTCGTCGATAAGAATTCGGTCGATTCTTCCTTATTTATTACCCCACCTGCTAGCGCTCTTGCTGTTGGGGCCAACAGGTCGCCGCCGAGCTTGCCGAGGCAGTGCGAGCCCTGTACTCCAACAAGTACGACGGCGGGCACTTTCAAAGTCCCCCCCAATAGAACAGCGCAAATTCGATCAGCCCCACATTACATTCCCTTTCGTTTTCGGTGCCTTCCAACCACTCCTGCGAGCGAATCCGACGTCTGGACCACGAACTTAATTTAAGTTGGTTTCATACGTAATGTCGAACATGCTGTCGCTGCATCCGGAAACCGCGGCCTTTCTAGTCGGGTATGGTGCTCCGTCAGATTCGCGTCCTCGCACGGCCCCGCCGCACGCCGCATAATAAGCCCCTCCTCTCGGACGTCCCTCTCTTGTAATCCGTACGCTCGACTTTCTCTCCCTCCCACATCGCCTTCGCTCGGTTCCTACCTCCTCATTTCCTCCGCTTTCCCCCTGGACCCCTTCACCTGCAGCTCGCCAACCAATATCGCCCGCGCTCTGATACCCGTGCTCTGATACCCGTTTCGCCAAGCTGGATGTCTTGTCGGATGCCTTGTCCTTGGCCAACGGAAACGGCAGAAAGGCGCGGAGCGTGACGCCCGTGTCTAGGACCCCGTCGGCTACATACGGCGGCTCCGAGTATTTTGCAAAAGTGGGATACCGACTAGAAGCGCGCAGCCACGTGTTGTCCTGGACCATTTAGCTACCGATGAGGCTAGCGATCGTGCTTCTGACACTCAGGTTGGTCGATGCGGAGAGGCCGGGGAGGGCCCGTACGGCGGTATCGCTGATGAGCAGGATGGAGAAGACCTGGGTAATAGCGAACACGACAGTCAACGTGACGGCAAGTACGAAGGTCCAGACTGTCGTCCCAGCTCTGCCCGTGCTCCTGGCCATTGCTGCAAACTGGTGTTTGAGTAGCACAAAGACGGTGCCGCTGCTAGCGCACGCCTTCATCGTGGAAAGCGACGCTGCGTGCGGGAGCAGCACGCCAAACCCCTCCATGGCAAGACTCGCAATCATGGCGACTTCGGTTCCGACCTGGAAGCTGACCGTGGTCTTGATGACCTCGGCGATGATGTTCACGGCCTTGCTTAGCCGCTGGCCGTGATCTGATGCTATAGCTCGTTCCCGGCGCTGCCACCTAGCCACAGGAACCAGAGCATCCCGAGACCGATCAAGAGGATGACGGTGCCGATAGGGAAAAGAAGAAGAGCAAAGAGCCCGAGCTTTTCGCGAGAAGACAGCCGACGTGGCGCCGCCGGAGCTTTAGGCTCGAGTTCGATAGCGGCCGTCGAAGCACTGGGCTCTTTGGCCTGCTGGTTTCCCTGCCGGGATAATGCAGATGTCAGGCTCACGCTGCGCGCGGTCGCCGAGCGAGGCACGGGGCCACCAACCGCACCGAATTCGCCCACTTCTTCGGTAATACTAATCGAGCCATATCCTAGCTTTAGCTACACGTAGACGTATATTTTCTCCGATATATATATGTTCTTGCCCAGATTCGTGTTGCGGCTGCAGGTATATTGACGTTGCCTCGTTTGTTCTTGGCGCGCCGGGAGGCGTTGATATGGTTTAGTCAAGGTCGGTGCGCGACTCGGATATCGGTTGCGTGAGGCTGTCCTCATTTCCGTCTTCGTTGTAAGCGCCGACAGTGTCTGCGCTGCTACTGGCTTCTGCGGCTCTCGAGTCCTGCATGATTGGACGAACACTGGCGACTGCCAATAATTGAAAGTATAATTATACGGATCTGTAGAGAACACCAAGTGACCATTGACTTGGCGCCTGCGTGCTTGGCATTTATATTAGTGTGGCATTTATGTTAGTGTGGCATTTAGTTAGTGTGGCATTTATGTTAGCGTGGTGACTGCGTGTACCACCTCAGCCGCACGAGGCTCGCCGATAGCTTCCATGCGCTATGCCATCTGCGACACTAAAATGCGTTGAGATATCGATAAAATTGCAATCTTGTAGGCATCCCATGTTTTGTTGTGTGAATTGGCCAGGGTATTGGCCAGGGGTTCAGCTCAGCCAAGCAAGCCACACGCAATTTGCACAAGTCGCTTCCTAGTATCTTGCATAGCAAAATGATCTCTCGTCAAAACCCCGCCAAGCCATAGTCAGTACAACCATCAATGACTTTCTATGTACGAAGGCTCAGGTCAAAAAAAAGGGTCACATTGGCCAGTGCGCAACAAAATCAAGCCACGGACCAAAAGAGGCATAGCAACACTACCCCCTTGGTCAAGCCAACCGAGGAAAAGAAACAAAAGTACACAGCTTCTTCAAAATGGAAGATTTTTTAATTCTGACAACTGCGTTGAGCTCGCTGCATTACCAGCTTCATTCTCGTATGCATCACGATGACTGCGCGCAAGAAACATGGCCGCAGGGCGCTTCGAAGAAGAGTAAGGCCAATGACAAGGCCAAAGTGGGTGGTGTTTTTGAGGGGAGGCCACAATTACAACGAGGGTCGGCCAGCCCCTGAAAACTAGGATGCGAACGTAAACTGGGACCTCGATGTGCTCGAGGATGCAGACGTCCCAGAGCCTCTGACAGAGGAAAAATCAGGCGATGAGAATGGAGCGGAAGACGACGAGTAGATTGGCCGTTTTTGTAGCTAGATTGGGCTTATTTTGAAGTTGTTGTGGCTGTTTGGAATATCACCTCTTTTTTCTTTTGTTATTATTGTGGCATATTGAGTGGTAGTGCACGGTGGCGGTTGGCTTGGTGCGCACTGGCCAAAGTGACCCTTTTTTTTGGCCTGAGCCTTCGTACTCCACCACCTACTTACCCCCCTGAACACCACGTCGGGCCCGGGAATTGACCAAGGTCGAGAAGATTGAAATCCGGGCTTTACGGAAATACTGCAAATTAAGATTTGAAGACAAGCCCGGCTTACCAAACATACACACCCGCTGTAATGGCCGCGTGGGAGGCTGTTCCGGAAGACTTTCCACCACGGCTTTGCGCACAGTATGCCCAGACGGTTGCAAATGGCGATAGAAGCAGGTGGTAATACAATAAATTACTGACTCTTTTGCCTTGAGCTCCTCTTCTTTTGTACGGCGATGTATGTGGTCTGTACACATTTGAGTGGCAAAATGTGGTTTTGACGCCTTGTCCGATCGCACTAACATATGGTGTCGCAGGCGCACGGGCCCCGCCAACGTTGTCGGCCAACCTCGCTCGCCAGCCAATTTCCGAAGGGCGGGGCCCTTCGGAATACCTCTGGTTAACGCGTCGTTTCTGCGGCCCCGCTCCATTTCGACGCGATTTCTTGAAGGCCTCACACCCCTGCGCGCAGTACGCCGACCTTCAAGATACCTGCGTGACGACTTACACGCGATGGCTGCTGCCCTGACCTTCGCCGCCCTGCCCACGCCTTCGGCCAAGGTCGAAAATAACGCGTGGGATCAAGACCCTGGCGTCAGGGCCGTTGTTGAGCAGCTCCTCCTCGATCAGTCACTCCACCAACCGAGGAATACGACGAGGGCCTACGCGCCGAAGCAACAAGAATGGAGAGACTGGTGCGCGGCACGTTATCCGCCTATTCCTCCAGGCTGGTCGGCCTGGGTCCCCTGGGATGGCTCGCCCCTGCCGGGTGATCTCGTTGACGAAGGGAAGCTTCTGTTATTTATGACGGCAATCGCAAAGCGGGCGCCCCGTACGGGGAAAAGGCTCGCGGCGGAGCAGAAGCGACAGGCTGCCGCCGCACAGCTCGATCCTGACGAGTCTGATTATTACGAGCCAGACTTAGATGGCGAGGGCTTTCTCTCCTCACGGCTGAAGCTCCAATACAACTCTGTAAGGAGCTATATCTCAGCTATCCAACGTCTCTACGAGGAGCAGAAAACACGGGGCCAGAATCCAGCACCGCGGCCCCAAGGCATCGCTCTCAAGGCTCTTAAAGGGAATATCCTCCGCCAGACTTGGGCACGGAAGCGGAGCGAGCGAGCTGATCGGGGCGAGGGTACGATTAAGGACGCATACCTACCATTACAGATCCTCGATCACACTATTATCGTCTGGCAAGAGCGGAAGGCTATTGGCTGTGCATTCCGAACGCAAGTCGACTTCCTCCTTGGAAACCATATGCTTCTACGATCAAGTAATCGCCTCCCGATCGAGCTCCCTGACTGTTTTTGCCTCGACCTCCAGAACGAGGGCATACAGAGGTCTCAGGATCCGTATCCGACCAAGGCCCTTGTCATCTTGATGCGCCAAGGGAAGACAAACCAGCATGGACGGATGGAATACGGTGCCGCTCTCCGCCACCGAGATCCGATGGCCTGCCTTATAAGCGCCCTTGCTTTTTGGTTCTTTTGGCGCTGGCAGTGTGAGGGTGAGCCGTTCCCACGGTTTACTCAGAGCCAGGACTGGTACGATATTAAGGTCCTCCGCCAGTCGAAGGAAAGCCTAGTTACTCAGCTCTCTCCACAAACAGCCAATTCCTGGACTAGGCGGATTTACGAGAAGTGTGGTATTAATACCTCGAAGGCCTCACATGCGCCTCGTATAGCTAGTTCTCAGAACGCAGACCTCGCTGGTGTATCAGAGGCTAGTATCCGTCGTGCTGGCCGCTGGACTAATAGCGACCAGATGACTGGCTGTTATCTAACCTCCTTACCACGCGAGTTTATGAGGGCAACTGCCGATTTCGATCCCGACTGGCCAGGCGCATACTATATCCCACGAGCTACCGTTATACCACCACCTGGCCTAATCGCTGCAATATGGCCTGAGGTGGATAGTTGGAAGGCCAGACTTGAGTCCAGAGAAGCAGAGCAGAATGTTACGATCCTGGTTCAGGCGCGCAGGAGGCTGCACGGAGCTTCCCACTATTGGCTGACGCAAGGAAGTGGGGTAGTTCCCCGCTTCGCTCAAGTGCAGCCAATAACGGGGCGGTCAGTATGATCAGCATGGTCAGGGCGATCAGTGAGGAAACTGATCGCACTGAGCACACTGACCGCACTAAGCTCACTGATCACCTAGGACCAACTCTCTGATTGGTCCGCCTTAGATAGATATATACGACGACCGTAGCCACGGTCTCAGATAGTTCTTGCTTGGTTCTTCAAGCAAGCAATACACATTCACTGCACTCATACAATTTGAGTGGCATTCCGATTTGACTGTATTACCCGCGCGATAGGAGCTTGCCCTTTGTTCTATCTTCATAATTACCAACCCCAGCATTCTGTGGAGCCCGTGCTCCCTTACAGACAGACGACCCTAACAGTCGAGTGGTTTGTAATACAGAACAAGGCCGCTGGGGCATTTCTTGAGTTGCTTGACTGGCTACGCCTTATCCTGCTTCAAGATGCCCCTTTCCTTATGGCCAAGTTCCCAGATCACCCGATCTTCCAGTCTTCTATCTTTCACTCGCTCGAGTTCTCAGCTTTTGCTGCCCGTGTACGAGAGGTTAGCTGTGATATACAGGAAGACCCCCATCACATAGCGATTGAGAAAGCCATTCCTGCTATCTCGGAAAAGCTCCGTACCTTAGCCGCACAGCTCTCGACTACCGACCGCCTTAGTATACAGAGGTATCACGAGGTTATCGAACGCCTGGAGCGCCTGGAGAGGAAGGTTGACGATTTCAGCTAGGTTAGCTGGAACATCTCTATTACTCCTACTGGCAGGCATGCCTCGCAGCAGTTCTAGTATCACACGCAAGGGCAAGGGCAAGGCTCCCCTCCACAGCCTATTACACCTCCTCTCCCACAAGTATTAGGCCAGCCAGCACGCTCTCCGCTCAAGCCGGTTACATTAAGCTCACGGTCTACTGACCGGCCTCTACAACTCTATCAGCTTCCACGGAATACGACGTCGATTGCAGAGCTTGTTCAGATCTGGCACGAGGGTATTGCAGGTATGCCCTCTGTCAGCTCTCTTGATCAACGATGGGGTGCCCGCTGGAGGCCTGTCTCAGAGAAAGCATTTTACTCAACACGAAAGGTTATTATTGACGAGGTAGCTCGGCGTGCTGCAGCCAAAGGCGTTACAGAGTACGAGGTAGCAAGGGAGATGGATCGTGAGAAAGGCTCTGCATCTCTTGACAAGGTTATGAAGCTTATTAGATCTCGACGGAAGAGGCCCATATAGTGGCTGTACTGGCTGCACTGGCTGCACTGGCTGCAGCGGCTGCAGCGGCTGTATACGCACCCCAAGGGGCTAGGAATAGTGGGGGAGTTAGTGGAATTATACTGTCTGTAGCAGCATCGTAATACAAAACACTTTTTTGGCTATGAATCCACAATAAGAGGACTTACAACCTTGCAAAAAAAACCAAATTGAAACCCTCAATAATCCCAATACTTTTTATGTATTTTTATATTGATGCGATGCCTTATTGTTGCGATGCGCGCGTTGCAAGTTGGACCTGCTGGTTTTGAGTGATGTCAAGGCCGACAACGGAATTGGCGGGGTTGTCGGGCAACCTCCCACACAAACCGACCTTCGACATCCACTTGATGTCTGCAGGGTGTACAGCCCCCGCACAGACCAGGATCGCCACAGCTCAGGGTAAAGCCGCGGCAACGCCTGAACGTAGAGTAGGGCGCACAGGCTAACCAGCAACAGATCTAGTTAGCGTGCCAAGGCCCTCTAGGCTCCAGGCGCGCCCCCCTCTCACGCAGCTACAGAACAATACCATGATACGCAAGGCTGACTCCTCCGCATATATTCTCTCGCAACACAGACAAGAACGCCATGGCACTGTGCTCCAAATGTTCAACTCTCGTTTTGGTCGATCTCTGGAACAACGACGTCGTCTTCCATGAGAACTTGCAGGCACTTGTCCAATCTGCTGAGCAGGGCTGTGCCTTCTGTCGCCTGTGCTGGACGCGGATTCAACAGGACTGCGCACCAGCTGACGTCCAACTCTGTTTAGCAGCTTTATCTTTGGGCTCTCAGATATCTGATGTGGCCATATACATCACGGGCGAGCTACATCCGGTCGGCCTGGTACCCAACGAACCCAGCCAACTGTATGTGAGCTGCGGGAAGATGCCAGGCAAAGTTGGTGATCTTACTACCAACGGGCTGTTCACTCGCTTGCACATTTTTGCAGAGCCTGGTAAGTATTCTCGGCACCAAACGGCGACGTATTAGAGACTGACACCGGAAACAGGATCTCCGGCTACTGTTCTGTTCGGAGAGAGGTACATCACCGTTGACCGCAATCCGAACCTCCACGTGGATCACACACGGCAATGGTTGGAATTTTGTCGGAAACACCACAATGTTTGCAACTATGCTAGCCACCCAGAGGCTCGACGCATGCCTACGCGCGTTATCGATGTCGGCGACCCGGATTCGAAGACTTGTTCCAGACTAGTTCTTACCAAAGATCTGAAGAATAAGGCAGAGAAATATATCTCCCTCTCATATTGCTGGGGTGTCGGCGTCCAGCACGCAGTTGAGCTACGAGATCACAATCTAGCCGACCTCCTCATTTGCCTCCCTGAAAAGAATCTTACAAAGACGCATCAAGAAGCCATCCAACTCACCCGCGAGCTAGGCATCAGATACCTGTGGATCGACTCCTTGTGCATCATCCAGGACAATCTAGGCGACTGGGAATCCGAGTCCAAGCGCATGGCTTCGGTCTACGGCGGCGCCGAGCTTACCATTATTGCCGGCCGCGCTGCCGACAGCCGCGAGGGGTTCGTCGCCAACAATTACGCTTCTCGCAAGGACGTGCCTCAGCCTGTGCCCCTGATGTGCGGCCCTAATCCGCTCACGGGAGAAGGAGACCTGGGTCACTTGTACGTTTGCATACCGCGCTCCAAGGCCATCGGCCCCGTTACCTCGCGTGGATGGTGCTTCCAGGAAGCCATCTTCTCGACCCGCGCCATCCTGTTCTGCGAAGAGCAGCTCTCGTTCCGGTGCCGCATGCTTGCGAGGTGGGAAGACGGGAGAACCGCAGTCGACGGCAACGATGCGTCGTTCCACTTGGGCGGCCCCCGCCCGGGCTCCAAGCCTGAGGTCTTGCGGAGGTGGTACGCCATGCTCTCCGACTTCACGTCGCGGGAGCTAACCGAGCCTAACGACATCTTCGCCTCCATCACGAGCATCGCGCAGCTCGTTCACAGCGTTGTCAAGTGTCGCTACCTCGCGGGACTATGGGAGGACGACATGCCGCGTGGGCTCATGTGGAAAGCCCGGATCCAGCTCTACGCGGGCAGGCATCCGCCGTTGACGAAACCGAAGGCCAGCGGCCGACGGAAGGGCGAGCCCAAGGGTGACGAAGTCAAGAGGGCCCCGTCCTGGAGCTGGGCAAGCGTCCAGGGCCCTGTCGCTTGGATCGCAACGGCCCGAAGGGAGCCACGATACCTCGATGAGCACAACATCTGTGTCAGGCCTCGTCATGAAGACTGCTGGGCACCACTAGAGGACTGGGGAGAGCCCGACAGACTGTACATGCCGGCGCTTGAGCTGCACCTCTGGGGTCGGCCAGTTGAGGTCCGTTGTGCAGCAATGACAGTTGCAGAGTATGTAAAGTCGCTGCCGGAAGTTGCGACGACAAATTGGGGCCCTAAGCATAGGGTATATGGTGTGCTGCTGGAAACGCTTGTCATCCTTCCAAACGACAACGTGCCAAACGGTAACACCGCTGTCGCCGGGGTAGGCTACTTCGACTTTCCCGACGACGCGAAGCCTACACGCCTATGGTGTCTACAGCTAGTCAAAGCAGAGGGCCTTCTTCTAACTCGAGATGTAGATGAAAAGTTCCGTCGTGTAGGGTGGTTTCTCGTAGAGAGCAATGGGTATCCTGAAGGCGCTAGTGAGGTAGCAGTAGATTTGGTTTGATTCTATAACGCATTGACGCATCTTGTAAGCGAGTCAGTCATTCAAGTCACTCGGAACTTTTTTTGGCTGCGATACGTCCCTTTACACTCAATATCAATTTCCTTTACAACCTATTATTATTTATTATTTATTATTTTCTATCCCGGTCTACCTTTGAGCACACCGGCCCCTCTACCGCTATTTATATGAAGGAAACTATATAAGTTAGGTAAAACCTCTAGTTAATTCTTATCTTTAAGGCCTAGAATAGTTAGTTTGACTGCCCTCCAGTCGACGAGTCTGAGGTCAACCAACATCTCAATCAGGACGTAGCCGGGGTAGACGTGGCTTATGCTTTCGTCAACCCCCCTTAGATTGGCTGTGCCCCCGGATGAGTATCACTGTCAAGCAGTGACCGGCTTGCCGAAACCTATAAGGAAAACGCAGCGTCACAGGACAAAGCCAGCCTTCTACCCATCTCCTTTCCTTCTCATGCTTCCAGAGAACTTTGTCAATGCGCCGTTCTCGATCATCAATATGTGGGTCTCCATACCAACAGGGAATTCAGAGATTACCTGCAAAGAGAGCTATGAGGTCTACAAGAAGCACAAACATGACAGATTCATGTTCCACGAAACTTTCTGGAAATATGTCGACGGTGAGAACGGCGAAATCTTGGCAATCTAGCGAAGGGGAAAAGCATACACATTTCCCGTCGATTTTGACTGCGACTTCTTTTTTATTACTGGATCAACGTCCCCGGATCTGATACTAAAACCGTGGTATTCTCAGTAGAGAATAGAAACTGTTAACACGAACACATTCCCGCAGAGGCCACGAGTGGTATATCGTCGACGTCAGCCTTTTGTTCGACAACTGAAAAAAAAGTCATTTTACCAAAGGAAGAATCAGAAAATATCTCAGAAATGTCTTCCCCACGTTATGGCTCTTCTGAGCTCGTCGAACTGGAAGAGATATGGATGCTTCTGAGGGAAGAGGGAAACGGATTTTACCCGAATCCAGCATTACGATTTCAACACTATTGCCCCCTTCACTACTACAAAAATTTTCTCTTCTCAGGTTTGTCATATATACGACTGGCAGTCATGAAAACAAGGACGACAGATTTGTCATGGAAACAAGGACGACAGATTTGTCCAGCATGCGACTAGGAAACCAGTAATTAGGGTTGCATCGACAGCGGCATTCAAGTCCCGATATCATAACTTCTGGATTATGTCAGAAGTACTGCACTGCATGTGATATGGGGAGAAAACGATGTAGATTGATTGATGTGTCTTTTGTGGCATGCCAGACACCTTATTCTTATACTTGTTGTTTAGTGTCACCGAGGTGGCCGTAATGGTCGCCGAGGTGGCCGTAGATGGTCACCGAAATGGCCTTCTTTCTGACAGATTACTTATGACGCTTCTCTTCCGAAGTATCCTTGACTTGGCGGGTATATTTTGTGCTGAAGTTCTAGTTATTCGATGGGTTAAGAACACGGAAGATTTAGGAAGAGTTTCGGGAATTCTGGGAACTGAAGTAGGTCTGTTAGATTCTGCTGCCTTATAGAGTCTCTGATCTGCAGCTGTTGGAATGACAAGGTCATTCGCAATAGCCACTATTGTGGGTGACTAGTGAAATGGAATCTGGTTTAGCCACATAGAGGTGGTGTGGTTATCAATGGTTCTGTCTCTGTCTCTCTTCCTTTTTCTGCTTTCTAGCTCTGCTAGAAAGCCTCATTTTCATAGTGCTATCCAGTGGCGAGGAGAGTGGCGATAATTGATAAATCCTCTGTTTCACGACTGGGAGTACTTGGACTGAGCTGCTGGAGTGGGCAGTGATTACTCCATCCTTATCGTCTTTCTTAACATTATCATCAATCCTGTCGACCTCTTTGAGATGCGTTTCATGCTAGGCCTGATGAATTGGAAGTTCTAACCTCATTCAGAAAACATATATTAATTATGAATTGATTGGAGGGCGCTAGCCCGCGGTGAGTACCAAGGGCCTGGCTATGACCCAGCGTCCCGCGCTGTCGAGGCCCCCGAAGACGGCTGCATTGTCCTGCCAAATTCGGCGGTCACAACAGCAAGTTCTATACTTACTTTGTAAAAGCGATAGATATCTAGGTTCCGAGAATTTTGCTTTTATTCCTCCGTACCGAGTATATCTTCTCAACTCGAGGTTGGAGCATCGACGGTAAGCAGCAAGTTCCAGATCCCGCCCGGGTTGTCACGCTTGACAGACGGCATACCCAAACTCATTACATACCTAGGCAATACAATAATAGTGCAGCTAGCCAGCGGCCAAGGAGGGTTCTTTCCACGATTGCAACGCGATTAATTACATGAGAGCTAACGCACCCGCGAAGAAGGCGGCCACCGCACACGCAAAGGCCGAAAAAGCGGCGAGACCACTCCCAGACAAAGTCGTAGCCGCAGAGGCGTGCACGGCTTGTCCCGTGGTCTTCGCCGCCCCACTCACGACGGCTGCGGCGGGAGTGGTGGCGGTGCCGTCCCCTCCGTCCAACGGGATCCCGTTATCCGCCGGCGGGCTCAAGAACCCCTTTGCGAGGGCCTGTTGAACACCCTGGCTCCAGACGGCAGCCATCTTGACGTATCCGGCGTCGTTGGGGTGGCGCGTGTCGTTGAGGTCGGCCGTCGTCGGCGCGTCGGGGCCGCGCATGTCGACGAGCACAAAGCGCGCCTGCTGCTGCGCCATGGCCGCTGCTACGGCGCTATACTGCCGGTTAACATCAACGCGGCACGCGTCCTGCGCGGCCACCTTGTTGGCCAGCAGCGTCGCCATCACCACCGTCGCGCCCGGGCTGAGCGCGAACAGCCGCCCCACCAGTGCCGACACATTGGCCCCGGCCGTCGAGACGATCTTGCCGCTGTTGCAGTCGTTGGTCCCGGCCTCGAGCAGCACCAGGTTCGGCAGGAACTTGGGCGCGGATGCTTCTGCGGCGCGCGTGATCTGCGCGATCACGAACCCCGACGTTGCCTCCACGTCGTTGTCGGCAAAGCGCCCGTTCTTGTGCGACCCCACCATGTTCACCGCGTGGCCGGCCTGCGTCAGCGTGTCCCGCAGGTCCTTGCGGTAGCTGTCGCCCGTTGTAGAGCCCACGCCGAAAGTGACCGACGCCCCGACGGGCATGATGCGGAGCGCGACGGCATCGGTTGTGTTTGTGTTGTTGGCGGCGGCCCTACACGGCCGCGCCAGCGCTGCTACGGGTGCCAAACTGTCAGCAGTGTTTTCATGAGGGGACTAGGTAAGGCAGGCGCGCATTGTGTGTTTGGAGGTGATAGTATGGTACTCACCCGCTATGAGGATGCTCCACCAGGTAAACATTGCTCAGCAAGTTCAGACGGACAGGTTTTGTTGCGATATACTCCACCAGAAGGTCCATGGGAAGGATGCCAAGCCTTTTTTATCTCTTTTTAGGCAATTGCCAATTGCTGGGAGCCTGGGAGGGATGGAAATTCTTGCTGGGTGATCGAACCCCCATGTCCATTTTTGGCGCAAGATCTTCGTGTCTCAGGGCTAAAACGGGTTTCATGTGATCGCTTCGCAACAGTATCTGCATCCGGCTCTTTTATCATGCGCCCGCTTATCATGCGTTTTTTTTTGGTAACGACTTGTTACTAACGAGCCGTGATATTAGTCGCGGCTCGTTACTGATGAGCCACCGATTTTATGATTTTTCATTACGTGGAACGTAGCAGTTCATCAACACTGGCATAAATGACTAGTCTAGAGAGAGTAGGGCATCGAATATGAAGACTATTGATCGAATACATTGACTGATTAGCGACTAGGGTTTTCACCGCTACACATCAAGCGCGTAGAGTCTTTTAATGCGTATTACACTTTGGCTGCTTTATATTCCTCTTCCAATTCTCAAAAAAATGTTCCGTCAATGTTTGGCAGGCTTGGGCCCTGATTAAAATACCGTTGTTCCAGCTCAAGGCTTCTGGCCGTAAGTCGGAACGATTTTTTGCTGTCATTAAATGACTCTTTATGGTGTAGTCAGCCGGGCTCCTTAAACTGGTACTGATCTTCTCTCGTGTGTTTCCGGCTTGAAAATTAGAAACCACATCAAGCTTTATTATTTAACATCTTAGTGCTTAGAAGTTCTAACCAGACATGTGAGGATAAAAAATGACGTGAAGCCCCCTTTTTATGCAGCCTCTACACACTTAAGCTTAAATGAACTAGACAAGGGATACTGCTGATATCTTGGTATATGCGAACCATAGGATAGGTGCCATCTTCATCTCCCACTCGGCTGGTCGCTATTTTCAACATTAATGGCGCCTACTGTACCAGGAGCAAAAACACAAGTTCAGCTCACCTGTGCTACCTCTTACCTATCTCGTGATAATGATACAGAAGAGCTTGAATTCACCTCCTGATGGTTTTGTGCAGGCCTACCACCCCCTCTCACACGAGGGAGAATATGGCCTTACAGCACAATGCTGCTATGTAACGTTGATCGGGCGGTGGCGCTTCTGCATGGCAGCGGGGCACCAGTCAATTCACACCACCGCCAGCCTGATATATCTTGGGAAAGCGGGTAGAAGATATTATACAGTGTCTTCGCCAGGCATTTTGTCTTGTCACGGCATCGACAGCACGGTAGCTACCTTGACTGCTCTTCCGTTCGCGCCTTGTCTACATTGCATTATCCTTGCCAGGTACAACATTAGACACTTAGTACGGTTCTAGGTTCTAGCGTTACATGTCTAGCAAACTAAACTAGCCTCCGCCGCAATGACAACCATCGAAGACAGGCTGAAGGAGATCGCGGAGATCGACAACAAGATCGAGGCGATAATGGCGTACAAGGACAAGAAGGAGGTGGTTGAACAGAAGGAGTCGATTGTCAAGTTGAGGGACGAGCTGCAGGTCCAAAATGACCTTGTGGCCAGCGTCGACCCCAGTCTCCTGCAGATGATGTCGCGAAGCTCATCGCGATCGAGGGAGAAGAGGCAAGGAAGCCGAGACGAGACTACCGATATCGCTGAATCGCTTACAAAGGCCCAGGACAGGATCGAGGAGATTGAGGAAGCAATCGACAAGGCGGGAGAGGAGCTGGAGATCTGGAAAGGAGAGCTTGAGAAACTAGAGAAGGACCTTGATAACGTGTCGCTGCACTCACTCGAGCAACTGTAGGAGGAGAAGGATCGTCTAGGAGAGCAAGAGTGTTGAGGTAAGAGGTGTACCCGCACTCCAGGAGCTCAGGATGCAGTGTTATAAGCTTGAATACGAATAAGTTGTACCTCCTAATATTACCCCTTGGGCGGCTCACCAGGTCCCTGGTCTTCTTTCCCCTCCCTGCTTGGAGCGAGCCCATTCTCATCTAGATATTGAGCGTACCGTTTGGAGTTGCTCAATCGTTGTTGAACTTCTAGGGAGAACTTGCCGTCCTTGCCGTCGCTCCCGAAGAACTCTCTGATTACGTCCTCCTGAGAACCCTTGTGAAAGTGCGGAAAGATGCCCTTATAGTACATGTTGACAAAACAACTAGAGTGTTGGAGCGTGACGGCCAAAGGCAAGTCGATTCGTCTCGGGAGTCTCCGGTCCCATTCGGAGGCAAGCTGCCGGCAACGCTCAGATGTAGCCTCTATAAGGGCGTCGCGGAACCAGATGTACTCGACCTTGAATTCCACTCCCGCTACCTTGTCCGGAGGGAGGCTTGCAATCCATGTAGGCGGCAGGAAGAACTGGCGTGGCACTGTACCTGCCCATTACCAATCGATTATGCTTTTAATATGCATGTTCTCGTCAACTATGATATTGGACGGGCGGAAATCGGTATGACTCAGCACAAAGGGGCCGTGGTCGTCGATATGGTCAGATAACCTCTTCTTGAGGTCTTCCATGCCAAATATGTGATGCTCTGCAGTGTCTTGAGAGAACTTGTAGTACGGGAGCTTCAAACTCTCATCTAGGAGGTGTTATTGATGGAAGGCAAAGTTAGTGGCGGATGCGAATGTGGCCGGCTGGATGTTTAAGTCGCGGTTTTCGAGTTGCAGTTCGTTTAGCTGCATAGACAGCAAGGGGCTGACAAGAGGGGTAGTCCCGCCATCGGGGTCTGACATCAAGGAGCCCCCACATGGGAACTCTTGCTGGCGCAACTAAGCGAAAAAGTCGACAAGCTCCGAGTTAAATGGTATCCTCTAATCCACGGTCATCTTCCTAAGAGTCAGAAGATTCAGCGTCTCGCCGGGGATATAGCTCTGGATGATGTAGGCGTGCCCAGTGGGGTTCTTGTCAACGGCCCCACCGCGGCCGAAGGCGTAGATATTAGGTACGGGAATCGTAGTCTCGGCTTGGAGGTAGCTACCGCTAGGTTAGGCCCGGTCGGTCGGAGGGCAGGGAGATCAACTCTTAAGTCAGGTGGGGGACTTTTGGAACACCCCTGCCTATGGAACAGCCCCTGAATCGGACCCCGCACAACACCACAAACTTCAATTGCCAACAACTTTGTCAATTAATTAGCTACAATGATGAAGTCTTTAGTATCGGATTCTCCTGATTCTTCTCTTTCAGAATAACTAAGATCATCTCTGCCAGCCTCTCTCTGTGAGGCACGAACCTCCTCAATTCCAGCGAACTGCGTATTAGGGTCGACTTGGACCTTCCTTCTCTTTCGGCCTCTTGTGCGTTCTAGGCTTTTTTCTGCAGCCTCCAATTGATGCGCCGTATTGGCTAGTTGGAAAACCACGTAATCGAAGGCTTTTGCGGCCTTGCGTATGAAAAGTCGGTCGTTGGCAGTCCGTTTCTGGCCGGCTAGAAAAACCTGCCCCTGAATACGGAAATCCTTCGGCTTTTTAGGGGTAAACCATATAGGCCGGCCCTCCGAATTCTTATTTAGAATGGGGTTATGGACCTCTTGAAGGTCTATAGAAACCGTAGAGGTCAGTTGACCAACGTCGCCGTTAGAATTCTTAATAACAAGGCCGTTGCTTAGGGGCTTCCTGAGGCTGACTGGCCAGAGGCCTGTAGCTTTCCAGCCGGCTTTGATATTAGATTCAGTCATTCCATAGACCCTGGCTTGCCGGTAGCATTCTAGGAAGGCCCTCTTTTCAGCAACAGTCGAAGCCGGAAACAACCTCGTTATGCTTGGCTCTGTACCGGGCTTTTAGAGGGCCGAAAACCGATAAATCCAGGGGCTGGAGAACGTGGGAGGTGTGGGCTGGTAGAAATAACAATTGTACGTTATTAGAAAAGGCTAGCCACATGAATTCTTCGGTGGTATGACTACCGTGGCCATCTAAAATAAGGAGGCGCTTCTCCGAGGGGGTAGCTGGCCGAGTCTCTGGAAGAAAGATATTGCGGAGCCATGCGACGGTAGTATCATCGTCAGACCAGCCGTTTTCAGTGGGTTTCCACTTCCAGCCCTTAAATGGCTGTAAATCGCGTGGATACCATTGTTGTTGAAGGCTTCCACCTTTGAAAATGACGACTGGGTTCAAATACCGGCCGTCAGCGGAAATACATTCGATAATCGAGGTCCAAATTCGGTCTCCTTTCTTCTTTTTCTGGAATTTCTTTCTTTCCTTAGATCCAACAACCAGGCCGTTATCTCCAATGCCAGAAGCAATGCCAGTTTCATCCATATTATACCTATGCTTGGCTGGAATAGCCTCCACGCCTGGAGGCTTCAAATAGTCAAACCAAGGCCGGATAACGGCCTCACAGGCTCGATCAGCACGGTTTGCATGGATTCTCCGAGGCCTAATTGTAGAAATAGATGGATTTCTAGCCAAAAACCGGCTAGTCCAGCGTTTTCCGAGGGTCTCGTTATCTTCGAGCATTCTTCTAGCTAGTTTCCGAATTTGGGCGTGGGTTGGAGGGTGACCGAGCGACCCTTGGAATAGAATCCATTCGGTTAAGCGTTCTTCCATAGCCGGAGAAAGCTTTTGATTAATAATTTGGGCCTTGGAGGCTGGCTCGGAACCACGAACCCGATTAAAGAGAGTAGTAGGGGGGATGCCGTGATTTTCAGCAGAGCTACGGAGTAAGCCGGTTTCTGCATACTCTTCCAGCGCATTCTGCAAATCCAACTAAGTATATCGCTTCATCTTTCATTTCTCAATTGAATGGAGAAAAGAAGATAAGTATTGAAGCAGAATTGGTTGAGTTGCAAGTGATTGAAATAGGTGAGTTGGGTGGCGAGCGGCAAGTCCTTGATGACAAACCTTGTTCCAAATCTAGGGGTGTTCCATAAGCAGACCACCTGACTTACTCACCGGATCGTAGCCACTTCGCTCTGGACTTTGTCCCAGACATTCGAAATGCAAGGTTCAAGCGGAATCCTTACAACCCACTGGGTACCGTCGTCAAACTCGACGAAGTAACAGACGTTATAGCTGCCGCTCGCCGCATCTCGAAACATGCGGCAGTTCTTGGACGAATTGTGCAGGGAAGCCAAGCTGCAGACGGCATCTGGGTCGATGGAGTCAATGAAGGCCTTTAGGGCCCCCTCAATTTGATCGTACGTTGGCGGGAACTTGGCCATCGGTTCGGTAAACCCGACTTGACATTGCAGACTGAACTCTCCACGGGAACGAATCAAAGGCGGAAACGGGCAAAGGGTGCGCGCAGATGGGCAAAGTTTGATGCAAGATTGGATTTCGCGTCGCGGTGGCCGCACACACCAAAACCAAAGGTCTGTGCTGTGCATCAGCAGGGAGGCATCGCTAGACTGTGGCTGAGTGGCGCGTTCACAAGGAGAAGGGCACAGAGCTGGTCCGGAAAGAGTTGATAGCCGCCAAGATGTCGGGGAGTTCATTTAACAAGCAAATCATAACCCTTAATTTCAGATATCTGAGACTTAAGTTGATATGACTTCCAACGATATGTACCAGGTTATCAATGGGTAAAGCTCAATGAACGTATTTGAGGGTTAGGGTTGACTGAAATCTGCTCGTCACTGCTGAGTCATCTGCAACAGGCTCGCTTAACAAACACTAAATCTAATCCGGCCTAGCGGGAATAATTTGTTCTTGAAAGTTCCGGAAGGTTCGCGCTGATTCGCAATCCAATGCCAAGCACTATTTGCAAGCCGCCAAGCACCATTTGCAAGCCAACTGGAACTGTCCAGCACTCTCCAGATGGCATGAGTTTATTCATCAATGACTTTAGGTAGCTCTCCTGAATACGTGTACAGTAATTCATCATGGCATATAAACCTTTGTTCTTGCCCGCTCACCAGCTCTTTTTTTTTCCCTTTTCAGCACAGAACAACCAAGATCGCCCTGAACAGCATCAGCCTTGGAAACTCTCTTGAACTTCTAGCTCCATCTGTTCTCTCAGCTCCATCTGCTCTCTCAGGTCCTTCAGCTCCAACACTCAAGTTGACTCAGCAACAACCAGAAATCCCCAAATCTCCAAGACAAGATGTTTTCCCTCGTTTCAGTGCCCTTCCACTGCGGTCCGGCTCGCCGACCAGCAATGAGCGTTGACCCGCTCTCTCAGCTCCTCAGCGACCTCGACATCTACGCCCAGCAAGTGCAACGACCCCTGCGTATCCGGCGGCCCGTCCAACATGTCGCACCATTTCAGCCCAGATTTGCCGTGCGCGAGACCGAGACAGCCTACGAGCTGTACGCCAGGCTCCCGGGGGTCGAGCGCGACAACCTCCAGGTCGACCTGACTGAAGAGCAGACCCTGGTCATCCGCGGCCGGGTCGAGCATACACCGGCCGAGAGCAAGCCTGAGCCAGCCGCCGCCGGGGCGCCCGCAGTCGAAGCGCCCGAGCCTCAGAGCCCCACAAAGCACTACCAGGCGACGGTCGAGGACGGCGCAGACGACGACGAGGATGACGACTACGTCAGCGTGAGCGCGCCCACAAGCAGCACGTCTGTCCCCACTCCCACGCAGACGCCAAAGTCAGAGATTGCCACGCCCGCCACACCAACACAAGCCCAGCAGCCAGCCCCCGCGCAGCAGCAACAGCGGAGCGAAAGCAAACCACGCGAGCGCGTGTTCATTGGCGAGTTCGCACGCACGTTCACTTTCCCCGGGCGCGTCGACGCGGACGGCCTCTCGGCGGGCTTTAATAACGGTGTCCTGAAAGTCACGGTGCCCAAGGAGAAGGAGCACCAGGTCCGTCGCATTATCGTCAACTGATCATACATGGTTGTCGAAGGTGGTAATATTCGGGCGTTTGGGGCATGATTTTCTGCCGGGGCTGGAATTTACACACGCCTCTCTTGGCTCTAGGAGCTGATTACATATTGGCGCGAGCATTGCTTGGAGTTTAACTGGGCTCATTTTGTCATTGGAGATTATTTAGCTGCGCGAGCAGAAAGCGACGGCGACGGACGACAGCTATATAGAGTGTTTGGGGCGGCTAATACATACCTAGATTGGGATTAATGCTTATTCCCCTTAGCCAGTCCTTTGTGTAATGAAATGCAATGCGATACGTGTATTCTAGTTCCGCAAATTGTAACCTTTGCAATTGTATTTGTCGGAGATTGAGGTGGCTGAGGATGCCGATGAGCTGAGAAAGAAACAGCACAGAATATCACCCCTAGTATTCTCCCACCTCTCTGGAAAAAGTGATATTATTTCAGGCGTATATAACGTCCGAAACGCTCGTGGTGCATGGAGTTTCTTGGTTGACGTTGCGTAAGAAACAGTCGCGTATTATAAGATTAATGTAAATGCAGGCCACAAAGCCAACAGCTTGGCATAATTACCGACGTCCCACAACTGTAAATAGAAAATGAAGACAGGATAGGTTGCCAAAAAATAATTAGACTAGGCTCTAGAACAAACTCAATCAAGCTAGGTCGCCTTTAATCTAGCTAGCGCGAAAAGGAACATCTGTATGCCGAGGTACCATCCCCCTCCCCCCAACCCGATCACCCAGGCCAGGCGATCACCTTTTTCACCAAAACACCACATCTTTGAACAACCGTAGAATGGTCAATTGCAAAGCTATTCACAAGTAAAAAGTAGATTTGGTTAGTTAATTGCATGAACTTTAATTTTAATTTAGATTTGCTTCCCCACAAGCTCTCCTTACGCTACACCGTCGCAAAATAATTGCAAATTAGCGTCCTTGTAGATTCCTGGACTTCTTTCCCCCCTATCTCTGAGTGTGTATTGTGTTGTACCACCAACATGTCTACCTATACCGAAGACGATATGATTTATGCATACTTTAATGTCACAGGTAATAAGCTTTTGATTCGAAAATCTGCTCAAAAACACGGTATACCGTACACAACATTGAACGACAGACTCAAAGAAATGCTCCCCACAGATGAGGCTGGTCAGCCGCATCGTCGCCTTACGGCTGAAGAAGAAAAGCGGGTCATTCAATGGATTCTTCGTCAAGAGAGCCTCGGCTATGTCCCTAGCCATTCGCAAGTATGTAGTATTGTCAGAACACTACTTGTAAAAAAGGGGGATAAAGAAGTCCTAGGGAAAAGTGGATTGAGGGCTTCAAAGCCCGTAATCCCGAGATAAAAGCCAAAATAGGCAAAAGAATGGAAGCCGCTCGATTCAATGGCTTCACTCCCAAAGCCGTCAACTGGTATTTTGACATTAGAGAGAAATAATACAGCTGGGTCAGGCCTAAGCTCACTTTTAACGTCGATAAGGCCGGAATTATGGCGGGCTTTGGTGAGAAATGAGTCTGCATGATGTTTTCTACGGCTAATTCTACATAGGGCTTGACTATTTAGTCTTGGGGAGCTCAGAGACTAGAAGAACATATCTCAAAAGTGACTAGGGCCGTGGCTGGTCTACTATAATCGAATACGTCAGTGTAGACGGCAGATTGCTTGATCCAGGCATCATTTTTAAAGGAAAAGACCTCCTTATTTTTGATGGCCACAACAGCCATACAACGGTAAGATATGAAGCCTACGCTTTCTTTGAGCCTACAGTCTCACATTATTGTAAAAGGACAAGTTCACGACTCCCTGCTTCCACAACAATATATATCTCTGCTTCCTAACAGCCCTCCCTGAAGTCCCTGATACCCCCGTGTCAGGCCGCCAGATAATAGATATGAGCAAAGGGGCTAGTCCAGGCACAAGAATGAAGTTCAAAAAGGCCGCCGAGCAGTTGACAGGCTTCAAGCCGAGTTAGTTTTGAAGCAGGCAGGCACGAATCGAAGCCCTAGAGGCCAAATAAACGGTTCATCACTTTGGCTACCATACTAATGGGTGGCGAGGCTCCTGCAGAGCCTCAAGTTGAGGCTCAAAATGCGGCTCAAGCAGAGCCGCAAGCGGAAGAGGTGGATGACGAAGACGACGAGGATGACGCTGCAGATGACGACATTCCACCTGCAAGAATGACCAGATCAGGGCGTGCAACCAGGGTGCTGGTACAATATGTGGATTGAGCGACTAATTAGCTACATTTTTTTATGTTTTATTTGTAAATAGCTTCACAATTGACCATGGTACGGTTGTTCAAAGTTGTAGTATTTTGGTGTAAAAAGTTATCGCCTAGCCTGAGTGATCGGGTGGGGAGGGGGATGATAATTGAGCGCAATTATTCATGATTTCTTAGATAATAATGATGACTGTCGATTCTCCTTCCGTAGCACGCCCGTCAGCTCTGTTAAAGGAGTGCAGCCAATCTCTATGTTAGTTTGCCTTAGCGAGCGTCAAAAGCAACCAAAGTAGTTTGTGAGTGTTCTTAGTCATTTGCCTGCACTACAGAAAGAATACCTAAACTTCCATATATCCTCGTATAGGACCTTGTCGGCTGCTGCATTCTATTCCGCATCTAATTATACTTACGCAGGTAGGCCGTCCGATAATTGTGCGTCTCACTAGCCTATCATAATATTGACCTCTTTAATTGCCGCCAACCTAGATGCGACCCCAAGTAGAAACACTGGCATTGCTAGTTCATTTCTCATTTAAACGGCCATCCCTAGGCCTATGACTTGATATTTTACTGTTGCTTTGTGCTTGTTCTGCCAACAGTCCATGTCTCGACTTTCGCCCGATGGGCTCTATCATCGGTCCTTCTATTGTTCCCATGTTTTCGCTATTGTTCTTTTCGTCTGGCATAGTTTCCCGACTTGTCCAGGAACAGCGCCGTTGCCCGGTCAGATTCCACCCACCTGACCGTCAGCTCCCCTTCACTTTCGAATCACATCGAATAGTAGATCTGGCAAGTGAGTTTCTTTTTAGCACTGTCTTTTAAAACCTCCCTTCCTAAATCGAGTACTGCAAATTTCCATCTTCTCGCACAAACCCCTCCCTCTTCCTCTCCCCAACAGTAGCGCGCAACCTCTCGAGTACGACTGGTAAGTACACCTCTATTTTGCAAATGCTTTCAAACCCCCAGCTTTAATTCTAGACCAGCATCATGAAAACAAGTCGCTTTCCTGATCCTCCCGCAAAAGCGCGCTCGCCCCTCTGTGTTTCCCTCCAAAGTCAAACTTGTAAAGTCATTCTTTCCATCTTTCCAAGCACGCCTCTTTCCCTCTCTCCAACCATCACAATAGCATCCCTGAGTAGCAAGACTTCAATGGAAACCTCTTCTAGCATTTTTTCATCCTCTCATGTCTTCTTCTGCTTAATTGCCCTCGAAACCCAGCCGTTCAAATCCGCACTCTTTCTGCACATATCTCTCTCTCTCTCTCTCTCTCTCAAACCTTGTAACTAGCACAACACCAGAACCAGCCTTCACAGGTACACCCGAGCCTCTCTAACCCCTGCCCAATGACCGATGCCCGCGTTTACACCGGCAACAGTTGACTGACTACCTTGCGTGACATTAGCACACAATCGCCACAATGAGCTGGTTTTCCGGAGCCAAGACCATCCTCGTGCGGGAGGGCCCTCGCTCGAAGATAACCAAGACGCCCTCGCTGCTGAGAGCCGAGGAGAACCACTGCGCCAACTGCCACGACGCGGCCTTCCCCAACGGCCGCTTGATCTGCAGCCAGTGCCGCGGGGCATTATTCTGCTCCGACCGGTGCGTGCAGGAGAACACGATAGCTGGCCATCGCCAGCTCTGGTACGAATCTTTACATTCCGCCGCCGTGTATAATTTTGGCCCGGGCCCACGCTAACGCTTCCTCCATCCCGCAGCTCCAAGTACTCGGTCGCGGACAAGAACCGTCCTGCGGGTGGCCAGCGCGCCTTTTTCTTTCCGGGCATGATGCCGCGCGCCAACGTTGTGTTTGTCGACCGCCTCGGCTGGGGGAGCCAACTCGTCGAACGGCAAGGCGAGTTCTTCGGTATGGCCGCCGTCTCGAGCATGACAACTATCACGGCCGAGTACAACTACATGACGGGGCGGCGCTTGCCTTTCGACTTGAAGGTGGTCAAGACGACCCCAGACGCCAAGGTGCTGGCCAACAGGAGCCTCATCTCGTCCTTTGTCGCCATGAACGACGCCGGGTGCGTGCCGCAGTACCCATGGACCAACGGCGTGCTGGCGGTGCGGTGCCAGACGGGCACCGACGTGGCCGAGGACGTGACCATGGCCGACTACCGCGACGTCATGGACTTCTTCACGTGGTACGGCCACCGCTACGACCCGGCCATGAACGGCTACATGAACACCCACACGCTGCCGCAGCAGCCGGCCGTCCGCGGCGTCGTCATCCGGTGCGACGCGAGCATCTCTGACTTCGGCACACCCCAGCCGCCCGTGTCGTCGCTCATGATCGACCACCTGCACCCAATCCGCGGCCTGTACGGTCCCAAAGCGGGCGCGCTCAGCCTGGCGTCAGCGCGCGTCGGCGTGCCGCTACGCCTCTTCAGGCTCCCGCCACCCATCTCGACGCGCATGAACTCGTGGCACAAGATCTCGCCTATGGGCAGCACCAACTCGCGGGCGCGTAGCCTAATGATGAACGTTAGCGGCAAGACCCCGGCCGAGTTCGGCACCTTCCTGGCCGAGTACTACAACGACCACGTCGGCGACGTGCTGGTGGCGCGCGACGACGGCCAGGACCTGGGCGAGGACGAAGTGCACGCCCTCGTCAGGATGATGGGGGGCTGGACATCGGTGAGTCCGTGGACGTGGCCGGCTCTGACCAGGGAGATGCAGAGCTCCACCGGCCAGCTCATCACGCAGCACATTGTCGATAGCTTTATCACGGAAAGCATCTACGAAGCCTATCTTTTCGGCGAGAGAAAAGGCGCCACACCCTCCCCTCCTCCTACTGCCGACTCACCAGAGCGCGCCGTGTCCATCATGGACCAAACCATCCCGGCGCTGCACACGCGCGTCTGCGACAGCTTCGGCCAGCCCATTTTCGAAGGATACCCACACTCTTCCACGACATCCGTAATGCCCGACCCAGCTGCGTTTATCAGGCCTCTTCTTGCGCCCGTACCAGGGCCCATGCCTTTATCGACGATTGCAGCCCCGTTTTCTTCTTCTTCTTCTGTTGGCCTTGGACCAGCCAACCCTCTAGTGACAGCGCCAGCGAACCCCTTCGTCGCACCTAACGGCGTTAATGTCCCGCTGCTTCGCCCGGTCGCTAAATCCGCTTCGCGCCGTTCGAGGAGCGTCTCCCCCAAGAAGGCGGCAGGTGAAGCCGTTGTGCCGCCCGCACCTTCTTCACGTCCGCCGCCGCCGACCTTTCCGCCTACCACTGAGCCTCGCTTCGTGCCTGCCGTCGGCATCACAGCTGTCGGTCCATCAGCTTCTCCCGTCATTGCGCCGCGCCCGCCAGTTCTCGTCACACCAACCCAGCACTTCGCAGTACCTACAGCAATAATAAGTACACCAGCCTCTTACGCAGAATCACCACGGGCCGGCAACAAGAATGATGACGCCATGAAGGGCGTCCTGAAGCAGCGCCCAGGCGACACCAACGGCAGCCATCCCCAAAGCCCCCTCAGTAATACCGCCGCTGCCTGTCCTGCCAATGGCGCCGCGGCTCCTCCTCCTGCGAATACGAACGCGTCGTCGTCGTCGTCACCGCAGAAAAAAAGCGTGACATTCGCGCCGCACCCGGAATTCGCGTCGCCGCTCGTCTTCCCCGTGGTATCAGTCTCGCCGCCGCCGCGCTTCTCGCTGTCGCCAGACGATACACTGAACGAGGAGTTCGCTGCTATTGGCTCTGGGAGTGCGACTTCTGGAGGGAAGGCGCTTAAGAGGGGATGTCCCGCCGACGGATTCGGCCAACATAGCGAGCGAGCCTCCAAGCGCTGGCGCTCTCCCGGCTACGCCCCCCACATACTGCGGGACAGAGTAGGAGAGTGTCGAGCGGCGTTCGAGTACCCGCCGCCCCCGCGCCGCATGTATAATTGCTCGACCGTGGAGATGCCCGAGGACTGGGTGCCAGATGATTTCGACATGTTTCTTTGCAACGAGGAGTGACGGAGAGTGGTTTGGCTGGGACTTTCTCTCCGGATCTAGAATAAGGGAAAGATTGGTTGGCTGGATTTGGCGATTTGGGGTTTTCTGGGGAGTGTATATGCCTGCCTGGTATCCTTGGATGAGCCGAGGTTCATTGGGATGTCGTGCTGGAGTTGGATTCCTTGTTCTGGCGCATGGCAAGGTGTTGGAGGACGGCGTTTGGAACCGTTGGGGTTCGCCGCGAACTTGTTAGAGTTGTTCTTGTTATTTTGTATTGTGTGCGATCATGGATAATGTGCATTAAATCGATCGCAGACTCGCAGAGCCGTGGCGACTGAGACCATCTCAGACAGCCAATTAGTCAACTAATTAGAGGGTTCACTGGTTTGCCGCGTGTGGGAAGGGTTACACCGGGATTACTTGTATTCGACCTCAAGAACATTTACGGTTCTATTCCTCGAATATCAACTTCCCAGCATCAATTTTGAAGCCAAAGACTCTCTGCGATTAATTGGCGAATTGTGTGCTTCATTTAGGACTGCGGTCAGTTAAGGTAATTATAAATATACGCTGGGGCACTCAGGACTGTTCAACCACCTGGATTAGGTAGACTCAAGTGAGAGTCGATGCAGCAGACTTTAAACTGGTGAAATGTCTACCAAATACCACACTATCAAGAGCCAACCTCCAACCACAACTCAATGGCCAGCAAGACCATCATGGTATCCCAACAGCTCCGCTCTGTGTGCTGCGGTGACGGGCCACATGCGACCCAATATGCAGGGCCGAGCCCCAGTGGCCCAATACAGCATTTATTGATCTTGGGCTCCAACCCCGCCCTGCAGAGTCAGCTTGGCCTCGACGCGCCATTTTCATTCCTCTCAACCTTTTTCTAACCTCTTTCGGGCGAACAAACACGGCCGGTGTTCCCGGGCCCAGGCCACATGCGACGCCTGTGGCCGATGCATTTCCCAGACACACATTATATCTATCGCCATGGTCAGCCGCCAACACTTCAAATCTTTCCCTTTTCCTTCCTTGTCGATCAAATATTCAACCAAGGCGCTAACGAGCCTCAACTCAAGTGACAGTTGACGCCAGCGACTGCCATCCGGGTTATCCCGCACTCTCTACGAATCTCCCGCGGGCACGACACATCGAGACCCATCATGTCTGGCAATATCGACTACAAGCACGACTTTGCCAGGTTCGACTGGAACTCTGACGCCTACCGCCCATGCGGTGTGGTTGACAGAATCACGTCAGGCCGCTCGGTCCTGCCCGTTTACAACGCTGTCGATGGAAGAATGCACATGTTCTTTGGCGTCAAAAGTACCAGTTTTCCAGTGTCTTCCCGGGCACCAACACCTGCTGCCGTCATGGACTTAGATAGCTTAGGCCTCACGGTTCACGTCGACCACATGGGCTGGCCTGGCCTTGTCGGCAACCAGCTAGATGATGTCTCGGCGACCCTCCAGGGCTTTTTCCAGCCTCATGATTCCGCCATTGAATCGACACCCTGCACCGAACCTGTCGCCTTCTCACCCGCTGCCCAGGGCGAGACGATCGACGTGAAGCTGGTGAAGATGCGCCAGAACATGCCGTGGGGCATGCGGGGGACCATCCACTGGTCCGTCACCGTCCCCAGCTTTGGGAATGCACGCGTCGATCTCCAGGCGCAAGTCCCCGTCGAGTTCTACTTCGTCTCGTCGCCTGCCCTACCCTCGTTTCTCCAGCGCGGCATCCCGGTCAAGCTGTGTCGGAAATTTCTGCTGCCGCTCCGTCTGATGGTCTCAGACCCCGACATCAAGACCTTGGACGACGCAGCACTGTCAAGATGGATTTCCGATAACGCAGACGGCTGGCTCACGTATGTGACCGAAAAGCTGCACTTCCAGTCGTCCATCTCCCACGACTCTTTCAACGACGGCAGCTGCCACTACTGGGACTCTAGTTCTAAGGACCGCCGCCTGTTCCTCGATCAGTGGGCCGACGACTGTGAGGAAAAGGAGACGCATGTCATCAACTGCTACGACCTCGCCGCACTGATGCAGGCCATCCTGCCGCTGGGAATGACACCCGTTGACAAGCAGTTCCATATGAAGTACAAAAACCCGTTTGGGTACATCAACACTGCACACCTGATAGGTCGTGAATACACGAATAACCCCTTGTGCGGGCCGCAGGGGGCCAACCCCCAATGGATCTGCGGCATTGACGATTACGATCGCACCGGATTCAACAGCCATGTCTTCGTAACCATGTACAGGGAAATTGGCGGAGACCCGTACGTCCTCGACGCAACCACGCGGCCAGCCACCGGCCCCAACGCGGCAACGCAGACGCTTCGGAAGTACCTGGAACACTCCATCGACGACGCCACCGCACTGTACAAGGTCAGCCCCGACGCCTGGGCCGCGTGGTGGAAAGAGAACAGACCAGAGGGAACAATGGCACACCAACTTCAGATGGGCAGCCAGGGGAGCCCGGAGAGCTGGAGCGGCGTCGGGTCCATCGTGACGCATCCCGAAATCTACCGCGAGTCAACACCTGGCTCCGACGCCCCCGACTCCGACCTGAACAGCTTCGTTCTCGCCATGTTCCCCGACCAGCAAGTCACCAGCCCCAACGTGACGGTCACCAACGACGGAGTGCGCAAGTCCTGGTGCGTCGCCGTCGGTGCTAACGGCGTCCTGACGCTGAAGGTAACATCCTGCGCCGTGTCGTCGGTGCCGCCCAACCTGTTCGCCCGCGCCCAGGAGCACCTCAACCGGCTCGGCGTGCAGTCCACGAGCAACCCGGACCGTGTGCCGTGGATCGCGGGCGCCTGGAAACAGTCGGCCGGGTTCGCCAGCGGGCCCAGAGTCGACAGCGCGCGCCGCCTGGCCTCGACGGACGCTGGCAGCGCCGTGCTGCTGTGGGCGCAGGGGTCGTTCTTTGTCGAGATTGGCTGCACGTCGACGAGCGCCGCCGCCGACGCCGCGAGCAAGCTGCAGGCGTTCATCAACCGCTTCCCCGCCCCCAACAGCCCCAGCCTCGACATCCTGGTCGTCGGCTCCGCGCCCGTGGGCAGGACGTTTGACATTGTGACGGACGGATGGGTTAGTCTGGTGCTTGCTTTCCACTGCGTTGCTTGCATGTAGTACTTCCGCACCAAAATCAAGTCCCAGGCCTTGCTAACGATGTTGGAATATTGCGTGGCATTTAGGACAAGAATGACACCATGTCCTGCAACGTCGAAGTGCACGGCAACGTAAGTGCCAGGGATCCAGTCCACCAGTCAACTTTTGCTGGCTCCTTGAAACTCACTTTCGTGTGTGCCTCGTTACAGAAAGCGCTGTTCCTCTCGTCGACTCAGTCGGGGTCTCGAGTCACGTTCACCTTCCTCGCCCGCGCTGCTGGCGAAGACACGGTTACGCTGTGCTCCTGGGGCAGAGGCTGGCTGCCGACCATGTCGCCCGCGTTGCCCATCGACATAGCGCCCGCAGCATAAGCCAAGGTAAGACACCTAGCCAAGGTAAGACATCTAGCCAAGGCAAGGCAAGGCATCTAGCCAGTTAGTCGTAACGGAATAGGGCATCGTTAGGGAGCCGTCAAAGTGCTGGAAGGAATATTATATCCTGCGTCGTACAGGAGGGAGAGCTGGAAGTGATTTAATTATATTTACGAGAGCATTTAGGGTGAAAGGGGTACTTGTTGGTGGGATCCTGGAGGAGTGATGATAGAAAAGACGGAGCCACATCTAAGGTGGGTAGAGGTCAAGTCCTAAGACACTAGTACCGGCACATTTGGTAGTATCTGGTTCACTACATCACCGTCAAGCCATGGTGATTAATAGGGTAAGCTAGTTACGTTAAACCTAGAACTGCACGTTCGTCCTTGAGAGCACACTGCTCTCCCACCACGCATTGTGGCCGACTGAGCAATTTTTTAGATGAGCAGTGAACCAGGTTTCCAAATGCCGACCACCTTGAAAGTTGGGAAGGACCCCATCTGGCCAAAACCTTGATGTTTTTTGATTGGGCAATGTCCAACACGGTGTCGAAGGCCGAGGCTGAACAGCCCCGGCATAAGCCAGATGTGGCGGCAGAATGCAACCATCATGCGCCGCAATCTACAAAGGCATTCCTGGATCGTCATAGGACTTCGAGATATTGCATGCCAAGCTGCAAATACTCCGAGTTTTGCTGGAGACCCTGCATACTTGAGGCCTGGAATGCCGAATGGGGACCAACTTGGGACGGACGGAGGTGGCTCCAGCAGCCCTAACCACGGAATGATTTAATAACAGCCTCTCCCAATATACGAGCAGCATGCGGGGAAATAAAGAAAGACCGGACCAGGCCTTCGCAGATATCTATGCAACATGCCCAGCCAAGCCCGTTCGTCCCCTCTCCCTTCTTCGCCGGTGAGGTTCAAGTGTTTCGCGCAGCAGACATGAAGGCACAGCAACAAACATGATGTCGCTCACCGCCATCCTCTCCTTTGCCCTTGCGGCCTCCAGCCTGGCCAGCGCGGCGAGCACCAACCTCCGGCGGGCCCAGCTGAACGCGATCCCGAAATTCCCCTACGACCCGAGCACGACTAAGTACTGCGCATGGTGGCTGGACAACGACGGCACATGGGCCTGCCAGGACATTGAAGACGTGTTTGGAGTGTCGATGGATGACTTCAAACGATGGGTGCGTTCTTCTCCTGCAGTGCGCAGACGTGATGGACAGGTAGCACTGACAAGAAGCAGAACCCGTCCGTCCGCCTGCCGTGCGATAGCCTGCCGACAAACGAGTCGTTCTGCATCGCGGGCGGAGTCGGGCGGCAGACGCTAGGGCCGAGCAGGACGCCCCTCCTCACGTCAGTGGTCACGGTGCCGGTCACGGTGCCGGTCACGGTACCGGTCACGGTGGCCGTGCCGGTGACGCAGACGAGCATCGTGACGGCGACGGTGCAGGTCACGGTGGTGTCGCTCGTCAGCGTTACGGCGGCGGCGCCGACGCCGACCCGCGGCGGCAACGGCATCGCGACGCCCGCACCGTACCAACCCGGCATGGTCGACAACTGCAAGACCTTCTACCTCGTCCAGCCGGGAGACACGTGCGTCAACATCGCGGCGAGGTACCGCGTCTCGCCCGAGCAGCTCATTGCCTGGAACCCCTATGCGCGGGCCGACTGCACGAGGCTGCTCGCGAACACGTACTGTTGCGTCGGGGTTCTGTGATGTGCAGTTGGGCGGTGAAGCCGTAAGCTGCGGGAGTGTTGGGTCCTGGATTTCCGAAAAGGAGAGAGAAAAGACGAAAGGGGTATTATGCAGAATCAATGCGCAGATATCAGTCAGCCGCCATGCGTGGCGAGCAATCATGATTAGTTATCGGTGGTGTCTAATGCCGGAGATTACAGGAAACATCATTTGTTAAACCTCTGAGAGACTCTGAAGACGCCTCAATTCGCAGAAACATGCCAATGATTCCAAACCCGACCCACTCGGTGACCGCTTTTGAAGGGCGCTCGGTGTCTTACCTCTCCCCACGGGCGGCGTGGATTATGAAGCAAATTGGAATCAGGGAAGGGCGCGCGGGCTGACAGCCTGCATCTTCTGGAAAGAACCCCGCATGTTGCGTGTATGAAGAGTTATGACTGGACTGTTATCGTGGGATTTGCCGAGCCAGTCAATTGCCAAGTTTTGGTGCCGCGGATCACTCTGATTCTGCAAGTATATATTCTTCGCTATTCGCCCTTCATACCGCACGTTATCAGTCTCATCATTCGCCCCAAGTTGCCCGCCCAGCTCAACTCACCCAGCTAAACCCATACAGTTAAACCCACCCAGCTTCAACTTCTTCGTCTCTCGACCATCCGTCTCGAAAATGTCGGCCCCTTACCACGGCTCATGCCTCTGTGACGGAGTTCGCTTTACCGTCTCTTCAGGCCCCATGGGCATTACCGAATGCTACTGTGGGCACTGCCGCAAAGGGTCGGGCGGAAACAGCCAGATTGTGAGTTTTGGGCCATCTCAGCCCCAAGGACGCAGAATCATGCATCTAACAACCGACCCCCAGATGGCCGTGTTCGCGGGAAAGGATGTCACGTTTGAGTCCGGCCAGGATCGCGTCGCAACATACACCTTCACCAACACCACGAGCGGCAAGGGCAAGGACAAGACCTTCTGCAAGACATGCGGAGCCCAGCTCTGGACCGTTCCAGACGCCGCGAAAAGCAGCAATCTGCTTTTGATCAGAACCAGTCTTCTCGACGAAGGGTAAGTTTTTTCTGACAGCAAGCGGGTATTCTGGGTCGTGGCTGTACTGATAGTTGAGGTGTTAGGTTGGAGATGAAGCCTGATAACGCGATCTTCACCCGGACACGGCCGGCGTGGGTTCCGGCGATCGAGGGCGTCGAGAATCACGAGGCTGCACCTTGAACAATGAAGATGCCGTACGGCGCGGCAAAGTTTCGTAGAAACGCAGACCAGGGCGGAAGGGAGTCGGGGAGGAGGAATAGTGACTCAACCACGGCGCGGTGGACCCTCAAACTCTAGTTAGCCAGCCGATTAAAAGAGGCTATGCAGACGTCGACTCGACCAAGATTGAAGATAGCTGGGGTTATTATCAGAATAGAATATGGAGTCACAGAAGACCCTCATTCCCGTCTTGAAACATGTTTTTTTTGTGTCAAGCTTCATCACCACGTTACATCCCCTCCATCCACGGCTGACGCAAGACACCTAGTCCAAAGGGAGGCTTACTTAGGTATCCATATGCACTACGTGGCAGTTGGTAGTATGGGCCAATGAGCACGTAGAGCAGGTGGGTACTTGGCGAATGCTGCGATGTCCGCTCTCTTCGCCAGTGCCGTTTTTACTGGGCTCGCCATAACTGATCACAGCTGTGGTCTTCAGGTTGCACGCTGCGCTATCGAGGAATTGCCAAGGTGAGGAGAGGCTAGAGCCAGAGACGGCGCGGCCGGGAACCAAGTGGGGGTGGTTACGAATGGGTGATGACCGGAAAGACGGTGCATTATGCTTCCGAGTGGTAGCACGCGGCCAATGGATAAGCTCCAGGAGGTACCTAAAAGTGGGGAGCTATGGCTGGGCGGCTCGGTGCCTGCCGTCGGCTTGCGACGCCTCGCATCGCCACAGGCACTCTCTGGGTCTTGTTCCTGAACCAACACACGCAACAAACCAGCTTCTCCATTGCCGGATCATCCGCTAAAACTTCCCTTCATTCCATCCTGTCGAAATAACGCAGGCATCGGAATACACCGAGCATGGCGATTCGAAACCAGCTTCGGCTTTTGCTCACAGCGGGCTCGCTTGTCACGGCGGCCGTCGCAAACCCGCTGCCGAAGCCGCTCGGAGATGACACCGACGACCTGCCCCTTCCGCTTGTGATTTGGCACGGTAAGGAGTGACGCGAATACCTCCCGAACCTGATGGCAAATAGGAAACTCATAGGTGGTGTCTGACAGGTCTCGGCGATACCTACGCAGCCGAGGGGATCCGCGGGGTGGGCGAGCTGGCCGAGGCGATCCACCCCGGCACGCTCGTTTACAACATCCGCATGGACGACGACGCGTCCAAGGACCGGTCCGCGACCTTCCTCGGCAACGTGACGGAGCAGATCGAGAAGGCGTGCGCCGACATCGCTGCGCACCCGATTCTCTCGACGGCGCCAGCCATCGACGCGCTGGGCTTTAGCCAGGGCGGCCAGTTCCTCCGCGGCTACGTCGAGCGCTGCAACAGCCCGCCCGTGCGCAGCCTGGTGACGTTCGGCTCGCAGCACAACGGCATCAGCGCCTTCCGCGAGTGCCCGACGTCGGACTGGGTGTGCCGCGTGGCCATGGCGCTGCTCAAGGGCAACGCCTGGAGCAGCCTGGTGCAGAGCCGCCTGGTGCCCGCCCAGTACTACCGCAACCCGGAGCAGTACGACCAGTACCTGGAGCACTCCAACTTCCTGGCCGACATCAACAACGAGCGCGCCGCCAAGAAGGCCGAGTACAAGGAGAACATCAGCAAGCTCGAGAATTTGGTTTTGTACATGTTCGCCGACGACAAGACGGTCGTGCCCAAGGAGACGGCCTGGTTCGAGGAGGTCAATGGCACCGAGATCACGCCCCTGCGCGCCCGCAAGCTCTACTCGGAGGACTGGATCGGCCTGCGCGAGCTCGACCGCAAGGGCGGCCTCCAGTTCAAGACGGCGCCCGGCGACCACATGGAGCTGTCCGAGAAGGTGCTCAACGAGACGTTTGCCGAGTTCTTCGGGCCGCTAAAGCTCAAGAACAAAGTTTCGCCGCCAGTACAACTTGGGCACGGGGACCTTTGAGAGATCAGTGTCGGATAGCAGATTTTTCTTTTGGGTAAAACTTGTAGTTTCGGGGTCTTGGGCTACGGATGTTCGTTCCAGTTTTAGAGCTCCAGCGGGAGTCATTTCAGTTTGGTTTTCTCCTTATCAACGCGGGGTTTCTTTCTTGAGCAAAGCAGACTCGGTTCTCTTTAAATATACGAGTCAATACAGATAGGCACAGTTGATTCAACGCGCGCGGAGTCCCGCAAATTCCACTGTTACGTGTTATTTGACATGGCAGGTAAGGCTGCAGCGGTGCACCGTAGAGCGTCTTATCTCGTCAATGTGATCTTTGCGAGACGCAAACATGTTGCTTGCCCTATCGACAGCGCGCGCGCGCGGTCACACAATGGTAAGCGGGTGGCTGTCGAAAAGCAGCGGGTGACTGTCGAAAAGCAGCGGGTGGCTGTCGAAAAGCAGCGGGTGGCTGTCGAAAAGCAGGGCGAGTGCCTGAAGGATGGCCGGCATTGTGGCTCAGCAAAAGGTCGCGAGGGATCGACTGCTGTTTTCGTGTCGAAATCCACTTGCACCCCCGCAATGAGCACGCACGCACTTAAAACCCCCTTGTCCGTCCGTCTCTCTGTGGTCTGCCTGCCAGCCTCTTCCCGGCGCGCGTTGAAACAGTCTGCGCCTTACTCGCCGCGGGAGAGCAGGTATTCCGTATTGCTAGTGGAACTAGAGGGTCTATTGACCACTTTTGCCCCGTGCAACCGGCGGAGTCGGGCAGAACCCGGGTGGTGGGTTTCCGATTTTCGGGAAGCACAAGACAAGACACCACCACACCACAGGGAACACGGCTGGACTGGCAGCGAAATAGAGTGCAACTTTATCGTCCTTTTCTTCGCCTCCGCCGGCTGCCGAGAGTCGCAGCTCTTGAGGGGAAGAGGGAATCTGACCCGGCATGTGCTATCTGCTCATTAGACCTGTTATCTTGCTCGACTCTGCATCGTAGTGAGCTTCCCGATTGGCGGCAGGGATGGGTTAGGCGTCAGCGGCTATGGCTAAATTGCCGTGTTGGATGCAGAGGTGCGTCGATGCCTTCAACTAGGAACCCGGCCAGACTGAGAATCCGAGGCGTCTGTCCCTCTAATTGTGAATTACGAAACTGCGGGATTGTCCCTCCGGTTCTGCTGCGTATCGTCACATTTGCTCCAGCAGCTGGTGTCCTCTTGTCGTGGGGTCGAGCAAGGTAAGGTACAGACAGTACTGCAACTGGGTCTTTGCGCCTGCTTCCATTAAAAAACGCGTGTGGGTTTAAGTGGCCCAGTGGAGCGGGGGGCTGGTTTTTGGCGAATTTCTTGTGTTGATCACCGCGTCAACGAAAAAAAAAAAAAAACTAATAATGGATCCGCGAGAAAAGTTAATGTGCAGGCTGCATTTGCAGGTGGTCGACGTAAAGTGAGGAGAGAATAACCTATGTATTCAGTCTCCTCCCCCGTGAAGCCGCATTCCATCCTGCCAGTAGAGTCGCGGTACGTCATCAGCAGTGATATTACAGCGTGCAACAGTGCCCTTGTGAGAATTCTCGGCGCAGTTACAAAGGAAGGCGGTGAGGGGCAGGCGCTCGCTAAGGCTGCTGAGTGGCCGGCGAGTTCCCTGGAAAGCACGCAAGACACGCGAGCTAGGCACAAAAAAAGAGGAGTCGGCACGCCAAACGCGACCACCCTCTTACCGAAATCGCGTCCTGCGACAAGTGAGTGAGACCACACGGTCCCGCAGACACGGCCGCGGCCGCGGTGCATCTTTTAAATACCCAAATCCCCACCCCCAGCACACACCGGGCCTCTTCCAACCAGGCCATATTTCCAATTCGAGACGGCCACTAAAACCTCTCTCCTTGCATTTTCGCTTCCTGCATTGTGTTTACCTTTTGCACCTCGGCTTCTACGTCTTCGACTCGCCCATCTTTGTTTCGGGCCTGGCGTTCATGCGCTTCTCGACCGATTCGGCGGCAGAAAAGTCTAGAGCCGACGCGCCTTTGACGCGAAGCTTGACGTCCCTCTGCTGCTTCTGACACAGCCCACAACCTCGCCCGGCCTGTAAAAATAATTATTCTCACTCCCCTACCACCTGTCATGTTCACCTGTGCGTGACAGACAATAATCTATCCATGGACTCCTCTCCCTCCGCGTCTGGCAAGGCGCAGGTGCCGGAGCCCTCGCTACCGTTGCCGCCCAAGACCAGCCTCAAGCGGCCTGCTCCGTCTTTACTTCCCCCTTTTGAGCCACTCTCTTCCTCGCCTGGCTTTCCGCGGCCCCCGAAACGCCAGGCTACCTCCAATGCGTACCTCAAATATCCCACGCCCATCCCGACGTCGAGTACCGGCATCCTCTCGTCGAGTCCGCCACGCGTCGCTCCACGGCACATGCTACCACGGACACTGTCGATCGTGTCCGAACGTGCCCCTCTTTCTGATATCCGATCAGTTGAACTGGACGAGAGTGGCGAGACGCTCCTCATGGGAAGGTCCAGTAATTCCTCGCATTATCAACTCTCGGCAAACCGCCTGATCAGCCGCGTCCACGTCAGGGCGCGCTATATCCCTGCCGTAGACGCGCTCGACCCCAACAAGATCGAGATTGTCTGCGAGGGATGGAACGGCCTGAAGGTGCAGTGCCAGGGCGAGACGTGGGAACTTGCCAAGGAAGACATGTTCACGTCTGAGACGGAGGGTGCCGAGCTCATTATCGACGTACAAGACGCGAGAGTTCTTCTGCAGTGGCCAAGACGAGACAGGGACCGGGATGCGCTAGGCAACATCAGCGACTCGTCATGGGATGACTCTCCGCGTCCGAGAGTTGAACGAAGCAGTGGTGCCCCCGACGTGTTGCACGGCAGCCCACTAAGGCGGACCGCGCGAATAGCGAGCCCCGAGTCGCCGACACCAGCTAATGTCTCGGCCTCTAGCGCTAACCTGCTGCATCTGATGCCCGACGACCTTGATTTGAACGCCCCCGTGCAGATATATGAGGACGCTAGCGGGGACGAGCAGGAGTTGCCGAAACTGACAGGCGCCGCCAACGTGGAGGCCAGTTTCATGACACAGATCGCCGAGAGTTTCTCTAGCGAGCTGAGCGATCCTCTGTCGGACGATGAGAACGATCCCGACGAAGAGAACGATCCCATTGTGCACTCGTTCGGGCCGTTTGGTGCTAACCTCTCCAATCGTCTCGCGGCCATCTCCGCCTCGTCGCCGAAACGCTCACGTCTTCCGCAAGGACGTCCCCTCAATCCTCCAGTTGCAAACGCAGCCGCTTCCCTTGCAGCTGCTGCTTTGCTCGATTCTCGGCGTCCATCGAACGCACATTCCGCAAATATCGACCACGAGACAATTTCTACGCCAACATCCGCGACGTCGGCTGCCGCAATTGCCGCCGCCGTCAGCTTATTGACCCCAGAGGAGAAGTCCGCAGTGTCGAACCACGTAGCCAACCAGCTTGCGTATTCGCGTCTCTCTTCGACGCCATTGTCAACAATAATGAACAACCTCCCAGCAGAGGAGAAGAAGGATTTGACAAAAGATCACCTGCGAGCAATCATCGAGTCCACTGACTGCGTCGGCATCATCCCCCGGCAGGGCAAAGACGCCGCCGGGAAGCCTCTCGAGAGCGAGTACTACTACGTCCCCGAGAGAGACACGGACGAGCATCGGCGACTTGCAGTAACAGACGGCTTGAGAAAGCCGAGCTTGCGCAACTGTAGAAAGCAACACAAGGTAAGACCCCACTCCCCATCCGATAGTGGGAAATCCGCGAGAAGATTGGAACGTACAAGGCTGACTAGACCGTCTCCAGCAATATTACTGGAAGAAGCCACGGACCCCGTGATGATGTCGACCCTTTGCAGCCTACGCCGACAGGCCGCCAAACTTCCTCCCCGTCCCGCTGGGATGGAAGAGAGTTTTGGTCGAGTTAACCGAAATAATTGAAGATTTTCCATTGGAGCAAAAACGCAAAATGTCGCATACCCACCCGCCCTCCCATTACCTGACCAAGTACCCATTATCTCGGCCTACCCACCTACCCATTACCCCATTTCTCTGTCAGATATTTGCACAGCGCTTCCCGCCTGTGCCTGCTTTACCTTCCATGCTGCATAGCCCAGGGCGTCCTTTTTTGCTATTGGGATATACTCTTTTTAGTCACCTCTCGCTTTTTCTGTCGTCTGCCGATTAATAGACGACTTCTTGTGTCCATATTTCTCTTCCGCCACGGATTGGTTGGAGGAAGCGGTGGCACTGTTCGGAAAAGGGACATGGGATGATATGGATCATGGCGGTTAACTTTATCGCTCCGGGGATGTCTCGAGAAGGAGCGACGGGATTTGAGGAATATACCATGTAGTTTAGTTCAATATTTGGCACTGCTGTAGTCGAGCCCAAAATCGCAAAACGTCCAAGACAGAACACGAAGCCAAATCCCATGTCGTCTCATCATTCTTTCGTCATCATTAACACCTATTATCAAATAACAGCCTGCCAGCCAATCACGCGGTCGCCAATTCTCGTTCCCCCGCAGTTTAAGATGGCAGCTGCAGTCGGCCGCCGCCTCAATGCCGCCCCGGCCGTCAGCTGCCCCACTATTTGTAGCACCAGCCTTTTCTTCCGAGAAAGGTACTTCGGCACTTTCGGAAGAACGCAACCGCCGAAGCGCCCAAAATTTCGCGAGGACCCAGAAAAAAATTGAAGCACTGAAGTCGACGCCCGGCCCCCCACCACGGCAACTTCCTCATCGCAAACTACCAAGATGTCGAAGTCTACAGCAGCCGCAACGGCGCCTGACTCTACTGTCTCGCTCGTCAATCCCGAGCAGGTGCGTACAGAATTTTCGAAAATGGGTTATTCGAGCCTGCGCTGACCATACTAGACCCTCAAAGCGTCCCGGGCGCTCCTTGCGCACATCAAGAAGGCCGCCGCGGAGCCAAAGGCCGGAAAGCAGAATCTGCTCGCCAACGAAGAGTCCACAGTCGCGGAAACGTCTATCTGGCTCACATTGACCACAAAACTCCATCTTCACGACTCTAACGTATGTTGAGCCGTCCGCTTTTAACTACTCCGTCTGACCATTTCCGCAGCGCCTCCAGCCGTCTAAAATCATTCTCCCCCACCCCCTCAATACCGATGAAGAGTCGACAATATGCCTTATCGTGGCCGACCCGCAGCGCGCGTACAAGAACATGGTTGCCTCGGACGAGTTCCCCGAAGAGTTGCGCACGCGAATCACCCGCGTGATCGACATTACACATCTCAAGGCGAAGTTCAAGACGTACGAAGCGCAGCGCAAGCTGTTTGGCGACCACGACATCTTCCTTGCCGATGACAGGATCATCAACCGGCTACCAAACGCGCTCGGCAAGACATTCTTCAAGAGCACCGTCAAGCGGCCCATTCCGGTCATATTTATGGCGCAGCGGGCAAAGGTGGACGGTAAGAAGGTATCACAGCCAAAGGCCAAGAAGACGAAGCGCAATCCGGCAGAGAACGTCAACGCGCGGCCGTTGACCGAGATCGTGTCCGAGATTCACAAGGCCATCGGCGCTGCGCTGGTACACCTGAGTCCCTCTACCAACACGTGCGTCAAGTGCGGGTACGCGAGCTGGACGGCAGAGCAGCTGGCGGACAACATCAACAAGGTCGCGAAGGACCTGGTGGAGCGCTTTGTGCCGCAGAAGTGGAACAACGTGCGGAATCTGTACATCAAGGGCCCGGAGACGGCCGCCCTTCCCATCTTCCAGACCGACGAGCTGTGGCTGGACGATTCCAAGGTGGTCGCCGACGACAAGGAGGTGGCGGGCGTGGTTGCTGGAAAGCAGAAGAAGGAGAGCGGCGAGCAGGCCAACATTGGCAAGAAGCGGAAGACGCTTGATGCCGAGCCCGAGGCGGTCGTGTCGGAGGCCACACCCGCAAAGGGGTCGAAGGAGGACCGGCCAAAGAAGAAGGCCAAGAGGGCCGCTGTGCCCGTGAGCAACGACGAGAAGCTCGACAAGGAGATTGCCGAGCGGAAGGCGAAGCTGAAGAAGCAGAAGGCGGCGGCGAAGAAGGCCGTCGATGTCTAGATAACGCAGGGTTGAACAAGCGTGCATAGATGGCCCGGCATGGTCCAGTTTGCTGCTTGGTGGGACTTTACATCATGGCACATCATGGCTCGGAGTTTTGGCGTCCCAGGAAGATAAACAGGAGATTGGGCAGTAGGCATACTGAGCGGTACCTTGCAGTCTGCATGGCCAGTCACGGAGTCTCGAAATGCTAATAACGTCTATACCAAACATCCAGGGCCCCGTAGATTCCCTTGACCTGTATCTAGACACATGCATCTATCGTGCTCACGGATGGGCGAAGAAGACGAAGAGAAAAAAAATACTCGCCATCAACGATCTAAGTGTTTCGTTGAGGCTGACTCTCTCCTAATCAGGAGCCCTGAAGATTTCTGCTAGAAAGCGGTACGGGGATACACAGCATAGTGACCCGGATTAGTTGAGTTCTCTTTTTTGCTTGTTAATAGACTACCCGCGTGTTTGACGTCGGTCTTAGGGAACCGACGATTCTTGGTAAACGTGCAATAAATACAGCTTGAAGGAAGCTGATAATTTTGTCTGAAGGGGTCTGATACCATCTTAGTTTTAAGACAGTTGGCCGACAACCCCATCCCGCAACGCAATGTTGTGTAGCGAAGCGGGACGTCTTGGAGACATTTTACCCCTTGTCGCTGACACATTTCCAGCTAGCCTCGTTTCGTTGCTAGCAGGCTGCTCCGCACCAGAATCGCGGGGAAATGGAGATCTCGACCCACATGTGATGTCGGTGCATCATTTCAGATTTAAACCCGCAGAGGAGAGATGCTCTGCTTCATAACCACATTGCCAGGTTGCCCAAATTTATCCGAGATAGTTGAGCACCACCCACCTGCACAGTTCAAACACTACTTACCTTGGGTACCTTCTTGTTCCGATGCGTATCTTGCTGTGCGCTGCAGCCAAGGTGCACAACAGACGCGAGGCCGTCGGTGGCCGCCAGATTGACGCCTCCAATTCGGAGCAGGCGATCTGGAACAGCTCGGGGCGCTACCCCACCAACCTCTGCCTGCTGAGCGCCCGAGAGTCCACCCAATGAAGCTTGATTTTGGATGCAAGACATGGCACACGGCTGTCGGGGCCGAGAAGGACCCAAATCAACTGCCGAACATGACGGACGAGCACGGTAATCTTCTCGTAATCAGCACACCTCCGCACAAGCGGCGGGCGCCTCCCGCCACGTTTCTCTGACAGGGCCGCACACACGGGACAGTCGGCGAATCATGCCACAATGCAGTAACAATGCGGCCAGATACTGCCGGGTGCCCTCTGCTGAGATCTGTGTCGAACGATGGATTCGGGCCTGTAAGTGCAGACTGCTGATGCTCGAAGCCCGTCGAGATGACTGAGGGTTGGGGGTACGGGGTGCGGGGTGCGACTTATGGGCGTCGCTGTGGTCAGTCAATCGGGAAAACGAACCGCTCGCCCACGATCAAATGACCACACAAGAGCCAAGGACGGGACCCGAGCACATGGCAAGCTACTAACTAATTACTAGCTTAGCTTCTCCGCACCCGCGCGGCGCTGACTCGCTGTCTATTTTTGTGGCCGGCTGCCCAGCACCGCGCCTAGCTGAATGAATGGCTGTGTGGCGGGCGAGATTGCCCTGGGCCGTTTCCCGCCGTCTCGCCCGTCTCGGTCCAATTGCATTGCATACGTTGGTGGTGACGGGCCATTGAAGCGGTGGCGGCCGTCTGTCCGTCTGGTTGGCCTTCACCCGGGTCTTGGCACTCCCCCAGGAGCTCTGGTTGCAGCATCGGCAGATGTCTGGCACCGTTGCGCCCGGCCCAGAGCTGTCATATAGACGGGCAGGCCCAAGTGGTGGCTATCCTCTGGTTACTCCCGGTTAACCCTTTCCTTGGCCACCCCGTCATGTCACTTGCCTCCCGTTCGTTATAAGCCTGCCGGACCAGCAACTTCAACAGCTGCTCAGTCCGCCGCCCTCGCTGAAGACGCCACGCTGCTTGTAGTTAAAGGGGTTTCAACGCCTGTCCTTGGAGATTGAGCACTCATACTCCGACCTTGGCTCACAGTAGCCAAACCTGTAATACGGCATCGCCACAATGGGTGTTGCCCTGAAAGGAGAGGGGGGGAAGGTGTCGCCGACACGGGCCCTGGTTGCCACGGCGGCCGCCTTCGTCGCGGCACACTGGCTGCTCGTCCTCGTCTCGGCCCTCGTCACACGCGCGCTGTACAAACGGTATGCGTCGCCGCTGCGCAAATATCCCGGTCCCGTCTTCGCATCCTTCTCGCGCCTCTGGAAGGTCAAGTCGACGGCGTTAGGCAGGACACACCTCGAGCACATCGAGCTGCACAAGAAGTACGGGCCCATCGTGCGCGTTGCGCCCGACGAGCTCTCGCTGGCGTCGCCCGAGGCGGCGCGGGCGCTGCTGAGCGCCGGCAAGCGCTTCTTCAAGACGCCCTTCTACGGCGTGTTCCCGCCGCCCGAGAACCCCGACATCTTCACCGAGACGCGCGAGGACGTGCACGCGCAGAAGAAGCGCGTCGCCAACGTGCCCTACAGCATGGCCGCCATGCAGCAGCTGAGCCCCTTCATCAACGACACCATCGAGCTGCTGGCCCGCAAGATCAACGCCCACATCAGCGAGAACGCCGGCGTCTTCGACCTCGGCGCCTACCTGCACTACTTCGCCTTTGACGTGCTGGGCGAGGTCGCCTTCAGCCGCAGCTTCGGCTTCCTCGCCGAGGGCCGCGACGTCGACAACGCCATCAAGACCATCGACAACTCGCAGACGTACAACGGCATCGTCGGCCAGGTCCCCGAGCTGGACCACCTGCTGAGGAGAAACCCGCTGTGGCAGTTCGTCCCGTGGCTGAGCACCAAGAACGCGCTCATCACGAGGATGGCGCTCGAGGAGATGGCGCACCGCCGGCCCTTCGACAAGGACAACGCGGGGCTCTTGAGGACCGGCGACGGGAGGCAGGACCTCATGGCCAGTCTGATCCAGGGCCACCTCAAGGACCCGGAGCGGTTTAGGGAGGGCGACGTCTTTGCGGTTGCCCATGGTGCGATGTGAGTCGCCACGCGTTTCACCCGCCACCCCTGCCCTCACACGTTGATATCGAACCACGTTGACTGACATTTCCCCCTTGAAAAAAATTACAGCTTCGCCGGCTCCGACTCGACCGCATCGACCATGCAGTCCTTCTTCTGGCACATCCTGGCGGCGCGGCCCGTGTACGAGAACATCGTGCGGGAGATCGAGGCGGCGGTGCGCGACGGCGTGATCCCGGGCGACGGCAACCTGTCGTGGAACCAGGCGCAGAACCTGCCATACATCCAGGCGTGCCTCAAGGAGGCCATGCGCGTGCGCCCCGCCGTCGGGCTCAACATCACGCGGCTCGTGCCGCCCGAGGGCGCCGAGCTCGACGGCCACTTCTTCCCCGGCGGTACCAGCCTGGCCGTCAACGGCTGGGTGCTGCACCGCGACCGCGACGTGTTCGGCGCCGACGCCGACGACTTCCGCCCCGAGCGCTGGCTCGAGGACGACGAGCGCGCCAAGCGCATGGAGCGGTACATGTTCCAGGTGAGTTTTCTTGCGGGGTAGGTAAAATACCGACATATAGGATCGGTCGTGCTGACATTGAGACCCCTTAGTTCGGCGGCGGGAGCCACTTGTGCATCGGCCGCAATCTCGCCCTCTTGGAAATCAACAAGGTCGTGCCCCGGCTGCTGCGCGACTACCGCTTCGAGCTAGCTCACCCGGGCCAGCCGCTCAAGGCCCACTCGTCCTTCTTTGTCGTGCAGGAGGGGCTCGAGGTGTATATCCGCAGAAATAAATGAACTCGAGGCATCTCGGGTTACACGACAATGAGAGGGACGTCTGCTAGATACTCAGTCATTCTTCCCGGCTGTTTGAGCAGCGATAACATGCCAAGGTACGGCCTGAGATATGATGGGATGAATAATTTGGAGCAGGAAGCTTGATGAGGTCAGACAAGAACCAGGACAAATGGGCGGGGGCACACGTAAGCTCGTTTTATCTCGGAACTGTCTCTCGGACTGTATCTCGGACTGTACATAGATCGGGCCAACCCCGGGGCTCGTGGAATATTATATTCACTTCGACATCACTCGCCGTGGACTAGAGAGCATTGAACGTGTATAGAAGTCAACTCCCACTAACCAATGGCGGCCATCTCGGTTTTCTGTCCATGACTGGCAGACTGTCCATGCAGGCATGCTATTAGGTCCCCCACACGCGGCCAACCAACGATGATTCACTTTGCATGCCCTTTTATAACCTCGGTAGATGTCCCAGCTTACCAATCCCCGTCGTCCAGGCACCCAATTGCGCTCGCTGTTCTCATGCTCACCCTCCATTTCCATCTCCATCGCTGCCTGCGGCGGTGATGTGCCCGCCATCGTCATCGTCAACGATCATCATGTAACCAACCAGCCCAAATCCACATTCACACACACACTCTCGTATTATTCTATCGACGTTACCGCGCCGTTCCGTACTAATGCCGGGGTAAATCAGGCCCCCACGCACACGTAGTACCCGGCCCACAGGTTGTCGCAGTCAATCTTGCACAAGGGGCTTAGCAGAGAACCCAGCAGGTCGGGCGCGCACAGCAGCGTGGCCAGGACGTTCGCGCTCACCGTCGGGTTCAGTCTGTAGCTGTGTTTTTTTTGCAAACAAGTGGGGATTGGTTAGCTTTTATTCCATTGTCTTTTTCGGGAGAGGAGAAAAGGGTAAAGGGTGTTGTTACAATTCCAGCAATGTCACGCCGTTGCGCGACGCGATGCGCCGGCACGTGTCCGTGTCTAGGACCTTGTCGTATGTCTTGCCTAGATGCGTGGGACGGAGGGGAGAGAAATGGGGTTAGCTTTCTGAATGATTCCTTTTCAGCTTTTGGGTTGGGTTGGGCTGGGCTGGGAGAAAGGGGAGGCTTTGCAGAGAGAGTTGGGAGGGGGGTGTTTCTGGGAGGGGGTGTTTCTGGGAGGGGGTGTTTCTGGGAGGGGATGTTTCTGGGAAGGGGTGTTTCTGGGAGGGGATGTTTCTGGGAAGGGGTGTTTCTGGGAGGGGTGTTTCTGGTGGAGTGTTCTTGACCGAGTGTTCCTGTTTTTTGTTGAAGACTCCGAGAGATGCAGATGAAGCATGTGTGCACTGTCTGGCTCCGCGCCATCCCTCCAGAAAAGAACGGCTGTGCGCGGCTTGAAACTCACAGCTCTTGAGCGTGCCCGGCAGGGTGGGCGAGGGGGTGACCGGCACGGGCCTCGTGGGCGTCGGCGAGATGATGATGGTGGGCGGCCAGATGCTCGAGAAGATGGCCGTAGATGTGACGGTGCGCGTTGACGTGACGATGGTCGTGAGCGTGTCGATCTCGATGGACGTCTGGAGGACCGTCTTGGTGACGATGGCGGTCGCCGTCACGGAAGACGTCTGGAGCACCGTGCTCGTCGCGATGGTCGTCAGCCGCAATGTCTGCGTCACCGTGGCTGTTGACGTGGCAGTGGCGGTTTGGAACACCGTGTTGGTTGCAACGATGGTGGACCGGATCGTCTGGATCACGGTTGCCGTGGCCGTTATGAAGTCCGTCTGGGCAACCGTGTTGGTTTTGGTTGCCGTGACGACGCTGGTTGACGTCTGCACGACGATAGAGGTGCGGGTTAATGCCGTGGTGGAGGTGCTGGTGACTGTCGTCGTGGCTGTGACGGTGACTGTCGTTGACGGCGTGGCCCCCGTCGGAGGAGGTGTTGTGACGACGGGAGAAGTTCCCCCGCCACATCTGCCGAGTCCGGCCTGGCACCCGACACCGCAGTAGTTGTCCGTACTGCCGCAAAAGCCGTGCTCGGAGCAGCACTCGCCATATTGCGACCCGGCGCAAGTGACGCCCGCTCCGCAGGTTCCATCAGAGCTGACGACGAGTGGCCCCGACGGTGTAGCAGCTGGAGGTGCGCTCGAAGTGGACGCTGCCGGCGAGGGCACGCTGGTTGCTGTGCCTTCCAAGCAGTAGCTGCCGCCCACCACGAGCTGAGAGCAGCTCGACACCAAGGGATTGGACTTTAGGAACTGCGAAACCGTGATGCCTGCCGAAGCTGCGATGGTAGCGCACGTATCCCCCGATTTTGCCGTCACACTGCGAGTGCAAGCAGCGGCGTCGGCAGCCGCCTGAGACGAAAATACCAAGACGCAGGCCACAAGACCCCTGAGCAGGGATGAGGCTACCATGGTGACGTCGGCGGCTTCGGGTTTGAAGCTGGTGTGGTGTCGTCGGTCTTGGTGTGATACTGCTGGCCCGGTGCTCGGATTGCCAACCACGCTGCTCTAGAGATGAAATGGCGAGAGCGAGGTCCAGGAGCGCCGTCTATAAATGGGACATGTCGGTGGCGTGCCCACCCCTGAAGTGAAAATCCGACCACTCTGTCCGATCAAAGTGCGGGACTGGTAGGCCCGGTTCAGGTTTACGGGACTTGGGAACCGCTTGCGGTGTCAGCCGCGGCACGAATATTGTCTGTCCTCCTGTAACCTGGTGCTAGTGGTGCTCGTTTGGCCGGTGCCGGTGGCGGCGGTTTGGCGAGGTGTAACACATAATCTCGACGTTGGCGCTCCACGGCCTGGTATACGATCCGAGTTTCCTTACCCCACGGTTCGCCTGGGCCAGGCGAGCGGATCTGGGCTGTACAGCGGGACGAAGTTGGATAAAATTAGGAACGATATATTGACTTTGTATGCGGGGAGCACCCGTAAAGCGGAGGAAGACAGGGGTTGGCACATCTGGCTAAACTTGCCCAGGCGACGTGCAATTTATAGTGTGTGGATCGCTTCTTTGTTGCTTCTCGACTTTTATAGATTTTTCGGACCACAGGCTAATTAACCACGTTGCATCACCTCGCTTTGCAGGCCAAGATCCAGATGGCGTGTCTGTTATTTCAACTAGACTGGAGGAAAATTTACACCAGCTCTATAACACCGGCCAAAGCACTTTTTTGGCCCCTAGACACTCCCCTTTCCAGAACTAGTGGAACTTCACAGCAAATACGCCGCCAAGGTCCAGCTGTTGATTAAGGTACTATGCATACACGACGCTTTCGAGCCATCGATCCGAAAGGAACCCGACGGCCCAATCGGTTCATCCAAGTTTACAGCCAAGAAACCGGGTTACTACTTGCTTCTGGTTCCTCAAGTGCTCCTAAGCAGTGATCATCTACTGTAGTACTTAATTAGTAGCTACCTGATTACGGCCTCGGTATTTGAAAGAATTAGGAGCTCGTATCTCGCGCAGCCTAGATGCTAGCTGTCCTGAATTTCTCCCGATATTGAATTTGGCCTACCTTTAATTTTCATCTTTTAAATTTTCATCTTTTACTTCAAACCATGTAGATCGTGGAGGTAAAGCTGGTATCACAGGGGTAGTTGGCTGAGGCGGCTGCACCAACGTATTGGCGGGCAACAAGCCCACAGTATCTACACCGTGCAGCGCGTGCTATGAACCTTGTTTTTAGTGGCGCGTCACGGTGTGAATCCTTTCATGTGGACACGGTACTGTTTCTACGGCGGCTGACCCCTGGCCTTTGCGCAATCTAACCTCAGGCCTTCACTTCTGCCCAATCACAGTCGTGTGAGGATCCAGCTTTGTCAAGTTGGTTCTTTTCTTGTTGGCCTCCCCAACCCCAATTTCAGATCGCGGCCTTTTCCGAGAGGAAGATGAACGCCGTCTACTTATTTTCTGGCGTCTACCAAAACACAAGCGCCTACGACTGGCAGTGGGTAGCCGCTGCCGGCGCCCAAAGTTGGGCTTGGCCGACATATTTCACTCCGCCCTTGACAATTACCAACATGTTGCCGCTAACCGGCGGGCCAGAGCCTCAGCCCGGTGGCATGAGTTCGCAAACCCAACAGTGCGTAGTATCTTGGAGAAAATTACCTGTTTCAACACCCCAAAACCGACAAACTCCACTTCCCAAAACCGGCCAGCTCCCTTTTTTCGACCACGTGATCCCTCGCCGCTTTTGCTCAGCCCAAATCAGCTCTGGCTCAGCTTCGGCTGATAGCTGCTCAACTAGCCCGGCGCGGTTTCCCAAAAAGTGCAACTCTTACCGGAGCCCCAAAAAACGGAAAAAACGGCCCTCGTGTAAGCGCAGGGGTTCAGAACTGGGACACCTGAACATACACAACTTCACAGGATTGATCTGTCCCATCGCTCCCGTGGGAACTCCTCCAATCTTTTGTATTCTATTTATTGCCAGAAGTAATACGGGCCGCATATTTGTGAGATGCTATTGACAAATGGCTGTTGTCAACCGTCAGCGATGGAGTTCCATTAGTGATAATTCGAGTTCCGTGGATGACTGTGGTTTCTTAAGCAGCACCGGAGGGAGACCGAAGGACTTCTGGGCGCAGTTCCTACATATACCCTCCCCCCCAGTCCAAGGGCTTACGTAGTCTTTGCCGCCATAACGGTGCTATAAATGGTGTCTTCCACCTCCCCATCTCTCCCATATTTTCTTCTACACTCTTTCCAGTCGCCTCTATCACCTCTTCTTCCATTTCATCTCGTCGCTTGTCTTCTCTTGTTCCACGTCAGATATTCACAATTAGCACACTCAGGACGTTCCATAATTACCATGAATCTTCATTCCATGAATCCCAAGCCAAAAAAAAGGCAGCCCAAAGGGTATAGACCCGGACGATCTAATCGAAGCGGCCATCCAGGACGGTCTATCCGAGGATAAATCCAACATTGATAGCAACCCTGTCTACAAAGAACTCGCCCCAAGCTCTAAGCCGCGGTACGCTAAGATGAGCGTATGGGCTACGTTAGTTACTAGCATTGCAAACTCACGTTTAGGAATTGAACTAACGAGCGCTATAGGTACGCGAGGAGATTTCCTGCCTCAGACCCAGGTAATATGGAGACAATGAAACATTTTGCGGAGGCTGTCAGACGTTCGGCCAAGCCAAGGCTGGACAAAAAGCTGAATAAGCCTACTGTCAAAACAATACGGAACAAAATCCGAAAATTCATGTCGGCATGGGAGCGCGAGACTAATCAGCCGATCCCCAAAGCAGTCCACAGCTCGATGTGCCCTGTAAGCATACCTAAGGATAGCCATTAGACACTATTACAGATTTAGCTAATGCTAGATAGTACATCCAAAACGTACTAAGGTACAAGATTCCTCTATCGATAGAGGAAAAAGCGCTAACGTTCCTAACCATAGAGAAATACGTGCATATGTAAAGTTTTGGCAAGGTGACCACCATATTTACGTCCACGAAGGAGTCCGTGTACATGTCTCTTGCTTGTTGAACATGCATTGCTACACTAGCGCAAGGCTGCAAGAAATATGTATGGCAGAGTACAAGGTAAAAGGAGAAGAATTAATAAGAGACTGACCCGGAACTAATTTTCCTCAATAGGACCTGCTTTGTATGGTTGGGTGAAAAGACGGAGAGCCAGAGATTAAGTTGAGCTTCAAGAGGGAGTTGGCCAAAGGCATGCAAGACACCCCAAAGAAGTGAGTAAAGAACACCCAGCATTCAAGTGGTCTGGACATATACTGACCTTTCATGAACAATAGACCAGAGCACCCTCTATACGAGAGACTAAGCCCTGCGCCAGCACTTTTCGCCAATAGCATCTTATTTTTGCTAGCGATTTTCATTTCACGTGGAGCTTTCAGGGACTTCAGGACTGTTGGAATTTGTCAAGCAGAAGGGCCTCGAAGGTTCTAGATAGAGACTTCGCCACCAACTTCGCCACCACAATAGTAGTATAAGAACGGGCTTTCTGGCACTGCCAGAAAGCTAGAGAGAAGAACAGACATCTACAATCCATCACTTGAACCACCAGTTTTCGGCGTGCAGCCACGCCCTGTTGAGTCCAGTACCGGTACCCTGGTGAACCCAACAGGGACAGTCTTTTGCTTTCTTCCTGCTGCTTGTCTCCCGGGCCTCGAGGGTTTTAACGGGATGTCTGTCGTAATCGGCTTGATCGCATTGAAAGAAGAATTTGTTCGTCTCCCCAGTCTTTTTGTGTTGATAGCTTCGTTGAATGAAGAGCCCGCATTTGTTGTTCTTCACCCACGTTATCATTCGGTCGATTATTGTGACTTCGTCAGCGGGGTCCCCGCAGAAGAGAGGCTCGCCGGCGGCATCGACAGTCCATGTATCTTCAGGTCCGTACGCCTCGGCTTCCTCTGAGTCTGAGCCGGCCGAAGGCGCAGGCGAGATTTCGTCACGGCACGAATTACCCGGCGAGGGCGGGGGAGAGGGAGAGGGAGTCGGAGCCGGGGACGGCGAGGGCGAGGGAGCTAGGGAGCTCGAATCGTCAGAGGAAATCTCGATCAGAGGCATCATGAAGGCTGTGAGCGGAAAGGAGGTTGACGATGTGTTCTTTGGCACAGGAAAGGACTGCATATGCATACAAAGGCCTGCAAAGGCCACCTGGCCACTACAGACCTTAAAACACCAAGTGCGCGCAAAAAGCCCGGCATGTGACGGCGTAAATAGTGGCATTTTTACTTTACCGGGCTTCCTTAGTGCATGGTAGGGTGTTGGGTGCTGCCATGTAATACGGCATTTTACCATATAAAAAGCGGTCCCTGCGTTGCCAGCTGCCAACATGCCCAGGTGGGTGCGACGAAAAAAGTGGTGGGTGCGTACATTAAAGCTCTAGAAAATAGGGAGCTCTATCATACATACGGAAGAGCCTTCCGACACGATATTGGGATCGGCGCGCTGGCAGTCCTTGGTTGTGGAATTCGAAACTATTACTGCGAGGGGACTTCGTATGACCAAATTCGGGGGTCTTATGTTTCCATTATTTATTGGGGTTTAGCGCAACTGCACTGGGTGGGGATCGTAACATTGCTTCAGTAAGGGTGCGTTTGGTTCTTCGTGTAAGGTCCAGTAAAGAGGGCCTTCAGGGTTAATTGGCTTCCTTACCGGGATCCATTTGGCGAAAGCCGGTAGGAAGATTACTCCACACGCCAAAATCAGCCAATAATAGCCCAGGGTTCGCCCGGTAGTTATACTGGATTCAAAATCCCAGTTCATGCCGGTAAAGCCTACCAGAGGATATGAAGGGGGTCCGGTAGCGGTCTTCCTAAACCTAAAAAAGTGGGCTTTTTACCGATTCTTACACAACAACTAAACGCAGTCTAAGACAGACCCTTTTGGTGCGAAATGTGATTTTGTGGCTTAAAATCGGCCCAATAAAAACCCCAGTCCGGAATGGAAATATGCATGTTCCGTGGCACGGACCAGACCGCCTTCTTCTCCCCCCTTCTCCTCTTCCGTGTGGTCTGCAGCTTCCTTTTTAAACACGTGCGACAACAGGACCGAACTTTCTATTCCACCGCTGCAGAATTCAATTTCACAACCGCGAGAGGCGAAGAAAACAAGATGGATACCGATATTGACGACACTACCAGTACCGCTATGCTCGTCGTCGACTACACTCAAGGTTTCGGATCGTTTGACTTTTACCCTTACGAGTTCCCTGACGGAGTCCCGCGGCATGTGTCTAGCCTAGGACGGCAGCGATTCAAAAACAACCTGAAAATAGTCGACCCCGCTGACACAATGTCTAATAGGTGAGTCGACACTGGGAAATCTCTCGGAGAGAATTTCGTGAAGGAGGTCTGGTTCAGATTACTTACCTCGCTTTTACTAGCAATGCTCTTGATGACGAACCCTTTCCTTTCATGAGACTGCCCTTGGAGATCCGCCGCATGATTTACGGCTTCGCACTCGCCAAGATGTTCCCAGGACGGCACCTGCACCTGCACAGAGACGCCGTCGGTAGCGGCGTCCGCTTTGTGGTCGACGACACTGTATTCTCGCCCCAGCAACCAGAGGCGGACCACTACGGCCTACGCGTGTTGGGGCGACCCGAAAGCCGCATGGTAGACGCCCGCACTTCCACGTCTGACACCTTCTACCGCATGGACGTATTTGAGACCTACAAGGTCATCCGCGAAGTGGAAGGGGATCGCGGCCAGAGGGGGCTCGAGGATTTTAATGACCTCCAGTTCCCGTTCCCAGTGGGTTGGGCCGGCTCACGCCCGCCGGGCGATGTTGCTAGGGATCTCAAAGTGATGCCAGAGAAAAGTGACGAATCAGACTGCGCCTCAGACTGTTCCTCCGAGGACTCGGGGGCCTCGGAAGTCGACCCCGACATTACTAGCAACGAGATGCCTCTGTACCACCCACCCGCAGTCGGCGTGACCATCCACCGCGCCATGCACCCAGACCCACACTGCGACGTGCGCTTGCATGTGCCAGATTATGATTACTACTTGTTTGAAGACCCAGCCGGGCCGTACCCCGATTTTGTCCCGGACGAGGAAGACAGCTGGGCCAAGAACATCGACGACTGCACGTGCCACTACCGCTTACCAGATGACTACTACGATATCTTTCATCTATCTCAAGTCTGCCGCCAGTTTACCGCCGAGCTGGGCTCTGTGCTGTGGGCGGACGCTACGATCGAAGTGCGCGAACCGGCCGTGTTCGGCATGTTAGTGCGCGCGCGCCCCGCAGCGCTGGGTCTCGTGAGACGAGTCGTGCTCCATGTGTCGTGCTTTGGCGATTTCAATGATGTAGATATCGAGGCGGTTAGGGAAGTGTGCTTGTTCTTTTCCAAAGAGGAAGAAGCAGGTCCTGATGGCGGCGCCGGGAAAAGGCTGAGGTCTTTTACGGTTGTCCTCTCGGTTCCGAACTCGATATCAACAGCCGATAGCAGAACCAACAATACTAACAACAGTTGGACCGGTGCTGATACGGGGTCCGGGACGAGTGGTGTGTATTACAGTTTTAGTGCCGCTGCCGAGGCCCGAGTCAGGGAGTTGGCAGCCGTGTTCCGGGCCCTCGAAATGGCAGAGGGGGCCTCTTTCCACGTCAGGCTTGGGCGCGGACTCCCTACCGTGTTTCCGGACTTGCTTGGCCCGGAGAGCGACGGTTTGCAAGCCGTGATAGAACACATCTCGGGGGACATCAGCGAGGCGTGGATGCCGGCGTGCATAGTCCGCGGGAGGGAACGGAGGAAAGGCATATACGTGTGATGCCGAGCTAATGATGCCGAGCTATTGATATCGAGCTAATGATGTCGAGCTTGTCCACCGAGATTGATAAAGGGGCCCCTCGATAAAATTTGGGCAGGTTTGAGTCAATCATCGACCTATGCGTCTGCTGCTCCGAGATACATTGCGGCTTTGGCTACGCTTAACAAACGGAGCCTCCGTCCTCTTACTTTCGTCTCGTCGACAAACAGATCGCTAGGACAAACAGATCGTAGGACGGTGCTATGGACTAGATCTACTTCCATCTAGAGTCCCCCCGGCGCAAATATGACCCAGTGACGCGGAAAAATGTCTCGCCGGCAGTGTCATCAAACAGGCTTGCCTGTCCTTTATGTTGAAAATCTCTTTCAATATTGCGGGGTGCCTAGAGTTTCTTTGAACAGGCCATCAGAAAGAACACCCCTGTTGTTCAGTCACTTGGGGCGTCGCTTCTTTCCCTTTCTATCCATCAAAAATCTGCGTTCTTTATCGCCATCCGCCATCTCCTCGTCAACATCATCACACCTTCGCATCCAGCGTGTTCCATACCTTTGCTACCGAAAGGGAACCACCAACTGCAAACTACATCCATATACCGACCCGTTCGCCAACATGGCGAGCCTCCTCAATGCCACGATCGCAGACCTATCCGAGGCGCTGAGCGATGGCCGGCTGTCGTCGGCAGCCCTCACAACGGCCTACATTGCTCAGATCTTGGAGGCTAACGACTACTTCTATGCCGTGATCGAGACCAACCCGGACGCAATGGATATTGCGCACGCGCTCGACGAAGAACAGCATACCAAGGGTCGCCGCGGGTGAGTCTCCCGTCCTTCGCATGCACGCATGCCGCCGAGGCCGCCGTGTAATTAACTTCTGGCGATCCTGAGTCCGCTTCATGGAATCCCCATCCTGCTCACGGATAGCATCTCGACGCTCGATGATATGGAGGCCACCGCTGGCTCCGCCGCGCTCCTGGGCACGCGAAATTGCCGTGAGGCCACACTCGTCCGCAGGCTTCGCGATGCCGGCGCGGTGATCCTTGGCCAGACTAACATGACGGAGTGAGGCGACTTCCGCACATCCGTCGCTGGCACTAGCTAGAGCTCACGCGGCGGCCTCTGTCTTAGCGCATACTGTTTCAACATGAGCGGCGGCGGGAGCAGCTGCGGCTCAGCCGTTGCAACCGCTCTAGGACTTGCTGCTACTTGTATCGGATGCGAGGTTTGTGTTGCTTGTTTCACTTTCCCCAAGATGGCCCTTGCTCACATAATGGATTTCACTGTAGACGGACGGCGGCATCATATACCCAGCGAGCCATAACGGGGTAGTGGCTATCAAGCCGACCGTCGGGCTGGTATCTGCGGATGGGGTGATTCCCGTGGCGCTAAAGCAAGATGCTGCCGGCCCCATGGCGCGGACTGTCAGTGACGTCGCCTGTCTGCTCGAGGTGCTTGCCGAGGAGAGCACCGGTCGCGGACATGTCTCGTACACCTCGGCGCTGACCGGGACAGATCTGTCGGGGCTAAGAATCGGCGTCCCATCCTCCTGCCTTGTCGAACTAAGCGGGACGCCGCTTAAGGAATTCAACAGCGCGCTGAGTCTGTTAGAATTCTGCGAAGCAACTATTGTCCGCGACACAAACTACGCCTGTCTCAACGACTTCCTGAAGCTCTCCGAGGAAGAAATGGGCTGCGTCGTCGCCGGCTGTTTTCAGAACGACATTCGGAAATACCTTGCCGACCTTGCGACCAACTCTCATGAGATCAAGAGCCTCGGCGGTATCATCGAGGTGGCCAGCCGGGATCCCATGAGGCAATACGCAGAGCGCAAGCAAACTATACGTTCTCGCCGGATGAACACGACTACAGGACGGCGCGGTTGTCGCAGGTTCAATGCTAAGCGTCATATCAACCTCTTTGACACGCAAAAGTTTGTCTACAGCTACGACCACGATTTCTAGGTCGCTGTGCTGCTGGACGACTATTTCGGGGGTGACGGCGGCATCTCTGGCACCTTGAAAGAGCACAAGCTGGATCTCATTGTCGCCCCGGCCGTTCGTGGCTCTGAAATCGACTCTACAAGTCGCTCCGGCCTTTCCGTCATAGTGTCCCTGGCAGCTCGCGGCGGTCTCCCCGTTGTTACCGTCCCGCTCGGGAAGTACCCAGAAACCACAGCCGTCAGGCAGGATCTGAGAGAGCCGGACAAGTTAGTCGATGTTGCTCCTGAAATCCCGTAAGTAATTGGACAGTTCGATCCATCAGTCAAAGCTCTCTCTCTCTCTAATCAGCCGTTGCGGCTTTCTCTAGGTTTGGAATCATGTTTACTGGCGCTGCTCATTCGGAGGAGACGCTGCTTCGAGTGGCATACGCTTTCGAGCAGATGACGAATGTTCGGGACACGCTGGTTCCTTCCATCCCGCCCAAGAGGGATATCCCTGATCTCGATGCCGCCTACTGCCGTACTCCAGAGATAGAAATCCAGGAGCTCTCCTATTATGGAGAATGGGAGCATTTTGGAGAATGGGAGCATGTTAGAGAATAGGAGCTGTAGTAATTACTTAAAAGATGTCGCGATCGCGATATTAGCATGAGGAAGAAGCTGTCTGTCTGGAGCAGGGGCAGGTGGTATAGGGTCTAGTTGTTTATGCAATCATAGGATCCCCAGACATTTGCCCGGCCAAGAAACCATGTATACACATATTATTTCTTGGTATTTACTCATAATGATATAATTACGATGAGAGATATCAAGAGACACACGTTCTCTCAAAATACCCCCGGTTTTCTTGAGCTCCCTGACAGTAGGACAGGCTCTGAAGGGTACCGGCGAGAGACAAAGAGAATATGGTCAACAACTAATTGCATGCATTATGCTCAAAGGAAGAAGCTACCTGCGCCCTCCGTGTGTATCTCATGTGCGGCACGGACATTGACCAAAGACCAGCGATCGGGGAGCTTAAGGATCCATCTCACTTCCCCTTCCTCGTCTTAATCCTTCCTCTTCTATTCCTAGCCAGCGGCTGCTTCGTGCAAGCCACGATCAAAGCGCCACAACTGAGTGCTACGCAGCGTATTACGATAAAAACCCTGCCAACCGAAAGGCTTAGGGGTATGATGTATGTTGCACGCGGTCGAAGTTCACAGCGCATTGAATTGTCTGGCCTAAGAGGTCTAAAAGTACAGAAAAGAACGCTTCCTTATACTTGTTGAGAGAGGGTAAGGGAAGCGTTGTAATCAGCCCGAAAGAGGGCATTCCGAATGAAATGAGGACATTCCGAGCCAAGAATAAAGGAAATAACAAAGAATGAAGGAAGTTCAGAGGCATGTCAACCAATTCCATGAAAAGTGGGTCAATTCCAGACGACAACGTATGTATTCTCCAGAGAACTCTCCCACGAAATGAACAGCCATCGGAGCGCGGGTTCAGTCGGAATAGTAAAGGTAGTAGTCCCTTTCGCTGATGATGTCCCTGCAGCTGGTCGGCGAGTCGTCCTCGAAGTCCCAATGACCGTCATCTCCGAGCATGTCCCGTGAAAGGTCTTCCATGTGTTGATCTTCCAACTCTTCAAGCCAATCGTCCAACGATAGGACGTTCCCCGACCCCCACGGTTCTAGCCTCTTCGTCGGCGACTCAGGTTCGTATTCGGGAGAGTGCGCCTCGGTCGCGCGGCGCGAACTCTCCTCCCTTGCTTTCGCAAGCCAATCACGACTGATGCGCCTCAGGTAGAAAGCGTGTAGGTCCGGTAGATGAATGACATTGGTGCAGTACTGGATTGTCCTGGCCTCCAAAGGCTGGGCAGCAAAGATATTGGCGGGCATGAGGCTCTTGATTTCGTTTTTGGAGCGGATCCAAGAATTCAGCTCTATAAACCCGAGCCTCAGGTCGAACCGGATGGCTTTATCCAATCCGTGGAGGTACTTCTTGTCACCAGCACGAGACGCGTTCTCCAGAAGTTGGACGTCAACAACACCGGCAAGGCCGACCTGATAAAGAGCCCAAAGCGCATGGCATCGTTCCGCACGTCCCATAGACATTTTGGGATGCTAGGGTCTTCGAAAATGGACTTGAGGGACCTGCCGTCTCCAGATGTGACGGTGAAGGCCGACTCCCCAAGGGACAAGACGTCAATGAGTTTCACCGTCTTCTGTGGATGGAGGAGAATAGTGATGAGGGAGATGGTTCCGTGTCGGGAGAGGCGGTTTCCTTCCAGATCCAGGTAGAGTGTGCTGGAAGACGGCATAGAAGAAAGAAATTCCTCGAGTTCGGCGGTGGAAGAGATGACAGCCGTGGTTGGCGTTGAGGTGGTCGACGTGGTCGACGTCGTGGCCATGGTGGACAATAGCACCAAGTAGATGCAGAATCCGTGATAATAGGGTAAAATGGCGGAGACTCTGATCGTTCTATGTTTATAGTGTTTCGTGAACTTGGGTTACCCTGATGCTGATGTACCCTGATGCTGATGTACCCTGATACTGATGAGTTGTTCGTTAACACGTCGGGCGATGAAATGGCCTGGCCATCGGGCAAGGGCGGGGTTATAGCGTCACAATGTCGTCACTACATAGAGGTTCTGCCAGCACCCGCGTTTCGCGCCCGAAAAAATCTAGTGCGAGTTCCTGATAGGACTCTTAGTAGAGAGGCCAATAGCACATGCTTAACACTTGTGACATGGTAAACATACCCCTGTCAAGGCGCAGCAGTGTAGCTTCCGAGCGCCTGAGCCACATGGCCCTATGCTCAGAACTACACTGCCGTGCTCTCTTTTTTGTATATAATAGCTATGCGAGGGCACGTAGGGAATGCATGTGTGTGTATCGCTTTCTATGGAAGCTAAGCTATCTACGCGTGGGCGAAGAATCTATGTGCGGGGGATAGGCTGGATCTGCAGGGGCAGCTAGTGCCCCGGGCTAGGCCTGGGCCTAGCACAATAGCTAGGTCCTTTCCTTTATTTGACCACCTTCAATCTACATAGTTTTCTTAATGCAGTTCCCATCTCTATATTCTGTGTCACAACTCACAACAATTGATGTAGGCGCAGGGGCACGTGTGGGAATGGCCAAGATTGATCTCATGTATGACTAACTAAAGGAAGAGTATTTGTCGACATAACAGTAAATTTTGACATTATTGTCTATCAGCCTTCTAAGAACGACTGGGAGGTGATCGCTAACAGTGACGCAGACATCTTTGTTCCAGCCATACAGCTTTGTTAATCAAGACGCTCGTTGTTCTTCCACTGCTTTTAAGAACATAAGGGTCCACAAACTTTGGTTCATATATATTTTGTGTGTTTTTATCTATGATATCGCTGACGAGACTTTCCTCCGGCTTGGCGCTATTGAGCCTGATTTTTCTTATATCAAGATAACCGTCCTTGATGACATGACTGTGGACTCGTTAGTTACTGATTCCCAAAGCGGTTATTTGGTAAAGGGAGCCGAGATAACTCACTCGGCCTCGAACGCGACAAGCTTGAGGTATTTCTCTGGGGATTGGGCCTAAAGATATCAAGAATTAGCTTTTGGTCTCACGATGCTGATGAACGGGGCTATGTTTTAGAATATTGCTTAAGCTTACCATTTTCTGCTCTTGATACTCCCGTTTGAATTCCGAAGATGGTATATCTTTGATAGCCGGATACTTGAGTCCTAGAAACACGTGTTTAGAACGAGAGGGGTAGTACGGGATGCACGAAGGTCAAACTTATACGATATAGGAAAAAGGCCTAATCAGCTTCTCCGTCGCGGCCTGCTTGATAAGGAGATGGGTTGAGAAACGAGGGATGGGAGAAGTGAAACCTGTAAGTCAAGTTAGTAAGAACCGCACGAGCGGCCCGTTAAACGATTGGCTAAATCATATGCGATCTTTATTCGAGTAAGTAAGACGGCTGTTTCAAGCGCCTCTAAATAATACGCTTTGCCGTCGTTACTCAGGCCTAGGCTGACGAAACCACCGACACCACGAAACAATCGTAAGTAACAATCTAAGCTTGGCAACCTTACGTAATTTTGGACGAGGTGATGGTGTCTAGACGTGCCCAGACAGCAGCAGTGGCAAAGCCCCGCAGCGGCAGCAGATGCATAGACAGCTCCAAGGCTCCTACCATTTCCGCCCTTTCTAATTCCAGGTATCGCCGATTATTGACGTGGGTACAAATAGCCAAATTAGAACCTCTCCTACCCCCTTCCCGAGGAAAGCTGAGTCTCACAAGTCTTTTGAGGAATATTAGCCCTTATTCACTGACGCAAGTTTTATGTTGCAATCGCCACCCTCTTGTCGATATTCGTCCCCGTCCTTGACAAAAACCTTGCTTCGCGCTATAAGGACCCGATACTTTGTCAACAGCCAGCCCATCATCTGAGTCCCCTCGAAACAACGGCCTCGCGGCTGCTAGTGGGCGTGGAGTTGTCTTGGTGGCTGCGGGAGCACTTTTGGCAGCGACCACCCGTGTCACGGGGGTGAGGGATCTGGGCGCCGGTGACTGGGCAAATATAGACGCGCTTGCTGAAGGGCTGGTGTACCTGGAAGCACGACGAGCACTCCTTGTGTGGCCGGAGTGATGTCGTCTGCGATATCCGGTACCCCGTGTTCGGGCACACCGTCACGGACTGCAAGATCAGGTCATGCGCTGCTTGACACTCCGTGCAGAGCCCTAGCGGCGTCTCGACGGCTACGCCCGTCTGCGGGCAGAAGAATGTTGCCTGTGGACAGGGTCAGAGCGATAAAATGTAAGTGGTCGGAAAACCTCACCTCTACCGGCAGCGACTGCTTTTGTCCCATTGCGTCCCTTCTCTCTCTTTGGTCTGCGTGTCTAGGGAGGAGAGGGCCTATGTCGACATGATCATGACATGGCAAATGGGGAAGCCTGTAGGTAGGTATGAGTACTACCTAACAGGAAAGCAAAGAATGACGTCTCGTTAGAGTTGATCAACCCACGTGGAAATAGGACGGAGCGCGGGAGGGGTGTCGGAGAGGGTTAGACGTTTATGAAGCAAAGGGTACGGAAAAAAGGGGGGGAAGAAGCAGGAAAGAAAAGCAGAGGAGACGGGAAGCACACGGGGAGGGACTCCGGACAATCCGCCTCTGGCTTTGGTAAACCTGGGGTCGGCATTCATTGCCACGTGGGTGCCAAGAAAGACATTTAATGCACACACCGACAGCCTCAAGTTCTACAAGAGCCATGGCAGATGTTGGCAGCCATATGGGGCCACAAAGAACGTGGCAAAGTAGAAAAAGGGCCAATCGAGGGGTTCGGCAGGCACCCAGGCAACTGGAGCCAAGCGGGAAAGGGGGGGTGGTGGACGGGGAGTGGGGTCAAGGGAAGGGAAGATGGCTGGTGCATTGGCCAGGGAAGGGATTGGAAGGGAAGGACAATTGTCACGCACAAATTGCCAAAACGGCAACTTCCATGGCAATAATGCGCGCCAAGTGTTGGAACCGTGGGATTGGTTGGGCTTGGTAAAGTCTTGGACGTCCTCGGCAGGCTTCGGGCTGCGAACCGGATTGATTGCTCACGCTCGACTTTTTAGGCTAAAACTTGGAGCCGACAGCGGATCCCATGCAATCTGACTGTGCGGCAGTATTGGAATGTCAAAATGGGCTCATGTGCTGCTGTCGTGAGTACTTTTGTAGCGTGATACCGGGTTTGCCAATGTTGTGATTGTGCTGTGTGTGTGATGAGCAAGATACACAGACGGAGTCGAAGTGCAGGCGTCAAAGCACATAGAACTAGAGGCTACCATGTTGTTAAAACCTTGGGAGTCCTTGGCTGTCCTGGGCACCGTACAAGTTTGGGGGTGATCGACGGAAAGGTCACATCGACCATGTAAGCAAATGGATGGCGCGATTATTCCATGGCCAAATTTCCGGGTTTAGCAAGAACGCACCTGCCTCAAATACCTACACATGTTGCAGCACTGGTCCCTAGTGCGGAAGGGGCACACCGACACCGTTTAAGATGGGCGCAGCCGGGCCGTTTGTGGGCGTAACTTTGCGCCTCTCAGATGTCTTGGTCCGGCCGTGCATCGGCTCTTTCCCAATCTTGTTGGTCGGGTGGATCCCAGTGGCTCGTTGGCGTTTCGTTCTCGGCTCAAGGGAACGCAAATGGGGGTTCGCAATGCAACTTAAGCACCCCTTGATCCTGCCGTTGGGCTAACCGCACCAGCTCCAGATCCCGTTCGCCGATAACGGGTACCGACATGGAAACAAATTCTGGGTTCAACCACCAACGAGCAACGGGAGACAGGACACCGGCCCGCATTGACGTGTGCTTGATCTATGGGTCTAGCAGCTTTTTTCCCTAATCTTGGGTGTCTACAGACCAAACCGCCCGTGCCTTGACTGCCTTTATAGGGAATAATAGAGCCGATCCAGGTGACCCGGAAGCTCGGGAACAGACCCCAAGTCGTATGTACCCCCACGCTATGAAAGCACGCGAGGAAGAGATCAGTTCGTTACTCGACCATTCGCCGACAAATCATTCGCCAACTAAGCCACCCGGGCATCACTTATCTTTCGTCCCAGTGCAGTATGCATCGTGTCATGTCGGGGTGTCGCCGTCCTGGCGCGTCGTTCCTTCCTTCCGAGTCCGGGCTGAGCTGTCAAAAACGTACCACCCGGATGACATCCGTAGGTAGGTATGACAATCAGCTCGCGCTTCAAATCTCATCCACCAAGGGGACGATTTTGCCCTTGGAGATGACCTTAGTCGTGGTGGGATCTTCCGTGCCGTCGTCGACTCGGACCATGCACGGCTGCGTCATCAGGTCGACTCTCCACATGTCGAGCTCGTCGGCCGAGCCCTCCTCGATCTTGAACCTGTTCCCGGCCGTGATCCGCTCGCCGTGCGCACAGCCCTCGATGAAGACGTGTGCCCGCTGGGACCCCATCTCCAGGGCAAGCAAGCCGAGGCCGTGGACGACGCCCTCGATCTTCGGGGGCCCGCGCGCGTCCAGCTTCCCGTTACTGCACTGCTGTAGCGTGCGGACCAGATCCTGCGCGACACGGTCGACATTTGCCCGGAAGTCGGCTGCGAACCCCGTCTCTCGGCCCGGCTGCGCGGGGTTTTTGACGTCCGAGAGAATGCCTTCGAAGAAGAAGCTACGTCGGATGTTCGACTTTTTATCGTTTGGCATCACGAGAACACTGGGGTCTAATTATTGGAAATATGCGTATTAGTAGATCGTTGAGGAACACTGCACGTTGGGCTTTGTCACAAAGAGCAAGGGCTAACCTTCAGCGGAGGGAATGGCGATAGACTCGAATAAGTGGGAGAGGATGTCGAAACCCTTCCCATCAGTCCCAAACACCCCGAAGCCCAAGGGATACTGGAAGAAACCCCGGACTACCAATTCCCAACAGATGCTTTGGACAAACCAGGGCCAAGCTTGTCCGTAGTTTGCATTCCTGGTCAGGAACTCATTGGGGTCAAGCGATCGGTCGAGAATCTGGTGCTCAGGAGGCGGAACGTACGTGACTACTTCCCGAATTCTCTGCGCCAGTAAATCTAGTTTCCAGCGGAACTTGAAGTCTGAGATGGGTTCGTTTGTGTCATCGTCAACCATGCCATACATGGCCCGAAGCTGCAACTTCCCTATCTCAGCTTGCAGCCTTTTCCGCTGGGTTGTTAACTCGTCTTGATGGGCAAGCCCAAGACTCTTGATTTTCGCGTCCTTTTGGTCAATCACGGCCTGATGGGCAAGCTCGAGACTTTGGATTCTCGCCCCCATTTGATAGACCAAGGCATGGTGCTCTCTATCCAAGCGCAAAATCTCCACGTGATTCGCTGATCTGAGCTCCTGCAACTGTTGTTGGCTCTGGCCGTGGGGGTCCTCGGCATCTCTCCGAAGTTCATGGTTCTCCTCTTCTAGTTGTTTGCGGCGGTTGGTCTCCTGCTCCATCGACTGCTGCAGGGTGCTTATACTCTCCTGAGAAATTTCGAGATCTTCTATTTTTTTGCAAAGCGCTGCTACGACGTGGGACCTTCCGCGTTTCACTTGGTCAAGCGTGCTCTGAGTAGTGGAGAGGAGGTTCATGTAACGTTCCCGCCCGTTTTGGACTTCGGCGAGCGAATTCTGGAGAGATGCGATCTCGTAGTCCTTTCTAGCGAGCAAGCCGCTGAGTTCCGGTCGGCCCATCTCATCAAGTATTTGCAAAACATTCTTTAACTCCTGGGCCTGTCTCTCCAGCTCCGCCTCTTGCCGTGCGATATTACTCGATTCAGAGTCAGCCGCCAGAGTCACACCGGCGACTGCAAATTCCAGGCGCTCTGTAGCTGGCAAGGTCGGCCCACTTGAAGATTTATTTGGTTCGCCATGACGGCCATGAGCCGTGACCTCTTCAATTGTTGCTTGAAGAATCCCGTCTTCAGGCCTTGGGGAGGACATGGAGCGTGGCGGGTCTCCGTGTTGGTAGCCTCTCACTTCTTCTGCCCGCAGTTGACGTCGGAAAGTGGGGGTCTGTCGCGGAGTAGATTCGACGACTAAAGCCGTTGGGGAGATGACGCCTGTGTTATTGGAATTCGTTTTCCTATGGAGTTGAGGCGGTTAAGGTTAAAGGGATTGAGATACGGTTCAATCGCATTTATCAGAGGTGGTATTGCGGGATTGATAAAAGGTCCCGTTACGGGTTCGATTGAGGGGTTTTCTGCAGAAGGATTTGGGACGCCATGAGGCTATGGAAAGGAGGGGTCGGGCTCACTAGGGCCATCAACGGTCGGGCGCTGTTGCGCCTTTGCGGCGCATTCTTGTCCACCCCAAATTAGGTAATTAAGAAACCGCAATCCTGTCTCCAGGACGAAGGGTAATTTAAATTAGATTAGAATGAATACAAGATTATCAAACACACTGCAAATATTTCTTTCCTTTCTAAACCCCGGGTTAGGAGTCTATGTAGAGGGAGGGGCTGAAGATGAATCCGGAGGGACTCTTGTCTGTAGGTGGCTTGCCAAACTATTGAAAGTGAGAGGCGCACATCCCGCGTCATTTTCCATAGACAACATTTGGACTGCTGCTTTTGGCGAGCGCGTGGCCTCGGTTTTCAGCGCCTTTAGTACATATATGTGGGGTAGGGCGTAATGTCCTCTCTATTAACAGTACCCACACAGTACATATACAGTATACTAGGCCCCTACCAACTGATCGCCCAATCCCCTCTGTAGGTACGAATTTGGCTTAAATCTTGCCAAGCCGCTGGCATTTCCATCTTTCACAGTCGCATGAACTTTTGACAACTTTCGCGTCCGTAGTCAAGAATAAATTTTAGTAAGCTATAACTTCGATCAAACTAAATATTTTGCATGGTCTAAGCGTAGAGTATCTAGGTACTAGGTACACCGGAATTTTAGAAGAGTTGTGCCGTACAGGGCCGGAATAGACGTCCAGCTATGCTTAGTTTGGGGTACGCAAGGCACCAGCACTGATTGTATCAGGAGGTTTTCTGCCAGGTATTGGCGTGTTGTTTTATTTGCTTTACAAACGAGCTTTAGATCCTGGTACGTAGGCAGTCCTTTAATTGTTACAAAGCGCTTGCTACGGCAAGGGACTGGATTCTTCGTAATTCAGTTACGCAACCGGCGGAAAAGAGGACAAGCCGGCTTGCTACAGCTTGTAGCCCTACTCTCTGTTGCCACATGTCTTCAAACTAAAGACTTGTCATTCTCTCTCTATAATATAGGAGCCATACTAACGACGCCTCCCCTTGAAGTAATACGCCTATTAATTGGTAACGCACTTTTTAGAACCGGACAGAGTCTGAGAACAACATCAAGACCACCGTTTCTCGTACTCTGGACCGAGGCTTGTGCTGAGAAGAAAAGAGAACTTAGGTACAATGGCAGGCGTGGACATTTGGAACAATTTCAAGATATTCGATGGGAAATGCATGCTCGACCGCACGATATTTAAGGTGGGTGACATCAACGCGGATGTTAGTCGCTTCTTCACTTGGATCAACCATCTTCATGCGGAGCCGCAAGCAAGCGGGATTCCGGCTGGGCGAATTGCGGATGTGCGGAAGCTCTTGTACAGGATTCGAAGGCGATCCTCAAGCAGATCGATTAGCCACTCCTGCGCAGCGAGGACTTCAGGAGAGGTAGCCGCGCGCCCTTCAAACTACTTCGTGATCTTCTTGAAAGGTTTAAGAATAGACAAAATAAGGGAAAGTAGGTGCCAGTTACTCGGTTATAGCAGGTCGGCGGCGGGCATGCGCTTCCGAGGGTCCTTCTCGCTCTGATTTTTATAGTACTAGTAATCCACTTGGCTCTGTAACTACACCGCGCGTTCGATCATGAAGAAAACAGAATTACAACGCGTGGAATTTTATCACTGTAAAGCTTTAAATCTTCGACTGCCTGTCAAATATAGCCGTGCCGAATTCCTGTACATCTTTATCGCCGAGATAATTACGCGCGACCTGTAGGAAGGAATCCCGGCGTTGTGGTGGCCTCCGAATAAAGTGGACGATATTGTGAAGCTTTCCACGGGGCGTGTGTGCCTGAAGAAACATACGGACTGCTTGTTATAATAGTAGACCAAGATAACCTTTTTTATTTTCTTTTTTATTTTGTGATCGTCCATCTCTCGTTCGGGAATCAGCATTGGTGAATGGTCTCATACCCTGTAACAACAAACTCGCCTGAGAAGGGTTAGGGTTGTAGATACCCTCACCTGGCTTGCGCAAGGCTTGCGCACCACCCCGGGATTGGGCATCCATTCGATCAGGCAACCAAGTGCTCGCTCCGATGAATTTTCCCACTGGCTTGATTGGATGCTCACATGTTTGCTACAGGAATCACTAACCTGAGGAGATTCAGTACGTACGGGTAGGGACCCCGATGTTAAAACCAGAGAGTGCGGGGAACTCTCCCACTGCTGTCTGTCTCTTCCCAACTGCAGTTCGGAATATCATACTCACAGCAATTCATGGCATGCGACGTGTGCTCGAATGCTGGCGGTTGGGAGACGGGAGGCCAGCGACTGTCCAGGTTCGTCTCGCCGGCCGACTTGAAGGAAGGAGCGACGCGCTGTGCAGAGTGTGCTTTGATCTGGGCTGCCCTAGAACCGCTCAAGACCAAGTGGCATGGGCGGGATCTTGCTGCAACTGCCGAGCTGCAGATTGCAACTGGCAATGCACTGCAGGTGCGATGGCCGCGCGGTTCGATTGCGCTGGAACTTTTCACGCGCGATGGTGAGTAGACGATTCACCCTTGCATCAGAATCTAATCCCAACAAGCAAATGATCCAACTTGGGAATTCAGATGACATCGGGCCGCGCCATCCATGCATCGGCCCGGTCAGCGAGGTCAGCGCGCGATCCGACTCGGACGCTTCCTTCGAACTTGCCGCCGCATGGCTTCGCGATTGCATGGCCAACCACGACCAGTGCAGAGCCAAGACACCACCCGCTACGCTCCCGACGAGGGTCATCGACGTCGGGGTCGAGGGCGGACGGGAGCCGTTCCTCGTCGTCACCAGCGGACGCCGCGAAGAGCACGCTAGCGATGCTTACGCCGCCCTGACATACTGCTGGGGCGATCCCTCACGCCACCACGTTCTCAAGACCACCAGAGACAACTTTGACGCCCACCGCGACGCTATCCCTCTGCACGACTTGCCCGGTACGCTGCGCGACACCGTCGTCATCTGCCGGCGGCTCGGCCTGCAGTACCTGTGGATCGACGCGCTGTGCATCGTCCAGGGTGACGCCCAGGACTGGGCACGCGAGGCCGGCAGGATGTGCGATGTCTACTCCAACGCCACGCTCACCATCGCCGCCGACCACGCCGACGGCACCTCGGCCGGCATATTCCGGCCGCAGCAGTACGGCGAGACACCGCCGCGGCTGGTGTCTCGCGACGGGGCGCGGCCCGTCTACGTGCGGCCTCTGCAAAGACACAACGACGTGACCATGCTGACGCGGTCGCCCGACCCGGACGAGGACGCGCTGGCGCCCATTAACCAGCGCGCCTGGACACTGCAGGAGGCCGTGCTCTCGAACCGCATGCTGCACTACACGGCCGACGAGATGTTGTGGCGGTGCAACGCCCTGCACGCGTGCGAGTGCCGCCGCGGCGCCCCGCGCGCCATCGGCGACCTGCCCGAGACCGTATTCCGCAACGTGGGCCTGTTTGGCCGTGCCACGCCGCCTGAGGCCTACACCGAGTGGCGCAACCTCCTCGTAAGCTTCTCCGAGCGCCTCCTCAGCGTCGATGCCGACAAGCTCTCGGCCCTATCGGGCATGGCCCAGCAGTTTTCGCGCATGCGTGCCGCCGCCGGGCTCGAGATCGCCGACGACCGCTACCTGGCCGGCTTGTGGGCCGACGACCTGCCTCAGGCTCTGATGTGGAGCGTCGACTACGGCTCGTTCCTCGCAAGGGAGCGTGGGCGCTTCTTCAGGATGCCCAAGTGGCGGGCGCCTAGCTGGAGCTGGGCTGCCGTGGAGGCGCCCATCAAGTCGAATTCCATGTCCAGCTTCCGAAGCGCCGTAACCCTCATTGAGGCGACGGTCGAGCTGACGGACGAGGAGGACCCGTTTGGCCGCGTCAGGGAGGCCAAGATTACCCTCGCCGGACGCATGGTCCATGGGCTGGGTGTTAAGATCACGGCACCGACATTTGTACATGATGATTTGTTGAATGTCGCTGATTACGAGATCATCGATCCCGCAGGCCAGTTGTGGTCTGTCGTCTTTGATAATCCCTCGGCCGTGAGGAGCGACACGCGCGAGTACTCATGCTTTCTCGTTGGCACTGCCTTCGTCAGGGGCGCAATCTCGACGAACTATGCATTTTTGGTCTTGAAAATGCTTGGTGCGGGTTCGGGTGAAGGGGTATTTAAACGAGTCGGTGTGTCGTCTTACATGAACAACTATTCTCCCGTGGGCACAGACATGTTTGAGAACTGCCCAGAGGAGTCCATCACCATCATCTAGACAAAGGGAATTTCAATACTAAAATAGGCAGTCAGCCAAGAACACAAAATCATTCGGGGCACCCACCTATCTACACATATCACTTCCCAAATTCTAGTGGAGGTTTTAAGCCGCAAGAAGCCCTTTTGCCCTGTGAAAAGGTGGGGGGGTCCATTGGGCTAAACCCCCCATTTGGGGGCCAAAAGCCAACCAGGCAATCCGTTCTTTGGAGGAGATTAGGGCGTTTTTCCAACACCACTCCCCACATAAAGTCTCCCCACATAAAGTCTCCCCACATAAAGCCTCCCAACAACAGCCGTCTTCCACGTCGCCACCCAGTGAAACATATCTGCAGCCGCGCCACGACGATGAAGCTCATAGTCGCCGGATCCACGGGTTTTGTCGCCGGCGAGGTCATTCGCCAAGCCCTATCGAACCCCGCCATCACATCTGTCGTGGCCCTTGGCCGCCGCGAGGCCGTTGTTCCGGACACAGGCGACGCCTCGAAGCTCAAATCTGTCATTTGCAATGACTTTGAGAACTACCCCGATGACGTAAAGCAGGACCTGGAAGGAGCGGATGCTTGCATTTGGTACGCCCATTTGACGCTAATCACCTCTTTGTCTCTCCCGTTGTTCTGCAGGTTACCGAGCCATGTCCGTTGAATAATTAGCAGTCATGACTTACCAAGTCTAACTCGAGTGACAATAACCAGGACCATCGCCGTGACGCCCTCCAAATCCAAGTTGGTGCCATGGGAGACGACAGTCAAGGTATCCCGCGACTACGCACTACGGGCCGTCGAGCAGATGTCGTCTCTGTCGGGCAAGAAGCCGTTCCGCTTCGTCTACCTCAGCGGCGTCAACGCGCAGCGCGACCAGGCCAAGAAGCCATGGCTTCTCGGCGACTACACTCTCTTGCGGGTATGCGTGGCCTGTGGCTCCCTGTGACGTACCTTTGCTGATATTATTCGATGGTCCAAATAACACAGGGCGAGGCCGAGTCCCGAGTCCTCGAGCTCGCGGAGCAGTCCGAGGGCGCCATCGAGCCCTGCATCGCCAAGGCCGGCATCGTCAATGCACCGGGCCATGAGCGGCCCTTCCTCATCAAGGCGCTCTACTACCTCATCGGCCTGCCCAAGGTCGAGAACCGCCACATGGCGGCCGCGCTGCTGGACCAGGTGGTCAACGGGTTCGAGAAGGACACGCTCATGAACGACGACCTGGATCGTATTGGGAGAAGGGTGTTGGTGTGAGTCGGATGGAAGGAGTGGGGGGGTTCAACGTCTGACAGCGCCGTGCGCCCCGTGATCTCATAAATTTGGGAATTTATTGAACGGAATGTATTGACAGTCGGCTTGAGCATGCATGGAAAAGCTATGTGCCAGGTTGTTTTTGGGACTTCTTTTTCTCATTTGCGGATTTGCGGTATAGGATTTAGTAAGAAAAAGCTTCATAATGAAAGACTCAATAATGAAAGACTCAATATTCCTTCATAGCTCGGGTCATACCTAGGGCTCTTAAAGCACGTTCTTACGCACACTTATCCACAATGGCTCAACGACCTTGCCAACAAATTCACGCCTTCCAGTCCCCCAACAACGCATCAAGCTGCTCGTGCCTCCTGAGCGCGTCGTCAAACGTGGCGTGCGGGTACAGGTGGTCGCGTCCCTCGCCGCCCGCAACACCTTCTGCAAAAGCAATCTCGTCATAAACAGCACCAACACCTCGGCTAGCGACCGTGTCGAGCGCGCTGAGCGCTTTCGGCCACTCCCACGCGACCTTCTCGACCGCGCTGCCCGCGGCGAAACGGTTCAGCTCGATGACGGGCGGGTCCTCGTCGGTGCCGATCTGCAGCGCGCCCGCCCCCGGCGCCGAGAGCCGGATCTCACCCGCCTCGCCGGCGATCGTCCACACCAGCCCGGGGTCCCCGGGAAAGGGCTGGCCGCGCCGAAGGCGAAAGTGCAGTGGTGCGCCTTGGGCTGCGATGAGTGGGCCCGGCGCGAACTTGCCCGACACGTAGAACAGGTCCGGCACCTGCGACGGGTGCGTGCCCACCGTTGCGCCTGTTGCTGGGTCGAACACCGTCACGTTGGGCCGCTGCAGGTGGAAGTCGCCCCGGGCGGTGGCAGGAGAGAGCTCGCCGAGGACGGATTGCACCGTGTCGAAGACTGTTTTTTTTTACAAGAGTTTTTAGAGTGACTGAGTGACTGGAGTATAGATGTAAACAAGGAAAGGGGAAAGGAGAGAAGGGAGGGGGGGAGGGGGGAGAGGGGAGACGGGAGACGGGAGGGGGGAGGGGGAGAAGGGAGAGGGGAGAGGGGAGAAGGGAGAGGGGAGAAGGGAGAAGGGAGAAGGGAGAGGGGAGAGGGGGTACCAACTGTGCGCAAACCCAATGGTGACCAAGTTGCCGCCGACCGCGCGGTCGAGGAAATAGGTCAGGCCCGTGGGGATACGGTCGCGGTCGTTGGTCCCACCGAACGCGCGCACCTCACTGCTGAGGACCTTGCCGATGGCGCCTTCGTCGAGCAGCCTGCGCAGGGTGTGGGCGACGGGGTGCAGACGTGCCTGCAGGCCGATGGCGAACTTGGCCGACGTCTGGCGGGCGAGCTCGACGAGCTCGCGCGCCGCCTCCGTGTTGTGCGCCAGCGGCCACTCGCTGTAGACGGCCTTGCCGGCGGCGACGCTGGGGCGGATGGTCTTGTAGTGGCTGTCGACGCGCGTGTTGCACACGACGAGGTCGACGTCGGGGTCGGCGGCGAGCGCGGCCGGGTCGCCGTAGGCTTTGGTCGAGTCGGCCGGTAGGCTGTGCGCGGCAATGGAGGCGCGCGCTGCTTCGACGGACGAGTTGAGAAGGGCTACGATCGTAAACTTCTTGCGGCCCTCGTCCGAGAGCAGGTACGGCAAGTGGGCGCGGCTGGCCCACGACGGCTTGGCTGAGAGCCCGATGAGGGCGACGCGGATGATGGGTGCCATGGCGTGTTTTGCTGATGAGAAGGTGTGAAATAGGGGGTGGCGATTTAAGGGTGCAGTGTTATGTTTGGGGATATTGTCATGAAGCTCGAGGCGGCCACTTATACAAGTTAAAAGGTTGTAGTATTTAGCGTTTAGTCTCAGTCCGACTCGAATGCGAGACGTGGAGGAGGGAATTTGTAAGCGACCATTCTGGCGTGATTATCAATCTGTAATAACACCATAATTAGCGTGTCCGGAGTTGCCAGATTGGCATTGGGCTCCAACTTGGAACTCTATCCTATACAAGCAGTTTAGTACGCAATCCGGTACAAGAGCAACCCGTCTTAGTCATTGATTTTAATCCGAATATTCTTTAACTAGTTAGTACGAAAGACCTCGGCTACTTGAATATTATGCAAAACTTCACTATCTGACACAGGCAGCATCTAGACTTCGCAAGCAATAACGTTCCTGGCCAGTAATTGTATAATTAGTCGTCGGCTCGACCGATGCTCTTTGAGTGTACCAATAGCCTGTGAATTTGAAAATGTTGCTCTATATATAGTAAACTGGAGGCCTGCAATGGGCGTGCTTCAATCTTGTATTCGTCTTTTTCTGTTTGCGCCCTGGACAACGTTGGAAGCGCGAGACCAAAGGTGCGGTATGAGGCGGGGGCAGGGGGTAAAGAGGAAAGACGCATTTAGCTTCGCGCGTCCCTTTTCTCCGAGATCCAAATAGATTTCTAGGCCAAGATAATCCCATTGCTCCAGGCCAAGATAATCTCATTGCTCCAAGATAACGTATAAAATAGCAAATCCCGAACTGAACCGGAGTATAAAACGCATCACCGACCGTCTTGAGACGACACCGAAGATCAAATCTGGTAAATCTGATTACGCAGAATGGAAAATAGGACATGACAGATATAACATGACAGCCAAAGTGCCGAGACGGACAGACAGATTGTCATTGCGCCGATAGAGGCTGAAAGGGGCAAATGAAACGCGATTGGAGGGGCAAATGAAACACGATTGGACAGCCATGCATCTGCTTCCAACTGTAGGGGACTTTGGCCCTCCATCATCAAAAATTTGGGCACCTCCCCTGGGGTCGGTGGCCTCGAAACGAGGTACAAGAAGCTCCATCCCTCATGCCTAGAGACTAGATCTCTTACCTGCCTCCCTAAACACTTTGCTTCAAACTCCAAACACAGCACTTGACGATCGACCACCTATAAACCTTGATGCAAACAATTCAAACAACATGTCGCCTCCCAAAGTCATCGTCTTTGGAGCCACCGGTGGTGTCGGCTCGGCAGCGGCCCGCACCGCCCAGGCCCACGGCGCCAGCGTTGTCCTCGCGCTACGTGACACGACCAAGAAAGTTCCCGGCCTCAGCGCCGAGGACGAGAAGACCGGCGCCTTTCAGCGCGTGCAGGGCGACCTCAGCAAGCCGGGCACACTGCACGATGCCGTGGCGGCAACGGGCGCCACGCGCGCCTTCATCTACATGGTCCACGACGGCGTCGACGACCACCTGCGGGCGGCGCTAACGGCGCTCAAGGCGGCGGGGGTCGAGTTCGTCGTCTTCCTCAGCAGCTACGGCGTGCAGGGCGACATCCGCGCCATCACGCCCGCCACCTTCATCCCCTACGCGCACGCGCAGGTCGAGATCGCCCTCGAAGAAGTCTTCGGCCCCGGCACTTACGTTGCCCTACGCCCGGCCTACTTCGCGTCCAATTCGCTGCAATGGGGCGGGCAGATCCGCGCCGGCACCGGGGAGGTCACGGTGCCGTACCCGTCGGCCGAGTTCGACTGGGTCGTGCCGGAGGACATTGGACGAGTCGCGGGGTCGCTTCTGGCGCGCGGGGCTCTCAAGACCACCGCCGCTTCTCCCGGTGACGGCGGTGCCGAGGACAGCGGCAGGAGCTACTTGTATCTGATGGGTCCCGAGATGATATCCCAGGCCGATGTCTTGCAGTACATTGGCGACGCGGTTGGGAGGGACATCCACGTCGAGGCCATTGTGGACGACGACGAGGCCACCGAGTTTCTGATCGCCGCGGTCCACGTGCCAGATGCCGGGGCTCGGGGGCTGGTGTCCATGCTCAGGAACCGCGCGGCCGGGACCGACAAGGAGTTTGAACGCCATCCCGACTACAAGGAGATGGTCGACAACGTGGCCAAGTATGGCGGCAAACAGCCGACCTTGTTCCGGGAGTGGTTGCAGGAGAACAAGGACTTGTTCCGCGCTTGACCAGTCACTGTTGGTAGTTAAGGTTCTCAATTAGTTCTCTGTACGGATAGTCCTAGAATAAGCAATGCTCAGACCCAATCAGACACCCCTGCGCCCTGCTTATCTTGACCACCCCTGGCTGGTAATGACATCCAGGGGCCGACGAGCTACCCGCGGGTACCGTCTCTAAATAGAAGGTAGCAGTGACGAATCCCCACCAAAAGAGGTCCAGTCTAGAATAGTTGGAGATTATCCAGATGGCATTCTCGGGATCTGAGATTCGGCGGGTCCGCTGCGGAGCCAGGCGGCCCGAAAAGGAAGTTGAATTGTGTTAGTGGCCGAGTAAAATTCATGTCAAAACAAACAAGCCGCTGCGCCCTCCGACGACTCATGATTTCCCGCCACCAACCTGCACCAAACATCGCCGGCCATGCACAACCACGCGTCGCCGTTTCTCGCAGCGGCAGCTCTGGCCCTGGCGCCGACCGCGCTGGCCTGGGGCACCGTCGGACACGCGACGGTGGCGTACATCGCGACGGGGCTGATGAAGCCCGAGACGGCCAGCTACTGCCAGCAGGTGCTGGGCGACACGAGCGGCGATTTCATCGGCGGGATCGCGTCGTGGGCCGACTCGTACCGCTACGAGCCCGGCGGCGGCTTCTCCTCGGCGTTCCACTACATTGACGCGCTCGACAACCCGCCCTACACCTGTGACGTCGACTTTGACCGTGACTGCACCGCCGAGGGCTGCATTGTCAGCGCCATCATGAACTACGTGGGTGCCTCCGCTGGCTGTGTTTGAGACAGAGGGGCCTCCACTGGCTGTGTTTGAGACAGAGGGGCCTCCACTGGCTGTGTTTGAGACGGAGGGCTAATCTCGGGGCGAGGGAAAAGACCAACATCCAGCGCGCACAGCACGACGCCGAGTCGCTCAAGTTCCTCGTGCACTTCCTCGGCGACATCCACCAGCCGCTGCACGACGAGAACTACGGGGCCGGCGGCAACAACATCACGGTGCTGGTCGACGGCGTAGCGTGGAAGCTGCACGCGGCGTGGGACACGGCCTTCATGACCAAGATTACGGGCGGCACGAACCTGGCCGCGGCAAAAACATTCTCGGCCCGCCTACTCACAAGCATCCGCAGCGGCGTGTACGCGTCCGCGGCCAAGCGGTGGTTCCGCGCCACCCTGGCCGACAGCCAGGCGGCCGCCATGGGCTGGGCCAACGACGCCAACGACCTCGTGTGCTCGCACGTGCTGCCGCAGGGCCCCGCCGCTATCGAGGGCGCGGAGCTGAACGGGACTTATTACAGGGATGCTGTGCCTGTGCTCGAGCTCGCCATGGCCAAGGCCGGCTGGCGCCTCGCCGCGTGGCTAGACCTGATTGCCACCGGCTCGACGCCGCTGGGGACGGCAGCGGGCGCGTGTAAGCATGCGAGACATGTGTAATTAGTTGTGTGTTGGCCGTCATTGGTGTCGTAGTTAGTAGTAAATAATTAAATGTTCCAGTAATGCCCAAGTTTGTATATAGTCATATCCCTGTATATATGCGAGGCGTATATATGCGAGGCCGATTTAATAGAGCGGTGATGTTATTTATCGTGTTGGGCCTATCAACTAGGCTCGCTCTGTTGACCTGGCTGTGGTAGGAAAATCTATATATGTGGGGCTGTATCAAAGAGTACCGATTTTACCGCTAAAAGGCCGTCGTTGATAATAGCTGACGCCGCGCTTGAGCTCGCGATCCAAGCCAGGTCCCAAGCTGCCCAGGTATGGGCAAAAACGACCCTCCATCGAATGGCTGGAGCTGCTGGAAAAGTCGGCCCCCGAATCCCGTGATGCATGCGAGGGCTACGTCTAAGATTCGTATTGACTCCAAGGTCTACGCCCTCAAAGCTGTAGATTTATCTATCCGCTGCTGGTGAATATGTATTTTCAACACAATAGCCCCTTATCGACCCAGCTCGCTTACGATTGATAGAAAGAAGTAGCATGGCGACAGCAAGCGTTATATACCGAGGTGCTACCTGGTGGGTAATAGGCAGACACCTACAAATATGTATGTATAGACTATCTACAAGTATGCAACTTTGGCCCCCGTTCCCTCCGCAAACCCCGTTTCCAGAACAGTTGCAGAATTCAATGCGGTCGTTAAAAAAGAAAAGAATAAGTACGTTCGTCATGAGTGAATGCAAAAGCTCCAGCACTCTCGTCATGTTTTCCACTTCATCCCCTCACACTTGTTTCTCGTCCGCCAGTGTCGCCTCACACCTCCTCTTCCTTTTCGCCACCTCGCTTCACGCAACATCTCCTCATCTCGCAGCAGCTCCACCGCCTAACCTAGGTAGTGGGTAGGAAGGGGGTTCAATTTTCTAGCGGCAATGGTCTCATGCCCGCCCGCCCCGTCCATTCCTACCCACCCCATCCATTAAGATACACACCCGCCTCAACTCCGATACGACGGCGAGCGCCCCAGAATGGGCCCCGACACCACGCCTGGGCCGTCCTGCCTGACCATGCCATGCGGCATGGTCGGCGGCGGCAACCGGTCGTCAGCACCCACAACACTGCTGCCCGCCAGGCTCTCCTCATCGCCAAGCTTCGCCTTCTCGTCCGAAACAAGCAGGTCGTCACGGCGGATGCTGCGCTGGCGGAAGAAGCCAAAGTCGAACGGCATGCTGTGGTCGTTGTTTCCATGGTCCGAGCCATCGAGGCTGTCGCTGCGGCTGTGGCCACCAAAAGGTCCGAAGCGTGTGCGGCCGCTGCGCATGCGCCGCTTCCACAGCAGCCACGTCGCCAGCACGATGGCCACGACGCCGACGCCGCCGCCCACCACACCCAGAGCGATCTTGGTGCCCAGCGACATGCCGGGCTCTGAGGGCGTCGGGATCACGCTGACCACGGGCTTGCTCGGGTCGCCCGTGGTGTTGATGATGGTGCCGCCGCTGCCGTCGGTCGGGTCTGACGTGCCGGGCGCGCCGTTGCTGCCGAGCCCGCCCGAGACTGGCGTCGGGCTGCCGGCCAGCGCTGCTTCAGCCGTCGCGGCGGGCGGCGTGAAGAAGGAGGCGAACGGGTTGTTGGAGGCAGAGGCGGCCGTCGCGGCTGCTCCGCCCGCGGCTGTGGGTAAGTCTCCGTTTTCATCCGGGGTCGGTGTCGTGAGCTGGCTGGCACCCGTGGGGGACAGAGCTGGCGGGATGAAGACGGCTCCAGCGCCAGAAGTGCCTTGGGTGGCTGGCGACGGAGCGGCAACTGCTCCGCTGCCGCTGCCGCTGCCAACGCTGCCTGGCGCAGCGGTACCCGGAGACACGACCACGGGAGAGACGATGGCTGGCGCGTTGGGAGTGTTTGGCGAAGGCTCGGCGGCTGGAGCAGCTGGCGGAGTGGCAATTACCACAGGCGTGGCGACCGCGGGTGCGCCTGAAGAAGCAGGCGCGGCAGTTTCTGGAGACGCAGGTGGCGTCACGACGACTGCTGGAGTCGACACCTCTGGAGAAGGTGCCGGGGCCGGGTCCGCGGCAGATGGAGCTGGATCTGCGGGCGGCAGCACCGGTGTAGCTGCGGGCGGTTCAGGGACAACCACTGACGGCTCGGGTGTTGCAAGCGGCGGAGCTGGGGCCGGCTCTACTGATGGCTCTGGGGCTGGCTCTGGGGTTGGCTCTGGAGACGGCTCTGGAGACGGCTCTGGGGTTGGCTCTGGCGCTGGTTCCGGTGACGGCTCTGGCGCTGGTTCCGGTGATGGCTCTGGCGTTGGTTCCGGTGATGGCTCTGGCGCTGGCGCTGGGTCAGAGACAACTGGTGCCGGGATGACCGCTGGTTCCGACACAACTGGGTCTGGCGTAATAACCGGCTCTGGAGTAACGGGATCCGGGGTCACTGGCTCCGCGGGTGTTACTGGGGCCGGCGTGATCGGGTCTGCAGATACGACGGGGTCGGGCGTGATCGGCTGCGCGGATATGACTGGATCTGGAGTCAGGGAGACCACTGGGTCGGGAGCCGGAGTGGCAGCGGTGTTGTCGCCATCAGCGGCGCCCAGAACGACAGATGGAGCAGGGAGAGGGTCCAAAACGGGGTCCGGCGGCCCTCCTGTCGATGCCACCACGGGTGCTGGTGTCGAGTCGGCAGCAGCTTCGGGTGTCGACGCTGCTGCTGGCGCGCTCAAGACACCGCCCAAGAGTCCTCCAGCCGGTGACGAGGCAGCTGCATCGTCGGCGGCAGCGCTGGCGGCGGCATCGGCTCCCCCCGACAGTCCTGGCGCACTCAAGAGCTGGGCCGCAGCCAGCGTGGCCTGGAGCCAAACAACACGAATGACCAGCATCGTTCAAGAATCGAAGAGAAGCGAAGAATTAGGCAAAATTAAAAAAACGACGAAAGGCAGAAGAGAAAATGAGCGGCCTTTCGCGCCAAGTCATAGAATGTGGATTTAGACCCGACACATCATCTTGTTTGGCCTGGTCTGGTCTGGTGTAGGTCCAGGAAAGAAAGTCTTGGGAGAGAATGAGAGCGAGCAGGAGATCGGAGAGGGAGAGAGAGAGACGGGCACTAGTCTACTCTAGAGAGCTTCGCGAGAGCCCGGTTGCCGTGCCAAGCGTCGGATCACCAATGCATAAGCCATCGCCGCGGATGCCATGGACAGGCGAGACGGCATCTTTTGGCTGGCTGTCGCGCGCTCGAGGAGTCGCTGTCCCGATTTTCCCGGACGCTGCCAGTTTCAGCCCCCGAGCCCGTTCGCGGGCAATGGCGCCCGCGGCACCTGCCAAGCTTGACAGCGCAGGGAAGATCGCCGCCCAAAGCGGCATAGCCCAGTATCAAGACGATTCAAGCTGCCCCTGGCGCCAGGCAAGAGCGAGGGGACTGACCCGCACCTGCCCACAACTTCAGAACATGCTGCGTCTTTTGTTGTGTTGCATACGCGCACGCACTGCGCATCACTCGCGATGACAGTTAATGCAGTGTTTATTTGTTTTTTTCTCGGATCTGGTTTTTGCCCGCCGCTGTCTGGTCGGTCCCGGCTCTGCAATGTGCGAAGGCGCGCCCGCTGGCCAGTGCGCCAGGTCAAACCAGGCGAACACAAATTCGAGCACGGTGCCTTGCACAGTGGACGTTTCAGAGGCCGACATGGTCGTCCATCGCGCCTACCTCGGTTCCTTTGGGCCCCGGCCACTGAAAAAATACAGTGCAGACTCCCAGTGCGCATCCGGTTGTTGGGGAAAACTCGCTCTTCACTAGGTATCCTGACACGCAAATCTCGACACTCATTCCGACAGACTCGGGTTCTCTCTGCACTTAAAATAGCAATGAGCCTCCTGTATTGCGGGTCCCGTCTTTAACCAATTCCCCGCTGCCGCACTCTCCGCTCTTGAGCAACAAGTTTTCCTTTGTTCCAGGTTTCGATGGCCGTCGAAATAGTGTTGACGCTTACAGGGAATCCTCGGCCTCGAAAGGCCACATGCGTTCCCAGGACGTGTGCAGTGGAGCTTGACGCCCTTCGCCGCCCCAACTGGCAGGGCTGGCAAAGACTCCACGTGTCATTCGTCTGAAGATTGTAGACCCAATCAAAACCGACCCTGGGGGCACACAGTCTCCCCTAGGCACGGAAGCTGTCTAGAAGCCCTGTATGAAACATGGCCCCGGGCGTCTTGGAAATTCCGTAGGGTTAGGGTTGGGGACTCGGAACCAGATTCGCACATGACCGAATATTGATGCATTCGTACGGCGCAAAATGCAGGGCACCTAGTATTCATCATCAAGTGTCATTTCTGCCATCTTCAGATTGGTACAGGAGACTAGACTTGCCGATACAGGATTCCACCAACTTTACTAGACCCTGGGAATATCAGATGGCTTCAGTCTCACTCCATCGTCAGCTTGGTATACGGCTGCCACAGGTGGTGAGGCGTGGTGGTATCTTAACAATATGCGGAATCGACAGGGACCAAGTTGTGGCTGAAAAGATATCGGGGGGTACCCCCGATCCTGACCAAGTGTCAAGTCTAATATCGCAAGTAGTCGCGCCGCAGTAGACGCCGACAATGTCTACAGTAGATGAATTGCTTGCGCATGGCTATTGTCAAGAAGTTGTTCGACATTTCCTACAGGATCGAGGCTTAGCAACACAAGACCATTTCTCAAACTGGTTGCTGATCTCAGCCTCAACCCGTCGAACAACCATCCACATTTCCCCGCCGTTCTCCAGCTCGAGCATCCGAACGCACTGGAGGTAGAGACCGCCTTCTCCACCCGGACGGTTTTGAACATGCAGCCCGAGCAGATCGTAGTCAAGATACGAGTGCAGAGGATTGTATGTGGTGCCGCGGGGGTGAATAAATATTAAGCCATCAATTCCCCCAGTACAATCCCCTAAACCCTTCCCCTTCCCGGCAAGAGAATTTTGTAGGGCTCTTCTTTGGCGGTATTGTGGATTTCGTTTACGATACCTGTATTGATGAGAATTCTAAAAACAAAATAGTGGTAAGGTGCTTGGGGAAACCGGCGAAAAAAGCGTCCGGGTAATATCATTACAGTGGGAGTATAGGGGAGTATAGGGGCACAAACGTTATGAGGGATGCGAGAGAGCCGCAAACTGGCCTCTTTGAACGATGCACCTTGTTGTTATTTAACCCGGTAGTCGGGTAGTAAATTTGTTGCCGAAGAAAGTCTTGCACATGTATTTTGACGAGAATATCGAAATCCCTGGAATGTTCGCATGGTGGTTAAGGCCAATAGCATGTCCACTTTCAGGTGATTCATAGATTCAATGAACGGGCGTCTGCCACGTAGTCGGTCGTGTTTCTATCCTTTGGAAGAAGAATTCTCCTGTTCACCAATCAGGCAGCCAGCAATGTAGGCCTCAATGCATAAAGACTTTGTTCTTCGTGTACGTGTTCTCTGCAAGTCCAGTCCAGAGAGTTCATCGCTGACGGAAGATGTTAAATCAAGACTAAGCGTAGGAGTCTTCAAAGGCGAGGGAATAGAAAGGGGGAGAAAGAATTTCCAGCACCGACAATGTCCCAAGCCATCAGACGGATGGAAGCCTCGAAAAAAGTCTGCCGTAACACATGCTGTACCATCTAGGTACCTAATTACTCAGGCACCCGAAACCAAGGTACCAGGAAGGTAGTGCTTGGGTTGTCTACCCACCAAATGTAGTGGGTCCTGCAGTGTGCCGCCCAAATTTCTAGCCTCGTTTGCGCTTGACGTCCTTCTCCGACCTCTCTACCTTACCTACCTCCTTGCCTTACCCACGTTCGCCTTTGATTATTTCGCACTGAAGAAGTCACGTCACACCACGACTCAAATCCCCTCACGGCTACTAGTAGAAGCCGAGTGCAAAGCCTGCGTCATGGCCGACCACCCCGTGTCCTACGAAAATGACGAGAGAACCGCCGACTTCAATCGGTAGCGCACATCTCTGAACCCGATAAAAGTCGACATTGTTGGCGACTTTGCGGGAAAGGCGCTCGTAGCCATCCACGGCGAGTCGCTGCTGACTCATTGTCTCCGAGAAGCCAACGTCGACTTCAACTGTAAGGACCTCGGCGAGATATTTTCATAGCTTCTTTGCTGATGTTTTACGACTATTAGATGGCCTCCAGCTCCTGCATGCTGTCCATGCCGTCGAGGCGTTCCTGACCAAGCTGCGCGATCGCGGATGCAACTTCCACGTCCTCTGGTTTGAAACGGAACATGAGAATTTTGGCGCGCTCTCGGTGGATAGGGAGGATACATGGTACAAATACCGACTCGCGCGTTCCCTGCTCATCGAGCACTTTGCTTGCCCGGGCAACCCGTCAAGTGCGACCGCGTTCAGTTTTTCGTTTCATAGCCTGCAGAGCAGCGCCTTCTCCAAGTATCTCGCCGAAAACACCGTTTACCTCTTTCTCGGCTACGACGACACCGAATCCTGCGACTACAGTCTCAACCTTGGGACTTGGGAGTCGCAGGGCGAAAGTCGCGATGATCCCCCGCCCCGGTACTGGATGAGACAACGGGTACAGTATACGCCTTTGCGCATGCTGTATGCCATATCCTCAGCTGGATATTGTATTGGGTTCCTCAACGACATGGAGTTCAAGAGCTCAAAGGTAACTACGCTGCTTAACTGGACATGCTTAGTAACAACACCATGATAATGCGACTAAGCTAACTAAAGACCCGTGAGCTAGGCCTACGGGAGAGTTAAGACGCCCAAGGGAAATATATATCCCCTCGTGGTGAAAGACTTACACCCGACTCAAGTGAAAGACTACAAATCTCAGATAAAGAAGATGCAAGGGGATATGGAGAGGCTCATCCAAACCGGCCTCGACAAGTCAATGACGGCCCGGGAGATTGTCTCCCTCCACGCGCTGTCGAGAATGCTTGAGGGTGACCTCAGCAGAAAGATGATTGATTCTCACCGGCGGGTCGCTGCTCTGCTTGTCCACCTGGTCATCCTGGGACATTGCGATCTCTCTCAGCGGAGCTTGCAGCGCTGTTCCTCCACCTACCGGGTCTCCTCCGAGGTTGCGCTCGGCTTGCGGGGCGGATTGCGGTCCGACCCAGACTATTTTATATACCACTTTTTGCTTACCTGTCGAGAGTCGATTGAAGGTTGGTTTGACGACAACCAGTTTTGTTCTCTGAGATGGGATATATTCGACCTATTTGACGGGCGGCTCTACTTGGCAGTTTGGGACCATCTTGGAGACATCCGCTTGCCCCGGGATCTTCGCAACCACCTTGACAGACTCGGAGACCTTCTGGAGAAAGAGAGCAAATCCGACGTGTCCGGCTTCTTCCCTCCTGCCTTGGACGAAGGCTCGATCGAGGAAATGCGCCTCGACAACGAAAGAGAACCATCTGCCTCGCCAGTCTCGTCCGTGCTCTCCTTCAGCCAACCCATTGTGGACCAGTACTTGACCGATGTCCAACTAGATTCCGCTACTGTTCCCGAGCTTCAAACCAACCCCAAGGTCTTTCGGGAGCTGACGCACTGGCACACATCTAAATTGTCTCTTGATCCCAAGCGCATCCCGAAGCCCCGTGGGTTCATGGCCAGGAAGAAGAATCAAATTTTCATGGCCGACACCATTGCATACTCTGCCAGTCTCAGGGGGGCATCTGGAAAAAACATTGAGCCCGAGATCATCGTCACTCGCGGCCAAAACAGCACGAGGAAGGCCACGGCTCAGCCGTCGCAAGCCAGGCCCGACACAAAGGGCAAGAAACAGCAGGGAGAGAAGAGCGGCAAGGAAAAGGCGCAGGGAACTGCCAAAGCTTTGAAAGACCAAAAGATGATTGGGAAGATGGCGGCCATCACTTCGTCGTGGAAGGACCGATGCCTCGAATTCGAAAATGGGCCGTCCCTGGTCAAGCGACACTTCAAGACCGAGAAGTATCTGTCGGGTCTCTCGTCTGCTTACAGCGACGACATTGGCGCCGAGGTGTCCCTTTACATCTGCGATCTGCTGATGCGGATTCAGAGCGTATATAATATTCCAAAGTCGAGGGGTAAGTCCTCTTGCCTCGGCTCACCGCACTCTATGTTCCCAACTAATATTCTGTCTGTGTACAGCTCATCACATCACTGCCATTATTTGGCACCGGGCCACCAGCATTGCAGCGTCCGGGGTGGTGCTCACCGAAGAGGCCTCCACCCTACTCGCTGGCCTATTAGCCTCTCTCCAGATCCCATACATGACGGCCCCCGAGCCCGCCCGGAAGCGCCAGTTGCCATTCAAGGCCATGGCTCTCGCAGGCAGCATCACTCAGGCTGGGGCGACCCCCGTAGAGTTCCAGCTCGAGTTCTGCGGCCCGTACCTCGAGCGCAGCTTCGACTCGGCGGCGGACCCGCGCGTGGCCTTCAAGCCCGACGCGTGGTAGCGGGACGTGCTCGACGCCATCGACGCGGACAAGAGCCTGTTCGTGGTAGCACCGACATCAGCGGGCAAGACGTTCATCTCGTTCTACGCCATGAAGAAGGTGCTGCAGGCCGACGACGACGGCGTGCTGGTGTACGTGGCGCCGACCAAGGCGCTGGTCAACCAGATCGCGGCCGAGATCCAGGCGCGCTTCGCCAAGTCGTACCACGGTCCCGGGGGCCGCGCCGGCCGCTCCGTGTGGGCCATCCACACGCGCGACTACCGCGTCAGCAGCCCGCTCGGCTGCCAGGTCCTCGTCACCGTGCCCAGCATCCTGCAGATTCTGCTGCTGGCGCTCGTCAACGCGCAGACCCCGACGTCCTTCTCGCGCCGCGTGCGCCGCATCATCTTTGACGAGGTTCACTGTATTAGCCAGTCCGAAGATAGCATCATCTAGGAGCAGCTGCTGCTGCTGGCGCCGTGTCCCATCATTGCCCTGTCGGCGACCGTGGCGAACCCGCTCGACTTCAAGGCCTGGCTCGAGAGCACACAGAAGGCCAAGGGGTTCGAGCTCGACATGGTCATCCACAACTCGCGGTACTCGGACCTGTGCAAGTTCTTGCACGCGCCGCCCGTCTCGGAGTGGAGGGAATTCTGGCGGCTTGAACCTGTTGAGCGCCTTGACGTCCCCGGCCTCGATGCCGAGGGTGGAGATGCGTCGCCGTTTTTGTTCGTGCACCCTGTGGGGAGCATTGTCGACAGGTGCGTTCTTTTTTTCTTTTCTTCTCGTCTCATTACCATCATGCAGACTTGGGTTTGAGATAATCGCTGACCGCTCCTACCCATAACAGACACCGAAACACGCTCAATGATGCAACACTGGAACCGAGAGACTGCCAGACGCTGTGGCGGGCCCTGATGGCGAACCAAACCGACCGCTACCCGGTCGACCCGTCCCTCGCACCCGACCAGTCCGTGCCGAACCCGGTCAGCAAGTCCGACGTGGTGCGCTGGGAGGCGGCGCTCAAGGACCAGCTGGCGGCCTGGATGGTCGACAGCAGCTCGCCCTTTGAAGCCGTGCGGACGCAGCTGCGCGGCCAGCCGTATGCGAGCTACTCCGCGGCTGTGCAAAAGGAGGAGCACATGGCAAAACTTGGCGGCACTGTATCGAGAGCCGGGAGAGTATATGTGCACAGCCGTTCGGTCTTCTCGCTCGTGGTCGACCTGCGCGCGCGCGGGGCTCTGCCGACCATCCTGTTCAACTACGACCGCACGGGCTGCGAGACCATTCTCCAGGAACTTCTCGGCGTGCTGCAGGTGGCTGAGAGCACGTACCGAGAGAAGAGCCCGGCCTGGGCGGCCAAGATGGCAGCCTTTGAGGAGTGGGAGAGAGGGCGCGAGGCGGCAGCACACGCCAGGGCCAAGGGCAAGAAGACGCGCTCGTCGCATGCCGACGGCTTGGACGATGGAGACAGCATGGCAGACCTGCGCCGCGACGACGCAAAGAGCCGCGAGTCGAGCACCGGGAGATGTTCGAACCCGACGCGCCTCTCTCGATTTATAGCTTTGCCGACACGAGTAAGATATCGAAGGCTGAGCTCGAGGAGAAGCTCAAGTCTCTGGAGGGCCTTGGACAGCAGCCGTACCTCATCGAGTCCCTGCGCCGCGGTCTGGGCATCTACCACGTGGGAATGAACCGCTAGTACCGCCAGGTGTAAGTGACATTGCCCCTTAGTTGCACATCCGTTTGTCGGGATATATTTACTAACTTGACGTGCCTCAGAGCCGAGATGCTGTTCCGCAAGGGCTACCTCACCGTCGTCATCGCCACTGGGACGCTGGCCATGGGCCTTAACATGCCGTGCAAGACGGTCGTCTTCATGGGCGACTCGGTCTACCTGACGGCACTGAACTACCGCCAGGCGTCTGGGCGGTCTGGGCGCCGGGGCTTCGACCTGCTCGGCAACGTCGTGTTCCACAACATCCCGCCGCACTGGGCGCTCGAGATCATGTCGGCCAAGCTGCCGGACCTGCGCGGCCAGTTCCCAATCTCGGTCACACTCGTGCTGCGCCTGTTCATCCTACTGCACGGCACCGACAACTCGGCCTTCGCCGCCGACGCGCTCAGGTCGCTGCTGACCCAAAGCCGCCTGTACCTCGGCGGCCCCGAGTCGCAGATGTCCGTCGTGCACCACCTGCGCTTCAGCATCGACTACCTGCGCCGCCAGTACCTGCTCTCGGCCACCGGCACGCCGCTCGACTTCTCGGGCCTCGTCGGCCACCTGTACTACACGGAGAACGCCGTCTTCGCCTTCCACGCGCTGCTCAAGGAAGGGTACTTCCACGCCCTGTGCGCCAAAATCGCGCGCCCAACGGAGCAGCAGGCCATCCTCGTCGAGCTGATCACGACGCTGAGCCACCTGTTCTGCCGAATCCCGTGCACGCGCTACAAGGACGCCGACTGGTTCGACACGGTCGTGCGCCGCTCGCCATCGACCGTCATCCTGCCGGACCTACCGGCCGCCGCGGCTACCATCCTGTGCCGCCACAACGCCGACACCCTGCACATCTTCCGCGGCTACGTGGCCTCGTACGCCGCCCAGCACCTCGCGGACGCACCCGACAATATGCTGCCGCTGACCAAGCACGCCGTGGCGCCAACAACACCGGAAGCTGCCATGGCCGAGCTGCTCCCTCGCCACTCCCTCCCCGCGCCGGTGGCGCGCTCGCCGTTCGCCGCGCTGTCGGGCTTCGGCGACGAATTCGCCAGCATCCGTGAGCTGTGCGCTACGGTGCGCGCAGGGGTATTCCTTGAGGAGGCCGCCGTGCCGTGCATCCCCATTGCGCCTGCCGAGACGGCCGCCGTGCCCTGGAACGCGTACCTGCTAGACTTCTTCAAGCACGGCGACGTCGGCGCGCTGGTCGCTGACAACGGGATTAGGCGTGGGGACGTGTGGTTCTTTCTCAAGGATTTTGAGCTGGTGCTTGCCACGGTTGTCGCGAGTTTGGAGAATTTCCTGCGGCCAAGTGGTGGTGGTGTCGAGGGTGAGGATGGTGCGTTTGGTTTTCCCGGTCATGGGGGGGATGATGATGAGGATGAGGATGACGACGAGCAGAGAGACTCGTATCTTCCTAGGAGCAACAGTCGGGGTGGCCATCCCGCCGTTGTTGCTGGTAAGGGTACTGGACAGGGCGCGAATAGCACCAAGAGAAAGCCCGTGCTCGAGTCGTGGGAGGAAGACGATAGCGAGGAGGAGGAGGAGGAGGAGGAGGAGGAGGAGGAGGAGGAGGAGGAGGTGGAGGAGGAGGAGAAGGCACCACCTGGCCAGCACGCTAGCAGCAGTTCGGGCGATGCTGCGCTGAGCTAGGTCTAGCCTAGCTAGGCTAGCTAGTCGCTAGAGAAGGTCCACCGCGCGTTCACTATGCTGACGGCCGAGTTTGGCGATAAGTTCCGCAAGACGTTTGCCTAGTCAAGGGGTTGTGTGACTACGGGCTCGGACGGGCTGGGTGCGGTAATTACCAGGGAAGAAGGAATCTGTGCTCTTGGCACTGGTTACTCGAACTGGGTAGAACTACACGTACATTACAATTGCCGAATTAACGCTGTGATGGGCAATTTACTCCAACTATCCCATTATTGTCGCAGACGAGGTAAATAGACCTGAGAACACCGTACCGGGACTGCATCTAGGGTTAGGGATTATTCCGCAATAGGAAGAAGTTCTGGCACTACAACGTCCGGACAGGGTCTAAAAAACCAATGTGTCATCCTACTGTTAGATTAGGGGTCCTAAAATCTACTCGTCAACGGGGATCTATTTTGCTTTGACGCTACTCGCGGCCGACATAAGATCACAAGAAAATTGGCACAAATAGGCCGAATGAAGCCACATTCTGGCCGGCGCGGTGAACGAATTGAAGTCGCGACCTTCCGCGGTGCATCCACCATGAAGAAAACTGTGTAGAATGGGTTGCTTCTCCCAAGTTAGTGGCCGAAGACATTCCGGCATATTCGTACCTGCGGTGCCGTGCTCACATAGACCCTGCACAGGGTAGCTCACATGTACTCTCTCTCCCTTCTATTGTTAATAACTGGACTTGTGGAGGTATTGACGGGACGGGAAGGACACCAAGGGGTGGTGGCGGCTAATTGCCAAGCATATATACTCATATTGCCTGCATGCGTCTACAGGCACAAGCCCGGCGTTCCGCCCCTGGCTGGATATTGCAATGCTAGGGGAACCAGTCCGCCAATTATTTATCAAACGCGGGGACGCCAGAGGATGGGGACGCCAGAGGATGGGACGGCCAGCTCTTTTTTCCTCGCGGCCTGCGCCAAGATATTTCTTGAGGGCTCGAAGCGGCACACGCTCGCCAGAATCACTCTGAGCCTGCACCACAGCAAAGATGTCGTCTCTTCTGCGATTATCGGTGCTCGCGGCCGTCGCTCCGATTGGCATCGAGGCCTTGTTTCTGGGCGGCGGGCTGACGATTCTGTCGCGGAACAAGCTTGATGGTAGGTGCATGGAGGCCTGTGGTAGAAGGCACTGCTGGGCTAACAACGACAGGCGCGCAGAACGACGGAACAGCAGCCATCCTCGTCAGCCAGCCGAGCCCGTTCAGCGCGGCCAAGACGGCGTGCGCGCTGCTGGGCGAAGTCCCCTGGGATCCCGACGCGGCCAGCTTCACGGCGGCGCTCAACGCGTCGCTAGCGTACCAGGTCTACCAGGGCATCGCGTCCGCGGACCAGCTGTACTGGGTGGCCAAGGCGGACGACGAGGGCGACAGCTGCCGGGGCATGGACGCCACGGGGGCCGAGTACGACGTCGACTGCCTGACGAAGAACCCGGTGCTGTGCACGCAGAGCGCGCCCGTGTCGACGTCGTCGTTTGCCAACAACTCGCTGAGCTGGCAGGTTTCGCACTTTGTCGGCAACAAGCAGCTGGCCGGCTACCGCGACTACCACACGTGGAAGTTCCGCGGTCTGGCCTACGCCGAGCCGCCCGAGCGCTTCGGCTACTCCAAGGTGGCGAGCTTCGACGACGCCGGCGAGGTTGATGCCATCAATGCCGGCCCCGACTGCACGCAGCCCGTCGGCGAGGTCAAGAACACGAGCCTCATGAGCGAGAACTGCCTGTTCATCAACGTGTGGACGCCGTACCTGCCGCGGACGGGAGGCGACAAGGCCAAGGCCCACCTCAAGCCCGTCATGCTGTACCTGTACGGCGGCGGGCTGACGTCGGGGTCAGGGCGCAACCCCAACACGGACGGCACCAACCTGGCGTCGCGCGGGGACGTGGTGGTGGTGTCAGCCAACTACCGCGTGGGGAGCCTCGGGTTCCTGAACCTCGACGACGGGGTGCACCGCGGCAACTACGCCGTGTCCGATATGGTAGCCGCGCTCGAGTGGGTTCACAAGTACATCGCAGACCTCGGTGGCGACCCAAGCCGCGTGACGCTGTTCGGTGAGTCGGCCGGCGCGCAGAGCACGCACGTGCTGCTGGGTGTGCCCAAGGCGCAGGGCCTGTTCCACCGCGCCATCATGCAGTCGAGCCCCGACGGCTACCCCAGCGGCGGGAAAGTGCTGCAGTACGGCTCCTACGACTCGCTCGAGCACAACTTCGCGACCACCACGCGGCGTGTGCTGCGCGACGCCGGCTGCGCCAATGCCACCGACGCCGTGGCCTGCCTCGGCCGCCTCAGCGGCTACGACCTGGTTAACCTGACGACTAACGCCAAGTATGCCCTCCCACCCCCCCACCGATCCCCTACCTGCACAACATAGTAATTACTGACACGCATGCAGCGGCATCGTCGCCGACGGCACGTACCTGCTGAACCACGAGCTGGTGGTTAACGACACGTCGGCTAGCGTGGCGACGGGCGTAGCCATGATGGTGGGCTTCAACCGCGACGAGACGGGCGTGCTGGTCGACAACTACCCCAGCAACGGGACCAGCCTGGCGGCGTACTTTGACGCCGAAGTCGCGCGGCACTTTTCCATGCCGGCCAACGCGTCCGCCATCCTCGGGCTGCCAGGCAGCAACACCACCGCCACCTCGTCCTCGGCAGCATCGTTCCTCGGCGCGACGGCCCCAAACACGCCCGCCGCCATCTTCGACGCGGCGATGCGCATCGGCACGGCAGCCGTGTTCAACTGCTACGGGCTGGCCGTCGCGTGGAGCGGCGCCAAGCACCGCGCGTTCGCGTCCAGCTACGTGTACCAGTTCAACCGCACGTACCAGACGACGGGCTACACGCGGCCGTGGTGCGTGCCGCCGGCTGGTGGCAGCGGCCCAGAGCAGGACGAGTACAAGAAGTGCCACGCGGGCGAGCAGATGGTCGTGTTCGGCACCGTCGCGCGCGCGGGGCACTCCGACCGCGACGGCCGCGATTTCCCTTTCATGGGACTGGTGGTGGACCACTGGGCAGCGTTCGCGCGTGCTGCGGATCCGAATCCTGATACCGCCGCTTTGGTGGCCCGTGGTCACTGGGACTCGCTGGCACGGCTCGCGGCGCCGGGAGTTGGCCGTTGGGAGCCGGTCGATCCGGCGGCGCCGACGCTGCGCTTGCTGCAGTGGGAGTCGCGGCAGATCCCGTTTGTAGACCAGGACGTCTGCAAGGCGCTAGGGGCGGCCATGGATGTTTTTGGGTGAGGTGTGTGGAGTGGGGAGTGTGAGTGGGGAGTGTGGAGTGGGGAGTGTGGAGTGGGGAGTGCGAGTGGGGAGTGCGAGTGGGGAGTGGGGAGTGGGGAGTGTGGGTGTTTGTTTTGTCACACTGGCGGTTTGTGGGACTTGCTCTTCTGAAAAGGTGGTGAAAAGGTGGAGAGGGGATGAAAAAGTGTCCAAATAGTACTGAACTATGGTTGAGGCAAAAATAAGGATAATAAAGGCACACAAAAAATACGGGTGTTGCTGGACCAGTGGCTGCCTCCAGATTGCACTTCTCTAGATTACGGCGATTTGCGGAGAGCAGGCGGCGTTTGGTCGGTTTGCCAGCCCATCTCTCATGTGAACTCCGGTCCACTGTTGGACTCAGACCCCTCGTGCCCCAAAGCAAAAAAGTCGAACCAGCACCGCTTTGGCTGTGACAATAAAAAGAGGATTCGCGGACCACTACGTGAACTCTTTGATCTTTGTTTTGTGCTAGGCACAGGCCAAGCCTGGCCTGGCCTGGACCACTTAATGGTCCATGCACCACCAGCGTATCCCCCCACCATAGATTTTTCGACTGCGGGCAGATAGCTTAGATTCCTTAAGCAATCCACCACGTTTTCCAGTAAACGGTGCACCTCGCACATGTTTGTTATGGTGCCACGTTTCGTACTATTCTGCTGCTGCGCCTATGGTTCTTTGTTCTCGACTCCATTGGCAGCATTCCACTCTCTCTACTCGCGCGAAAATTTAGTGCTATGCTACTTGAAAGGAGTAGAGGCCTGGTGGTGAAGCAGCCGAAAGCTTCCTGACCTAGCCCTGGGAGCTCGTCATCAGCCTCGCGAGCGCCATCCCCCACGACCACCCCACCCAGGATTCGCTCGCGGCCTTCGTTGAGGAGCTGCGTCTGCGAGCGACAACGTCGCTGTCCCTGTGGGTTGTCGCTCGCTGTCCCTGTGGGGTGTAAGTGTGCCCCCGCTCTCGTTTTGTTTTGCTTTCTTTGCTGTTGCGATTTGTTAGCGATAGGCCATCTTTTATCCCCATTAACAAGTGTGTCAACAGAGAGACCGGCGTATAGGAGAGATGTCCCCTTGCTGTCGGAGCTTGTCAGAGGGGCGCGGGTCTGTGCGTACTACTTACACCAACTAGATCATCCAACCTCATCCGCAACTTAGAAATCTGTTATCAAACTAGAACTAACCCAATCTCTTTCTTTCCCGGGCCCCGTCGACGACGAATTCTACGAGGACGAGACAGACGAGCCCGAGACGCCAGACCCGAAGCTGATGGCCGAGTGGACCAACCTCAACGCGTTCGCAGCGCAGCGCAGCTCACGAACCTGGGCATGATGGCCAAGTGGACGGCGTTCGCCATCGTCCAGATGCGATCGGCGCTCGAGCAGGAGAACCCAGAGCCGGCGATGCTCGAGCGCCGGGTCGTGGTCGCGAGCCAGTGGATCCTACTCAGCGGCAGGCGCGTCTTCGAGGACGCCTTCGCCGCAAGCACTCTGTCGCTGTTCGAGGTCAGAGCGCTGGCCCCTGGACCTCTCTACACGGGGATAAGGCACCCGGGGTCGGCGTGAGCATGGCCAGGTGGTGTTTCTAGCTGCGCGCCAGTTCGGCGAGCAAGAAAGAAAAGGGGGGGCAAAACTGTTCCCTCGTAAAATAGTGCAATTAATTTAGGTTGCAGACTACTGACTGCCTTGCTTATCTATACTAGGTTACGCGGTTTCCTTGGTCATTTTCTCCGTAGCGCCTCAGTGGCGCCTGAGCAAGGTTGTGAGGGGGAGTACGGACTAGGGATTGGTAAGGGCTGCCTTTTTGCCGACCCCCATGGCGGCGCCTTTCGACCAACCCACAACCACCGCCACTCTTATATCTCATCTCCCTTCCGCCGGCGCATAGCTCACATCTTGGTGGACCGCAGGGCAAAGTGGCCGAGCTGCAGCTCGAGCTCCAGAGTTAACAGCAGCGTAAAACAACGGACAATGTAGTCTACCCTGCCTTGAATGGGATAAACGCCACAGAAAAAAACCCTCGCTTCGAGCTGAAACTTTGCGAGTCTGTCATCAACTCGACTTCCATTACTGTTCCTACCTATCTTCACACACATTACCCAGCCCATCTTGTTCCCGCGGCCATCTTTCGTCATCTTCACTCTGTTATTCCAGCTGCAGGCGACTCTGGCGGGACTGGACTCGAGGGTCTCTGGTGCCGGCGCGAGCCTCGTCTCGGATGTGCCAACCTTGGCCACGTTGCCACCCGCGCAACCCACCGGCACCGATGCGTGCGCTTTCGACAGCATCAACAGCCTGGTCGATCGCGTGGCCAGCGACTGGACCGGATACAACATCTCGCTGCTTTACATGGCTACCACTACCAGTACGTGGACGATGTTTTTAATTAAGACCAGCCATGCGTTTGGCCCAGTTCTTAAGACCATTATGAAATACTACGTGCGCAACCACGACGGGTCGGTTCCCGCCATCCCCATCACTAGAAGCCCTACGAGACCAGAGCCCGAAGTGACATCGTTCCTTCAGTCCCCCCTGGCGGATACTCTTTGGAAATTTTTATATGCAAATTCCATTTATTCTTTGTTCCTCGTGGCCGTCTTTAACATAGTTCGGGTATAACGTATTGGTGTTGGCCGGTTGCTCTTGTTTTGGTTGCTTTGCCCTGTTGACGTAGATTCCGTTTTTTCATGACACCTTTTTGCCTTGATTGGTAGGAGTAAACCACGAACACCCTCCCCATGGCTGCCGACTACGGTTAACCTAGCTTCCTTCTTCTTTTGTGAGCAAAACGTTCCCCTCTTCGGATCTCGACACACAGAGTACACATCAACTTCATGAACACGCTACCTCAAGCTCACTTCCATTCAGCACCTAACGCATCGCCGAAAGCAATGGCGACGCACGGGGAAGTTCTGAAAAAGGTCTCGCAGCTGGCTGTCCTCAATGTTGAGCAGGCTAGAACCGACCTTGACCAGCGATTCAAGACGAATCTGTCCTGTCTAATCAAGCAATTCGCGAGCTGCCTGTTGTCACCGATATTCTAATGCTCGAAACACCGCCAGTGAGTCGATATGCACGCATCGCCGATAGCATCACTAACACAAGGCACCTCTAGCCCTCGAAACTCACCTTCGTGGGTGGGTTAGCTGTCGCATTATGGTCCATCTTTGGGGGCCGAAAAGGCCACATGATGCTTGGCATAGTGCGCACCGTCATGGCTGACATCTCCCGTGTCGAGGGCGACATGCGAGCGTCTCAATAGGAAGCTAGCATGGGAATGATTGCCACGGCTGACCTGGCATGTAAAGCTGCCGAGCATATTGAGCTCTGCTCATCGGTTGGCAGGGCCGTATCAGACGCGCAGGGACGAACGAAAAACTCCCTGGACCAATCCAATGGACAGATCGCCAGCGCGCAGCAGGAGATTGCAGATACCAACAGGATGTCGTCAAAAATAGCGAGCCAGGCCAGACGGCATGATGAGAATGCAGAGGGAAACAGCATCGTAACAACCCCTAATAATCCGCCCAATTCCTTTTAGAAAGAGACAACTGACACCCTCTGCAGCTCTTCTGGACAACCTTTTGGATCCCAATCGTCAACGTCGTCACAATCCGTCTCCCTCTCCCTAGCAGCGTGCGTCAACCCCCATCCTCTCTTTCCCTCCTTTCCAATCCCAAACTATACTTACCAATTCACCACCCGTTCTTTAGAGAAAACAAAGGCTCGCAGCATCTTGCCGCGAAACCGCTCAAAGGCTGACCGCCGAAATCGTCACCAAATCGGCCGAGAAAGTCTCCCTCAAAGCCATCCGATACGGCCTTGACAGCTCCCTGGCGAGATTGAATTTAGCTGAAGGCGAGGCCAACGAGCGAGCGCGCCACGCAGCAGGATTCAGGGACTAGGCGAAGCTACTGATGGACAATTATGGCATTGTCACGACGCGAGTTAAGGATGTGCTGCGGGCACTAGATCACCTTGGGGTTGGGGGGGGGGGGGTGGGGGGGGGGGGGGGTGACTGCCGAGGGCTGCAACGAAGTGCGCACGTTGGGACTGCTCGCGTTCGAGGGGCTGTTGGTTGCGTTGAAGGAGAGGGGGTTGCTCGCGCCGGAGTGTTCAGGGGTGGCGGAGAGGCTTGAGTGGCTGAAGGGGTTGGAGGACAACGCGTGCGGGGCGTGGGAGCTGGAATTTTGACAGGGTCTTCGGTATGGACATGGAATATCACTAGACCTGCGGCCACATTCATGCACACAACAAATACGCTTGACTAACGCCTGATCAAGGCGGCAAGGGGTGGCGGATAAATGCATCTTAAATGTAGTATTAGACTATGGTAACCAGCACTGTTTTTCTTGGACAATTTGTTGGAAGTTCGGTACAGTTTCATATGGATCGGGAAGGGATTGAATGGAAGGGCTCTTGCAAAGTTGGAAATACGGTCTGATGCCTCCTGCGAAGAGACCTGTGTCGCCGAAATAGGAGCCGGGGAAGTGCATTGAGAAAAGCATAAGATTAGAAAGTAAGTTTACAAAGGAAAAATCCTAGTTATTCATACAAAGGGGAGCACAGGAGAGGGACCCTGTGTGGGTAAATACGACGTATTGAGTAAATACGACGTAGTGGGTAAATACGACGTGGTTGTGAGCATAGGGGAGGGTGGCTCGTGGGAGATGTCCCGAAAGACAAGTTGCTGGCCCTGCCGCATGGATCCATGCCCAAATTGATCGAAGCCAACCTGGCATCAGAGGAAGAAGCATACGTCGGACACAGTACTGACGGCAATTAGTCCAACCCATGGAACAACGAGGTGCTCGCGAGCCACAGTGCTGCGCCCTAAAGGGGTGCTTTTTAGCGCCACAAGACCTTCTCAGAGAGATTGATTCCTGCCCGTCGACGCCAGGCACAAAGTCCTTGGCCGCTGTGTTGACGCAATGCCGGCACGAGGAACTCCTACGGTCAGACCACCGGGAGGGGTGACGCGCACCGCCTTATTCGCCCGCTTGACGATCGTGCTTCTACAAGGAAGCAAGCAAATCGGCAAGATGCTGCCGGAAACCTGGCGACGCGATGATATTGCTTGGGATGTTCCGAAGACTTGGAAGTTGATAACCTCTGGAGAAAAGCTGAATTAAAATGTAGTTGTAGCGAACGAGTCGATGTTAATTACTACATGTTCCGACTCTCAAAATCACCTAGCAACCAGCCAGTTCAACAACCAACTCTCGGGAAGAGGGACGTGATGGATGAATTCATTTTAACCGCTCTTTCCATAATGGAGTCCTTCGCAAAAGCTGTGCGCGACAGCGGGTATTTACAAAATAAAAATAAAAAGGAGGGCGACGGCCAAGACTCGAACTGGCGACGTCAAAAATAGACGCTAATGCGCGAAGTTGGCCAAAGGGCCAGGGCCTTTCCGCCGTACAAGACCGTGACCGTTTGACCAATCGGGCTCTTACAGATTACTGTAGAGGCGTCTGTTGGATTTGCTTCGCTGTTGTGAAACATGGAGCGAAACGGGGTATATACTACCACATCAGCCTTGTTGTTGCTGCGGGCTGTTACCGCCAGCTGTTACAACGACCAGCTGTTACGGCTTGTTGTTACCGCCAGCTGTTACAACAACCAGCTGTTACGTCTTGTTGTTACCGCCAGCTGTTACAACAACCAGCTGTTACGGCTTGTTTTTACCGCGAGCTGTTACAACAACCAGCTATTACGGCTTATTGTTACCGCCAGCTGTTACAACAACCAGCTATTACGGCTTATTGTTACCGCCAGCTGTTACAACAACCAGCTATTACGGCTTATTGTTACCGCCAGCTGTTACAACGACCAGCTATTACGGCCTGTTGCGCCTCCCGAATCTTGCCCTCCTCAACCCTTGCAGACCACAACACCCCTCGCCGCTTTTGCTCAGGCGACCACCCGCGAAACAATCAGGGAAGTGACTGAAATAGGTTTAGACTCGATGGGCAGTGTCCTGAGCCCAGAAGATGATAATTGGCAACTTTTCGCGAGGGAAGTGCTTGTACCATGGCTGGGCCCAAAACTGGGACCGCCGAGGAGCACATAAGTACTTGCCCTCCCACCTTGAGAATCTGCTCGTAGGGCCTAGTTTATGGCTATCTCTACTATCGGCTTCTTGACATTTTCAAGATTTTACTCTATCATTTCCGTCTATCTTGAGCAGATCGCCGCATTAGCTCTCAGCTCTCTAGTTAGCTAGATCCACTGATATCAACACGTCACCTATCACATCGGGGAAATTTCAAATCGATTTTATATTTTTCTCACGCCGCCAAAGACAGCTGCCGAAGATGGTCGGGAAAAGGACAGCCGATGAGAGGAGAAGATGCGCAGAAGAGAACGGATTCAATGACGACGACACGGATGTTGATGACGAATCTGTCCCACGTGAGGTCTTGGACTACACCAAAGAGAGGTACAAAGACCAGATGGACCTTTGGATCGAGTAAATAGATCCTACGAACAGTGATTGATGGGAAAACTAATAGACCGTTAAGGTACAAAACAACACAACCCGAAGCTACACCTCATCAATTGAAAACCCTGAAGCATTTTGCCAAGTTTATAGCAAAGCCCGCCAAAGGTGTTCTGGACCCGGAGGGAAAGCCGACCGTTCAAACCGTTCGGAATTACTTCCGGTGTTTTGCCTCTGGCTGGAATCTAGACAATCCAACGTGTTTGATCTCGAGAGACTTCAGACTCCATCACCAATGTAGGCCTCCGTGCTCTCCAGTATCGTTCCATCTAAACGCTAACCTCGAAATAGTATATCAAAGGCCCACTGAGGAAGGAGTTCGGTTTATCAACAGCCACACGACCAAAGAAATACCTTACACTTGAAAACTATATGTACTTGGAGAAGCAGCTCTGGCAGAACGATGGATATGACTACGTACACGAAGCGTACCGAGTTTTTATTAGCGGAAAATTGAAGTGTCACGTATTCACGCCAGCTAGACTAGGTGAGATCAGTGAGGGCTCAACTAGGAGGGGTACCGGAAAAGGATTGCGTTACAAGGTAGCTATTATCACTCATGTTCATGATCGCGGGCTAATCGCTTAGGAAACGGTGATGCTGGTCGCTTGGAAGGATGGCGAGCCTGAATTAAGGTTCAGCCTAAAGAGAGAATTTGCGAAGGCAATGCATGACAAGGAACAGCAAAGGTCAGCAAAGTCTCATGTGCATGTGGCTTCGATACTAATGATTGACTGGAATAGACCGACGCACCTACTCTATGAACATCTCCCCGGCCAGCCTCTTGTCGTCAATCCAATGCTCTTTCTGCTTGCTATCTGTCTTGCGGCGGGAGCATTCAAAAACTACAAGACTCTCAAAGAGGTTTTGGACGTTAGGCCGCCGGCAAACCAAAGGTATTGGGTCCTCAAATGGTCCTCTCACGTGCTGGACCTGCCGGTATTTCCAGAAGTATCAGTAGATGGGGCGACCAACAAGATCCAAACGGGCAACTCTTTCAACACGCAGCTCAAAGCCCTCTCAATTCGAGCAGGGATAAGTCCCGTCACGGTACACAGCATGCGGAGGGAGGCTCTCATCTTAGCTACAGGTATGATATTCGCCTGCCGTTTTATTCTTCGCCTAGCTAATTTAAAGTTTAGCAAATGGTTATTCGGACCGGGAATTGATGAAATTTGCCGCACATACAAACAAAATGACGCTCACAAGAGACTATTTGAGTTCTATAACCGTTGTGGATGGTCTGGCCGGTTTTCTTAAGCTACCTCTTCGAAGCGATCAAGCGGAAGACTTCCGGTCCATGACGGTTAACCGAAATCCCGAGCTTTTGCAATCACTGCCTGCGAAGACGCACGACCAATTAAGGCAGAGAGAGGATTATGTTGCCATCACAAAGAAAATCGATGACCTGACCCTTGAGATAAGCTGTGCCCAAAAAGGGGCAGCTGCTCGGGATCTGAAGTCGGAGCGGGGCTAACTATACGAACAAAGGCGCGTGATCGAGGAGGAGGAGTTGAACAGAATCCGCGGGGACCAAGAACGAATACATCCTTCAGAGCGCAAGGAAAAGGTTTACGTGGACCAACACCGTTCTCGATTCGATCGCCTTCGCCACATGATGCCGGAGCGCGAAAGGCTTTCAGTTACGCTCTTCTGCGTTGCTCCCATGCGAAGCCTGGAGGGAGAATCGGCTATTGAGGACCTTATATCGCTCGTGAGGAATAACTGCCGAGTCGCCTACTAACCGTCGCTTCGGCCACTACGAACACAATGCGCAATGCCGTATCACGCCGCGGGGAGATGCCAAGCGCAGCACTGCGGCGTGGACATGTGCCCATACTGTGATGTAGAAGTTGAACGGTAAAGTGAATTTTAGACCTTTACACTGGTTCCTAAAGCTGACATATTTTTAGGATACCTATTGACCACCGGTGGCAACATGTCTTTGAATGCTCCTTAGCACACTACAAAGGGGAGCAGAAATTCGTTGATTTCTGCTTCATATGCCACAACCCCGTAGCGGGTAGGAAAGCATTGGAAGTCCACTACCAGGGGCATATCGACAGACGCGAACTGCCGCTACGCTGAAATTTTGTCAAGTTTCGCCGAGCCATTGCCTACGTCGGGATGTGTAAAATATGTATGCATAACGAACAACTACCTGCAACCCGACGACTGTTCGGATTTAGGAAGCAAGTTAGCTGGGAAAGGTATGTCAATGAGTGCTTCACTATTTACGCGAAGACTTCGGGAATGACGGACGTAATACCGTGTCCTGACCCCGAATGCTCTATAGCGTACGAGTCAGACCAGCAGCTCTGGTACCATCTACAAGACGCCCATAGCTATCCTTCAAGAAATAGTAAGGAGAAGACGCAAAAGAAGAGGGAAGTCTTTGTGGATGGAGGATGTTCCCCCTCCCGAAGAAAACGGCGCCGAGTTTATACTATGGAAGAGGCTGCCAACGCCAAGCTGGCATCAGCAACAGACGCCAACCCGGCGGCGGAATCCCATGGATTGATATCAAACTTTTCTATCTCCTACGGTAGTTATTCGCAAACCAGCACGTCTCCTTCCAGCACTATTGCCCTCTCTTCCGTCTTCAATGTCAATTTTCTTCAAGAAGTTTGCCCATCAGTTAATTCGAGCTCGAGGCCATCTCCCAGCTTTGTTGATGACGAGAGCCTTGGTATCAGCGAGCATGCCGATTTCGGGGCCTGCATTTTACCATCAACTACAGACCCTGACCTGAAGGGATTGGGTGAAGGGCAAGTGTCTCGGATTAGAGAGGTAGAGCTACCTCCCGCTTACTACGACATGTCTCGAATGAACGTCGAGGAATGTAGCGATGGAATTGTGTCTAATACTCGGTCGCTCCCATCTCGGATCCTTGATCTTACCGATCAGATAGACAACCTTATGGCGCAGGGCGACCAGACGACATTTCAAGAGCAATGGGCAAGCGCAAGCTCACGATCTACATCATTATCATCCATTATTCCTGTGAACTTAATTGATCCGGAGCTGCTGACCGACACGGTCCCTGCTGAGCAAACGAATGACGCTGTGGCAGAGTTATGTTCAGTCGGAGAAGGGGTTGGCGATAGCAGGGGGATCCTCCCGCCCACCGCAATTGACGAGAAAAAAGACATATGGGAGGCTGAGGAATTGCTTGCTAAATGGGGGCGGGGCCGGGGAGTTTGGCTCCTGGTCAAGTGGAAAGGCTTTGGGGACGAATCCAACACATGGGAGCCACCAGAGAACATAAGCGACCATCTTCTTGCTAATTTTAACATAAGCTACTTGAAGAACGGAGGAAACCATTCGGGAGTGGAATTGCTTAAAAAAAAGATATGCAGCGGGCGGGTTAAGTATCTCGTGAGATGGAAGGGTCGTCCGGAAACCGAAAATTCTTGGGTGAGTGAAGGAACTATAAGTCATGCGCGTAGGAAGGAATTCGAGAGTGCGTATGGGAGGATTAATCTGGGGTCTTGAATTCGAGAAAATGTATATAGAGTAAATTACTAAGGTATTAAAATCGGTGATAATTATCATCCATCGTGGCAGCACATTGTAGAGCTACCGGATTAAGTTCCTTCAATCGTCGCTATTTCTATCTCGTCCAGTTATATAGGCACCATCCATTTTAAGAATTAGCCTCCAAAGAGTGATGGTGAGATAGAATCCCATCTCATTAACAGATAGACATTAGTTATGAATAAATGGGTAAGTAGGTGGGCGAAGGTGGTATAGAACTGGCACGCGTTGCACGGGGCGCGATCAATAAATTGGCGTGAGCGTGGGCAAATCAGGCAGGCGGTAAAACGTGCAAGTACCATTGACTTGCAAGGCGCTCATGTGGCACAGTGGTCTTGACAAATACGCGTAGTGTAGCTATTCAGGGCCAACCTTGTGTTCCATTGAATGGAGGCCCGAAAATGGGAATTGACCAAGATTCGGTACCCGGTCGGTATTAATAATAAGTATCACTTCCTTGAAAAATGAAGTTAGACATTCAAGTTTAGTGAGTAGTATCAATAAAGATGGTTTCTATGAGGCAGAGCAACATCGAAAGAAGACGCGCAAGGGATGAATGCCGTGAAAAGCTCTCAAAACACATTCGTAAGGGAATGAAACCTATCTCGGTAGCCAAGCTAACTTCTTTAGACCAAAGACTAGGCATTAAGGTAAAAGCCGCAGATGTTCGCCTTAACCCCCGCCCAAATGATCCATATGCTTGGAGAATTCTGCCGGGTGAGGAGCATTCTCTTTCCAGGGTGTTCGTCAAGAATTTAAGCGACCATTTCATTGGTACTTTCCGACTGCTATGTAGGGAAATTGGAATGACCTTTGAGGCCGTGCTTTCAAGCACACAAAGCTCGTCGTTAGACTCAATTGTAACTGTATGCAAAGTCGAGTAGTCTATTTCTGGCGATAGCTAGCTTTTCTTTTTCCTGCAGTTGTCTGTCCCGGAGCCTAGCTTTTCTGTGATGATAAATGAACTTAGAGAAGAAAATGTAAGGCTATACTAGGAAGTATACGAGTTGAAAAGTAAAGCAAGGGTGGAATTAGGTGTAAGGAAAAGGACACCCCAAACACCAACTGCGCGCACAGGGTGCGCGCCCACCACTTGTCACCAACTGGCTAGAACACTGCCAGCTGGCATACGCTACGCCGTGGCGCCACGACCGCAGACTGATGCCCGGGCCGAACCCCTGAGCAGGTATATAAACAATGGCCCTCGCCCATCTTCCTTTGCGAGGGCCAGGTTGAAGTCTTACACCAATACAAGTCATTGCTCCCCTACCTTCTTGCCTGCATTGTGACCACCTTGATCAGGCGTACCTACCTTCTCTTACATTAGGGTAGAAGAAGTTTGTAGAAGAAGAAAATTGCAAGTTACGAAGCAGCCAAGTACGACTCCAAGCGCAGGTTCAAGGTTATGCGAATACTTTAAATCATTTTAGGAGTAATGTTACTAGATGCATCTTTGGACTGGAAAAGGCACTGCCTATATCAGAGGGCTTGTTAAGAAATGTATCTATAGACGAGGCGAGTCGGACAGCATAAATAATTTAAGTGTGCTCTGCCTAACTGTTCGTGGTATTCCAACCACGTAGGTGTTCCAACGGGTCAAAAAGTGGTAGTACTACCGGGGGGGGGGGGGGGGTAAAGTTGTTCTGATTCATGTTCTGCTCTAGAAATCTATGGTGGGAGTCTTTGGCTTTGTACATGGCCGTGCGAGGGCCGTGCGGCGCACGTGCATCGCACCGCCTCCCTTCCAGAGTAGAGTACGGTCACCAACATCGCTATTCCAACACTGGCAACTCTTCTTTTGTGACCGTACGATCCCTCTCCCTATCCTGCCTTCTCGTGAACTCTTTATCTCAAGTTCTTGCTTGTTGTGGCTCCCCACGTGGTTGGATGATCAGATCGTCGTACCACCTCGTCTGAATATGCTGTTTGCTAGTATCGTGCAATGAGTCCCGACCTCCTCGTACGTTCGTCTGACAACTTGTTTGCCTGCCAGTGCCGATCCGGGGTCTCGTACGACGATGTGCCCGGGACCGGGGATCGTGCGGAAGGAGCGGAGGGTCCGAAGAGTGCGCTTTCGAGGCACCTGTCACGACCAGGGCAAGGCATTGAGGTGAACTCAGTCCATTGGGTGCTATCGACGAAGATTCTAAACTGAGGAGGGAAAGAAGGAAAAGTCCGACAACGCGTCGCGTGCTCGCGAATAAGTTTGCATCTATCAGTGGGGTAGGTGGGGCCTCGAGGAGGCTTCTGATAGGCCCGTGGGTTCTGGGCGGCTCTGGCTGCTTCAGGGCCAGTTTGGTGGACGGGTCCTCACAGCACCCAGTTCTAGGCATAAATCTGGCCTTCTCGCCCTCCTTCTTCCCTTCTTCTTCTTCTTCGTACGCTCTTCACACGCACATACAGGCACAATGTCTCTCGTGCCTGGCGGCGGCGGCCTGCCGCCTACCCCTCTTGGTACCATTAGCTCTCGTACGAGGCGTCTCAAGGTGGGGCTCTGGCTGGTCGGGTGGATCCACCCAACTGGCGTCTGATTAGTCAGAGCGTCTGGGAGGCCTGGAGGACCAGGCCCTCACAAATAGTAGAATGCCCAACCTAGAGCATTCACCCCTTAGATAACTATAGCCCACTCACGATTACCAGGCTGGGCCTATTTAGCCTTACCACAGCCATCGGAGGTAGTAACTACCATAGTGGGGGTAATAATGCCCATCATAAAGCCGGTCTCATCGAAATTGTACGTATAGTGAGGGCCTGGTCCTCCAGGCCTCCCAGACGCTCTGACTAATCAGACGCCAGCCAGGTGGATCCACCCGACCAGCCAGAGGGATCCACCCAACTGACTAATGGAAGCTCGGCCAGAGCCCCACCTTGAGACGTCCTGGAAGAATCTCGCGAGGGGAGGCTTTTGAGCTTCTTTTCCCTTTTCTCTTTAGTTTAGAATCTTCGTCTATAGCGCCCAATAGAGGAGTTCCGCCCTCATTCCAAGCCGGCCGTGACACGTATCTTCATCGAGGATACCGTATTTGGCTTTGGTATTCCGTACGAGTGCAAACCACTCACGAATAACCTTTGGATCTTTGCATTTGGCCCTTTGGTAGTCGTATTTACGCGTAAAACGCTGTAAGATAAGGCAGGTACGCCTGATCAAGGTGGTCAGAATGGAAGCAAAAGGCGAGCAAGAACTGGTATTGGTAAGACTTCAACCTGGCCCTCGCAAAGGAAGGGGGCGAGGGCCGTAGCTTATATACATGCTCAGGGCTTTGTATGCTTTGTGGCAACTGGCAGTGACTCTGCCAGTTGGTGACAGGTGCGTGTGATTGGGGTGTGCTTTCCTTACAAACGCGTACGAAGTGTGAGGACCCGTCCACCAAACTGGCCCTGAAGCAGCCAGAGCCGCCCAGAACCCACGGGCCTATCAGAAGCCTCCTCGAGGCCCCACCTACCCCACTGATAGATGCAAACTTATTCGCGAGCACGCGACGCGTTGTCGGACTTTTCCTTCTTTCCCTCCTCAGTTTAGAATCTTCGTCGATAGCACCCAATGGACTGAGTTCACCTCAATGCCTTGCCCTGGTCGTGACACAATTCTAAACTCTTCTCTTCCTTGCTGGCGAAGCAAGTAAAATATATCTCCCTCATTCCCGCATTCATTTGCAACCCCTACGTCGGCTGTACACGACGCAAAACTAAGGCACAGAACCCCCGCGCAGTCAATGCCGCCGAAGAAAGATTACGGCCCACCGACACGCAAATCCGATCGACTCTCTAAAAAAGATAGCAGCGACCGGACCCCAACAGGAGAATCGAGTATCACAGCCAAAGTGCCAGACGACACCGTCCTCGATACACCCTCGAGCCCAGAGCTAAACAAGCCCGCCGAAGACCCCAGTGACCCCGAGTCAGAAGTACCTGTCACTACCAACAGCAACACCGAAAGCAGATCGCCCACTGTTACCGCGCGAGACCCTGATCAAGATACATCTCTCGCCTCTGTCGAAGTCGAGATAACGAACTCCAGCATCCTTACCGAACAATCGGAAGTCAACCGACAATTGACCCATTACAACCTCCGCCCCGCACCAACAGACGACGAGATGATCGCCACAGGTACACCCACCCCACAATCAACAACCGCAGACATGGCATCCTCCACGCCTACCACTACAGAACTTCAAGCCACCATTGCCCGGCTCCAAGCCGAGCTCAATGCCCGCTCCTCTACACCCATTCGCCAATCCAGCGCCGCTCGCGAAGTGACCCCTGCTGATAGCGCCTTCGGAGGCGAGCGTTTCACCCCAACCGGGTTTGCCGCGTACCCTGCGTTCAAAGCCTACGGCATCGATCAGAGAGCCCCGAACCCTGATTACAACCCAAAGTCCCGCAAAGTCGGAGTCGACCCCGGTATTTTCCAGGGTAACAAGGACGAATTCGACTATTGGGTCATCACCCTAGCAGACAAGTTCGAGGAAGACAATACTACCTTCAAGACCGAACGTAGCCGTATGGCCGTCCTCCACGCCGCAACCAGAGGACCCGCCAACGACCTCCTCTCTAGCCGATACCAATCAACCGAATACCCATTCGCTAGTGTGGCCGAGATGGTCGCTAGCCTACAGGCAGTCTACCACGACCGTAACCAGGGATCGAAAGCTCGGGAGGAGCTACGTAACCTGATGTACGACCCCCGCGATAAACAGATGGACATTCACCAGTTCATCGGTAAGATCAATAGCCTGGCCGATAAGGCAAATATCGCAAAGGCGGACCGAAAGACCACGTTGTACGAGCATATCCCGGCCAACCTGAACGTTGAACTTTTCGACGCCTCCGAGAGCCCTGATATCTCCTACGAATCGTTTGTGGTCAAGGTAGCCAACTCAGCCCTGGCCAAGAAGAGAGCCTACGAGCAAAGCAAGACCTTCAAGGAGTCGAAGGAGAGACCCTCAAAGGAGCGACCCTTAACGGAGAACCGCCAACCTCGCCGCCGCTCAAGGGAATATAAGAAGGAGGTCTCGGCAACTCCAGCCAACCCTCAGCTGTCAGAGAAGGAGGTGGAAACCCTGAAGGCAGCCGACCTCTGCTTTGTGTGCAAGAAGCCAGGACACCAAGCTCGCAAATGTCCTGATCGCAAGGTTATGGCCAGTCTCCTCGCCAGCTTCGATCATGAAGGAAGCTCTGACCGTGACGGGACCGCTGTTACCGACACTTCGTCGGAATCTTCAGGATCGTTAGAGTCGGAAAACTAGTTCGGCTATCGGAAGTCTCCTCGATAGCCCATATACCACAATTAGCTAAAGTCGGCAGATCACCAAAATCAAATACATTCACCAAACGGGTCAACCTGTTAGTCGATGGCATTGGTCTTGAGACTCACGCTCTTTGTGATACTGGAGCCGATATTTCCCTTTCTATGACCCCGAAGATGGCCAAGAAGCTCGTTGATAAGGTCGGGGCGAAGACGGAACTCTTGCCTAAACCGCTAGTACTTAGTGATTTCAACGGGGCCGCCACCGCTCGCGCCACCCATCAAGTTCGGGTCACTCTCGAGATCGACGGCAGACGTTTCCCCCGTCAGAAGTTCATTATCATCCCGACCGCCAATGATGTCTTTATAGGACAGGATTGGTTTACCAAGCAGAACGTATGGCTGCACCCCGCCTCGCGTACTCTTCGCTGGCCCGACGATACTCCTGCCCTAGCACAATACTCGCCCAGCATCCTTGTCGATCCGAGCACCAGCACTATTGACATGAATGCCCAGTCAGAGGTAGTCCGCCGAGATCGACTAATGGAGGCCGAGGAACGCAAGCTGAAAGTGCAAAAGATTCTGCAAAAT